GAGGCGGGCGGCTGACGCGGCGGTGGTGAGGGTGCCGTCATTTTGGGTGAGGAAGAGGGGACAGGTGAGTTCGAGGGTGGCGCATCGCATTCTGGAAGCCGCGGATGGTGCGTTGAGCGAATGTGAGGATGGAGGCATTGAGGATGGATGCGTTCTCGCGCTCGAGCAGACCGACCTGTCCCACTGGAAGCAAATAAGACGCCTGTTGAGGTGCACGATGTATGCACTCACCTTCTCGTGAGGCGACCACATTGACCGAAGGTCCGAGTTCGCGCTCGATAATAGCCTTGGCGGCGATTTCTTGCTTTCCGTCGTTGTCGAGCGAGGAGAATATGCCCGTCAAGACCACCTAACGAATATTCACATGCGTCAAAAACAAGTATACTTAATGTGCCGGCAAACGGCCCGGAGCGCCGACCCGCCCTGCCAAAGACAACGTTGGAGGTACTCACGTTCTTGAGTCCTTTTTCCTTGACAATGGCGCATTGCTCCAGAATCTGGGCCTCATTGATGGGTCTGATCTCTCTACCGTCGACTGCGAAGGCGTCGGGCTTTGCGAAGGGAGGAGAAACGACTAGCACTCACTCTCGAAACCTCCATCGACGTAACCCACATGACCCTCGGTGAGAATGCGCAGCGGCTTGGGGAAGTCGATGAAAGGCGGGCACTGTTTGGTGAAGACGCTGCTGAGACGGATGACGGCGACCTTGGCCAGCCTGCGCGCGTCCGCCTCGAGCACGGCGTTGATGAACGCGGTCGTCCCAATGCTGACTGACGCGACTTCGGTAGGCGACACAGACGCGAGCCTCAGGACTTCGCGGACGGCCTCCTCGATTCCCTTGGAGACGTCGGTCGTAGTGGGGGCCTTGTAGTGCGCGAGCACACCGCGGCTCGGCTCGTGAAGACGAGTCACATCGATCAGCACACCGTCTGTGTTCGTCCCTGCGAGCGAGGGTCAGCTGATGTTTGCGCTCGTGCTTCTCGCGGTGGGACGCACCTCCGACGTCGACACCGATGCGAAGCATTTCAAGAACAGTGAGGAGGGGATGAGCGGAGATAGTCAGGCCTGGTCTGTCGATCGCGTCTTCCTTTGCTCGAGTCTGCGGCCACCACAAGTCTATCGGTGCTGATAAGATGAAGGCTAAAGCAACGTCGGCGGCCCTTATCTCTTGGGGAGAACTAGGGAGAACTGTCTCGCGTGCTCTTCGGACCGTCGGGTGCCCGTTGCGATGATCTCCGAAGAGGATGAACTGAAGAGCAATGCCGAGGATCAATTCGATCGCCGGTGGGCCAGGGGGGAAACGCTAAACGTGTCGGAGGTCAAGCAAGACACCGGCTGTGATGGAGATTTGCACGGGCGTCTCCATGTGTGCTGGCTGCGCACACTTACCATATCCTAAAGTTCGCAAGACACGAAATATGCAGGCCGTATGAAGCTCATTGCGTTGATTTGGATAGGCGGAAAGCAAATTGCCGTTGCCGCTGTCGTCTTTGAGAGCTGACCCCGGTCCGTCTGGCCTGGGGGTATAATGTTGGTATGATGCATATGATGGGGAGAAAGAGGACATTAGAGATGTCTCTGGGAACCCGCATAGGCGGAACCGTAACCGTAGTACTTCGACACTGCGTATTTTATCACTCCAGAGCCCTTGAAGAAGTCTAACGATTGGAACATACATGTGACACACTGGTAGCCAATGGCTCATCTTCAAGGATCAAACCGTCAAGTTTGGAAATAGTGCCGAGTACTAGCGCCGCTGGCAGATCCAACGTTTGAAAATTTGAGTCTTGAGCCCGCATATGGTTCCATAAATCGGATCCAGGAGATTGAGTGCCAAGTGATGAAAGGAGGGGTTTGGAAATTGGCCAAGTTGCGGTGGAACCTTGGCTAACCTTGGGCGACACGGGCTTCGGGCCGACATCGTCCCGCGGGATCGCTGCAACGCGATGGCCCCCCAGATGTCGACGGCCGGTTCTTGGCCAGATATCTCTTCGCCACTTTCTCTTGCTCCTAGCACGTCTCGACCCACAAGATGGCCGATGCGACACCCGCTCTCCCGCTCTGCGAGTTGTCCCTATATCCTGCGACGAGGCAGCAAACCCTGGACTCTCGCAGAAGACACTTCGAGCAGTGGGGCCGCGGTATGCCCTTGGAAGAGTACCTTCGCCGTGACGATGTTCTGGATAGCGACCCACACGCAGCGAACGGAAACATGATCACCTGGTAATCGATCCGATATATCTTTGCGACACACTAACACCAACACTCACTGCCCAGGGTACTCGTGCGGCGTACCGACCCCACGAGCCTCACCTTCCTCTCCTCCTGCGAGACGTGAGTACTTGAGTACCCAGCGCTCCACCCGCACTCGCTCCACATTGACCTCTCCGCAGGTACCGCCGCACCGCGACCGCCTCGCGCCGCAGCTCCTCAACAGCAGAGGACGTGACCGCGTACGGCGTCGCGTCCGTCTTCACGGCCCCCGCGAACCGCCGCAAAGGCTACGCGCGCCACATGATGCGCCTCCTCCACTGGGTCCTCGCCGCGCCCGACGCGCTCGACCGCGCGAGCTTCCCCGCCGCGTGGGGCGCGCCCCCGGACCCCGAGGTGCTCCGCGCCGCGGGCGTCGCCAACGGCCGCTTCTCCGTCCTCTACAGCGACCTCGGCCGCGACTTCTACCACGCCTGCGGGCCGCGCCCCGACCCCCCGCGCGCGGGCTGGGCGACGCTCGGCGCGCGCGAGACCTTCTTCGTCCTCTCGGCCGAGAGCACGCCTCGCTTGGAGGATGTGGCGGCGGCGGAGGAGGTCGAGCTCGCGCGGCTGGGCAAGGCGGACGTCGAGGCGCTGTACGCGCACGACGCGCGCTGGCTGCGCGCAGACGTCGCGCGCGCGGCCGCGGCCGCGCCGCAGCGCGTGCGGCTCGCGTTCCTGCCCGACGCGGGCGTGGGCGCGTTCGTGATGTCGCGCCTCATGGACTTCGACATGCGCCTGCGGCCGACGATGAACCTGCGGCTGTGGGGCGCGGCGGTCGTGCCCGCGGGGCAGGCGTTCGCGGACGTGCTGGCGGCGGCGGGCGAGGGGCGGGAGGAGGAGGTGCGGTTCGTGTCGTGGACGTACGAGCTCCGGACGGAGCCGAAGACGGTCGTCGTCGCGCGGCTGCGGGCGGACGAGCGGACGTTCCCGAAGATGGTGGGGGAGCTTGTGCGGGCGGCGGAGGAGCACGGGTGCACGAAGATCGAGTTCTGGTCCATGCCGGACAACCTCCGCGGGCTCGCGGAGAAGATGGGGTTCGCGACGAAGGAGCGGACGGATCACCTGTCCGCGATCAAGTGGTACGGAGATGAAGGCGAGGAAGAGCTGGACTGGCTCTACAACGAGAAGTACGTGCTTCTACTGTTGGTGCCCGTGCGAGAGGAGGATGCTGAAGCGCTGATGCTCTGTCCAGATACTGTTGGTGCTGAACGTGTGTGAAGAACGCCACCGAATTACATACAGAACGGTCCTCATGTAGAAGTACAAGGCGATTACACGACGGGTATCGATAAGTAGACACTAGCGTACGATAAGACGTGAATCAAGAGCGACTCTGGACCCAAGAAATGTGTACACGGTCGGGGTATTTCGGTATGGAAATGAGGAGATATCGTACGAGGTATTTACAGAACCTGCGGAACGAAGGGTTTACCAGACTCCCGGAGCGCGGCCTCGACGACCTCCATGCCCGCCAGAGCCTTCTCCTCCTCGAAGCGTCCGGCGACGACTTGTACTGACAGCGGCAGACCGTCCATGGCCTCGGCGTCATAGATCTCGTGCACCTGGCGGGCGACATCGCTCAGCCGCGATACTTGTCGCTCTTCTTGAAGTCTGCAGTATAACTATCCCGGGCCTTGTCGACCCGGCCACTGGTAGTACACCCGCAGCGTAGTCGAGCTACATAGCGGGATGCGAACATCAGCCAGGAGTCGCGCCGGCGCCCACATACCGCGAACTCGTGACACGCACCACGTTGTACAGGAAGGAGTAGTTCGCCGACACTAGCGTGGCCTTGTCGCTCACCTCCGGCTCGATCGGCATGGCGGGGAGCGCGTGCACCGGGGTGAGCACGAAGTCGAGCCCCTCGCGCCGCCACGCGTCGTGCCACCGCGCACGATACGCGTCGCGCTGCAAGACGAGCCCGTGCTCCTCCAGCGCCGAGCGGGGGTGAAAGCACGCGAGCAGGTCCGCCACGCGTCGTTGCGCCCTTTCGGGGTCGACCACCAGCGCAGGAAGGAGGCTTGCAGACGCTTGAGCCACAGAGGCAAGCGGAGGATCGTCCGGACCGTGCGTAAGGCTGGTGAGATGGACTCCCCAGTTCGCAAGGGTATGAACGCGGAGGCGCCTGTGGCGTCGTGAGTGCGCGTGAGAAGGGAGCGGGCTCGGGCGGGGGCACGGACCTCCATCAGCGAACATGAGCTGGTAACCGATCTTGAGCCCTTCAAGCGGACTAGGGGGATGGCTGCCGAGTGAATGCAGTGGCACGGTGAGCGGCGAGATGCGGCGGCGGCGGAGGAAGAAGCGTACAATGACACGACCTCGTGACCCTGCTTCCTGAGCGCGTCGGCGACCTCAGCGAGTGCACGCGCATTCGCCGGTGTGGGTGGAATGACACCTGGGGAGGTGATCAGTCCTTGAAGCGTGCTAAATGTTTGGAAAACCTTACCATCGTCCATAATCAGCCCGAACTTCAATTTCTGGCCCGAGGTCACGTAATCAGAAGGCCGCCATGTCAGAGGCACGCACTAGTGGAGAAGGGCTAGAAGCGTGAGCGGCGCAGACACAATGAACGCCACTAATTCGACGCACGGTATGGTCATACTCCCACGGACGCATGCGAACTATGCGTTCCCAGAAGTCACGCAGGTCCGAGAGTGAACGGGCGAGCGGAGCAGTGATCGTTGGGACGGCGTCCAGTCCTGGAAGGCATCCGAGGGAACCATCGTTTGGGAAACGACCTGCGGAGCCCTTGACAGCGTAAAGGCCGCAAAATGCGGCAGGGTAGCGTGAACTGCCGCCAAGGTCGGTGCCGACTTCGATGAGACTGCCCTGCCAGGCTAACAGAGCGGCGCCCCCGCCCGTGGACGCGCCGGGGGAGAATGCGGGGTTGAAGGGATTGGTAGTGCGTCCGAAGAGGTCGGAGCTTGTCTCGAATGAGAGACAGGCAGTGGGGAGGGTGGTCTTCACATAAACGAGTGCGCCGGCATCGCGGAGAAGGCGGAGGAGAGGGGCGGATTGGAGGGCAGGGTGACCGACACGAGATGAGAAACCCACGGTGGTGTCGTGTCCAGCAACGTCAAAACACTCCTTGATACTGACGGGGACACCGAGAAGAGGTAGTTCTGAAGTGGCCGGTGGTATGGACGCGTTCTCTGCCGCTTCGTCAAGAAAGATGTCGGCAAGACAGTTGGTAGCATTGTGAGCTCCGAGAGCCCGCTTGCCGTATGCTTCAAGGACATCCAAAGGAGTGAATCCGTCCGCGCTCCCGCAGGTGGAAACAAGCTCGGCAAGTGAGAGGTCGAGGATGGAGGAGTCGGCGGCGGAGAGGGCAGTCCGATAGATCGCAGGAGTAGAGTCAAACTTCTGGCGCAACTCCTCTTGCTTCCGTGCACTGGATAGAATGATTGAGTAAGTAGGTTTAAGGTGAATGACGACCATGCATGGGACCTGTTTCACGCCCCGCCCTTGGTACGGCGGCGTATATGCGCGGACCCTGCCTCTCCTCGGACCGCCCACGGTGAGCCGCGGCTTGCGCATCTCGGGAATGGAGGAGGATAGAGGGTGCGACGCGCAAGACTGCATGTGGCAGACATACCGCTTGGCGCAGTGTACGCCTTGAATCAACACCCTCTAGTACCCTCCACGTACGTGTCCCCTCACATGGCCCCCTAGTGCACTGCGGGGGGACAAAGGTGTATGGGCAAGTCTGTGATGATGCAGAACGGAAGTAGGGCAGCGAGCTTGGCGTCGAGGAATTCCACGTGCGCACATGGAGTTGCGCCGTGGGAGGGCGCGCAGCGCAAATGGCGTGGAAGAAGCGAGGGCAGGAGAGGACTGACCAGTCTGCACGGTGCGTGAAATAGGAAGACATGAGCGCGCTGCGCGCGGTCGAATGCGGTGGTGTAGGGAGAAGCGAGCAGAAGGGAGGGCGGGGAGAGAGGCAGACTTCATGAGGGGGGCAGCGCGGGGGGAATAAGTGCGCGGGGCATTAGCGCCAGTCTAAGGACGACGTCCTGGGCGCTGGCGCGGGGCCCAGAAGTCTTGCTGTCGTTCCCATCTTGGGCGCGGTGCCCATGCGCTGTCGGGCAGGCGGTCGACGCTGTTCCCCGCCCTCCGTGTTCGCCACCGCGAGAGCCGCGTTTGTCTGCTGTGCGCCGTGTCTGCCATGCACCGTTTGCTATTTCTGCCCGCGGAGAATGCGGCCCGTTGGACATCGTCATAAGTATCAATCGACACGGTGATCTCCGCGCCAGTCGGGTTCGCCACCGTTTCTTTTCTTTTTTGGTGGAATGTCTTGCTTCTTCAGCGCCTGTGATGGGTACGCTGGTCGCCGCCTCGAGGGGATCTCAACGTTCAACCCCGGATGGAATGCGTTACGCACTCAGTGTGGGACACTCGGAGGGCATTATCCGAGTCCAATATTGTCAGTGGGATCCTCAGCACACCCAGTCTTCCAAGTGCCAGGCCACACATCACGAAACTTGCGGTCGGACGATCCCGCACGGTCACGGGGACGGACGCAGATCAGAGTGTGACCTAACGGCACCAGGCGTGATCATGCAGACTGCCTTAGAGCGACAAATGATCATACATTCGACGGAGAGACGCGTTGAGGTCTAATGCCGTCGAGAGGACAGACAATGATCGCGCAGACAGGCTTATGGTCGACCATGGTCTGACGGCAGGGGTGTAATTGTCACCATGGTCTGATGACACGTCCGGCCCGGCAGCAGTCGTCCGACCGAGCAAGACCTGACACAGACTGAAAGATGACGATGCGCGACCTTTTGGAGATCTGCAGTTGACCGTGCACCGACCGCGGAAGCAAAGCAAACACCTGCAGGGAAAAAGGCAGGCGATGAGCTCGTCCGCTTCATTGTATGAGACAACTTGTGTCTCGTCGCTTTGTATTAAGTAGTTCGGAGTTGTGCACTTGATGTGCGCGGCCATGCGGGCCTCATATGCAAACTTCCCCCATACACTCTTCCTGTTCCACTGTCTGTGTCCCTGTCACTGGATAAACACTCTAGATGTTCATAGATAGCACTAGAACTATTAAGAACATGCTGGATGAGGTCATATGGCTTTTATTATTATTATTATTCTCAACCTATCCCCGTGTGACACAAAGGGTGCACATGTAACTACACGGCTAAGGTAGTATCCCGCGTTCGTTTGACGCCCGCGTGGGCACGGGACCACGCCCGAAGGCAGCTGCGGAACTACGACGTCATCAGGCCGAGGGCGCCTGGCACCCCCTGAGTGTAGCGCGCGTTTGCCCGAAACTAAAGTCCACCGAGAAAAAGTCCGTGCGCTTCTTGGCCGCCACACTCACCCCGCTCGGGCTACTCATACTAGAACCGGCCTCATCAGGCGCCGGAGGCTGCATCTCGCGTTCCGGGGGGGCTCGCGCTTGGGACCAGGTCACGCGCCCGTTGGGGCGCGCTCCTTGGGCGAGCGAGGTTTGGGTGCCCGCGCGTCGTTCTTCGGCCGACGGCGGGGGCAGGTGGGGGAGTAGGCGGGATGCGCGCCTGCGCAAACCACGCACTTCGCCACGTGGACGGTGGGACCCGGGCGCTTTGCGAGCGCCTCGTGGTGGTGGGTGTGGTGCGACCCGGCGCAGAAGCCGCACGCGGGGGCCGCGCGGCACCGGACGGCCGCGTGCCCGAACTGCTGGCAGTTCGAGCACTGGAGGGGGCGGTCGGGCACACGCGCGAGGATGCACGCGCGCGGGCCGATGTCGAAGAGAAGCCGCGACCCGTTGAGGGCGCGCAGCGTCTTGAAGTCCTCGTCGTCGACGACGTCGACGAAGAGGGTAGCGGTGGTGGCGTCCATGGCGTGGGGGCCCCAGCGGACGGAGGTGATGGTGTCGGGGAGAGTCGCGCGGCCGTCGGACCACGCGGTGTCGCCGGAGCGATGGACTGCGTCCCGGAGGACGTCGAAGGGCAAGAGGGCGACGGGAGCGCCGGCGTCGTCGAGTGCGGAGCACTCGACGTGGTGGTAGAGGACCGAGGCCCGGTTGACGTACCTTGACGCGCGCAAGGGTGTTGGCGCGCTGAGGAGACGACCGAGCTGGTCGGCGAGGGCGGTGGCCTGGGCCTCCCAGGACACGGGGGCGTCACGGGGGCGGCCGCGGGTACGATCGTCCACCGCGTGCGCGCGGGGTTGGAGGAGAGTCGGTCGATCTTGAAATCGACCATCCGGCGGAGTACGTCGAGGCACTTGGCGTCGCTCGACGACACGGGGGCATGGGTGAGGTCGTGGGCGGCGTGGAGGTAGACCAGCCGGGCGGACCCGGCCGGGCGGCGGCGGCGAAGCGCGGCCAGCGTGTTTTGAAGTGCCGTCGGCGCGGCCTTAGCCGGGGCGACGGGAGCAGTGGCGGGGGGCGGGACAGGAGCCGTGGGAGCGGCGGCTGCCACGGGGCACGCGACGAAACCCTTGCGGGCCGTGCCGGTTACCCCCTTCCCCTTCCTCTTGGCGCCGGCGCGTGCAACCGTCGCCCATGTGGGCTCAGGGACGCTGGCCGTGGCCGCGGGGCCGGGGGCAGGCTGGGTCGGGGCCCCAAAGGGCCTGGCTGGGAGGGCCGCGACGCCGGTGGGCGCAGCAGGCGTGGGAGCGGGGGGCACGGGGGCGACCACGGGGGCAGCCTCGAGGACGGGGGCAGGCGGGGGGAGGCCGGAGGCGCCGCCTGGAGGAGGGGGGCGGGGAGGGGTGTGGGGGAGGGTGCGTCGGCCGGGGTGGTGTCCATGGCGTCAGCCACGTTGGCAGTAGGTGTGGGGGTGGGGGCGGTCGCCGCAGGGGTGAGCTCGCGGTGGTGGACGTTGGCCTCGCGGATGGCCTCACCGACCACTTCGCACAGCGTGCCGTACGTCGTGGTGATGGCGTTGAAGGCCCCGTTCGAGTACTTGGACCCGAATGAGGCGAGGCGGGAGTCGTAGTCGGCCGCGGCCGCGTCGACGTAGGGCCCTGTGAACCCACCAACCCGGAGGATGGTGCGAGCCAGGTAGCGGAGGAGGTTGGGGAGCTGCCGCTCTTCGACGAGCGCGGCAGCGATGTCGGTGGAGGTGGCGCCACAGAGCTCACCGTCTTCGTCCTCCCAGGTCGTGTATTCGTCGACCGGGGTGGTGGCTTTCTTTTTGCCCTTACCTTTCTTGGGGTAGGGCGACATCGTACGGGGGTAGGGTAGGGTGGGGATTGGTGGTAGACGCTGGAGGAGATGGTGGTGGTACGAGGTCAAGGTGGATTTTGGATGAGGTCATATGGCTGCGTGGGTCTTTGGCACAACGCACGTCTAACCCACGTGACCGTGGCCCTGGGCGTTTCAAAAACACCAAAGCGCAAACTTCCTCATGCACATGTCTTCCTCTCCCTTCCACCAGTACCACCATCTCCCACACTCGCGTGATCAGCTCCAACACAGCTCGCTGTATAGCCCAGCCCGTATCGTCGTGACTTGCCCTGCCGAGTCTACTCGCTCACTATGATCAGGCTCCCCGTTGGATGCTTCCAGGGACCCGACACCCCGCCAATGCTAAACAGAGCACTTCTGAAGCCTTGGTACGTGATAATGCATCATTTTATGCGCATATATCCACTCCCTCGACCGCAGGTCACGCGGTCTAAGCCCAAAATCAAGCAGGAGTCGCCCGTTATCGTCATATTGACTCCGACCTGTTGCTGCTGATGCTCTGTAAGTATCTGCCTGCTATATGCGCACTCAATTTACACCCGCATGTATGCATTTCCTTCTAGCACAAAATTTCCGACACTCACAGATTCTCCAGAAGCCCCTGTCGGGTAACAGTGGGTGTGTACGAATTCCTTCTGTATTTGACCCGAGGCGAATTACGACAGGACCCCGCAAGCTCACGGTATGTACAGCACTTTATTGCCCCTTTCCTCGTCTAACGTCCATGCAACAATGTGCAGGCCCACGGGGGACGCGGCGTGTGAACGGCGCAACGAACCCGATCTTGCGCGTGAAGGGCCTGGTCGACTCCGTCCTGACGTTCGAAATCGAGATGTCCTGGATGAGCGAAGACGGGTGCGTCCATCTCTCTCTTCCGTCTCATGCGATATGTGCCGACCACTTTCCCCCACCCCCATTGCTGTCGATGCGGCGGACTACTCGCTCTCCAAGGGCAACCTCAACGTCGCGCTGCAGGCGACGACTATTAGCTGCTCTTCATCGACTCCGCGCACGGCATCCTGTACAGCACGTCCTCCACTCCCATCTCATTGCATATCTCCGGTAGCTGGTCGTCATGGTGGATCTTATCATATGCCGCAGGTATTCGTGCGTCTCTGTTCAGTGTTGTCGTTGTGATGTATGTTGTGTCGTCAGACGTCATTGTAATATACACTCTAGTTAATGGTACAATAATAATTCTGTCTCTCCGATTTATGTCGTTTGAATGGCTCCATATGTATGCTCAAGCTGTCCATACCGTGTGCTCGGTCCGATCAGTGTCGACCAAATGGCTGTGGCCGTTCGACCGAGCATGACCAGAAGCTCCGCGAAGTCTGACCATGCTCGACCATACTGCCCTGCCTGTCAGCTCATAGACGGCCCGGGACCCCCGTGAAGTAGACCTGGCGGGATCAAACCAGCCTTGCAATAAGACCATCCGAGATCCCTCTCCCACTGACCACTGATCATACTTGCTCATGCTCGATGATATTTGGTCGTTATTCGTCACAAGAAGGCCGGGCAGACAACTGATGATCTCGCAGACTTATTTCGATCTCGCATGCTCCGCTTATGATCCTCTCACCGCCATTTTCGTGATGCATTGCGCGCTTGCACTGGCGCGTACCTGCATTCGGTCGAGGCCGAGCCTCCTCTCGCGTAGTACATACCATCTGTACCTCAAGTTTTCCTTTGCGATTGCCCGCTCGGTCTCCATATGAGGTTATCGCCCGTCTTTAGTGTTGTTCTCCTTGGCCCTTCGCCACCCCTGGCCGCCCGCCGACGTCGGTATCAGTCAACAGGGCAATATCTTTCTTCCACCGATGACGATAAGCCTCCACCTCTGCCTCAACCATTCTCTCTCAGTTTAAGTGTTCGTGGAAATGCCACGCTCCGGATCGAGTCCTCCTCACCCCCCTCTCACGCGCCGTTCCCATTCGAATCATGCTCCGCATTGGCGTAGATGTCGGGGGTACGCAACCTTTCCTATCCCCGATACCGGAGCACTCACCCGAGCATGAACTGCAGGAACCAACACGGACGGCGTCCTTATCGATGTCACCCGGCTCCATGAACCAGGCCGAGGCGTTCTCTCGCATTACAAGGCTCCCACCACCTCCGACGTCTCCAAGGGCATCGAAAACGCCGTCCGCGAGGTTCTCAAGCTAGCCTCCGTCTCTCCCTCGGAGGTCGCCTCCGTCAGCATCGGCACAACTGCATTCATCAACGCCGTTCTTGAGGCCGATGCTCGCCGGCTCTCCAAGGTCGCCGTCATCCGTCTCTGCGGTCCCTACACGCGTCAATGCCCTCCATTCATCGACTTCCCGAAGCCTCTGCGGGTTCTCACAGAAGGGCACGTTGGATATATTGATGGTGGCTTCGAAAGTGCGCATATAACCTGTTCCTGTCATCTGTTATGCGTTGACAGGGTTTACAGTTGACGGCAAGGAGATCCGCGCTCCCCAAGAAGCACAGGTGGTTGAGCAATGCGCTATCATCAAGCAAAAAGGTCTCAAGAATGTGAGTTGAGATGCATTCTATCTCTTTTCCGTGACACCCATGTCCTGGTGCCCAGGTCGTTTTGACCGGCATATACTCTACCCTCGACAACGAAGACAAACACGAAGGGCGCGTGCGCGACATCATTGTCCGCGAACTCGGTCCCTCGGTGAACGTTGTCTGCTCCAAAGAAGTCGGCCAAGTCGGCCTGCTCGAGCGCGAGAACGCTTCCATCCTCAACGCCTCCATCCTCACATTCGCTCAACGCACCATCCGCGGCTTCCAGAATGCGATGCGCACCCTCGAACTCACTTGTCCCCTCTTCCTCACACAAAACGACGGCACCCTCACCACCGCCGCTTCCGCCGCCCGCCTCCCCATCCGCACATTCGCATCGGGGCCCACTAACTCCATGCGCGGCGCTGCCTTTCTTGCCGGCCTCGACGACCGCACACGCGGCTCATCGGAAGTCGAGAAGGGCAAGTCGACCATCGTCGTTGACGTCGGTGGGACGACCTCCGACGTCGGCGTGTTGCTCCCTTCCGGGTTCCCGCGCCAAGCAGCCTCTTACATCGAGGTGGGCGGGGTGCGGACGAACTTCGCGATGGCGGACGTGCAGTCGATAGCACTGGGCGGCGGCTCGGTCGTTCACGCCGCGGAGGACGGGAAGGTCTCTGTAGGCCCCGAGTCGGTCGGATATAACCTCACCCGCGACGCTCGGGTGTTTGGAGGCAAGGTGCTCACCACTACCGATCTCATCGTGGCTAGCGGACGCGCGGAACTGGGGGACAAGTCTCTCGTAGGCGATGTCGGCGCGGACACCATCGAGCGGGGTATGCAGCGTATCAAGAAGCTCCTTGAGGGTATTATTGACAAGTGCGTCTATTTTCGGTTCGGACGAGTACATGCGCTGAATTGGTACCGCAGGATGAAGACCTCTCCCGAAGACATCACGGTCCTCCTCGTCGGAGGTGGCAGTATCATCTCCCCTGACGAACTCGCTGGCGTCAGCCAGATCATCCGACCTCCCTTCTTCGGCGTCGCTAACGCCGTCGGTGCCGCTATGGCGAAAGGTGCGTGAGCTCGTTGCCCAGAAAGAATCCAACAGCCCCTGATCACCGTCGCAGTTGCTGGCGAGGTTGACACCATTGAGATTCTCGCCGGTCGTGACATCCACACTGTGATCGAGGGGATCAAAGCTCGGGCCATCCAGAAGGCCGTTGCAGCGGGCGCGGACCCCGCCTCGACGCGCATCGTGGAGCTTGCGAACATCCCGGTCCAGTACGTTGTCAACCAAGCGACGCGAATCATGGTCAAGGCCGCCGGCGATCTCGCCCCTCAAGCGGTTGCCTCTGTCGACGCCGAGAATGAAGCACTGGTCGATGAGCCAGAAGTCGTCGAAGCCGAGAAGGCATTGACCAACGAAGCGGAAGCGGCGGAAGGGAGTGGGTTGGGAGCTGAGGTTGTCGATATCGACAACTACAAGCCTGTCATCTTGCCGAACAGGCAGTGGGCTCTCTCGGAGATCGATTTGGGTCAGTCCCATTCTTGAATGTTGAGAGCCGGTATGCTGACTGCTGGAGTAGAGTGGATCGCGGAGGGTTGTGCCATCCTTGGAACGGGTGGAGGGGGCTCGTCTTACCCACCTTTTTTGATGGCCAGACAGGCCCTTCGCGACGGCAAGCAGCTCATCGTCGTCGACCCTGAGGATGTTCAGGAAGACGAGCTGTTTATTCGCTGCGGCTTTATGGTCAGCAGTTTCCTTCAAGTTTGCTTGGATTTTTACTCAGGGGTTTTCACAGGGGTCCCCTTCCGTTTCTGTAAGCATCTTCAAGGGGCTTTCACCTCACGAGCTCACGTCTATTCTAGCTGGAGCGGATCCAGGGAGGCGACGAGATTCCCGGCGCCGCTCGCGCGCTCGTGAAGTTCATGGGAGTGCCAGATTACATGGGCTTCATCTCCAATGAGATCGGGGGTGGGAACGGCGTTCAGCCCTTCCTCGTTGCCGCCGAGACGGGCAAGTTTGTTCTTGACTGTGATCTTATGGGTCGCGCGTATCCCAGGGTATGTGTCGTCAATCACCTTTTCGGTGCTTCTCAGTCTGACTGTATATGTTTCTCCGGTGCAGATGTACCAGAAGTGAGTGTCATATGCTCTGCGCGGCTGGAACATGTGGGGTCTTACTTGCCGTCATCGAATCCAGGTTGCCGGGTGTCTACGGGCTTCCCAACAGCCTTTGGCCGTGTGCTATATCTGACGGCATCGGAAGCACCATTGCAAGTGTCTCCTTGCTCGACACAGGCGATAAGCTTGCTCACATCTGCTCGCAACTAGGTCTTGCCATCGGCCCGGAACATGTTTGAGGTCGAGACCATACTGCGCGCAGCGACGACGGAGATGGGCTCGAAGTCGGGTGTTGCCGGCGCGCCTCTCCCCCGCAAGACTCTCCATGCGTACGGCGTCCCACACAGCGTCTCTCAGGCGTGGCGCATCGGTCGCGCGGTCGCACGCTGCCGGCGCAACAACGACCTCCAAGGCATCCCCCGCGCCATCCTCGAGCTCCAGAACGGCGCGTGCTTGTTCATAGGAAAGGTCGTCGACGTGCAGCGCGAGGTTCGCAAGGGTTTCACGTGGGGAGAGGTGACCATCGCGCCCCTTCTGGAGGACGAGGAAGAGGAGGGGAATGCGCCGAAAGCGAGCATCCCCGCGGGCCCTGAGGATAGGCTTGTCATCCCCTTCCAGAACGAGAACATCTACGCTTATATCAAGTCGCCGTCGGGGGAGAAGAAGGTACGTCCACCACGTGTTCCTCTTGGTGGGGAAGCGTACTTACCGGGTGTGCGGTGCAGATCTACACGACCGTGCCGGATCTCATCACCGTGCTCGATTCGCAGAACGGCGCGGCGCTGGGTACTCCCGAGTACCGGTACGGTTTGCGCGTCACCGTCATGGCACTTGCAGGCCACCCGCTCTGGACCACGAAGGAGGGTCTCTTCGCGGGCGGACCCGAGGCGTTTGGGTCAGCCTCATATTCGTTCTCTCCTGCAACGTGGTCCTAACGTCGTGCTCTAGTCTTGGTGATATGCCCTTCACAGCGATCGCGTCTTACAAGGACCCCGTCAGCGTGATCAAGGAGTACGGTCCCGTATGAGGCCGAGATGAGGAACGTTGTCGGAAGAAGTGGTAATCTAGACCAGATTGTCTTTTGTACTGTTAATGGAAGTCAGAGGTGTATGCTGCAGCTCTGTACACATGCGTCAACGTCAGCGGACGAGACTGGCGTTCAAACGTTCATGAACGTTCGTCCCATCTGGGCGCTGGCGATGACACCCGACCCGGCCGAGACCACCTGTACCTCACAAGATCAGAGTCAATTGATCTGTGATCACCCCCCCGGGGTGATTCCACTTTCGGTAACTGCAAACGTCTCTAAGCCTGCGAACTGTAGTGCTAGGCTCGATCATCCAGCCGTCATCGTCGTAACCTCCTCTAACGGCTGGTCAAACTCGTAGGGGAGCCTCGCAGGAGACCCATAAAAGGCAATCACGTGATGGGGATGCCCTCCCTTCGCTCCACTCCCCCGCCCAAACGGGCTTGTTGGGGTACGCCGCCCTCCTGTGCGCGAGCTCGCGCGCGAGCCCCCGCGGTGCGCGCGCGCGGCCGGTCGCGCATAGGCGTCTCGGGTCTGTCGCCCGCGATGCTCGACTCTCTCTCCTGTGTCGCGTTTACAATACCCCACTCTCCAGCCAGGTCTGGAAGCTCTCTGCTCTCTGAAATCTCGGGAGCTGCCAGGGAACACTGCTCCTCACCCATGAGTCTGCCCAACGTTTCTGGTTTACAAGGGTCGACCTCGCACACCCACTTCGGATGCCCGTGCCGCTGTCGGCGCATTCCACGGCTGTCCGCACAGTACCTAGATCATTGTACATTGAATTTTAACAGAGAAGCTACTGTACTTTAAGCTGTTTCATTATTTGATTGCCACATCTCCTGGACCCGTCACCCGGAGAGCAAGTTGAGCATCGCAGATTCGCATGTGCAGGAGCGGCAGATACAAGTTCACAACGGGCCCGCGAGACGCCTATGCGCGACCGGCCGCGCGCGCGCACCGCGGGGGCTCGCGCGCGAGCTCGCGCACAGGGCTTGGGGAGGGCGGCGTACCCCAACAAGCCCGTTTGGGCGGGGGAGTGGAGCGAAGGGAGGGCATCCCCATCACGTGATTGCCTTTTATGGGTCTCCTGCGAGGCTCCCCTACGAGTTTGACCAGCCGTTAGAGGAGGTCACGACGAGAACGGCTGGATGATCGAGCCTACTGTAGTGCCTCTACGGATATCGACGAAGATACCTTGTAGGGAAACGTTAGAACGCAGGCACATGCCCAAGTCCCCGCCCCCTTCCCCGACGTCCCCGAGGGCTCGGCCCAGCCGTCCTCCGCGCTTCCCCGGCACGCGTGAGCAGATTCCCGCGCCGCGCCGCCGCCCGCCCTTGATGGCCCCGGTATATCCGGACGCTGCGCGCCACCGGGTCTCCGCCGGCGCCTCGCCCCTCCGCCACCCGTGCTCGCCGCCCCCAACAGCGAGCTCGCTGTTCCTGCACCCTGCCTGCCTCTCCCCTCCGTTTCCCTCCGTTTTTTTTGGTACCTGCTTGTATTTTAAATGCGCACCTAATGATACACAATGCAATAGCTACAGTTGGCTGGGTGTGCCTGCACTGAGCCCTTAAATCCCCCAAAATGCGTGCAACATAGGAACATATAGAAGCAGTCAATCGATGGGATAAGTTCTGCATAAGTTAGCTGTATATGAGAGCCTCTGTAATCTGCACTTGCAGGTGAATAGCTGAAGGGGTGAAGGCATGATGTCATATGTTATTTCAGAATGACATACTCCACAGTGATATGGCATACACATTTATCGTCTTATGTACACCTAGAATAGTTCCTAGAGGACATTCAGAGTGTATTGCAAAAGACAGCAAGTCAAAGTACGATGTTCTAATGAAGATATGACATATACTCAAAAGGGGGAGTTGGCTTGAAAATGCGGTCTTCATATGTTTTTGTGCAGACCTCCGATCACTGTACATCTTGTTGCATCATGTTTACATGTATGTGCAGAGCTCAGATCGTTGTTTTGGTGCTTATCGGTGAAGGACTGAATACAGGCCATGGTATGTCATTTTTCTATGACATAACGTATAGTGAGATAGCATGTGCTCCGATTGTTATTCTGAAAAGCGGAATAGAACAGGGTACTCTGCTGCTCAACGATGCAGAAGAAATCTCGAGAAAAGGTTCAGGAGTGGCTGAGATATGGCAGATGAGCTTGAAGGGTGCACAGTGTTGAAGGTGGTTCAAGGGCGTCCTCTGGACAACTTGCCCTTCTAGACCCATATGCCATATCTCAGCCACTCCTGAACCTTTTCTCGAGATTTCTTCTGCATCGTTGAGCAGCAGAGTACCCTGTTCTATTCCGCTTTTCAGAATAACAATCGGAGCACATGCTATCTCACTATACGTTATGTCATAGAAAAATGACATACCATGGCCTGTATTCAGTCCTTCACCGATAAGCACCAAAACAACGATCTGAGCTCTGCACATACATGTAAACATGATGCAACAAGATGTACAGTGATCGGAGGTCTGCACAAAAACATATGAAGACCGCATTTTCAAGCCAACTCCCCCTTTTGAGTATATGTCATATCTTCATTAGAACATCGTACTTTGACTTGCTGTCTTTTGCAATACACTCTGAATGTCCTCTAGGAACTATTCTAGGTGTACATAAGACGATAAATGTGTATGCCATATCACTGTGGAGTATGTCATTCTGAAATAACATATGACATCATGCCTTCACCCCTTCAGCTATTCACCTGCAAGTGCAGATTACAGAGGCTCTCATATACAGCTAACTTATGCAGAACTTATCCCATCGATTGACTGCTTCTATATGTTCCTATGTTGCACGCATTTTGGGGGATTTAAGGGCTCAGTGCAGGCACACCCAGCCAACTGTAGCTATTGCATTGTGTATCATTAGGTGCGCATTTAAAATACAAGCAGGTACCAAAAAAAACGGAGGGAAACGGAGGGGAGAGGCAGGCAGGGTGCAGGAACAGCGAGCTCGCTGTTGGGGGCGGCGAGCACGGGTGGCGGAGGGGCGAGGCGCCGGCGGAGACCCGGTGGCGCGCAGCGTCCGGATATACCGGGGCCATCAAGGGCGGGCGGCGGCGCGGCGCGGGAATCTGCTCACGCGTGCCGGGGAAGCGCGGAGGACGGCTGGGCCGAGCCCTCGGGGACGTCGGGGAAGGGGGCGGGGACTTGGGCATGTGCCTGCGTTCTAACGTTTCCCTACAAGGTATCTTCGTCGATATCCGTAGAGGCACTACAGTTCGCAGGCTTAGAGACGTTTGCAGTTACCGAAAGTGGAATCACCCCGGGGGGGTGATCACAGATCAATTGACTCTGATCTTGTGAGGTACAGGTGGCCGAGACAAGCAGCCTGACCTCGCTTAAACCGCGCCCGAAGTGTTGATTCAGCGCCTGCTGGCTCGCCATCATAAGTAGTTTATCTGCGCAGATGGGTTGCTTTGTGACCGTCATGGTAGGCCTCCGCGGTGTCGTCGCCGCATCCCTCGTTGGCCTCCTGCTCTCGGCCGTCGGTGCAAGCGCGGAACCTAGCGTGGACGGCCTCTATGCACTGGCCAAGAGGCGCCTGCCGCTTCACGCTCACGCGTTCACCTTCCACCTCACCGACGGCGAGGGCGACACGTTCGTCGTGTCCGACGCGTCCCATGGCGGCGTCAAAGTAGAATGCACGTCTGTGTCTGGCTGCGCGCGCGGCCTCTACACGTATGTCGCGCTTCAATCTCACGAAACGTGCCGTACTCACCCCTTCTCAGCTACCTCACCCAGGTTGGAGGCACAGATATCTGGTGGACGGGCTCACGTCTCGACAACCTCCCGCTCGTGCTGCCGAAGGTCGGAAAGCCTATCAAGGGACAGTCTATCGTGCCCTATCGGTCGGTCTGCTCGGCTGCGTGATACTGTCGGGGCACTGACTTTCTCCCAGGTACCACTTCAACACAGTCACGTTCAGCTACACGACGGCGTTCTGGGACTTCGAACAATGGGAGCTCGAGCTGGACTGGCTCGCTCTCCGTGGCGTGAACATCCCGCTCGCCTGGGTCGGCTACGAGTACATCCTCGCAGAAACCTTCCGCGACGTTGGACTCACTGACGCGAACATTGCGACGTTCCTCTCCGGGCCCGCCTTCCAGGCGTGGAACAGGTTCGGCAACCTCCAGGGCAGCTGGGGTGGGGACCTCCCCACCCAGTGGATCGAGGATCAGTTCGCTCTCCAGAAGAAGCTTGTCGCGCGCATGGTCGAGCTCGGCATGACGCCTGTCCTGCCGTCGTTCACCGGGTTCGTGCCCCGCGCGCTCGCAGACCTCTACCCGAACGCATCCATTATCATCGGCGACCAGTGGTCCGGCTTCCCGTCATCCCTCACGAACGACTCGTTCCTCGAGCCCTTCGACGACCTCTTCGCGAGCATGCAGAAAACCTTCATTTCCAAGCAACGCGACGCGTACGGCGACATCTCGCACATCTACACCCTGGACCAGTACAACGAGATCAACCCCTTCAGCGGCGATCTGGAGTACCTCCGGAACGTGACTGCAAACACGTTCGCCTCCCTTCAGGCCGCGGATCCCGAGGCGGTGTGGCTCATGCAAGGGTGGCTCTTCTTTTCCTCCTCTTCGTTCTGGACCACGGACCGCATCGAAGCCTACCTCTCCGGCGTCCCCGGAAAGGAGAGCATGATCATCCTCGACCTCTACTCCGAAGCGCAGCCGCAGTGGGAACGTACGTCGTCCTACTTCGGCAAGCAGTGGGTCTGGTGCGAGCTCCACGACTACGGCGGCAACATGGGCCTCGAGGGAAACCTCTCCGCGCTCACCACGGGCCCGATCGCAGCTCTGGCCTCCAACGGCAGCAGCATGGCCGGCATCGGGCTCACGATGGAGGGCCAGGAGGGCAACGAGCTCGTGTACGACATCCTCCTCGACCAGGCGTGGTCCGCGGCCCCGCTCGACCCCGCGGCGTACGTCGACGCGTGGGTCGCGCGCCGCTACGGCCCCGGCGCGGTCCCCGCCGCCGCGCGCGACGCGTGGCGCACGCTCGCCGCGACGGTGTACAACAACGCGGACCCGAGCTCGCAGGCGACGGTCAAGAGCATCTTCGAGCTCGCGCCCGCGCTCACCGGCCTGACCGGCCGCGGCGGGCACCACCCGACCGCGATCCCGTACGACACGAACGCGACGATCGTGCCCGCGCTGGCGGGCCTCCTCGCCGCCCGTGCCGCGCACCCGCGCCTCGCGGCGGTCCCGGAGTTCCAGCGGGACGTCGTCGACGTCGCGCGCCAGCTGCTCGCGAACCGGTTCGTGGACCACTACAACGTGCTGGTCGGCGCGTTCGGCTCGAGCGGCGCGGACGCGGGCGCGGTGCGCGCGGCGGGCGCGACGCTGCTCGACCTCCTCGCGGACCTCGACGCGCTGCTGTACACGGACGAGAACTTCCTGCTGAGCACGTGGATCGCGGACGCGCGCGCGTGGGCGGGGCGGGACGCGGCGTACGCGGCGTACCTCGAGTACAACGCGCGGAACCAGATCACGCTGTGGGGCCCGGACGGGGAGATCGACGACTACGCGTCGAAGGCGTGGGCGGGACTCGTGGGCACGTACTACGCTGTGCGCTGGGAGGCGTTCGTCGGGTACCTGGCGGAGGTGAAGGAGGCGGGCGCGGCGTACGACGCGGCGGCGGTGCTCGCGAAGAACATCGAGCTCGGGCGGGCGTGGAGCGAGGGACGTGGGGGACGGGCGAGGGGGAGAGCTGGGGCGTGAGGGGGAGCTCGTGGGCGATGGCGGAGAAGGTGATGCGGAAGTGGGCGTAGAGATGGGTTGCGCAGGATGCACGGGAGGTGGATGTAGACGTAGACACGGTGGTGAAGCGATTGGACGATCACGTGGTGAGCACACATTGTCAATGTCTTTGGAGTACTCTGTATTGATATATGGGTGAGTATTGGTAGTTCGATGACGTCTGCTCTGAGACCTGCCCTTATGTTCCATTACAGCAGATTGCATCCATCAATGCGGGCATCTTCGCACGATTGCATGGGCATTGGTGCACCCTGAAGTGCTAGAGGTGTGTCTTTTCCATGTTTTCTTCTGAGATCCAATTCCCGCAGCCGACGCCCGGCGGATCCGAGCAAATTCGCGCCCGAAGGCGAACTCGGAGGCCGCGGGCGAAGAGGGAACGCAAATCGCGTCGGTGCGTCGACTGTCATCGCGACCGCCTCCCCCTGCTCGGGTGCAATCTCTCCTTCTTCGTTTCGGACCTGCTCCCTCCTTCGTCCTCCATCGCCCTCGTTCAGCTACCAGGTTAGTGGTGACTAGCGACGGTGCTCCTGTCTCCTCTCGGTTTCTCAGTCGACCGTCACGGTGCACGCATCCACAGACCGCGTTATCGAACGCAAGCGCCGAAAGATAGCATTCGCCCTTTGCAACTTGCAATCCAACATATGGCGGCGGCGCGGAAACAATTCTCGCTGCGGCAACAAACCGTAGCTCCACTCGGATCATCAAGTTCTGGCCGTACTATGAGCGCGGACCCTGTCCACCCCAGCAGGCTTACGGACATGCGCTGTCTGCTCTCTTGAGCCGGCACTCAGCATGTTTTCATTCAACGCCAGGGATTGGCACTATCAGACAGCCGTCCTCCTATTGCGCGCTCGTACAGCGTTGTTTCCGACGTCCCATCATACTCCAAGCGAGCACATGGTCACTGTCCTCACTACCCGCTTCTGTGCACGATGCGAGCGTCTTGCCGCTGCTCGCTGCCAAGTGGAACGTAGGTGACCGAATTTAGACATTTACGACTCCGCACGATATACGCAAGACGCGCGGCTTCACGATATGTGACATCTAGTCATGAGAACGCTCCGTTCAGCCATTGAAAACTGTCCTCGGAACCGCGGTACGTCTCTATCCTTGCCACAGTGGTTCCGACTTACCCCGTATGTCCAACAGGTCACCTTCCACTTGTCATATGTTGGGGCATTCCATACGCTCGGCAGGATAACGTGCAAGTATAAGTGGACGGGACGCACAGCCCGAACACCTATCCCCCATTCCCTCTTGTTCCTCCAGTCGGTCGTTCTGGAAGATGTCGCCCGCCTTCCACAACCACCCTGCTCATACACCGCCTACGCCGTCCTCGAACCCGGCGGACAGTTGCAGAGGATCACCATCCCGTGGAAGTGGCCCCGCGCCGGCGAGTCGTCGTCAAGTGCTCGCGTGCGGCGTCTGTGCGACGTGAGTGCGCTCGCCTGCGGTCCAATTTGCCTGACTTCTCACTCGCCTCCGCCGCTGCCGCTGCCAGAGACGAGATCTGCGCGAAGCAATCATGCCGACCACGTTCCCGCGCATCCCCGGGCACGAGATGTCGGGGACGTCGTCGCGATCTCGTGCCAGGAGCGCCTCTGGCGCGTCGGCCAGCGCGTCGGTGCGGGCTGGCACGGGGGGCATTGCGGCGTGTGCGCGCGGTGCCGCGCGGGCGACTTCGTCACCTGCGAGCACCAGCTGTGTACTGGGATGACGCGGGACGGGGGTACGCCGAGTACGTGACCCTGCGGTCCGAGGCGGTCGTCGCGGTCCCGGAGGACATGGACCCGGCTGAGGCGGCGCCGATGTTGTGCGCTGGCGTGACGGCGTTCAGTGCGTTTGTGTTCGATGTTCGCTGGGGGATGCCGAGCTCACACGCCGCTGATAGACTCACTGCGCCATATGAACGTTATCTCGCCAGACATTGTTGCTGTGCAGGGGATCGGGTGAGTCTCTCTCGTCCACTAACTACAGGAGGGTTCCCTACTTTGGCACAGAGGCATCGGCCACCTCGCCATCCAGATTCGGCCGCGCTCGGCTTCCGCACGGTGGCTCTCTCGACCGATGGCGTCAAGGAACATGCCGCCCGCACACTCGGAGCGGACGACTTCATCCGCACGCGCACCGACGGCGATCTCGCCGACCAGGTCCTCCCGGAAGCGCACGCAGGACACGACCCGGTGGCGTCCCTCGTCGAGCGTGGCGGCGCCAAGTGATCATGGTCACCTCCCCCGACGTCGTCGCCACCGCGTCGCTCGTAGGCGCTCTGCCGTAGACGGCACTTTGCTCGTCCTCGCTGCCGAGACCGCCCCGATGCCCATTCCTCCCCGTGAGCCAGCGTCCCTTTGCTCCTCGCGGCACGCACGTACTCACCTCTGCTCACGTACAGTGGCCCTTCTCGTCAAGCGTCTCAGTGTGCGTGGCTGGGCGGTGGGCTCGCCCAAGGACACGGAGGATTGCTTCGCGCTCGCTCGCGCCAAGGGAATCAAGTGTTTTGTGGAGCGTTTCCCGCTGCACAAGGCTCCGGAGGCGTTCGAACGCTGCAAGACCGCACGCTTCCGGGCGGTTATAGTCCCTGGGAGTTCCCGGACAGGGCCAGACCATCGGCGATTGGTCCCAAGATGTCGCTCTGAGTTCATATACAGTTACGCACGAAGGTTTTGCCTTGAGAGAAGTTCGTTCTAGCCCGCGGCCTCTCGTTTCCCTTCTGTCCAAGCGGCTCGTAGGGTGTGACGTCATTGCAAGAGCTGCGTCTGGGGCCTCTGAGGCTGAAATCAATGCTATGATCTACAGCTTCTTCTCACGACGGCATTTTGTCCTTTGAAAACAAGCCTGTGCACGTCGCGTCTTTTGTCTGTCTGATGATGCCGTTATGCGCGTGTCCGACTGACTTTGGCTATTCAAATTTGATGCTTAGTCAGCAGCGCCGTGTAGATCGGAACGCTCCGCCTCCTTGAAACGATCCCGGAGGTGGACTGCCTCCCCGGGCTATCCCCGCAAATCCTTCCGTGCGCGATCCTGGAGAGTAGTGTTGCGATGGCTCGGCTTGGCTCGGCTTGGCTCGGCTCAGGACGGCTCCGAGAAAGCCAAAACTCGAGCCACGGCTGCGATTTCGGCTGTTATTACAAAGCCGAGGCCAAGCCGCCCAAGCCATCCATGAGCCGCCTTTTTCAATTGGCGCTGGCCGCACAACAAATATTCATGCTTTGTAGTGGAACAGAGCAACAGGAGGATGATAGGACTGCATTTTATATGTGCCGCGATGCACAGAATGTTTTAAGATTGTCAGGAGGACGATTGGACAAAGTCGACCAAACACCCATATTGCAGGCAAAACTCGAGTCGAGTCTCAGATCTCAGATCTGACGTCGAGTCCGATCAAGCGGGGTGCTTGATAACTACAAGTTACTTACACAAGCTACGACTTATAACACCACAACTATTAACAATTTAATGGTTAGCTCAATGTCACCTGACTGTTCAACTCCCCTCCGCCTCCGACCTCGACCTCGACCTTGATGCCGTCCTTCACGGTTCACCGGCCGCATCCACATTGTACGAGGACTTCCATCCGGAAGTCCTCAGTATGGAAATTCGGGTATGGAGGCCGCGGCGATGTACCGCGGCCCTTGTTATGGTGAGTCCCTCCTGCACTCCCTCCTGCTTCACCCATCCACGCTGCCCCGCCCTCGACCCTCTCATTCGCGTCGCCTTCCTTCGCGCGCGTCGTTCGCCTGTGCGTATCCCACCTCCTGCGCGTTGCTCACCTGCGCCACTGCGCCTGCACGTCGCCCACCTGCGCGCTGCCCGCATCCTCCCTCCTTCGCCTCCGCGTCGTCCGCCTCTGCACACCTCTGCATTACCCTCCATCTGTATCGCCTACCTTCGCGTCGCCCGCCTTCGCCTCACCCACCATCTTGTCCGCCTCATTCCGGCCCTCTGGGTCCTCTCGCGAGCCCTCCCTGTTGCCGTCCTCCGCATCCGCATCCCCGGCCTCTGGGTCCCCCGCGTTTACGTTGCCCACATGCCGTCCTCCTCCTCTGGGTCCTCCATCTCGTGTCGCCCACCTTTGCCTCCGCGTCGCCCTCCTCCGCCACGTTGCGGCCCTCGGCATCACACTCCGCCTCCTCCACCTCGTCGCGGCCCTCCGGAGTATGTGCCGCTCTCTACCTCGCCCTCCTCTGCTCTGGCGCACGTCCTGCTCTGCACGCACATCCAACTCGCGCGGGCTCGGCACGGCGTCCTCTCCTCACCCTCTCCCTCCACCCCGCTCTCCTTCGTCTTGCCCTCCTCCGCTCTTGCGCGCGTCCCGCTCATTTGCGCGAGCACATGCTACCCGCGCGGGCGGAGCACCGCGTCCCACTGCCCCGCTGCCCCATCCCGGCCCTCTGCCTCGCCCCCTCTACGTCGCCCTCCTCCGATCTTGTGCGCGCTGCGCGCCATCGGGCAAGCACATTGTGCTCTACCTGCTGTGGTCAGCTGCCTTGCCTCCTATTTTGTCTCGGCCCTCCGCTTCCACCTGCACCGCTGTTGCCACTATGTAGTAGTGTACTAATAAATATATTTTCGTTGCCAATCCTATGCTTGCGTCGTGCAGGAACATATAAGAGAGTTCGCATAAATCCCCTTCTCTGGGCGCCCAGCGAGCGAGCTGGAAATATTCTGGAAGAGCCGGTCCTCCGTCTTGGGAGGAGGCGCCCAAGACCGGCTCTTCCAGCGGCTCAGCCATCAGTCCATTCTGGCTGCTGGCGTCAAGCTCTCCCCTCGTGGGAGGCTCGTTCTGAGCCGATTTTCCCAGCCCGGCTGACAGCCAAATGACCCGGCTGGCGCAGCCAGCCGAGCCGAGCCGAGCTATCGCAACACTACTGGAGAGGACGATCACGCTAGTCCAGCCTAGGCCTCACCTCTGCGTGCGCGGACGTCTGGCAATTCGAAGACCACATCTTCCGAGCCCGGCCAGCGCAAGTGCGGTGCCCATACGTAAGCCGCCTCGTCTTTAAACCGGCATATCCTCCTCACACGAGGCTTCCGTACTTTGTTTTGGGCGCACTTTGTACGACGTACATGGCACCGGCGCCGGGAATTTGATATTCTGCTAGACGTGCCCCACTCCCGTTCAAGGGGATCTTCCCTCCAGCATCAAACTCAGCGGCCGGCGTCATGGTTTTGGTCATCGCATCCTCGGGTGGGACTGCAGTATATACGTGAACGAGGCTGGGCTGCGGGCTTTGGGCTGTCCTTGTCTTTTTCCCCATCTCTCGCTTTGCTTCCCCTGCGAAGTTACCCGACGCGACTTCCACTCTCCAAGCTCTCGTGTCGGTCCAACCTCTTGGAACGCCATGTCGTCCGACAGTGATGCGGCCGCGGAGATCGCTGCCTTTGTTGAGTTCTTTGACAGTCTGTGAGTGCTAGATCTCCTCTAGGCATGTCAATGGCTCTAACACCGTACGGATCGGAGCGCAGCTTTGTCGGGAGTTGCTGTACCTTCGCGGCCATGAGTACGTGCTTCAAATCCGATGGTTCAAACGTTCATAGCTGATGTCATGCGGATCGCGTCGCAGCGTTCCTCGCGTACGACTACTCCCTTACGTTCGCTAAGGAGATCGACTTGTTCTGGATGCGCAAACCAACAGGGGCCTCCATGCTCTTCTTCGTCAACCGATATGTGCCGCTCATACTGCACGTCTATGAGATCGTGTCCGGTTTTGTACCTTTGGATGACAGGGTGAGCACCTTCCTTCGTCTTCGCTGAGAGCACGCGACCAACGGTGTTGGCAGAGGTTGGTGCACCATTTCACAATGAAGCCGATCAGAAACCTGAGCTCGTTGCAGTTGTCTAAACAACGTTCTCGCGACGCAAGCGATCACGGTCTTTCAGTACCTCCCCTGGGCTGGTGAGCAGCAGGAATGTCCGTGCGATCGACTCCGTGGCTCACGACAGTCGATCCAGCTTTCTCCGCTCTGCGAGTTTTCGCCCTGTGCGGGCGCAATGCAAGATGGCCCGTTTCGTTCATCGTCTTGCTGCTGTCTTTAGTGCCTGTGGCGCTTAACTTGGTGCGTTTCTTCACGCCCCTCACAAGCTGATACAGATTAATCCGTCCGCATCGTACAGTCACAATATCACTGGCTTTCAGCCGTCAACGACCCTCTTGCAGGCTGCTCAGCCGTTCTGTCTGTTGATCTCACGATGACCAAAGCGTGAGTGCGCTAGTTTCGCGGGCCCAGAAATCTGACCGCCGACGTCTATCTTTGGATCTCCCTCAGTTGTAAGTCCAAGTCTAATGGTCGCTCGGCACCTTCTGACATACAGGCACCATATATACAGTCTCGATCACATCTCGAGGGAGTACTATTGCGGCGGATGCAATTGTCATCATCGCCACATGGGTTGCAACATATGGGACAACGAAGTTGTTCCACGAGCACGAGGTCATGGCGCGGTCACTTTCTCACACGTTACAGCATGATGGTACGTGTTCTCCAACGCTCGATCCTATGTCTCACGTTGACCGCGGGGAATAGGAACGATCTACTTCTTGTGAGTTGTGCCCTCCCTTTGAAGGACGGAACTGTCGCCCTAACTCCCCGGAAGCGTTCTGTTGGCTTGAATGCCATCCACCTGTCGTTCACTTTGACTGCGGTATGTCACGAGTCCCTTCCTCTGTGAAGCCGTGCTCATCGGAGCTCTGCGATGATAGATTGCCACCGACGGGATCAGCCCTCTGAGTTATGTTACGCTTTTCACCGAACCGTACGTCTTGCCCTTGCCCGCGTTCATACGCCTTTCTAATGAGACGAGATTACGTTCAATCACAGTATCACAGCGGTTCTGGTGTCTCGATTCCTCTTGACCTACAAGAACAAACAGGGGGTTGCAAGACAGCCTTGCCACGAGTGTTGGCATGGGTCCTGCCAATCCGCAGGGCACGCTCCAGTTCGCCCACGTAGTCGGGTCGATGGGCTCTGCGATATCGTACAGCGAGGAACCACGCAAGATGATCCCTCGGACGAGATCGAGCTTGATCCAAAATGGCGTGAGAGCCACGTGGGAGACGGGGAAGGTGCGGGATTCGCGTTGTGACATGTTTTCAAGGCTGTTTGAGAGGAATTAGGATCCTGTATGGCTGTATTACATTTTTATTGGCGCTCAACGATATAATATACATTCTCCATTACAAGAGGCCATGGATGCTTTGGGGTCCATCAATAATGACGTCATATCATCGGTGTTGGTACAGTGATGGTCACGTGTCTCACACTCTGGCCAATAGCGTGGCAGTTAATTTGCGCCTGCAAACTTTGAACAGCTCACCATGACGCTCTCGTCTTCTCGTCTTCCTCATGCCGCGGTGGACACTGCCTCACGACGGGCTTGCTCAGAGCCGGCGACAAAATCTCTTTCTTGGTCTGTCGACAGCTTGAATTGGATGGGCCGGCATTGATTGCCCCCGGACTTTGGACGATCTCAAGCGATCATCTCTTGTTCCCCGTCGCTTGTCACGGAGGAAGGGTGGATGCTACAGCTCCCCTTGCGGTTGAGGTGAATGATGATCACAATTTAGATGCGCCTCTGCTGCTTTGCTGACGTGCAAGACAAATCAACAGTTGTAAAGTTTCCCAGTTCTTGCTCGGGTTCAATAAAGTCACTCAGGTACCAAGCCAGTGCCTAGGCTTCCTACGCCATCTTCTGGATTCAATCGCTTATTCGATCGACCAGATATTTCCGTGGCTCCCTCCCACGGCCTTCTTGAATCCGTCAATGCTCGACAGCCTCTTCACACTGTCACTTCAAGCTTCAAGCACCGGTCAGCGTCTTGTACATCATGTGCAGTGTGCACACACATGAGAGGTACAAGAATAATCCCCGCATGAGCTGTTGGCAACGCATCCGATCTAATGCCGCTCTAAGGGCATTAGTGGCACAAGTGAACATCGGTACGTATTCGGATTTGTTCGGCGCGTCGACCTGTGACTGACACAGGCCTGTACTGACTCTCATCTTTCAGCGGTCGAACGGCGCACTGGTTCCATCGAAAGAGCTGTGTGACGGCGATCTCACATGGCAGGCAAATCACCTTGAATCAGCTTCGACTGTCATCACTTACATCCGCCATCGTCGAGAGGGCGGGTACCCGTATGTGCCCCACCGACAGCAAGACCGCAAGGGGCCGTCGATTCGCTGTCGTAACATGCCGTTGCTGCCGGGCCCCGGCGCATCTGACCCGGAAGTTAAGCACGCCGACTCTCTTCTTCTATTCAGCGCAGCACAGGGCGAACATGTGCAGACGTCTCGGGCTCTTGGAGCGAGTCTAAAAGTAGGGGCTGCCAAACAGGCGCCGAATGCGGCGTACACGGACGAACGTGCGTTACCCCCCGCGTGGTCCCGGACTCCCATCACCTCCTTCCATCGACAACGGCTGCACCGAGCCCCCGCCGTCCTGCCCAGTGGGATTTAGCATGCCGCCACGCCCCGTATAAAGTCCGACCGCGGTCGTGCACGGTCTTCGCTCGCTGCAGCTGCCCGCCTCCAGCGCACGAAAAAGCAAGATGGCCCTCGCATGGATCGTCTCCGCACTCGCCCTCCACGCCGCGACAGCGCTCGCTCACCCACTCGCGCGCGCCGCGACGGAACCCGACCCGGACAACTTCGTGAACGTTTCGCTCGCTGGAAAGACGTACACGAACAAGGAAAGCTTATCGCCATCGGTGGTATTCCCGACGCGGTCTGATCTTCTCCCACCAACAGGGTCTAGTTGCGTTTGGCCTGATCCCTCCAACTTTACCGAATCCACCGGTCCGTTTTACCTTCAATCTCGCTTTGGCGCGCTGACATCGTTCTTGGCGGGATAGGGGACACCCTTGGCGGCATCGGGAGCGGCGTCGCGCTCAAGCGGGGTTCATTCATCCAGCAATCAGATGGCACATTCACTGGCACCATTGTCGTCCAGCCCGATCGTGGCTTCAATGTGTGAGTGTATGCGCCGTGCGTGGGTTCGGTTTCGTCTCTGATCCGTCAACGTTTGCCAGGGACGGCACGATCGACTACCAGGCTCGCCACCACAACATCGACTTCGTTCTTTCGCCATACTATGGCGACGACGACCTCGACTTTGATGACGCTCTTGAGACGCTCCAGCTCACCTACCGCGACACGCTGCTCTACACGGAGCGCAACAACCAGAAGACCACTGGTCTCGATGCGACTGGTGTCCGGCCGGCGGCCTTGGTCGGTCAGGTCATGGACCCACCTTTGCCCATCGCCCCTTCAAACAGTCATCTTACCATCGACGCTGAGGGCCTCGTCATCAACTCGGATGGCACGTATGTGGCTGCTTGTCCTCTTTCCGTCGACCGTGATGCCGACCAACTCACGCAGGTTCTGGACGAGTGACGAGTATGGTCCTTACATTTACCTCATGAGCGCCGAGGGTTCGCTTCTCATGGCCATTGAACCTCCTAATGCTATCCTGCCTATGGTCAACGGCCAGATCGATTTTACGTCTGTCGATGACCCTGACACTGGCCGTTCGGGCAACCAGGGTGTGTGCACTTCTGTGACCTTCAATCAGCGCTAACTCATTGCCATAGGTTTCGAGGGCCTCACTGCTGATCCCACCGGCAACACTCTATACGCCATGCTCCAGTCCGCCACCATGCAAGACGGCGGTGGCGATAAGGACACTGAACGCTACACGCGCCTCCTCGCCTGGGACGTCTCCTCGCCTCTCTCTGGCCCGCCCCCACTCATCGGCGAGTGGGTCGTCCCACTTCCGCTCAGCTCCAAGGGCAAGACCTTCCCGCAGAGCGAGATCCACTTCGTCAGCGAGGACGTCTTTCTGGTACTCTCGCGCGACGGCGACGGCCATGGGGGCGACGACAACAACTCGGCGTACAAGCAGGCGGATCTCTTCGACATCTCGGGTGCAACCGACATTCACGGCACCAAGTTCGACGATCCGAGCAACCCGGTTGCGCCGAACGGCAAGCTTGACAAGAGCGTCACCCCGGCTCAGTACGTAGGGTTCGTGTCCTTCATTGACGATGACCAGCTCGCGCGCTTCGGCCTCCATAACGGTGCGCGATTTACCATTCAATATCCAGGCATCGAGAAATGCTGACTATATGCGCTTGGATTCACTAGGCAAGCCCGCGGACCAGACGCTGATCGATGCCAAATGGGAGTCCCTCGCGCTTGCTCCGTGCAACGATCCATCCTTCCCGGATGACTACTTCCTCTTCACGGTGGTATGCCCCGGGCCTTCTCCCCGTTTGTGAGTGTCGGCGCTGATAATCTCCCAACCCCTTAGGCCGACAACGACTACATCACCACCGACGGCAGCATGTTGGGTCAGCCGTACGACGCCGGACTCGACAACGATAACCAGTTCATGGTTTTCCGCGTCACCCTCCCGGGCGCGACGGTCAACATCGCGTGAGCGAGCGAGCGCCCACTCTATCGTTATTTGCTTTGTGTCCCGTTTTCGCGTACCATGCTCTTGTGAATGTCAACGCTCTCCCGCGGGAGATCATCAGACTCATGGCTGGATGTCATTATGGCGTTCGAACCATCCCAAGTGCATCTCCAAGAGGATGCCCGTGTGGGAAGGTCTTAAGTTTGGAGAGGCTCGGTAAGCAGTGAGTCCGCCTTTTGACTCACTTTTTGCTTTTGTTTTCCCCAAAGGCCCAGGTGACAGCGCCAACGAAGTGAACGAGTTCTTCGGGCTTGCATTTATGCACTTCGTTGCTTGATGGTCTCATGGTTTCTATGAAGCGTCTTCTCCAACAGGAACGGTATCGATTGGATTCCGACTCCGGTCGACGATGCGGGCCCAAGCCGTTGAGCAAGCAAGAGAGGTGATGGCCATGGGTCATGGCCCACATCAAGCACGCATCCTCTGACTTGGGGACCCCGCAGCTCGGAGGTTTCGGGAACTCATCCGGGTTGTGGGACGATGCCGCGACGAAGACGCACCGCGTATCTTGACGCCTCGGACCTTCAAAGCCCAACCAACTTCCTCGCAGAAGGGACAGTTGAAATGCATATCAGATCGTAAGCCCGCGCGCAGCTTATCCGCTTCAAAACGCTTAAGGTGGACTTCGAGCAGGTGCCTGAAGGGCTCGTACTACTTCCGACCCGCCAGCTGGCTCGCGCAGAATGCGACGACGAAAGGACGAGCACTGCCAAGTGTGCGTGGTGCTCAGTCCGCATGCAACAGTTCTTCGCAGAGCGAGAAGCAGGCACCAGATACACGTGCTGTGCTTCGACGCCGTTGGCCCCACTTCGCGCTTCTTGGTTGACGCAGGTACGCATAGTCATACTGGATTTCTCTGCAACTAGTGGCTGAACGTATGCGCGCATAGAGAGCAAGTCGTCAAACTTTCAACCGCCTCGGAGGGCGTTGTACTCGGGGCCCGCACTGGCACCACCAGTGAAAACGCCCAGAAGCTGTCGCACGTCGCCAAGCGCGCGTGGCTTTGCACTCAAGACACATATCGCCCGCCAAGCTCAGCTGAGAGACGGACGAGAAGATCTCGCTGATTTGTCAAGAGGTGTTCGCAGGCGAACCCGTTCTCCTGCTCGCGCTAAGTGGCGGTTGGCAGAGGTTGCGGGGACATAAAAGACGGGCATGCACGGCGCGGGAGCTTCTCCTCAGGGACCCTCGCTGTTCGGTCAGAGTCCCCGTCCTTCCACCCGCCCCGTCCCTCGAACCTTTGGCTGTCACCCGCCCCGGCACTTGCTGAACGACGAACATGTCTGGCGGCTCCGACAAGGCAATCGAAGCGGGCTCGCTGAAGCGACGCGCGACGAACTCGAGCTCGAGAAGAAGGGTGTGTCCATCCGGGACGACTCCGACTCCGACTCCGACTCGGAGCATGCCGGGCTGAGTTCCCGACTGAAGAGGAGAAGCAGACGCTCCGCCGCGTCTCGGACAGCCTCCCTGTACGCGCTTACTGTAAGTGTTCCTCCTGCTCGAGGCGCATGAAGCGGCACGCTGACGAGGGGTTGGCAGTCATCGCCATCTGTGAGATGGCTGAGCGTTTCTCATACTACGGTACGACCATCGTCTTCGTGAGTACCGTTTAGCTTGTGCTCGAGTCGCACAGACCTGACGAATTTGAGCGCGCAGACCAACTTTATCCAACAACCTCTGCCCGTCGGTTCAAGGACTGGCGCGGACTCTATCCAGGCAGGCGCACTTGGCTTTGGTCAGCGTGCATCGACGGTCTCACGACTTTCAACTCTTTCTGGTATGTTGTACGAGTCTTCCACAAGGTCCGATACCAACGCGCTCGGGACCTTTTAGGGTTTATGTCGTCCCTCTCTTCGGGGCGTATCTTGCGGACACTCACTGGGGTCGGTTCAAGACCGTCTGTATCGGCTGTGGTCTCGCCATCTTCGGTCACATTCTCCTCATTATCTCATCTGTTCCCGGTGTCATCGAACACTCGAAGAACGCCCTGGCATGCTTCATCATTGCCATCATCATCATGGGCTCCGGAACCGGACTTTTCAAACCCAACATCTCGCCTCTTGTCGCGGAGCAGTACAAAAAGTCGAAGCTCTTCATCGGCCACACCAAGTCCGGCGAGCGTGTCATTGTTGACCCTATCATGACCACCTCACGTATCTACATGTACTTCTACCTCTTCACGAACATCGGTGCCCTCGTTGGCCAGATCACCATGGTTTACGCCGAGAAGGCAAGTATCGTCCTGGTTCCACCCGACCTGGGAGAAGCTGACATTACGGTTTACAGTACGTCGGTTTCTACCTGTCGTACCTCCTCCCCACCGTGTTCTTCCTCATCTCGCCATTCATCCTGTGGTATGGCCGCAACATGTACGTCAAGGCGCCGCCCACCGGATCCCCGCTTCAGACGACGATCCGCCTCTGGCGTCTGGCGATGAAAGGCCGCTGGAGCGTCAATCCGATCACGACGTACAAGAATATGCACGCAGCGGACTTCTGGGAAAGAGTAAAGCCGAGCAAGTTCCAGAGTGAGGACCGCCCGCGGTGGATGACCTTCGACGATTTGTGGGTGGACGAGGTTCGCCGTGGTCTCAAGGCTTGTGTTGTGTTCACCTGGATCCCCATCTACTGTGTGTTTCCCCGTCTATCTCCTCGCGAGATTTGTACCGACTGCTGTGCTCCCAGGGCTCACGTACAACCAGTTGTACAACAACCTGATCTCCCAAGCGGCAGTCATGGTAACGAACGGCGTCCCGAACGACATCATCGGCAACCTCGACCCGCTCGCGCTCATCATCCTCATCCCCATCTTCGACTTTTTCATCTACCCCGCCCTCGCCCGCGCGGGCATCCGCTTCACCCCAATCAAGAAGATCACCCTCGGCTTCTTCGTCGGCGCCGCAGCCATGGTCTGGGCCGCGGTCCTGCAGCACTACATCTACAAGACCTCCCCGTGCGGGTACGAAGCCGCGTCCTGCGCGGACGCAGACGGGAACCCGCTCACGTCCCCGCTCAACGTCTGGATCCAGGCGGGCCCCTTCGTGCTCATCGCGCTCTCCGAGATCTTCGCGTCGATCACCGGGCTCGAGTACGCGTTCACGAAGGCGCCGAAGAACATGCGCTCGCTCGTCATGGGCGTCTTCTTCTTCACGTCCGCGCTCTCGTCCGCGCTCGGCGAGGCGTTCGTCGCGCTCTCGGAGGACCCGCTGCTGGTGTGGAACTACGGCGTGATGGCCGCGCTCGCGTTCGTCGCGGACACGGTCTTCTGGTTCCAGTTCCGCCACCTGGACGCGCAGGAGGACGAGCTGAACCACCTGGGGGAGAAGCCCGCTGTGCCAGGGTCGAACAAGCATTGAGCGCTCGTGTCTTCGTTGCTGTGGGTCTCTGCGTGGGTCTCTTGGTCTCTGTCGCGACCTGCTTCCATCCTCACGATGGATGCTTCGTAGTGTGTTGTAGTACTAGACTTTCCCCCACGATCTTTCACGACCGGTTGCCAAGCCTGAATCTGTTGAAGTATATATGTGGGTGCGACCAGTCTATCGGTAGTCAGTGAGACATGTCTTCTGAAAAGCAGAGCGCACAGAGAGACGGTCAACGCGGGTACAAGTCAAGGTGTTGCTGCGTCCCAGAATGCGGGAAAGAAACTGACCGGCTCTTGGCGGCTGAGATGGGAAGCTGGAGTGGTGTTCGTGCCGTGGCTATGTGCGGCACGCCACTTAATCTGGCTAGGATGTGTACGAATGGAATCTCTTGCATCCCTAAGTATGCATAGCACAAAAATCGGGCGAATCGGGCGGGAATATCGACTTTCGTCGTTGATTGACTCGCTCTCCCACGCGAGCTTCATAGCCACCAATGACAGCCATGTGACGTAGCACGCTACTCTACATCCATCACCATGAGACTCCTGCGCGGCACCCGCTGCCACCATGCTCGCCGCATATACTCCCCTCTCCTCCCGCTCCGCAGAACCTACGCCATCTCGGCCGCACCACCCAGCCAAGGCGAGCGATTCATTCCGCTCAAGACGACATCGATCCAACACGCACCTTCAGAAGTGAAGACATCTCCCACGGCTTTCCTAGAGCATGTGCGCTCCCCAACCTCCGGACCGTTATTGTTCAAAGGCGGCATCGGCGACGAAGGCCTCCCTCGGTCGTCAGAAAACAGCCGCGCGGACACGCTGCTCAAAGCACTGCGCGCAGACGGCGACCGCCGCGTCGAGGTGGAGGTCGGCAGGTACGATCGGCCAGAGTCCGGGTCCGCCGGCGGTCGGTTCGAAGTTCCGCTCGGTGTATACTTGGACTGGATGACCAGCGCCGCACCAGCCGAAAAAGAGCAGGCGCAGCTGTACTTGGCCCAATGGCGCGCGTGTGAAGAGGTGAGTCCGGCAGCCGGACATTGTGTGTGGGCGCACGGGACACACGGAAGCATGTCGCCTCCCCACGGGACACGCTTCTGTGGTTTGCGGGCAGCGCGATCGTCGAGGGCCAGTGTCTGAACCACCTGCAGGTCCCCGGGCTGTCGGAGATGGTGCGGAGGCCGGGCGTGCTCGCCGCGCTGCTGGGACAGGGGTCGGTGGACTTGTACCAGGAGAGCTTCTTCGTGGGGCGTGGTGCGACTGTGAGTACCGTCTCATTGTCAGATCTGGCGTGATTCTGTACGGGAAATCGCGGAATCGCTGATGATGTATGACTCACAGGTCACGCCAATCCACCGGGATCCGTACCACAACGTCTTCTCCCTCCTCGCGTCGTCGGCTCCAGATGCGCACGGCAAACACTTCCTGATCTTCCCGCCATCCATGAACGAGGTGCTCACCGATGCCACGTTCTCGCGCAACACTGCCCGCCTCGATGTCGTGCTTCGTCGGACCCCTGGAGCGATGGACGGTTTCGACGCTGTGCTGGACGCAAATTCCGCGCCGAGACGAGTATCGGAGGCGGTGTTGGACAATGGGGGCGCGCTGAGTTGTGTGCTGCGGGAGGGGGACACGCTGTTCATCCCGCGCGGGTGGTGGCATCGGGTCGAGAACGTCGAGGTTGATGGAAATTCCGGGCCGAAAGCGGAGGATCATGAAAAGCGCAAGGGGTGGACCGCGGGCGTAGGCTGGTGGTTCTTGTCGCGGAGCGAGTGATGGCCAATGCTTGGAATAATGCAGAACAAAGGCCATAGTGCGACCGATAGTTCGTCTTCGCTAGCAGGGCTCCCTGGTGGACGTGGATTGGCACATACAATAGAAACGTGCGGCGAGGGTGGGACGGAGACGGCTAGACGCGGATCGCGATAGAAGCCGAGCCGTCTTCTCCTGTATTTGGGGTCGTCGCTTGCATGACTGCCATCTTGCGTCCGTGTGGGGCAGGTCTGGCCCCGTGCACAGTCACCGGGGCTGCGCAGACGCACTGAGCTTCGGGGAGGCTATAGGCTGTAGGTTGATCGGGACGCAGGCACAGAACAGGACGGGTGCGCAGGGCGGCCCCATTGCGCACGGGCACGCAGCGTTGTGTGCAGGGGGCGCAGGAGGCGCAGTCGGAGGGGGAAGCAGGGCGATCGATGGGGCGGGTGGACGCGAGGGCATCAGATGTGACTGGCCTGGGCGCGGTGCCGGGTGGTGGTGACTGGGGAGACGGAGCAAGCAAGCAGGCGGAGAAGAAGGAGCGCAGCCCAGAATGGCAGCTCGCGATAGGCAGCCGGGGAACCGCCCACTAGGCGCGCGCTCCTGGGAGGAGGCCCGTCGGCGTCAGTCTCGTCTCAGACTCGCCCTCCTCTCTCCCAAGCTCGTCCATCACAGCCCACGTCTACTTCCTAGATATACGCCCTAATGTCGCCCTAGTCTCTCTGCCCTCCGCACCCGCCGCCCCTGCCATGTCCAATGACACACAGAAGGCCGACCAGATTGCACACCACTTGTACTCTAAGCTCGCCCTAGTCGTCAACCATGCACGAGCCACCGCAGACCCTCCTCCCACCGCCAAGTTCGACAAATGGGTCCGCCCCCTTTCTTCGCCCCGTTCCCGACCGCACATGCTAATCTCCTTGCTCTCCCTTAGTTCAACCTCGAGATCCCGGACCCTGAACTCTTCAAGGAGCACACTCGTATCTACCGCGCTATCTCCTCAGCCCCCACCATCCCTGTCTTCAGGCTCCAAGTCTTGCTATCTATCCCCGAGTTAGTCTCCAACCAGGTTCTCGTCCACCATGCCCCGGACTCTTCTCGTGTCCGCATCGAACCCGCTCCACGTTACATCGTCCTCGAGACTTGGTCGCTCGACTTCACCCCTCACGGCCCCCATTACGACCATACCTCCGACGTCCAGCCCTCGACGATGTACAAGTACAGCATCACTCTCTTCCGCAGCATATACACGCTCCTCCACGTCCTTCCAGCTTGGAAGCTCTCCCGCCGTCTTCGAAGGCGAGTCGGTGGTAATCGCAATGGCAATTTCAGCATCCGCCTTCGGGTAGACGATGTGGATGCGAGCATACACCGTGACCACATCTTGGATCTAGGTGAGTCTTGCTTTTGTCCCTCCATTGCTTCTTCCCCGCGCATACATACACACCACCGCGCTCCTGCGCCCACAATTTCCCCACAATCGCATCCACCCAAACTTTTGACTTTTCATCAGTTCCGTGCCACACATGGATCAGTGTACTGACTATCAATCCGCATGGACCCTGCTTCGAAACCCAGATACACCCCTCTCATTCTCGCCTTCTGCTCCGCCACTCGACTATGAGCAGCAGACGCTGCCCCCCATCACCCATCCTGCGGGCGAATTCTCCGTCACAGCCAGGTATCTCACCGCGCCAGACTTCCAACTCGACACCGCGGAGTCATTGCTTTCCGCCGACTTCCTTTCTCTCGAAGAGGGTCCGGAGTTCACGCCGACACTCGTCAGGAACCAGCAACGGGAGAGCCTATCTGGCTCCCCGGGCAGCTTACCACTACGGACTTCCCTCCCTCGCTCTCCTCCCCGCTCTGTAGCAGAGCGCTTTGTTATCCCTCCCCCAACCACCACGCACCATGCACGGACGTCGTCATTCTCCTCGTCACAAGCGCCGAGAGTCAGCCCGAACGGAAGCCCGAGATTAGGCAACATCCCTCTCCCCATCTCGCGTAATCTCTCCGGCGCCGGGATGGGTACATCTGGAGTGTCGGATTCATCGTCGTCGAGACAAGGCGCTTCTATGGGCTCTCGGGATGAAGTGTCGTCCCTTGCTGCTCGTATGCGTCGCGAGAGTCTGCAGGGCCGTGGTGCGGTACGTCTTCATCTCTACGCGTCCGATGCTCGTATGGTCTGACCACTCTTACGCGCCCCAGGACTCTCCATTGGGCGTGCCGATCCGTCGACAACCCTTGCCAACCGTGAACCCGTTCAAGTCGTCGACGATCTCCTCTGGTTCGCCTTCACTCCATTCTCCTTCGCCGTCGCTCCGCCAGTCATCACCGCTCGCGGTTGGCACCGGCCCGTCCCTCCCATCCCGCCCTGCCCAGTCGCCCACCTCGTCGCGCCTTCCGTCTTCTCCGACAACGGGAGGAGGTAACTTCGCGTCGTCGCCGGTCACACCATTCCGGCCTTCGCCTCCCTTTGTCCCGTCCAATCTTGGTTCGGGACGCCCGACATCTGCGGAGTTCCCTTCTATAAGTCCGACGGGACTGTCGAATCCCTCACCAAGGATGCAGGGGAAGCGTTATTCGAGTAGCTTCGGGACGAAGTACACACCTGCCGGGGCACCAGGCGAAGCGAGCCCCAAGGGTAGTCCAAGGAATACGCCAAAGGATTTGGACAAGGTATGTTTTCTCGTCAATCCCTTATGCACGTTTCATGCTCAAAACGCTGCACGTGTAGCCTCAAAGCACATCCTTCATGAGCAACCACACCGACGACGACGACATCTCGGCCTTCGTCCAAGATATCGACGCTCGCAAGCCCCTCCCTTCTCGCCGAGACGATTCACCCGGTGGATCGGGCTCCTCCGCTTCACCATCGCCTTCTGCGGCCGCATTCCCTAGCATGGGTTCCAGTCCGAGCTCCCTCCCGCGCCGCACGCCTCTTGGACGTGACTCGCCGATTCGCGCCGACTCGCAGCCCTCGTCAGCAACGCGCCCCTCGCCCCTCAGACCATCCGCCTTCCCGCCAGAACCTCCAGCGGCGCTCCGCGATCGCACGGTGTCGGCCTCAGGCATGGAACCCGTGCTCACCACGGAAGACGCAGTCGACGAACGCCTTCGCGAGATGAACGAGAACTTCTTCGCAAGCTTACAAGGACTTGGGTCGGGCTCCCGCAGACGGCCCGGGATGCTAGCGAAGCATCGAGCGGGAGTGCGACGACAGGTTCAGAAGCGACGGAGCGACAGAGCGCGCAGACCATCCGACGCCCGCCGCTGGGCAGCTTCGGCCCCGGACGCAGGGAGAGTCCGCTCGGCAGTGGGGGAAGCGGCGTGGCGGAACCAGACTCGGCGTCGGGCTCAGAGATGGGCTCGGGGGTGGCCGGGCTAGGCATTGGAGGCGTGCCGCTGCCTCTGCCGCGACAGTACGTGCGTGCGAGGGTACCGTCGACGGGCAGCGTTCGGAGCGGGTTTAGCGTCGCATCGGAGGAGGTCATTGGACGCATGGATCCTGAGGTGAGCGGGTCGGGCGAGCGAAGGGTGCCGAGGGGCCCGTGAGGCGAGTGAGGGGCTGAAGATCTCCCTCTGGTGTTCGTGATCCACGTTATGCTCCCCTTCCCTCCTCTGTGCGGATCTCGGTCCGTCCACATGATGTTTTGTTCCTGTCTCTGTCTCCGTCTCCCGTCCCCCATCCCGTCCCCTCATCTCCCGCGCCATGTAGCATGCAAGCATTTACTTATTGTTATTCCTGGACGTTCGGACATCACCTGCGTCTGCCTACTTCCTGGGCCGCCGCCTGCGCGGCGCCCGTCTGTTGCATTATTAGCCTTCCTCACGCTTCTCACGTCCCCGCATTGCTGCTCATGACCCCTGCTTGCCGTGGCTGTCTCCCGTCTCTCTAGCCTCTCGTTATCCTTCCCGTGTCCTATATTCATACGTGTACCGTACCGGTACCCTATCACGCTCGACACTCTGCACTTGCTCCTCCACCCCGCCCGCACCCCATCGTCCGTACCGTACCCGAACTCGCCCCCAGCATCCCACATTTACCCCCCTCCCCCCCCATCCCCCACCCACGCATCCGTCTCCCCCGTCCCTCCATCCGCCCCGTCTATCGCCCCGCCCATCGACAGCATGGTGCTCTGTCTCGCATATTAGACCCGGCCAGCTCGCTTACACCCATTGTATATGTCGACGAATATACCAGAACAACCCCAGCTCTTCCTGCTCTCAGCGCCACCGCCGCCACGAATGCGCTTTCGACGGATGAAGACGGCGGAGGGGGCGAATCGGCAGTATTAGCTGGATTACTCGTACAACGGCGAAGTACACGGTACGTGTGCATAGGAGGGACAGCATGATGTGGGACGGGACGCTTCGACACCCTCAACCTTGCCTACCCCACACCCGAGCTCACTCGTGCACTGCGGATCGCGTCAGTATCAGGGTGGGCGACCTGGCGGCGAGAGCCTTGACGAGACGCACGTTTTCCCCTCGAGATGAAGCCTGCGAGGAAGCGGACCATGTTCGCGGTCTCCTCGCCCACGGGCTTGATCCACTCCGCGGGGAGAGAGAAGCCGTACTGTGGCGCGATGTCCCGTCAGCACGACGCACGCGGGCGGGGGAGGCGACGGGGGAAGACGCAGACGCACCGTGCCGGTGTCGCGGAGGTGGACGGCGTAGGCGAACTTGATGCCGGCCTTGGCGTACATGTAGTCGACGACGTTGCCCGACGCGCGGTACACCTGCTCGCACAGGCTGCCGGTCTGCGGGGACGGCGCGAGAGGGAGATCAGCACATGCGATGCGTGCATGCGATGTGGGACGCTGACCGTGAAGACGGTGCCGTGCACCTGCTTGATCGCGTTCGTCGCGCCCAGCGCGGCCTCCATCTGGTCCTCCGCGTCCTTCGGGGACTTCTTGCACGACCACGAGAACGGCGTCGAGACTGGGACGATGCACGCGTCGTGAGTCGTCCGTCCGGACCAGTGTGGAGACGAGACGCACCCATTTGCCCATAGCTGCGCAGGTCGACGAACGCCTTGAGCGCCGGCAGCGTCGTAATGTAGTTCGCGATGTTGTTCACCTCCGGGGCCTCGAACGGTCTATGCCCAGGGAACCACGTCGAGCACGGGTCCGCATCCCGACCGCGACCGGGTTTCCTCTTCGCCTCCTCCCAGGTCGCCTCATCTTCGTCCTCGTCATCGTCTACGCCTTCCGCAGTTGAGTTTGCGAGCACGCGTGCCGACGGCAGCCGCGACTTCGCCTTCCACTTGTGGCCCTGCAGATCCGGAGCGGGTCAGCGCGAATTCGCCCAGACCTTCGAGGCCACGTGTGCGGGAGCAGTCCGTACGCACCCAGTTCCTGTGGGGTGCCAGGTCAGCTTTGAGGGCGCGAGCGCGACGGGGCTCGCATGTACGCACCTGTTCATGTCGATGCCGGTGCACCGCTCGGCAGGGCCAATGTTCTGGCGGTTCTTATACCTGTCACACGACATGAATTGCGAGCCGGTGGGGTAGGCGCCTGAGAGGCACGCACCAGAGGCGGTCGTATTCCCAAGTGTACACATAGCCGTCTGGGTTGGGGACGGGGATGACATAGAAGTCCTTAAGTTCACAGACGACGGTGGTTGTATTCATCTGCATAGAAACGCAAAAGGAAGATAAAATGACTCACGAAAAACTCGAGCCATGGCGATAGCGAGAACTCCTCTGTGGGGTCCGACACCAAGGAGTGTGCGAGGTAGAGCGCAGTTGAAGTCGCGATCCACTGCGCGGAGGTCACACGATCAAACCCCACCCTCGCAGACTATGGTCGCAGCGCACCCAACGCGCGCACAAACCGCACTCACCTCGCGTGCATGCTGGGCGCCCGAGATCACGAAGCCCGCCTTCCGCGCCCCCATTGCGCCCCTCGCCCCCGCGGGTGTGCTCGATATCTGGATCGCATACATTTCGCGGCCTTCTCCTGAGTGCCCAAGGTTGACGAGGGTGACGAGGTCGGGACGCGCGACGGCGAGGTCGCTCATGAAGTCCGCGATCTCCGCGAGGGGATGGTAGACGGCGTGGAAGGTCGCGTTCGCGGGCGAGGACCATGTTGGCTCTGGCCATTCTGCGTGCCCGTCTGAATCTGGAATGGGGAGGTCGTCGACGGATGTGAGAGGAACGGTGCCCGCGTTGGCGACATGGGGTGCGAGGAAGGGGGCGAGGGAGAAATGGTGCGATGCGGCGTCGAGGAGAACGTCGATGTGCGAGGGGCCGACGTTCCACACTTTTTCCCCGGCGAGCTACCAGGCCATGCGGTCAAGGTCGTGAGCGGGGCCCGCGGAGAGTCTACTTGACAGAGGGTGGCATACCTCAACAGCCCGAAGGACTTGGTCAATGCTCTCTCGTCCATCGGCGAGGTGGGAGAAAGGCAAGCGCTTCAGGTGGAGGCCATTTGGGCCGAGAGGGGTCTGGTTGGCGGCATATGCGGCGAGCACGGAGGATAGAGCAGGATACGCGAGACTGAGAGCTGAAAGGCAGAACATAGTCCTCTTGGATTGACGCCAACCCCGGACAGGTCCGATCCACTCAGGAGCCCACGTTCGCACGCGTGAACCGCGCCGAGTGACATCACTGGCCGACGACCATGCGCGATCTCCTAGCGCGCCCCTCCCCACCCAGCCCCTCTTCCACCATGAGCATGTCGCCTCTTCCACCCCCGCCTTGCTCACCCATGCCACCTATCCCCCCGCGACAGCGCGGCCTCATGCACAGTGGGACAAAGACGCGCATACACCTTTTGAGGCCCGACGTGCAGTGGCTGGGGACCGGCAGTAGGCAAACGCACAGTCTCGATCCTTGCGTCTGCATTTTGACGTCTGTAGGGCGGATGCATTCTAAATATCCCTAGGCCTTCGAGCTCCCTCCTAAATACCCAGCCTTGGGGCGCTCTCCTCCACTTTCCCGCACCCCGCGATGAGCACCGACCAGTCCAGCGAGAAGACCCCACAAGTCCATGAGGGAGCAAAGCTGTCTACTGCGGCCTCGCCCACCCCTGTTCCCCTTGCGACCGCGCAGAAGAAGACGACGTTCTTGGACAAGCTACCGCCATGGATCATCACAAACTTGCGAAGCGCGAAGTCGAGGAAGATGCTGCTGAGATGTTGGCTGGCTTCCTGGTGCGCGTTCATACTCATCATTCCGGAAAAGTCGTTGGCTACCCTGGGCAGCACGTGAGTACCACTATTCTCATCTCGCACCGAAGTGAGATGCTGAGAGTAGATGGGATGGGGGAATATAGTGCGTTCTTCGCGCTTCTGGTATCAATGCTCCTGCCGCCGAATATGCCATTGCAGGTTTTCTTCTTCGTAAGTACGCTGTTCTTATCATGATTTGCGTGAGGAAAATCGCGGGGTGCTTGGACTTATTACGGCTGCTGAGCCCACCCGTCCACCGTTCCCCGACTGATAGGCGAAGTGCTGACGCTCTACTAGGCGGTCGCTACTCTAGTGATTGGTATCTCTCTGGGTTGGGCTCTTTCGTGCGCGGCGATGGCGGCATCTTTGAAAGTCCGCAATCAGACGGTCTTGAAGGAGACGCTTCAAAAGACTCGAGAAAGGTATCTACTTTCATTACATCTTGTTTTATAGGACGGCTTCGAGGTGACACGAACCTTCGCAGTGCCGCAGGTATGGCCAACCCCGAGGCCGAGTTCAAAGACGCCATTTTCAACGGCGAATTTCTAGAGGCTTCGTAGGCCAAGCCCTTGAAATCTACACATACCCATTACTGATTATATATTATACAGCTCTGACGCGATCTTCGGTGTATTCCTTGGCTGCGGCGTCTTCATGTTCGCCCTGATGCGGGCATATGCGCCGAAGCTGACTTTCACGAGCGTTTTCGGCATGATCGCAATGGACATCTTCTGTGTACGTTTCTCATGCACAATAGAGGCGTTGGCTGACAGCCCTACAGAGCTACGGTCCACTGTTTCCGTTCGCGCAGTACACCCTCCTCAACTCCATGCTCACATCAGTTGCCTGCTATATTGCTATAGCGCTGGTGCTCACTGTCTTCGTGTTCCCGGAGACTCTGAATCACTCTCATATGGACGCCGTGGCCAATCTCCTAGAGAAGTTCAAAACCAGCATCACAGTTCAGGATGAAGTTTTACAAGCCGACCCACATGACGTCATGCCCGGAAAGCCTCTCGCTGGGAAGATCAAGGGGCTCAGGGCCAGTTCACTTGCTCAAATTCAAAGACGTAGGCCACGAAACATAGATTATCGTTCAGGGCTGACACGTTTACAGTATTGGCGTCGAAGCAGTTCCTCGATATTGAATTCAGTTGGGGCGATGGAATGGGGAGGACGTAGCGGAGATCATGTCTCCGCTTATGGCTGTGGCTCTTCGACTGGGTGCGCATGTGATCCATCTGCCAGCTTGAAGACTCGCTCACCATGTTCTAGCTTCGCTCAACGGGTCCGCCCAGCTAATGTCGAGCTTGTTGGCTCTGTCGGAAGAGCCCACTCCCGAAAACGAATCGGTGGCCGATTCTCAAATCACCGCAACTGGCGACTCGTACCTGTTCCGCCAGTTCCGGAACTGCAACGCGACTGTCGAACAGGAGCACCGGGTCCGGCTCGTGGACATTCTCCCCACCATCCGCGAGGCAACATCCGAAGTCCGCGCGGCAGCCCACGAGGTCCTTTCCAACATCAAGTTGTTGGTGGTCTCCGTCAACAGGCACAGGTGGTTTGGCTCTTGAACGAACAGGACGCCCTCCTCATCGAGCTCGACAAATCACTTACCCTGCTCAAGGATGCCATGGCAGCATTCAAGAATAATGGCCGGTTCGTCCTCCTGCAGCCGTTCCAGCCGCTGCTCGAGCACCACGACGCCGGCAAGATCCGTCATCTCCCTCTCCGCTCGCTATACGTGGCATTTGCGTTCACTTCGAACCTCACAACGGTCTGTCGTGCGATCCAGACTCTAGCGGAAACTGTCATTGCGGTCGCGTCGAAACGGAAGACGCCGAAGCTATGGGGACCCACCAGTTTCAGGCGTCTGTGGCAGGTCCTTCGCTCGTCGCGTGGGTCAGGGCAGGATGTGGTCGGAGAAGACCACACGTCTGATAAGCCTCAGGATGCCGAGGAAATCAGGGCGCACAGTGAGTGACATCTTATGCGTAGTCGTGACTTGACACGAACTTCTTGTAGAGCGGGACCCGGACAGCCGGCCCCCTCGGAACTTTCTGCAGCGCATTGCAAACGCTGTGCACAAAGTCTATAGATGGGCCGGGACCCCGGAAGCGTTGGTAAGTGTTGCACACATGCATGAAGATGAAACCGAGCTCACCTGGCATGTGCCTTAAGTTTGCGTTCCGGATGGTCATTCTTACTATCGCCTTATGGATACCACAAGTGGTTCAAGCATCTGCAGGTTGGTGCTGCACGCTTCATTTCATTACAAGTCCTAATTTAGTTTTCCTTCCAGGCTTTGTGTACAGAGAGCGCGGGATATGGTGAGTACCGACTCACCACTGCGATGCAGTACGTTGCTCACGGCATGATTAGGGTATTGATCATGGCTCAATCAACGATGAATGTATACGCCTCCGACCAAGTGTACATGTAAGTCACAGACTGGTCCTGACGATTTCAGTGGTCTTACGTGTTCGTTAGTTACGTGCTCCGTATTATCGGGACTTTCGTCGGAGCCCTTCTGGGTATGGCGTGTTGGTACATCGGTGGGAGGAACTTATCATCTCAGCCGGACTTTTTCTCAACGTGCATCGTCTAGGCGCGGGGAGCGGCACTGGAAATCCGTATGGTAACGCCGCCAGTGCCGCGGTGTTTATCCTTCCCATCATCTTCTTGCGGCTTCACGCTCCACCGCAATGGCTGCTTGGTGCTACCATGACTGGAGTGAGTATCAGAGCATGAACAGCATGATGGGGTTCTGATGAATTATAGGCGACATTCAGTATCGTCCTTGGTTACTCGTGGATCAACGGGAATCTCTCCGACCTCACCGCAGATATCGGCATTGGCTGGGACGTCACGTGGAAACGGTGGCTCACCACCATGATCGGTTAGTTCTCATGTTCTCCATACTCGCAGTGCTAATTCCTCGCTGGTAGGTTGCGCCGCGTCGTTCATCGTAATGATGCTGCCACCTAAGTCAGGGCGTAAGGCCGTGCGAATCCGGAACGCGAACGTCCTCTCCGGGATCTCTTACGTGTACTCGCATCTCACCTCAATCTGGCTCTCCGCCGACGAGTCCTTTCAGCTCCCAGGCGGACAGTTCACGCCTGCGTCGCGTGGCTGGCGCGAGGACCTCCGCGCGAAATTCATCGTCCTCAGTGAGCAAATCCAGGACCTGCGGAGGCGGACAGAGATGTGCAAGTGGGAGGGGAACATCCGCGGCACATGGCCATACGAGGACTACAGCAGGATGGTGGAGCTTCAGAGCGAGATGCTGAACAGCTTGGTGCTGGTACGTGCCGGTGTCCCCTCATGTAGCTCGATATGTTGATAGGTTGAACCGTTAGACGGCGAGCGCGCTCGTGAACATGGACCCTGCCATGCGCAAGTCGACGATCCCACACACAACCATTCTCAACCCGCACTTTGTACGTTCGCTGGCATCGAGTGCCTTCTCTAGGATTAACGCTGCTCCTGCAGCTCGGCGACGTCACCTCGACTTTCTACGCAATCGCATCGTCCCTTCGACGGCGAGCCGCTGCACGAAGCGCAACTGAAGAACCTCCGGACAGCCTGCACTACCACCGCATGTACGCGTACGGGGCCTCACCCTCGGAGTCGGCGCGCCCGTTTGAGGAGGAGCGGTCCAAGATTCGCCACTCGCTCCACGACGTCGGGCACATGTCGTACGCGACCGCCGTGGTCGGCATGCTGCAGCTTACAAGTGTACGTCCTCTTGCCCTCTTCGGGATCACCAGGGGGAGGAACTGACGTGAACGTGTAAACGCAGCACCTCACTGAGCTCCGGAAACTCGCGGCTGGCCTGGTTGGAGAGGTTCCGCTGGATGGGTACGCGGCCTGGAGGGAGCAGTACGACAAGCAGAGGGCCGCCGTGTGAATGTTAGTCTCCGATCTCGGTGTCAGATGATGGTTTTGCTCGTGCCAGTTTTCCTGGGTATCACAGTGTGGTTTGTATCATTAAATGTCCAAAGACACTTCATATGCTCGGGGGAAAACGTGATGGTATGTCCCCTGATAGCTCAGTTGGAAGAGCGTGAGACTGTAATGGATAACTTCATCTCAAGGTCACTAGTTCGATCCTGGTTCAGGGGATTAGTCTTTTTGTTGTTCGGACATACAGAAGTGATTGTCTATTGCAGTTTTAGAATATTTACACCTCGACTAATTTTTGCCTACCATCGTTGCTTCTGATTGGATTGTACTCTACATGCAATGCGATGTGATGCGTTAAGCGCCAATATCTAATACTGACAATCTAATCAGGATTACACCTCTCACTTTGCTGCGAGTTCCAAAGCAGATGCATAGATAGTATGGTTAGCAATCCTTGCAGGACAGTTTGACATATTATTGATGGCTTCCAGTCGGTCTGTGCACTGTTGAAGCTACTTGGTTGCCTCAATAAGGAGTGCCATTCACCTTGAGGCTGGAGTACGTCAATGATGATGTTCAGACCTTTTATTGGTCCAATTGACATCCTATACATGTGTAGACCCGCTATTGGCGTTTTCAGCTCCAGGACCATGCTCAAAAATCGACTCTGGCTATTGCGCCACGTGACCGATTACATAAGCTCTTCAAAGTAGTGCGTCTAGATGAACTGCACCATAGACCCTCTTAGCGCTCGCAGGCTCCGTTGCTCGCTTGTGCTACTCACACCGGGAGCCAGGCACTGTCTAGGCGGGATGCATGCCCAGAAGCCCCGCCATTGCAAGGCTCGGCCTGGACTGGAGTCTCGAGGCGCTAGTACCAGACCTCTCGAGTCGCTCAGAAACCGTCGCTCATCCACGGCGCTTGTGCTCGCGCGCTTCCCCAAACCGCTCGGAAATTTGAATCCCACTCTCCGATCCCGCGTGAGGAGCCTGGTTCGATTTTGTTTTGCTATGTGGGATGCTGAAGCGAGCGAGGTGTAAACCGCCTGCTGGGGTAGCGGAGTTAAGGGACACGAGTAGATGAGGATCTCAGCGGGTCAGGAGGCTCACTGGGCTGCACATGCAGCCTCCATATGTACGTGACCCTACACCCATTGTGAAGGGTTGCCGCGCACGTTTACGCTCAACGTCGAGGCCATCTCACTCCAGGATCGATAATTGGATCCACCACGGATTAAGTACCGGTGGTACAGCAACAACAAGCCAACCCGAGGGCCGTCTGCCTCCTCGTAGTCCGCCTTCGTACAGAATCATGATAAGGTAACTACTAGTATACAGTCGTGAGGGGGTCGGGGCGGGGCGTACGATGTGTCGTGCGCGCGCGCAACTTCGGGAAGGGCTGCGTGGCGCGATGTACGAGCGGAAGAACGTGAAGACGAAGCAGAGAAAAGCGCACCGAGCGTTCCACCCCGCTCAGTGCTCAGTGCTTCTCCTTCTCCGGCGCGGCGGGCTTCTCCCCCAGGTGGTTCAGCGCCTCCTCCTCCGCGTCGAGGCTGCGGTACTGGAACCAGAAGCCGGTGCCGGCGAGGAAGGCGAGGACGGCCATGACGCCGTAGTTCCAGACGAGGAGCGGGTCCTCGGAGAGCGCGACGAACGCCTCGCCGAGCGCGGCGGAGAGCGCGGACATGAAGAAGAAGACCCCCACGACGAGCGAGCGCATGTTCTTCGGCGCCTTCGTGAACGCGTACTCGAGCCCGGTGATCGAGGTGAAGATCTCGGAGAGCGCGATGAGCACGTACGCGCCGGTCTGGATCCAGACGTTGAGCGGGGACGTGAGCGGGTTCCCGTCCGCGTCCGTGCACGTCGCGGCCGCGTACCCGCAGGGCGAGGTCTTGTAGATGTAGTGCTGCACGACGGCGGCCCAGACCATCGCGCCGGAGCCGAGGAAGAAGCCGAGGGTGATCTTCTTGAGCGGGGTGAGGTTGATGCCGGCGCGGCGGAGCGCGGGGTAGAGGAGCTGGTCGCAGACGGGGATGAAGATCAGGAGCGCGAAGGGGTCCAGGTTGGAGAGGATGTCGTTCGGGAGCCCGTGGGTGTTCATCGCCGCGGCCTGCGAGGTCAGGTTGTTGTTCAGCTGGTTGTAGGTGAGCCCTGCGGGGGGCGGCGTTCTGCGGTCAGCTTCGAGCGGGGATGATGATCGGCAGCCTGGAGCACGCACAGTAGATCGGGATCCAGCAGAAGACGCTGCTGGCCTTGAAGCCACGCCTGACTTCGTCCACCCACTGGTCGTCGAACGTCATCCAGCGAGGGCGGGACTCGCCGGTGAAGTTGCTCGGTTTGGCGCCCTCCCAGAAGTCGGCCGCGTTCATGTTCTTGATGGTCTTCACCGGGTTGATCGACCAGCGGCCTTTCGCAGCCTGTCGGAGGATACGGAAAGACTTGCCGAGCACGGATCCTTGAGGAGCGGATGTGACGTAGCGGTTGCGACCGATGAAGAGAACAAGCGGGGAGATCAAGAAGACCACGGTAGGCAGAGTGAACGCGAGCCAGAAGCCGACGTACTGAGGGCCAGGTGAGCGATGGTACGGGCTCGTTCAGGACGAGGACTGTACCTTTTCGGCGTAGACCATGGAGATCTGACCGACGAGGGCGCCGATGTTGATGAACATGTAGAAGTACATGTAGATACGGGAGACGGTCATGATGGGGTCCACAATGACACGCTCGCCGGACTTGGTGTGGCCGATAAAGAGCTTGGTGCGCTTGTACTGTTCGGCGACGAGCGGGGAGACGTTGGACTTGAAGCTGCCGGTGCCGATACCTATGATGATGATGGCGATCATGAAGCATCCTAGCGCGTTGTGCGGGTGGCTGATGACGCCAGGGACAGCAGAGACGATAAGGAGGACGTGGCCGACGAGTGCGACCGCAACGGCGACGCAGATGGTCTTGTAGCGACCCCAGTAGGTGTCGGCGACGTAGGCGCCGAATAGAGGAATGACATAGGCCCTGAACGCCAGAGAGGTGAGAGGCTGGGCTCGTTATCGGGAACGAATGGGGACCGACCAGAAATTGTTGAAGGTGATGATGCCGGTAGACGCGCGCTGGCCAAGACCGAGGGCGCCGGCCTGGTCCAGGCTCGCGCCAGTGGTGGAGCCCTTGGGGAGGGGTTGCTGGAGGAAGTTGGTCTGGAAGACGAAGCGGGGGGATCATGAGCTCGCGCTCGAGCCGAGCGATAACGACGGGGGACTGACGTAAACGACGGTGCAGCCGTAGTAAGAGAAGCGCTCGGCGAGCTCGCACGTCGCGATCACTGGGGGAGAGGCGATCAGCGTCGAGGGGGGGTGCGGGCTGTCGTGCGCGACGGGGGGATCGGAGACTGACGATATGCGCTCCAGGGGAGGGTGTCGGAGACGCGGCGGAGGGTGAGTTTCTCCTCCTCGGTGGGGAACTCGAGGCCGTCGTGCACGGTGTCGATCTCGTCCGAGTGGTCGTCGGAGGAGTGGGCGGCGAGCTTCTTGTGCTCGAACTCGTCGTGCTCGGCCTCGGCGAGGCCGGCGACGATGTCCCTGTCAGCTTGGAGGCCGGCCATGGGGAGCGGGTGCGGCGCGGGGGGTGCTCGGGAACGGAGGAGGCGGGGCACGGGGCCGGCGGCGGGAGGGGGCAGGAGCGTCGAGGGAAGAGCGCGTCCGGGCTGGGCGAGGAGGGCGGGCGCGGTTTATATCCCGCCGCTGGCCGGGGAGGAGCATGCGGTTCCGTTCGAAGATTGCGGGCTTGCCATACAGTCCCCCGGACCTACGCCCGCGCTCCCGCCGTGCCCCGTCCGCGCTCTCTGCCGCGCGCCGCGCGCTCGCGCTCGCGGTCGTCGCAATTGCCTGCGGGGAGCGCGCTCGGTTTTCCAGCGGCGAGCACGCGTTCCCCTGCGTTCTCCGACGGGAAGGGAGCACACGACCGCGGCGCGCGCGCGACGGTCGCGATCGGAGGCGTGCGCGATCGCGTGCGAGTGGGCTGGAAACACCGGCCCGCCGAGCCTTTCCCGCCAAGCCCCTCCGCAGATCAAACCTCCCAACCGGCAGACAGATGAGGATGTGGTCGGGCGACGTCCCACCGGATTCCGCGCACTCGCGCAACCTCTGCGCGACGTTGCGGGTCGGGCAGAGGACGCTCGGCAGGGGCGCGCGGAACCCGACCCCCGCTCTGGGGCGAGCTGCTCCCGTGCAGCCATTGACCGCCTTCGCTGCTTCTCCGCTTCGGGTGCGTTCCATCATGCCCTGTTCTGCTCTCTGGAACGCGCATGGCTCGCATCAGCGCGAGGCTCACGCCCAGTCTTCTTTCATCACCACACCAGCGACCGTCGTCCTGTAATCCTCTGATAACCTGCGCCGCGTCCGAGCCTCTGACGGCAAACCTCTGTCCGCGAGCGCCGATTTCGCCTCGCGCCACCACGAAGCTCGTGGTCTGCCACCTGCGACCGTCGAATGTCGCACGTCGCGATCCACGCCAAGCTCGCCGTCGAGGTAGCCCGCTTGCCCTCGTGCACCCAGGGCCTCTATCGCACCCCTCCCTCGACCGCGTCGGGAAACAATGCGTGGTTTTCAGGGCGCGATCACTGTTCAAACAACTCACGCAATGTCTTCCCACCCCCGTACGTCACCGCGATCCCATCCGAGCCCTCCCTGCCCCAGCGTCCCGAGCGCCTCGGGTCTTGCTCCACTCCGATACTTATCGCGGCAGCAGACACCACCGTATCTGCCGTTTGCAACCGGATACATCAGCAAACGCTACTAGCGTGTGAGGGCCTTGGCGCTTCCATCGAGTGCTTTGATTCCGGAGGTGAGTTCTTCACGCACATGCAATCATCGCGGTCGGGAGCGCAATTGGTGCCTCGCTGGGCAGACAGACTCTGCAGCGGGCTTGATTGTGGGCAGATAGTCGACTTGAATCATGATCGGGTGTCAGTGCCTTGTAATGCTGATTCAGACCAAGTTGAAGCACTGGGAGACGATGAACCTTTATACGAAAGCAGCGATTCTCGAGCTCCGGCTTCGTGCCACGATTCGCTCTTTGCTCCCTGCGCACCGCGTGAACGCAGCGAAAAACAAGAAATGCTCACGAGGAAGAAGATCTGTAGCGGCAAGTCCGCCAGTAGGAAAAATGGCGGCGAAAGCATGAAGAACGCACTACCCCATGCCCTCCTCTGTGTTCGAGATCTCACTTCACCTCGGTACTCGCGTAGTTCCCACTGCAGCCAGCGGCTTGTCCGGAATGATGAGAACGGATGTGCAGCAAGACGCCAGCCAGACTCTCGGCCGGATCTTCCGTGACCCCGGTCTCCATAGACTTGTGGTCATCCACAGAGGTATCTTGTCCCAGAGTGTCGACTTCAGGAAGTAGTCCCAGCCCAGAGATGGATGTGCTTACTCTCGGTCAACCACAGCAGCCCTGGCAGCACCGTTACTCTCAGCTATGGAGTGCGCGTGTGTCTTTGCTTCGCCACGCCGGCGAATCTTGCACATCCGAGGGGAACGGTGGGGCCAGATGACATGTCCCAAGTGGGCAAGCATAGCTTTGCATAGTAATGAAGGAGGCAATAAGCTCGCACGCCACGGCCCTCAAGGCCTCACCGCCGTTGAGCCGATAGTACTAGAAGGGCTGCCTAGGGGAGACTACCGTTGAGCGGCTCCCCCGGGAGCGGGACGACACGCACAGTCCATGATCCTGCCTCGTCGAGCCGATTTCAAGCCGCACGTGCAACACACCATCCCAGAGTCCCTCCTCCCTCCTCCCGCACGCTTCCCAAGTACGCCTCGCTTGACCTGTGTGCCCGCCGCGCCGGCGATTTTCGCGCCGTGTGCCGTCTTTTGCGGCCTATCCCATTACCCCTCCTCCGATCTGACGACCGAGAGTCGGCGGCGCGGGAGCCGGAAGTGCTCGAATTTCCGTCCTTCTGGGTCGAAGGGAATACTTATGCGCGCGGGCAGGCCGGCCGGGAGCGCGGTCCCGATGATGGCAGGGATGGGGGGTTTTGGCGAGTCCGTTCACACGCCGCAGCGCAGCGAGAGCAGTAAATGACTTTGAGAGCTGGATAGATCTCGGTTCGAAACATAACACGGCGTCTGAAGAATTGCAAAGTAATGGTTCGGCGTGCGGGCAGTGCGAGACTGAGCTTCTCACACCGCATGTGACCACGTCTCACAATGGAGTCTTCTGTGAGGATGCAAATTTGCTGGCGCAGGTGACAGTGTTGAGGATATATGAAGTCAATTAGCGACGCGAGCCCTATGATACCCAAGAAAACTGGCGCGAAACGACGAGACCACCATCGAACACTAGAAAGCGGGTCTAGCATTCATGCTTGCCGTACTGCTCCCTCCACGCCGCATACCCCTCCAGTGGAACCTCTCCAACCAAGTCTGCCGCGAGTTTCCGGAGCTCGGTGAGGTGCTGCGGTCCCATCGTTCACGTTAGTTCCTGACACCCTGTTCACCGAAAGGGGACACGAGCACGTACGTTTGTGAGCTGCAGCATGCCGACCACGGCGGTCGCGTACGACATGTATTCGTGGTCGTGAAGCTCGTGACGAATTTTGGATTGGTGCTGCTCGAATGGGCGAGTGGGTCCCGCGGGCGAGGTGTTGTACGAGTACATGCCGTGGTAGTGCAGGCGGTCGGAGAGGTTCCTCAGTTGCGCCTCGTGAAGCGGCTCCCCCGTCCGAAGGGACGACGCGACCGAGTAGAAGGTCGAGGCGACATCGCCGATCTGCAGTCGCATGTTCAGTTCAGGATCGGCATTCATTCGAAGCAGTCAACATACGAAGTACGGGTTGAGGATGTACGTGTGCGGGAGCGTCGACTTGCGCATGGCAGGGTCCATATTCACGAGCGCGCTCGCCGTCTGGGCGTTCGAGCCAGTCAGCACATTGCAAGTCGCATGAAAGAGGTCCGGAACATACCAGCACCAAGCTGTTCAGCATCTCGCTCTGAAGCTCCACCATCCTGCTGTAGTCCTCGTATGGCCACGCACCGCGGATGTTCCCCTCCCACTTGGACATCTCCGTCCGCATCCGCAGGTCCTGAATCTGCTCACTCAGGACGACAAACTTCGCGCGAAGGTCCTCGGGCCAACCGCGCGACGCAGGCGTGAACTTCCCGCACGAGAGCTGGAGGGGGTCGTCGGCGGAGAGCCAGATTGAGGTGAGGTGCGAGTACAGGTATGAAATCCCGGAGAGGACGTTGGCGTTCCGGATCCGCACGGCCTTACGCCCTGACTTGGGTGGCAGCATCATGACGATGAACGACGCGGCACAACCTACCAGCGAGGAATTAGCACTGCGAGTATGGAGAACATGAGAACTAACCGATCATGGTGGTGACCCACCGCTTCCATGTGACTTCCCAGCCAATGCCGATATTTTGGGTCAAGCCGGAGAGGTTCCCGTCAATCCAAGAGTAACCGAGCACAAGGGTGAATGTTGCCTGTGTTTCGTCAGCACCTAAACATGCGGTCTATGCACTGATACTCACTCCGGTCATGATAACACCTATAAGCCATTGTGGAGGAGCGAAAAGCCGTAAGAAGATGATGGGAAGGATAAACACCGCGGCACTGGCAGCGATGCCATACGGATTTCCAGTGCCGCTCCCCGCGCCTAGACGATCCTTGTTGAGAAAACGTCCACCCGAAATGATAAGTTCCTCTCACCGATGTACCAACACGCCATACCCAGAAGGGCCCCGACGAGAGTCCCGATGATACGGACCACGTAACTAATGGACATAAAACCTCTGGGATCGTGAAGACCTGCATGCGACTCACTTGAACACTTGGTCAGAGGCGTATACGTTCATCGTTGTTTGAGCCATGATCAAAACCCTGGCCACGCCGTGAGCAACGTGCTGCATCGCAGTGGCACTCAGTACTCACCAGATCCCGCGCTCTTTATACACAAAGCCTGGAATGAAACCCAGTTCAGGACTTGCGAGGGAATGAAGTATGCAGCACCGACCTGCAGATGCTTTTGCTACTTGCGGTATCCACAATGCGATCGTAAGAATGACCATCCGGAAAGCAAACTGAGCGTGCAAACGTAAAGTAAGCGCGGAGTTGCCCTTGTCTATGCGTTCGAAAACTTACCAACGCTTCCGGCGTTCGAGACCATTTATAGCCCTTGTGGATGGTGTTTGCGAGGCGCTGGAGGAAGTTTTGAGGGGGCCGGCTGTCCGGGTCCCGCTCTGCACGAAGTCCATGTCAATTCATCATTGTCCACAGGACGCCACTTACTACACGCCCTGATTTCCTCGGCGTCCTCAGGCTCCTCGGGTGTGTCGTCTTCTCCAACCGCATCCTGCCCTGAGCCACGCGCCGAGCGAAGGACCTGCCACATATGCCTGAAGCTGGTGGGTCCCCATAGCCTCGGCGTCTTCCGTTTCGACGCGATCGCAGTGACAGTTTCCGCGAGGGTCTGGATAGCATGGCAGACTGTTGTGAGATTCGAAGAGAACGCGAAAGCCAGGTAAAGCGAGCGGAGAGGCATGTTGCGGATCTTGCCGGCGTCGTGGTGCTCGAGCAGCGGCTGGAACGGTTGCAGGAGGACGAACCGACGGTCATTCTTGAAAGCTTCCATGGCGTCCTTGAGCACGGTGAGCGATTTGTCAAGCTCAATGAGGAGGGCGTCCTGCTCTTTCGACGAGCAGAACCACCGGTGCCTGTTGACGGAGACCACCAACGACTTGATGTTGGAAAGGACCTCGTGGGCTGCCGCGCGGACTTCGGATGTTGCCTCACGGATGTTGGGGAGAATGTCCACTAGCCGGACCCGGTGCTCCTGTTCGACAATCGCGTTGCACTCCCGGAACTGGCGGAATAGGTACGAGTCGCCAGTTGCTGTAATCTGAGAATCGGCCACTGATTCGGTGTCGGAAGCAGGCTCTTCCGACAAAGCCAACAAGCTCGACATTAGCTGGGCGAACCCGTTGAGCGACGCTGGAACATGGTGAGAGAGACTTCAAACCAGCGGACAGATTATGTGCGCACCTAGTCGAAGAGCCACGACCATAAGCGGAGACATGATCTCCGCTACGTCCTCCCCGTTCCATCGCCCCCAACTGAATTCAACACCGAGAAACTGCTTCGACGCCAACACTGCAAACATGTCAGTCCTCAACGCGTGGCATCATGTGAATGTATTTATAATTGCTTACGTTGCTGGATTTGGGCAAGTGAACCGGCCCTGAGCCCCTTGATCTTTCCAGCGAGAGGCTTTCCGGGCAAGACATCATGCGGGTCGGCCTGTAGAACTTCGTCTTGCACCGCAATGATGGTTTTGAACTTCTCTAGGAGATCCGCCGCGGCATTCATATAAGAGTGGTTCATAGACTCCGGGAACACGAAGACGGTGAGCACCAGCGCTATGGCAATGTAGCAGGCGACCGATGTTAACAAGGAGTTGAGGATGGTGTACTGCGCGAACGGGAACAGTGGACCGTAGCTCTGTGATGCTGTCAGCCAACGCCTCACTTGCACGTCAAGGGCGCGATCAGTACGTACACAGAAGATATCCATTGCAATCATGCCGAAGATGCTCGCGAAAGTTAGCTTCGGTGCGTATGCACGCATTAGGGAGAACATAAAGACACCACAGCCAAGGAATACACCGAAGATCGCATTAGAGCTGTAGAGAATATAGTCAGTATTGAGCATTGAGCATGCGTAGAGTTCGAGGGCTTTGCGTACGCAGGATCCAGAAAGTCACCGTTGAAGATTGCCACTTTGAATTCAGCGTCGGGGTTGGCCAGACCTGCCGCGCTGTGGAAATGCTCGTGTCACTTCGAGCTCCCTTTTGAGACGGGATGTATTCACTGTACCTTTCCTGGGTCTTCTGAAGCGTGGACTTCAAGACTGTCTGGTTGCGGACTTTCAAGGCTGCTTCCATCCCCGCACATGAAAGAGCCCATCCCAAAGTGATACCAAACACCAGTAGGGTCACAGCCTGATGGTGCGTCAGCACCCGATGCGAGAGCCATGCAAACGAACCGCATCGGTGTACACTTTCGCGCCGCAATGCACGACAAGAACGGCGTACTCACGACGATGAAAATTTGCAATGGCATATTCGCCGGCAGGAGCATTGACACCAGAAGCGTGAAGAATGCACTAGATCCCCGCCATCCCAACTGCACTCAGCATCTCACTTCACCAGCACGGAATATGACTAGTAGCACTCACGTGTTGCCCAACGTAGCCAGCGACTTGTCCGGGATGATGAGCACGAACGCGCACCATGAGCCCAACCAACATCTCAGCAGCATCTTCCTCGACTTCGCGCTTCGCAAGTTCGTGGTGATCCATGGCGGCAGCTGGTCCAAGAACGCCGTCTTCTTTTGCGCGGTCGCAGGCGGGCCAGCAGCGTGTGAGGCCTCGGTAGACGGCTTGACGTCGCGCGCCTCCTCGTTGACTTGCGGGACCGTCTCGCTGGACCGGTCGCTGTTCATCGCGGGGCGCGGTGTAGCGGGGCGAGACAAGGGGCGGGGCCCAGACTCGGTGAAGAGGTCAAGAGAAAGGCTTGAACGTCTTGTGACGAACGGTGGAAGTGTGCCAATCGCCTACAGCCGTTCAAACGCAACAATTGCAATTGCAAACGTCCCCGAGTACGGAGATCGGTGTGTTGCCAACTGCCGGCCAACAACTGTACGTCAGCCCCGTCAGCCCCAGAAGGCGTATGCTCGTCCTTGACTCACTGGTGCTGTGGGGAGTAGGCAGAGGTGGCATGCTCGGGGCGAGCATAATGATAGGTATCTATAGCAAGGATGGAAGATGCGCAAAGACTCCGGCCCCGAAGGGGTCGGGCGCTCGCGTCGGGGGCGGGAAGTGATGTCATCCGGCACGGTTTGGGGCGGGTAGCGCGAGACTCCATCTGCCACCTATGGTTCTGAGCGAGTGCCCTTCTACCAAGGTTGTAGGGTTGCTGCCCAAGCAATTGCACGCGGGAGATTCGCAATTTTTAGATGGGCGTGTTGGTTTCATTCTACATGATTACAGACTTCTATCCTATCCTCTCGTTGTTTCATACTACACGCGGGAATTCAAATGCTACTGTCATGCAAGCCCGTCTCACGCCGAGAGCTTCGCACGCAGCATGCTCTTGAGAGTCTCGCCGTCCGCCGCGAACCCACGGATACCCTCGTTCAGTTTGTCGTTCGCCATCTCGTCCTCGCAAAGCGCCCAGCGGAACTCGGACTCATTGTCGATGTACGAGATCTTCGGCATGGGGTCCGCAGACGCAGCTGCGAGGGCCTCATCAGTTCTGGTCACAAGAGAATCCAGTCACTTAGGAAACTTACCCTGGACGAAGTCAAGCTTCTTGGGAACGGGCGCGGTGTCATTCTTAAGTTCCTCAAGAAGTTTAGGCGAGATGGTGAGGAAGTCAACACCAGCGAGCGCTTTGATCTCGCCAGTCTGTAGGCAACAAAAGGTCAGGCATTGTTGACGTACGATTTTACTGGACTACGCACGTTACGGAAGGAGGCACCCATGACGATCGTCTTGTAACCGTGCTGCTTGTAGTAGTTGAAGATCTTCTTCACGGACTGAACACCGGGGTCGTTGTCGCCAACGTAGTCTGGGCCAGGCTTGGCCTTCTTGTACCAGTCGAGAATCTACGCGGTCGCTTCGATGAGATACATGCGCGATGAATGGATGAACGAGCACTTACGCGACCGACGAACGGCGAAATGAGGGTGACACCAGCTTCGGCGCAAGCAACGGCCTGCGCAAAGCCGAAGAGGAGGGTGAGGTTGCAGTGGATGCCCTCGTCGCGCTCGAGCTCGCGCGCAGCCTGGATACCCTCCCAGGTGGACGCAATCTTGATCAAGACGCGCTCCTTCTTAACGCCGACAGAGTCGTAGAGCGCGATGAGCTCCTTGGCCTTGGCCTTGGTGGCCTCCTTGTTATAGGAGAGGCGCGCGTCGACCTCGGTCGAGACACGGCCGGGAATGATCTTCAGAATCTCCTTGCCAAACTCGACAAGCTGTTGGGAGATAGTGGATGTCCAATGAGGTTCGCTTCCTGACAACGATAGGAGCGCGCGAGATGACCGGTCGTAAGTACTTACCAGGCGGTCCATGGAGGCGCCAACCTGCTCGTCAAGGCTGCCGCCCTTGCTCTTGCCGAACTCGACGGCGTTGTTGATGAGTTGCTGATAAGCCTCCTTTTTGGCCGCCGCGAGAATGAGCGACGGGTTGGTAGTCGCGTCCTGGGGCTTGTAGACATCGATGGCTGGACGATGCGAGAGGGTCAATCGCGCGCCCGGGCCGGAGATCTAAGCGAACGCGGTAGACTCACTCTCGAAGTCACCGGAGTCGGAGACGACGACGGTGCCGGTCTGCTTGAGGAGGTCGAGGGAGGTGGTCATGGTGGTGGTTGGGGTAGAGAGGAGACCTGGATGAGAGGGCCCTTGAAGTACGTTCCCACTGGCGGGCTGAGTGAGCTGGGGCGTGATCGGGATCGTGATTCCACTCGGGCGCTTCGGACCGGGCCGACCCCCACGTCGGGCGGAGACGGTCTCCCTCCAACGAATTTCGCCTTCGCACATTTGCCGGGTTGCGCCCTTCCACTATGTCATAGAATGGTCACACTGCCCGCACCTCGCCTAAAATAGCACCACCCACATTCAATGCCCGTACGAGAACTTGCGCGCCATCTCCACCAAGTTCCGGGCGCAAGAAACCTGCCCAAACGCAAGAAATCGCGTACATAGCAGATCTAGATGCTGAGAAAGGACGCTCCAACCGCTGTTTCATCCCGTGAACGCACGACGGGGACGGAAGCTTTTGGCCGTCAACCCGCCAGAGAGCGCGGAAACCGGCTACCAGTATAGGTTCGCGCGGACGGCGGGTGTGGGATGAATTGTATCCCGGAGGACTAGACGCGGATGCTCATTCACTTATCCATGGGCGTTTTCCACCCAGAATGCGCAGTTTCTGGTGGTTGCCTGTGGTTGCCCCCTGCCGACGATGCGCGTGTGAACCATGATCAACGTGCGTTGACGAATTGGCAGAGAGAGAGCATCTCGCGCGTTCCCACCACATCATTTATTGAGCCTGGGCTAGGCGATTTGGCCTATGTACCTGGCTGAGTCGACGTCACTGGAAGCTGAAAAGAGCAGACAAGAGACCATTAAATCTGTTTCCCCGTCAAGTGACAGCGGATCTGAGCGCGAGCCCTGTTACTTTCCGAGATAAATAGACGAGCGCTTCCGGGCTGTTTGGTGGAGTGAACACCACGTAAGTGGATGGAAAAAAATGAGATCTTCTTATGCTACATGAATTTAGTTTATAACACGCTTTCTCCATCCAATAATCGTCATTATCAGTCCATCCCGATGACAGCCACTCACCACGATCAGAAACGCACTTGTTGTGCGCGGCAACTGGGCCTACCGAGGAGAGAGCAATCCCTGCACGGGACTTCCTTCTCTGTCTACAGGGTTGAGCTTCCATGGGATGAATATTTTCGGAAACACATGTGAGCGCGTCAGCGCTGCGTATACAATAGCACTCTGTTCATCCGGTGGTTCATGGACATTATCAGATGCACACGCGCGCGCGAGCGGGTAGAGTGTTCCAATTAATGAGCTCTTCAAAAGTTTAAAAACAGAGCAACTGAACTCACCAGCTCTGCGTAAGCAACCGTGACGTTATCCGGTGGTGGTACTGGGGAATTGACCGACGGCGACCGGAGGTGAGATCACCGTATGTGATCGGAGAAGTATAGACGCACGGCTTGCACTCACATTGCCGCAGTGGCCGATGTATCATGTAGGTAGTCTCCCCGTAGCGTCCCACCTTGTCAGCACATGGCTGGGGTGTGCTGTACTCGCGGATCATTTCGAGTTCGAGATGGTTCCATGTAATGTTCCGTCACAAGAAGTAGATCAGCGCACCGACAGAGAAGTGTTCAGGGCCGCTCACACCGAGTTCCGGATCACAAGTGCATGCTAGATCCGTTGTATCATTGCGTCTTGCCTCGAGGCGCACGGGAGCCATCCTGGCGACAATGCAGGAACGATAGGGAGGCTCAATGGCAACGGCAGCCTCGAGGTGCCGTTTGACAGACGGTACCACACGGCGTAGAACCGGCGGAGATAACACTGTCGAGGTAGCCGCGCCAGATGAGCCCACCGCGAAATCCGGAGAGAAGTCGAGATCAATGCCGGGTGGAACTGCGATTATGAGGGTCCCAACCTATCTCGTGGGATGGCCGAATAAGAATGTCGTGTAAAGTATGACCTATAGACAGAGGCGTCAGTGGATCCGATGTGACTGTCTCCGACACACCGGGGCCTGCGATGCCATATCGGAGGCTACTGTAAACGTGGATTTTATTGAGCACCGTCAATGGCTTCCGCGCGAGATGCTCTAGATTCACCTGAGCTAGCCACCGTCTACTTAGCAACGGACGGTTGCCCGCGCGGTATTGCCGCTGGGTGGAAGCAATGACGTATTCTGGGAGATGTTGCGTGCCACCTGCGGGACAAGCGGGACCAATGGGAATATGGGTGCTTATTGGGATGACCGGTGAAAGCAGTTGGTGACGTCCGGTCGGCGTTCAAGGGGCCGACTTCTTCGTTGTGCTAGACTGTCCGTCCGTCCATCCTCCGGACCGCGGGACGCAAAACCCGTGTAGCGAGCGACTGATACAGCTGCCCCTGGAAACAAGCCACCAATGTTAGCGTCCGTCTGCGATAGGCAGCTCAGACCTTCAGGACACTCGAGAGCTTCGAGCGGCCGTCGCGTCATAGCTTCGGTCGCAGGACAGCCTCTGGTGTCCCTGCTCAAAGACACACTGAGGTGTGACGGTGCGGTCGTTTGCGGCGTTCGCGCTTTCTGTTGCGGAAGCCCAGAGGATGCGTACCAGTGTACGAGCCTCGAGGCGGTTCAGAGGGAGCAGAAGCGAAGGCGCGTGAGAACGCCAGGATCACATCCCAATCTGTCGCCGGAGCGCCGGCCCCAGACCCCTCTTGCCGCTTAACCATTATCGTCCTCAGTTCCCTCGCCCTCGACGCTTCCGGCCATAAGCGTTGCGCTTCGCCGGCCTTCCCGGTATGTCATTTCATACACCGATCTGCTCATCTCAACAGGTCCGCTTGTCCACTCATCACGCCGCTGCCAGCGTGCTCACCCTGGCCCTTGGCTCTCAATGCCTCGAGTCCACCACTCTGAACGAGGCTGTCCTCTTCCTGAGACCCCGATGGATGATTCGTGTCGTGCGACCACCTGGCACCGAGCGCTGAGAAGCCTCCCCAGCGTTGCTGGGATCGCGATCGCGAAGCCAGAGACACGCCCGGCGCCCTGCAAGGAACCCCGCTTGAAACGTAAACAGCCGTCCGGAGGATTTTGCTCCGTCTGTGGTTGTGCTACTTCAACGCCGGCTTTCGCTTTTCGGAGTCACCGAAGGCGTCCCGCTCATCAGTGCTCCTTGTGCTCTTGTGTCCACTTTTTCTCCATCACCGTACTTCTCTCCGACCTCTTCATAAACGATGTGCGACATGTTCAGCTCCCCTCAAGTCACTATGCCTCACTCTATTATTACCCTCTACGACATCCACTCTACTATCCCTCAACCCTGGGCCCCCAACATTTGGCGTATTAGGTTCGCCGCTTCGTTCCCGTCTCTAGTTGCCGACGGCTAAACGCTAATACCCATAGATTCATCCTCAATTACAAACGGCTGCCCTACCACACGCAATGGATCGAGTTCTCTGACGTCGAAGCCACGCTGCGCACCCTCGGTGCCATCCCGACCTCGCAAAAGTCTGACGGGCGCCCCGTCTACACGCTCCCTGTTATCGTCGACCAATTGCGGAACCCCGACGCCCCCGTGGTGCTCTCGAATGTCAACACGATCGCAGAGTATCTCGAGGCGACGTATCCTGCCCGGCCAGTGTACCCCGACGGATCGCGCGCGCTCCAGACGCTCTTCGCCCACTACGTCCAGGACACCTTCGCCAAGCCTCTCCTTCCCATCCTCGTCCCGCTCACGCACCAACGCCTCCCGGAACGCAGCCAGGCCCACTTCCGTCATGAGGGCCGCGGTGGAGGCGCCGCGGGCGGGCAGGGCGAGCTCACCAGCGCCCAGCGCGAGCAGGCATGGGCCGCAGTCCGGGAGCAGTTCCACTTCCTTGCGGGTATCCTGGACAGGAACAACTCGGACGGGAACGGCATCGTCGTTATGGGGCGCGACGTCTCGTACGCCGACTTTGCCCTGTGCTCCGTGCTGTGAGTACCACTCTCCCCGTGGAAGTCCGTTCGCCAAGCTCAACACCGGTGGGTAGGATCTGGGTCGAAAAGGTTTCTCCCCACGACTGTTGGGCTCGAATCCGCGAATGGGACGGTGGCCGCTGGGCCCGTCTGTATGGTCGCTGCAAAGAGTACATGGATGTGTACTGATCACAAGCCAAGCGCACTCCTACAAATCCGATCTGTATCGTTATTTTCGTGATTTTTTGTAGCCACACCTTTCTTGTCTTCGAGGCCGGATCCTCCGTATTGTAGCATCTCATACCTACCAATGTACCTTCGCGACATCAGGAAAAGGTGTTTTTAACGGTAGCGCCCGATAGCACGCGACTCTGCCAGATCGGGACAGGCCGTCTGTTGTCTGCGCGACAAATGATGATGGCAGAACGGTAGCAGTTGATATTCATTCGTCTTCGATATGACGTTTGATCATATTTCGTGGCCGCATACAGGTTATGATGGATCGACTACAGGCACTAGTAGCTTAGACGGAAAGCTATAGTCGATGATATGATAATGATAGTAGACGATCATGTGCCCCTCCAAGGGTGATTCATGGCGCGCGGGGTGCATGGTAAGTTCGTAATGAGCCATACGGTCGGTTCGCGAGTGCGCGAACAGTGCGCGCGGCAGAGAACGCGGTGCGCGCGGCAGGGAACGCGGTGCGCGCGGCAGAGAACGCGGTGCGCGCGGCAGAGAACGCGGTGCGCGCGAGGATACGCGGGTCAGCGCGGGCGCCTGTACCGCTTACGGATGGAGTCCGCCGCAGTCCGGCGACGGCGAGCCTCACCACCTCCCCTTCTCCCATCCGGGGCCTCTGTTCCCCAAATTTGTTCTTGACATCTCTTCTAATTTCTCGTTGTTCTGCGGAACCTGGTCTTTCCATGTGTATCCTCTTCATCAGAATGTTTGCTTCTCTGGGACACAACTGGGACATGATTTATTCGACTGCGGACATCTCGTGTCCTTGCTCACCAATTTAGCATTGTCTCGGCCTTTCACGTTCCGTCTCATGTTTACAATGGACTTAAGGCGTGCTTCTCTGTACATTAGGTGCGCATTTCATCTCCCCCTCGCGTGTATTGAAGCGACCCTGTTCCCAAACAGCGAGACGGTCAGTGAGTAGTTCATCGCAGCGCCGGGTCGTTTGGGCACCACAGCCCTGCTCGTCCGACGCCCGGCGTGTTGTCCATACTCGCGGCGCCGACGCACCTGGGTATTCCAAGGTACACTGGTGACCCCCTCTCATGGCGAATGTCTAGCCCGCGTCGAGCTAGCTGCTATCTCGCTTGCACTACACATGTCAAAGATCAGCGCGTTTCTTCCGACCCTCCCATGCGGCCCAACACCTGGCTCACGGGCTTTGAAGCGCTCTCAGCCCGCCTAGCCCCCTGCGAGCCAACGACCAAGTCCCGCTGCATCGCGATTCTTGTCGCCGACGGCTTTGACCGCGCGCAAGTCAACGGCGTCCGCACCACACCGCTCAAGGCCGGAATAGCGAAGCGTGGGCGATGGCGAGAGCAAGGGCCATCCCGCGGACCACCACCGTTACGAGTGAATCACCCGCCTCCGCCTCTTCCTCCTCCTATTCGACGCGCTCGTAGTCACGCGCGGCACGGCGAACGCGCGGCGCACGGGGCACGGGGCACGGGCGAGGGCAGTGAGCAGGTTGCGAATACGAAAGTTAAGTCAAGGTATATACATCCTTGGGAAGACGTACTACAGTCGGTGTTAGCGACGACGAAGAGTCTGTGGTCTGGCAAAATTTGCTTATGATGATTTCTTGCTAATTGTCGTGGTTCGATGCGGCGGCGCCGCAGTGGCGTCCCGCTTTGGCCTCCGTTCGGTCGCCAGACTGCATGGGCGCGTGTGCGCGCGTGCGCGCCTACTGGACTTCCCCTGCGACCGCCATCATCCCCTCAGCGCGATGTGCCACTCACGCTCGCGGGTGATCCATCAAGACATGGTGAGTTCCTCCCTTTGCTCTAAGCATCTCGTTCACAGTGCCCACATTTCTATCGACATTGATGTGGCTTTTAACAACTTCTCGCAGACCATCATTGTCTCGTCGCCCTCATGACCGCCACTCTGCGCCCGGTACGTTCAACTTCCCACCTCCACAAAGCCAACATGACCACCCACTCCCTGCGTTTTCGCCTCCTCGTACCCACCACAAGTCACGATGTTTTTTCCTCAACCGCGCGAGCTTGGTGCGCCTCCAGAACGCAATCAAGCTTGAAGTCATGGTGCTTAAGCGCTTATGGCCACGGCCACCCTCCGCGCGCGGTGTGAAATTCCTCTTTTGCCTCTTCTCCTCCCCTTCACGCTGATTCCTCAGCCTCGCCGGCAGTGTAAACGTTGCTCCGTGTGCTCTTACATCAGTCCCGAGTGACTCCACTTGTAATCGGGGATGTAAGGAAATGTGGTGGAGGTGTTGCGGCAGCCACTCAGTGGGAGTGCGGTGTACAGGTACGTCTTCAGAACTTCCACACAGGCTGGCAGGTGAGCAGGATGTCAGGACACCGCACGGTTGAGCCCGCGCCTCGTGGGCTTCTGCTGCTAGACCTGCGGGCGACCACTTCCGGCAGGTGTTGCTGAATGCGCGCGAAACGTCCACCCCGAGCACCAGCCCGTTTTGTAGCAGCAGCGGCTCGCCGGGTTGCGTTCCTTTCCCTTTTCCACCGAGATCAGTTCCGCACTGACCGCTCGTCCATAGCTGCCTTGACCAACTTGCAGTACTCACACATCGCTTGAGCGACCTCCCCACGCAAGCAGGGCGGTCTCGGTCCAAACCTCAGGCTCCTGCTCGTCGCACACCGCGACATGTCCATCTCGCCTGATTACGTCGTGCTCGTTGAGGACGAGGGCATCGCCCTCTGTGGGCTCTTCATCATCGACCCATAGGGGATCCTCAGGTGCGTTCGGCGGGGCCGGACAACTGAACCACCGCAATCGACAACGTCCCCGTCGGCCACTCGGTCGAGGAGATGATCCGGTTCGTAAACGTGTCCCAGTTCACCCAGGTGAGTTTCGCTTCCTCCACGTTCTCCGTGGCCACTCCCGCTGACCACTCCCTCCTCGCTTTCCCCTTCCCCGTTCACCACGCTTCCGAACGACGAGCATGTTGAGGAGTTCCCCACAAACTGGAGTGAGGAGGAAAGACGATGAAAACACGGCCATCCATGCTCACCGTCACGACCATCTCCCCGCGCCCCTCCACTGCGCCCCTCGCCGCGCTCGACCGGCCTTTCCGTGCTCTCCACACTGACTGCTCTATCACTGGGCGAGCACTATATATATTCGCATTTTCTACAGGCCGTTACTGACCACTCTCATGGCAGGGACGACCCTATGCATCACAGGAGTACTATGTCGATGTGCTCACTGCTGGTTGAGAGGCCTCAAGGACGCGCCCACATCGCTGACTGTGTAAGTCGTTTATTCTGCTCTTATGTCCATTGTATAGGATACCTGCTGTTTCGTATCTACCCACATGGATTACTATTGCACAATTGGATTGTACTCTCTGCGTAATATGTGATCCCCAGTGTGCGATGGAAGACCATAATGTTCTGCATGATGCTGTCATCCCCTCCGCTAAATCTGACGTTTTATCATGTAGCGCTATCATCTAATGCGCCGCAGATGACCGGTATATGGTCGCGCGCGCACTCAGAAATGATAGCCCTGTCCGCGAGAATCGATCATCATTTGATAGCGGAAGAAGCAGACGATAATACACTACAAGTTACTGCATTACTTGGATGCTCAGCTACCGTCTATTGTCTTCGCTATCACTAACTATCGTACGTTACGAATGCCCCCGTGCACTATCAGACGCTACCGTTTCCGCGCCTACTTTGCTGATGGACCCCATACTGGCTCCCCCGCCACTATTGAGTATGATATTATTGCCTGAGTGCTATTTGACTTCTTCTGGGCCTTAACAACGCGCGCGCCTTGCCTCGCGATTCGACGTGATCAGAGCGAGCCTCAAGGCCGGGTGCGCAATGAAATGCGAACCGTGACGCTTTGAAGGCTGGAAGGCGGTGGTACCGCCTCGACCGGCGCGACGGCTCGGCGGAACTGTGGCCTCGAGGCCACTTTCAGCTGCTCTTCGTACAGACTAGTCGATGGTCTAGACGCGATGCTGCACAGAACGTCTGTGGTCGCATACCCACTCTTTTCGGGGAGCAAACTTGATCGGCGGCGCGGTGGTCTGGGCAGTCGGACCATGCGCCGACGGGCCGAACACTTGCACGTGGCTGCCACGTTCGTTAATCCCGTGCCCCAAGGTGAGTACTAATGAAATCAATAAGCTTCCATTATAAAGGCCAGAAATCAGGGTAAGCCTGATCAATGTCCCACTTACATGACGTTGATAGTCTGTTGAACAGGCGCCGGCCAAGCTACCGGCTTGAAGCTGAAGGCCTGATCATTCGCTTTCGCCATTACGATTGCGACTCCCTCCGCCATCGTCTTCCCTGCCCCGCCTGCCCTCCCTCACGTCTTGAGATGCAGTAATGCTCTCACCATCTGCCTCGTCGTCTGCTGTCACCATCCCCATACCCGGCAAGTCCATCTTGAAGCGCCCTCCACCTCCGCAGCAGTCGTTCTTCTCGCTCGCGCGACTCTCCAAACTCCTCCCGACACAGGCCCAGCAGGGCGCCGCCGCAAACGATGAGTCCCGTCCGCTCAAGCGCGCTCACTTCATTCTCCCGGAGATGACCACGGTCTATCCCATCCTGGCGGCAAATCCCCCGTCAACCCCGACGTTGAAGGAAGAGAAGCGGTCCATTGAGGAGCGCGAGCTCGAGCGGCGGCGGCGGATCGTGCGCGGGAACAATGCCTCCACCGACTCGACGTTCGACGACGACTGGTGGAGCATGGACAAGGTCGAGGGCTTTTATCGGGAGTGTTGCATTGGCCGGGAGGAGGTGCCTGACCCCGCTATATCCATTGCTTTCAAGGTACGTGCGCCCGTCCGCTGTCCTCCGCGCATATAATGTGGCCGGGACCACATGCGAGCTTCCCTTCTCGTAATCGCCTGCGAGAATGAGAGCCTGTCATCAGGCGCATGGTGTATACAGTCCCATGCTCCCCACATTGCACCCCGCACCATATATTTCTCGAAGGAAGAGACCGTCACTGAAACCCTCGTCATGTCATGTAGCGCGGTGGGCGTATGTTCCCGCGAACGGTGGACTTGTCCGGTATCCAACTGAACGTTGGCACCGCCGCAGTTCTGTCGGACGTGTTGACGATCGAGTGGGGACTGCGCAAGCTAGTGTTCAAGGAGTGTGACCTTGATGAACTGGTGAGCAGACTCCTTGCATTTGCAGATGCGCCGCCGTGTTCATGCACATGCAGGTCCTCAAACCGATACTCCATGCCCTTCTGATTCCCAACACTCTGACGTTCTTGTCAGTAGCGTCGAACCGACGCATGAAGATTCCGGCCTTCCGGCTCATCGGAGCATATGCGACGAAAGTACGTCGTGCTGTCCTCTCAGTCAGCGTAATGGCACACAAATGCTTTACAGGCCAAGTCCCTGCAGTTCTTGGATCTATCGCAAAATGCGCTGGAGAAGAAGTCCATCGAGTACATCGTGGTGGCGTTGCCCGACGCCCCTACCCCAGGCATCATCTCGTTGCGGCTGGATGACTGCCAGCTCAAACCGCAAGCCCTTGATACTCTTGGTGAGTCTAAAAAGTTACGACTCCAGAGCTGGAACTCATCTACCGCATAGCGCACGCTGTGCGGAAATCGTCATTGCGGAACATATCACTGAGGCACAACCGGATCAGCGCAACAGGCGCGGTCGCTATTGCTCTCATGATCAAGGACTACCCCGATCGTTTCCCCGCCGCAGGAGACGGCTCAACACCTCCATCCCCGGCGACATCCACGACGAATCTCCCCGGGTTCTTATCACCTCCCTCTACCCCGGTCACCCCCACAAGACCGCAGCTTTCCCTCCCTATATCCAACACCCCGGTTGCGCCACCACCCAAGGCAGGCCCTGTCCTTCCTCCACCCCGCCACCCTTCCGCCTCTCCACAAACCACATACACCCCCTACATTCCCCGATCCAAGCGGGGTGCGTCGGTGGGGGCACCCACTCCAGGACATACGAACCCTTTGGCATCAAATGGTAGGCCGGTGCCCATCATCGCGTCTTCTGCCCAGGGAGGTGTCATTGCTCGCCACCCTCCGCCTCCACCGCGGATCGCGCAGGCGAATAGTAATGGAAGGAGCGCCGAAGGCCCCAGCAAGCACGCTCCGAGTGCCGCACTGCTGGAGCAAGTCCGCGCTTTGGATAACCTCCCGCGGTTAGGCGCACTACAAACGTTGGATCTCAAGGGCAATGACATCAGGAATGGCGTCAGTTACATCGCGCAGGTTCTCAAGCGTAATCGCACACTCAAGGTGCTGAACTTGAGTGAGAACAAGCTTGATGTTCAGGGTCTTGTGGCCATTGCAGAAGCTCTGGTGAGTGTTGATCCTTTGCGTTCTCGTGACATATCTCTGAGTCCTGGGTAGAAATACAACTCCTGTTTGGAGACCCTTGATCTGAGCAAGAACCCCTGTTGTGGGCCTGGTCTGGAAGGCGTACGTACCTCCTTCTGTGACTGCTTCTGGTGTTGACGCTACTACGTAGATCCAATCCCTACGGACTGCATTCACGCTCAATAGCGCTCTGAAACGGCTATTCCTGTCTTCAACAGGAATGACTTCTGCGGGCGCCATCGCTCTCGCGGAGTTCCTTCCGGAGTCGACTTCGTTGTTGCACTTGGATTTGACCATGAATGGCATCGACATAGCTGGCGTCATGGCTCTGAGTTCCGGACTGAAGGCGAATCATGTGATGCGCTGCTTGGATCTCAACATCCCTCCCAGCGATGAAGAAATGGCTCGGTGAGTATAGATTATATGATACGTTGTTGCGCTTCTCACTCCTCCCTAGCATGTGCCGTGATATCCTCGAGTCTTGCGTTCGGAATACAGAAGAGGCCGAGAAGGCTTCCCAGAGTGGATCGAGCGGCAGAGGCGAGGCTAAAGGCCTCTGGGGCATGATTGAGCAGAGCGAGTTAGCGAAATCCATTCGGAAGGACGACAAGAAAAAGGTCGATGAGCACCTTGGCGTCTCCCCTCCTCGTTTCCTGGACCCGTCAACTGACATCCTCGCTTCCACGGAACAGACCGAGTCCGATTTCGTCATGCAGGTCCACGCGCGCAAGAAGGAGCTCGAAGACTTGCTCAGCCGCACACCTTCATGTTCGTTGTCGTTGTCACCCGCTTCAAGGCACGACGAAGAGCTGGTGGGCTCGACGAGGGAGATGATGAAGCGGCTGGTCTCAACCATCGAGATGACGGCGGACCCGTCGCAACTAGAGTCGCTGCTCACCCTCAACGACGAGCTTATGACACTTGTTGTGCGGCTGGAGCAGACGCCCAAGCGGTTGAACCCGCATGGTCTGAGCTTGGACATCAGCGGCGCGGCCACCAATGGGCATGCAAGCCACACACCAGAAGGCAGCAGCTCGTCATCACTTGATGCCCCGGAACCGGAAGACGACGAAGACGACGAGCCGATCACGCCGCGCGTGGACAAGGGCAAAGGCCGCGCTGAGCCGGAGCCGGAGCCAGTGGAGAGCATTCTCAGCCCGACCTTCCTCATCACTGAGTCTGACGATGAAGACGGCGAGCATCCTGCTGTTGTGTCAGAAACTGAGGAGGTTGAGGATGGTGTCTCGCCTCAGGATTTGTAAGTGTCGTTGCCCATCTTCAGATTGTCCCTCACTGAATACTGGCACAGGTCGCGCTTACTCGTCGAGGAAGAGGGCGAAGTGTTCCGGAAGGGTGCTGTATTGCTGACAGAAGAAGAGATGGAAGGAGAGTACGCGGGTGAGGAGCTTCGGAAAGAGGTACGTACCTTATATCTTCTTGGGTGCATATCTTCATCATGATATCATCATGGACAGCTCCTTGAGGCTATGGTGGAGCGCCCTCCTCCAAGACTGGTCGATGAGTTCGCAGAAGACGCAATCCCTGCAGACATTCCTCTTCCTCAGACGCCGACGGAAAGCCCCAAGCCCGCGCCGAGGCCGTACATCCGCCGCATGCGCTCGTCGTCGTCGACACTCTCGGTCAGCAGTACTGGCAGCCAAGGAACGCCGACAGCGTCCCCCATCGAGCGCACGCAGAGCATGCCCACCCCTGCGACTGGGAGTCCCGTGTTGACTTCCGCAGTTATACCGTTTGGCAGGAGAGCGTCCCAGAGCTCCATCGCGGAGGCTGATGAGCCTGCACCATGAGTTATCAAGGCACGTGCGCGCTTTCGCAATCTCTGTGACCAAGCCTCACATTGCATTGCAGAACACATTCACGACATCCTAACTCGGGGCTGCCTTTTGGTGCCCTCGGTGAACGTTATGGTATCTTATATCAGTGATCTACGACGTTTCGCTCTCAGTCACCTCGCTCTTGCATAGGCCATGCAGTCCCCACGATATCACCGACACTATATCATAGACCTGTTTTCTGTCTCTTTCATCAGGAGCACATTAGTACTGGCTGGCGATCGACGTCGAGCGTTACATGGTCATATATTCTGGACATAGCCATTAATCTATAGCATGCTAGCTCTCGCGAACAATGACCGTTGTCCATCGGTGGCCGTTCCATCCTCTCCGAATACATCAGACATGAGTACTTGCCCTGGCATCGCGAAAATCGTCTCGCCTCATCCAGTGCTCTTGAGACGGACATACCGTGCCGGCTCGCACCTGCGGCGCCCCCCACATTCGCGTTCCTGCGAGACGTCCCCGGTTTCCATTCAATGTGCGGCGCGCGAAACGACGCGTGTAATCGCCCCGCCCGAGCCCCGATAGCCCGGACGGCCTTCTGTTCAGAGCCTGGCAGCGGCGCCCACGACGCACGGGCCAGGCAGAGCTAGGGCCTTGAGGCCGCCTGACCCCGAACCACCACCACCACCCTACACGATGCCCCCGCGCAAGATGTCGACCTCCGAGCCCTCCGAGCCGACGCGGCGGTCGTCGCGCATCTCCGCGCAGCCCAAGACCGCCGAGCCTGCGCCCAAGGCCCCGGCGAAGGAGAAGCGGCCTTCGAAGAAGCGGGCCGCCGAGGACGCGGCGGACAGCGGCGAGGGCGACGCTGCGGACGACGGGGACGCACCGGCGGTGAAGAAGGTTGGTTTTTGTTGTGCGGTCTTTGAGTGCATACGTGAGGGAGCTGACTTTGCGAGGGGCAGACGAGGGGCAAGGAGGCGATTGCGGCTGAGGACGCAGGTGGGGGTTTCGCGCTTTTTTCGGGACGCGAGTTCGCGATTTTTGACGGGGGTCGTCGTTTTGTAGGACCTGCTCTCGAGCCGATCAGCGTGGGCGACGTGTTACCTTCGTACACGCTGAAAACCGAGAAGGACGAGGACGTCGACGTTGCGACTCTGGCCGCTGAGAAGGGCGTCGTGTTCTTCCTCGTCCCCAAGGCCGATACCCGTAAGTGTTCTTCCTTCAAGTGTTTCTCTAGGGGTATTTCCTAACATTTATGACGTTTGTTTCTGCAGCTGGGTGCACTCAACAGGCTTGCGGGTTCCGGGATATATATCCTGACTTCACCGCGGTCGACTACGAGGTATACTGCTTGAGTGCGGACAAACCCGAGGCTCAGACCAAATGGCAGACCAAGGTGCTTATCACTCGCTTCGCTATCTGCAATGCGAGTTTTCGTGATCTGATCTCGACTGCCTCGCACAGAAACATCTCCCATACCCGCTCTTGTCTGACCCCAAGCGTGTGCTGATATCCGCTTTGGGCGCGGGCGAGGGGGGCAGAACCAAGCGGAGCCATTTCATCTTCGAGAAAGGTGGGAAGCTCCTGGAGAAGAAAATGCCTGTGAAGCCTGCCGATAGGTGCGTTATCAGGGTGCATGCAGCAGGTGGTCGTATGCTGATCATTCCACCAGCCCGAAGCTTGCTCTGGAGTTCATTCAGAGCTTGGGGGCATAGCACCTCCCTCGCTTCTAGCGAGCTGCTCTCGTGTCGGAGTGTGATGCTGTCTAAATGTTATCTGCTGATGTAGCACTGTTGTCGAGCTATCTTGGTTGCTTTCGATATGTGTAATATCGTGTGTTCACTATCACTTTATCTGCCATTCGACTCCTCTTCCGTCACCCAACGGCTGAATTGCGACCGCAAGAGTGATTTTAGCAGGCTTTCAAGGCTCTAAATTTTTCTTGGGGGGCCGGCATGGGCCATGCTGAAACCCATATTGTGTGTTTGGGCCCGCTCCGCTGCGAGCACACCGTTTCGGCAGCCTTCTCCGCCAAGCGGAACAAGCGAGACGCCCATCCCTGCCCCTGCGCTGCGGCGTCATCGCGTCCACTGTCTTGTTTCGTGCCCGCAGTGCACAGGCCGCGGTGTGGTCTGACTCCTCCTAACCCACCCATCCACCTTGCTACCTCTCTCGCCCACCCTTCCTGCGTTCCACTATGCCCGCCCAATCCACGCTATCCAACGACGACAAGACGAAGGTGAAGTCGGCAGTGAACTCACCAGCGAACAAGATCTTCACCGCCGCGCTCGCGCGCATCTACTACGCCTACCCGAAGCCGGAAGAGTGGTCCTATTCGGGCCTCCAGGGCGCCCTTGCGTTCGTGCGCGACACCCAGGGCGTCTTCTACCTCAAGCTCGTCGACCTCGCCGGGACGAGGGGGATTATCTGGGAGCACGAGTTATACGAGGGCTTCGAGTACTTCCAGGACCGGCCGTTCTTCCATTCGTTCTCTGGAGATGTGAGTGGCTCACTGACGTGACATGTCTCTTGGTGTGCTGATGGGCGTGTGGCTGCAGGATTGCATGGTTGGGGTTGTGTTCTCAGACGACAGCGAGGCGAAGACGTTTTACAAGAAGGTTACTACGAAGAAGACTGGTCCTAGTAAGTTCAAACGTCACGGATATGCGAGTGGTTTCTGACGGCTGTATCAATGCAGCCAAATCCAAGTCGGGCACCCAGAAGAAGAAGACGAAGCCGGCCAAGGGGGGCAAGATCGACAAGTCGATGATTTCAGGACCTGCAGCCGGTTCCTTCAAGCACGTTGCGCACATGGGGTACGATGCAGACAAGGGCTTCACCTCAACCAACGTAGATCCGTCGTGGGATGCGTTCCTTGTCAATCTCGAAGGCCACGGAGTGACGAGGGACATCCTGGAGCAGAACATGGGCTTCATCAAAGACTTCGTACGTGAAGCGCAACAGAAGGGGCCGGATCCCAACGCGAAGAAGAAAGCTCCTCCTCCCCCAGCTCCCCGTCGAAACGTTGCGCCACATGCAGCGGCGAAACCACCTTCACCTCCTCCCACACCTCCATCGAGAACTCCGGGACGTGTCGTCCATCCTCCCGCACACGCTACCCCGTCGCCCCCGGCTTCGCCGCCGCCGCCGCCGCTGCCGCCCTCAAGGGGACCCCCCACGCGCCCGAAGACTGGACCACCACCTCCTCCGCAACCTCCTTCTCGACCTGTAGTTGCCCCTCCGCCTCCTCCGCCTGGTAGGCCGTCTGCTGCTCATCCACCCCCTCCCCCACCTCCGCCTCCCCCATCCACGAGCAATGCTCCACCTCCTCCGCCTCCGCCTCCTCCACCCCCTCCCACTGGTGGGGCACCACCACCTCCTCCGCCGCCGCCGCCGCCGCCGCCTCCTCCGCCGCCTATGGGAGGAGCCCCTCCGCCTCCGCCTCCGCCACCTCCTCCCGCAGGGGGCGGTTCAAGCGCGCGCGCAGAGTCGCCTCCTCAGGACGGACACGGTGCCCTCCTGGCATCCATCCAGGGTGCAGGCGTGCACTTGCTCAAGAAGCGCGACAGCGACTCGGCCCCTCCGCCGCGAGCCGCACCCGAACCTGCGGCGGCCGCTCCAGCGAGCGCAGGTGGGGATCTTACCGCGGCGCTCGCGGCGGCGCTGCTGGACCGCAACAAGCGGATGGGAGACAGTGACGAAGAGGATGACGACGACGAAGAGTGGGACTGAGCGCGGCTGCGCTTGGCGGAGGAGACTAGTAGCGCGGCTGAGATTGCGCGAGGCGGACGGAGATTGCGGTGTGAGCAGCGGTGATGCTAGCTGATGCGGGGACGAGCTCGAGGGTTCTCCGCGAACAATGACGCACCCACGACGCATCGCAATGTGTATCGTATGTTTCTTGATTATATTCATCGCCAGAGCCTCGAAGCAGTGCAGTTCGCGGGTGCCTGGAAGTGTGCGACGGTCCCGCACAGGCTCGCGCTCGCGCACTCGGAGGAAACGAAACAGCGCGGGCCAGGGCTAATGCAATGCACACTGGCCCGCGGCGCGCTGTGGTACCGGAGGCAGATAAGGCGAGCGGTGTGGACCGCTGCCGGATTTGGCTCATTGAGCGCGCGTCTGGCGATTGCCGAGAGATCGTTGGGCGACCTGCATCGCTGCTGGGCGGGGCACCGCCGTCTTCTTCCCCGCTCCTCATAACCCGCCCCCTCCGCTCGTTCGTCCCGCACCCAACCCCTGCACACGATGGCCGACCAACTTGTGAGTCCTCGCGGCCGCTCACCCATGCCCGCTCCCGCTCCTGACGACCGCCCTCGCTGCCCCTGTGCGCTGATACCGGATCGTGCTCTCTCATTGTAGTCTGAGGGTGAGTGCTTGTGGACGCGCCCCGCCCCCGTGCTCCCGTCTGACTTCTTTTGTTCCCCCTTCCGCAGAGCAGATCTCTGGTACGCAGATCCCACATGCGCTGAGCCGCCCTCGCAGCGGCAGAGCTGACCCTTGCGCCCTTTGCGCCCCCAGAGTTCAAGGAGGCGTTCTCCCTCTTCGACAAGGGTGAGTCTGCGCGTCCATCAGCCATCGACTGCGCCCGCCCCCCTCCCCCTCGAGCCCCGCGCACCCTCTGCCCAGCGGGCGCCTTGTGCGGCTCACATCTGTTATCGCGCCTTGCGCTCGCGATGGGCCCATCCCGTGACCGTCTAACGCGGCTTCTCGGTCCTCCCGCTTCTCGCGCTGTCGGTCTGTCTGGGCCTCTGGAGCTGACGCACGTTCCCGCAGACGGCGATGGCACGATCACCACCAAGGAGCTCGGCACGGTGATGCGTTCGCTGGGCCAGAACCCGACCGAGGCGGAGCTGCAGGACATGATCAACGAGGTCGACGCGGACGGCAACGGCACGATCGACTTCCCCGAGTTCCTGACGATGATGGCGCGCAAGATGCGCGACACGGACTCGGAGGAAGAGATCAAGGAGGCGTTCAAGGTCTTCGACAAGGACGGCAACGGCTACATCTCCGCCGCTGAGCTCCGGCACGTCATGACCAACCTCGGTGCGTGCAACAACGGGGTGCCGGTGGAGGATGTGCGGGGCTGACGCTGACGGGACCGCTTTGGGGACGCAGGCGAGAAGCTCTCGGACAACGAGGTCGACGAGATGATTCGTGAAGCTGATGTAGACGGCGACGGCCAGATCAACTACGAGGGTCAGTCGTTGTCTTCTCTTGTTGCGTGCATTGTACTGACGGTCATCTGCGGCGTTGTCTTGCAGAGTTCGTGAAGGTACGAGCCTATCGGATCATCACCGCTTTCTTTAGCCCCCATCGATCGTCTGACATGTTCGTCACAGATGATGCTCTCGAAGTAAATGCAAGTGCTGCATGTAGTTCTCATCGACTCCGTCGTTTGTATGGTATCTATATCATGAACGCTCTGTATACAAATAAGAGGGACGTTATTATCTATCGTCGCTCGGCCGATTTTCGGATGGTGACACAATGCCACACTGCGCGCAAGACATGCACAGTCAAAGGTCCGAGACAATGCAGCCCAGCGCGGCTGATGACGGAGGCCTGCAGCGCGGACCGCAGCGACGACGTCATGACTCGGAGTCGTCCCTGGCCACCACAGCCTCTCCCCGGACTCCTCTTCTCTCCGCACGCGCTGCTCCACCGCACCTGCTTCTTCTCGCGTGTATAAGAACCAGCCCTCTCGATGTCTGAGGAGGTCAGTACCCACTTACATCCTTCCCCGTTCAAAGCAACCCTCCCCTCACATACGCACATCATGTCGTCGATCGTCAACAAAATCAAGGAGAAGACCACGGGCAAGACGGAGTCCGAGCCCAAGCAGCAGCAGCCCACGAGCGAGGGCGAGCAGACGTTCTCCATCCAGCCCCACCCCGCTGTGAGTCCCGCTCGCGTGGATGCGCGCAGATAGACGCACGTGCGGTGCTCACGCCCGCATGCAGCAGACGAACGACCCGCGCGACCTCGAGGCGCCCCAGCCCGGAGGCGGGCTGAGCAGCAACCCCGAGTACGGGGCGTTCAAGGCGCGCGAGCCGCACGTCCCGTCCCCGCAGATCGCGAACAATCTCCCTCCCGCGGCGGTGAGTGGTTTGCTTGCTGCACCCATCGATGAGCTGTTGGCTTACACACGTCTGCGCAGAGCCGCGAGGAGATGCGCGCCCGGGCCGCGGAACTCAACCGCGAGTGAACATGCAGGAGGTCTAAATTCTTGTAGTCATTGTGCATTGAAGAAGCCCGGCCTGTATCATAAATCATGTACTGCATCATGTATCAGGATACTATCGCCCTGCAATTTCCATTAATCCTTGGATGTCCGGCTCGTCTTGGCTGACTCTGTGTGTCAGATGAATAACATTTGTGACCAATTGACGTTCCACGTTTACCCACATGATACCGGTCGCAAGTACTTTGTGGGCCAAGGATTGGATATGCAACCGGGTCTTTCGATTGACACAAACGGACGACGGAAATGACTATACGCAGAAACTGAGACAGGGACACGTGCGGCCAGGACAGTAGTAGGCTTCCGATTTTGCGAATGCTCGATGAACGTGTGCCGCGGCGCGCATCGCCGTGGCGCGACGTTACCGCGGTAGCGTTGCCCAGCTCAGCCGCGGGTCTGGGGGAGGGTCGGGGAGGACGAGCCGCTGGACGACGATGAAGAGCTCCCGCGAACGGGCGCTTCCGAGGAAGTCAGCTACGGGGGACGACTCTGAGCCTGGAGCGCTGATGTCGACGGGAGGAGGGGTTGTCGGAGTGCTTGGTGACAGTGTAGTGGATGGGGCAGCCGGAGGTATGTGACGCATCTGCTGTTGCTGGAGCGCTAGCTGCTGCTGGAGCTGCTGGAGTTGCTGCTGGAGCTGTTGGCGCTGCTGCTCGAACTCCCGCTGCTGCTGCTGGAGCTGCCGTTCGAACTCCTGCCGCTGCTGCTGGAGTCGCAGCTCGAACTCTTGCCGGAGCTCTTCCCTGAATTGTTGGGCTGCTGCTGCTGCTGCTGCTGCTGCTCGAGTGTCAGCTTGAAAGGGGCTGCCAGGATGAACTACTCATCAGCAGGGTTCATGTGCGAGCGGCGTCGAGTGGAGGCTTGCAAATGGGCAGTGAAGCGATGGGTGGAGGTAGATAACACGAAAGAGTTGGAGGATAGGGACTCGAAGAGTATGTGCGGCTGTCTTGTGAGTTTCTTGGACGGCTGTTGCGCATCCTGCGAGACTTGTGGGCGGCGTGACATCGATGTGGATCGCGTACGGACGGGGACCGACAGCGGTTGGGGATCTGGACGCACTGGCCGTGGAGGGACGAAAGGACGGTGGGGTTCAGGATTCGATAAGGGCTGCCTAGGGGAGACTAGAAACTTGAAAGCGCCAACTGCACGCACGGGCAGGCAAACCGTTGCGCCTCATGAGGCAACCTCAAGGCTGCCTCAAGCTCAAGGCCGTGTCCATCACGAGCCGGAGAATATCGTCCCGGGCGCCCATCCCGCTTCGCCACGGGTCACTGTGCAATTCTGAGTTCAAGATACTTAGGCGTTCAGTGTGTCGCAGGTGATGAAGGGCCTCGGGTCCCCGATCCCAATCATACACTCCCCTACGGCTCGTCCTCCAGGCGTCGAAGGGCCCTGGCATTGCGCATGGCCTCCGCACGGGCCCACTCGAGGTATTGGACGTGCTTGGGGTCTCGGAGTCCACGTCAGGGGAAGTGAGGCTAGAGTGCTGAACGTTGAACGCTGAACGGCATTGAAATATTGAAGTGGGGCTTTCAAGGCGCACGAGCCGCACATTCGGTCCCCAAAGATCGAGAACAACTAGTCCTTGAGTACTGTGAACCACCAAGCTGATTAACGTGTATTGATATACTTACAACTTATTTATATAGCACGTCCGATATGGTGTAGTGGCTAACATTATCGCCTCTCACGCGATAGCCCGGGGTTCGATTCCCCGTGTCGGAATTATATTCTGTGGTGTAATCTTTTTCTCATTTACTCAGTTGATACATACCAAGGAGGTTCCCATGTATGACTTTCGTTGACAATTACTGTGTAGGGACGGCTTGTGTGACCAGTCACTATAACGTTCCACGTGCTGGTGACGCGTACGTTTGCAGACGCCGGCAGTCGCGCGACGCGCGTTCCAGCCACAAGCCTCGTAGTCCGGGGAAGTGCTCACTGTTCTTTTCCTCTTCCCTCACGGTGCTGCTCTCTCACTTGTCTCCCGCTTGTTCCATCTTCGCGTCTACTCATCATGGTGATTGCTCATCAAGTTCTCTTCGCCATCTCAGTGCATTGATCCCCGTGTAGTCTATTATGGATTATAACGGTGGCTCCGTGATCGCCATGGTGGGCAAGGAGTGCGTCGCCATCGCCTGCGACCTGCGCCTAGGGAACCAGGCGCTGGGCATCGCGTCCGACTTTGAGAAGGTACGCACACTCACCCGCCGCTCCACGTCGCCTCTCTCACGCACCTTCGTCCTCATCTCGCGTAGATCTTCCAAATGACTGACCGGATATTCCTGGGCCTCCCCGGTCTCGCGACGGATGTAACAACACTGTACGTTCTCAATTTCTCTGTCTGTCCGTCCCGCGCCCTTCCCGCAATCCCCTGCTCAGACGTTCTCCGCGCGCAGGAAGGAGACGTTCCGCTTCCGGGTGAACATGTACACCATCAAAGAGGAGCGCGAGATCGAGCCGGAGACGTTCGCGCACATGGTCTCCTCCGCGCTCTACGAGCGCCGCTTCGGCCCGTACTTCATCGAGCCCGTCATGGCCGGGCTGCAGAAGCTGCCGTCGGGCGAGTACAAGCCGTACGTCGCTGGCGCGGACCTCATTGGGTGCCTCAACTTCGCCAAGGACTTCATCGTCGCCGGCACCGCGTCGACCAAGCTGTTCGGTGTCGCGGAAGGCCTGTGGGAGCCCGATCTGGAGCCGGAGGACCTGTTCGAGACGTGCGCGCAGACGCTGATGAACGCGGTCGACCGGGACGCGTACTCGGGCTGGGGGGCGGTCGTGTATGTTTTGTGAGTGTTCGCACTTTTTTTTGCTGCGTTGCGGATGGGAGATCGTGGGCTGCGGGGGACACGCGGCCTGCATGTCGTTTGCATGGGCATGGCGCTGACGCTGCGTCTGCAGGACCAAGGACAAAGTGATCAAGCGCACGCTCAAGGGCCGCATGGACTAGACTAATCGCACTCGCATGTATTGGTATCTGGTATTCACTCGCTTTCGCTCTCCCGTTCGTTCGTTCGGGCTCTCGCGTACCCAGGACCGTCCTGGGTGTGTTGATACTCCCAAAAGATTACAATGTAGGCTGTGGGAACCGGCCGGTGCGGGTACGACTACGTGTACAACAAGTTTATGCCTCTACTTGTCTCCCCTCTCTCGCGCCTGCGTGGGGTGTGGTATCAAAATCGTACACGGGAGGCTGCCCCTCAAGGACCCATCTCCACTCAAAAACCCGGGCCTGCCTCACCACTCACGTTTTTTCTCCTCCGATCTGGTAGTGCACTGTCCCGTCCTTGTCGACCGACAGAATCCCGGGCGGTGTCCGCGCTCGCGGCGTGCGCAGGTGCATCGGCGTTCCCCCCTCCGAGGACGCGGTCGCCGCGGCGGCCTCGAGGTCGAGCGCGAGCAGGTTCGGGTCCGTCACGATCCGGAGGTCGAGCCCCGCGTCGCGCGGCGCGCGGGAGCCACTCCTTGCTGGCCCGGTGGAGGACTCGCCACCGTCCCGGGGCTCGTGCGGGGAGCGCACTTCCCAGTTTTCATCGTCATTCCGCCTATTGGGGTCGTCACCCCCACCGTCGCCGTCGCCGTCGCCGTACCGGCTGCTCGTGTGGGTGGACTCGAACCCGAACCGCGGGTGGCGGTAGAGCGAGAGGTCGTCGGAGCGGACCCGGAACGAGGAGAGGTCGTCGGACTGGCCCCAGCTCGAGAAGTCGGACGCGGCGGAGAGCGGCGGGGGAACGGTCGAGAGCGGCGGGATCGCGGTCGAGAAGCGGACGGCCGTCGTGCGCGGGGTGGGGTCCGCGAAGCTGCGGAGGTTGAGGAGCGCGCGGGAGATGAGGATGCCGGCGATGCTGCGGGGCGTGCGTTAGATGGGACGGCGCGCGGAAGAGGTGGCGTCAGTGGGGCGCACGGGGTGTTGTAGTAGGCGGGAAGGTTGATTTCCTCACGCTGCGGAGGCAGGGAGTGGGGTGAGACGGAGAGAGAGAGGGGATGTGTGGAGAGGGCTGCTCACCCGTAGAGTGGAGGAGATTTGGGCGATGTTTATAGCAAGCAAAGCGCTGCGGAGAACCTCGTCAGGACCGTGCCGCGGCATGTGGGAACGCGACACTTACAGGAAATACAAAGTGCCTGTTGACAGTCGTACGAGATAAGCAGCCAGAACCCAATGATCTCGCAGGCGACGTCGCTCACCATCTCGCAGCACGAGTCCAGCCAGATTCGTGTGGTAGCCGAATGACATCGCGCTCCTCCTCCCCGCCGCGGTCTTCGCGAAGAGAAGGATGAGCGCTAGCATGTCGTACGCTATGTTTGCGGATTGCGCCGTCAACAACACTGCATCCGACAACCCTTCGTGGTGAGCACCTCTGGTGTTGAAGGTCGGCGGCACTTACGTTTATAGCCTATGTTTGGGTCGGTGCCCCCCGTTGAGCCGCACACCCCTGAAAATACTGAAGGGCGAGTGAAGGTGAAGCCATACTAGTGCGAACGTCAGGGAGTCGTACGAACGCCGTGCAGAAGTGGAGCGTACCAAACTCATAGCAGGTTGCACTAGACCGAGAATAAGGACGGGCAGAGCGGGTCGCCAGTCCCGGGCCCATGAAGCGTACACACGGAGTGTGGCGAAGACTGAAAAAAATGCTGTGGGTCGACCCGGACGCCTATACGCTCGAACAGAAAACAAGGACCCGTACTCACAAGTGACAACCAAAAAGGTGAAAATAAGGAACAACTGGTTTAAACGAATGTTGGCGGCACAGCTGCAAACTCAATCAGATTAGACATGTGATTGGTGCTGAAGACAGCATATAGTGCACCTCTGCGGTCTGGTCAGTTTCAAATTGCGCTATGGCTGTTCGTTACAGCCCACTCACCTCAACAGTATGGAATGAGCCCCGATTAAACGTTTCGGTGATGGCCAGGAAGAGATTGGAGTAGCGATTCAACAGAAACAGCACGCTGGATAGGCCCAGTGGTTTTCCCCATACAAAGTCGACCTCGCGGTCGAAGGTGATGATGTAGTCAAACACGTATAACACTGGGCAGTATATGCGCGTCAGTCGAGCGATGGCGGGACCCCAGCCTAGGACGCACCTCGAGAAGTCAGCCCGATGTACGAGGCCCGCGCCCTTGGGAGGACGAAACCAAACGCATTCAGCCTCTCCCTTGCTCCCACGACATCTAAAGAACGAACGAGCACTCACGAGATGTCATATTCCTGGACAAGGGCCGCCATCGCGGCCGCGGCGTGGGCGTTGTTTGCCTTCCTCATTGCTGCGCGACTCTTGCTCAGGGCGCAGGATGCGGTCGGACGAGAGGAGAGAGGGGAAACAAAGCAGGCGCAGCGCTGCTGGGCATCGAGCGGAGGTAAAGAGTCTGGAGTGCGGGAAACGTTCTCCGCCTCGACCTTCTTTATTATCTTATAGGTCCCGCGCTGCGAGAGGGGTGCCTGTACATTGCCGGACGCCGGTGTCTGCCGGGGAGGACGACGGCGAAGATGAGGAACGCGTGTGGCCGCCCGACGCCGACGAGGTGGTACGTACCTATCGGTGTTGCGAACTGGCGAGTTGGCTGGCCTGCGTGCGCGAACTTCCCTGCGACGGCTCACTAGCGACGGTCTGACGGCAATAGTTCGTTGAACGCGTGCGCGCGGGTGCGCGCGCATCGAGGTGGCGACGACTCACGCAAGGCTGGCGTTCAAAGTTCGCGGCCCACGCCGCCGCTGGGTAAACTCATGCGCGGGTCTTCGGAGTTCAAAAGCCTGACGGAGCAGACCTTCTCGCGCGAACGCCGCCGAGTCTCGAACTTCTGTAAGGCTCGGACGAGGGGGGCCGTACCCATAGTGATGAGAGGAGAGAATCAGACGCCCGGTGGTAGGTAGCCCACCTGATGCCAGATCGGCCTGCATCGTCGCCGCTACCCAAGGGCGGGCACTGAGCTTTTTGGACACATCTCCCAGGCTTTACGGGTTGTTGGTAATGTATTCGAGGGCGCATGAACTAGAAGCAAGAGCCTCGGGCCTCAGGAACCAGGCGGGTGGTGGGAGTCGTCGAGGAAGGGAGGATCAGGCGCCAGGCGCCAGCGTCGGCGATAGCTTAATGGCGCTTAGCTCCGAAGTTTATCATACTGATTCAGTCAACATCACGCTGCCTGACCACAAACTCTCGGACAAAGTCCTGACTAGATCATATGTAAAGCAACCCTCTGCGAGAGGCTGCTAGGCCCCTTCGGCAACGTCCCGACAACTCTCGGACCTCGTGCTTGACTAGAGGATGATGGGCACACAGCCAATGGAGACGAGTCCGCCCTGTAGCTCGGCGGTCAGCATCAGGCGGGCCAGAACAGCACAAGCCGACCTACTTGGCTGTTGTTCTCGCAGCACACCGTCGTCGCGCTGCACGAGCTCCCGGAACCGACGCCGATGACGGTGATGGGAGAGCAGTTGAGGCCGAGGAGGACGTCGACGCCCTCGACGACGATGCCGAGGAGCCCAAGCAGGGCAGTGCCTGCAGGCGAGGTAGCCTGTGATGTCGGGCGGGCGCCGGAGGTCAGTCGATGCATCCGATACGATTGTGAACGCATGCTTACGGCCGTGGTCGACTGGCAGCACTGGATGGGCCCGATCGTGCAGGAGCTGGTGGGCTCGGGCCCCTTCGCGGTCTCGGTGACCGTGACCGTGACCGTCGATGTCGCGGAGGTTGTCGGGGTGTTCCAGGGGGTGGCGATCGCAAGGGTGGTGAAGGTAGCGAGGGTGATGAGGGTGGCGGTCTTGAACATCATCTTGATCGACTGGAGTGCTGAGAGTCGCTAGGTAGACTGGAGAGGAGGCGGGAGAATGCTGCTCTGGGATCTGGGGGTCAGACAGTGCCCATGAGGTCGTTTATACCGCGAGGACGCACCTCAAGGACGCATCAACGTCGCCTCCTTAGGCGACAAGGCGCACAACGTCGCGCGCGGGGCCGCTCGGTTGAATACATGAATAGCGGTGACGCAGGCGGCGTTCAGTACTAGGACACAGAAGGCGGACGACGATTGGCTCTCGACTCCCTATGAATTTCTTTACGTTACGTCTGAACGTTCGTGTGTCTTCTGTCATTGCCTTGAATGTTGAATGTTGCTTGGAATGGGGGCGGTGACCGCGGTCCCATGTCACAATGCGGTGCCCGCGAATAGATCTGCCCGCACCGGGGCCGCGCGGAGATCAACGTGCCGCCGGAAGTTCGTCCGCCTGACAAGGCCGAACGAGTTGAATGCCCGAGTGACATCATCCTCAGGACTCGCGCTGTCAGATCAAGATCAAGCCAAATAGACAGACAGAGACAGAGGCCGGACGTACCAACAGCGGACGTCGGATAACGCTGTAACAGGTACACCGTCAAAACCTTGCGGATTGCGCGGCAAAAATGACGACATCGACATTGAGACCTCCACGGTATTTCGAGGGATGCTTGCGTCTATCATGCGCTGGGCGCTGGAAGTACAGAGGCTACCGGAGGAGGCGCGCGCGACGTCCTTGAGAACGACCGAAATGTATGGACGGTGGGGCCACAAGCACTGCCATATGCATGGTTTGTGTCTAGTTGACATCAATCCGAAACTGTGAGCTTATGTCAATCCACCGGATTTCCATGAGGGAACGTACGGACTCGGAGATCTATCACAGTACGAGTTCACGACCGTGGCGGATGCTTGCTAACCGCTGAGTACGTCTAATCTATAGCTACAGCCGTGCGCGCTGTGTGCTACGACCAGCGGCCGAGGCGAGAGACGAAGCTTGAAGGAACATCGTGGTCGGTGTGCAAGCGGCAAGCGCCTACCGGTCATGCCCAATCAAGCGAGGACACAGTGGCACGCGTGTTCCGGCGTTCTCCGATGCCATCTGTTCTCAGCCACCACCTCCCAGCGACTTCTGTCTATGGGCGACGCGGTGACCGTGCAGCCAATTCCCCCGTTCTTCGCGTGAAGGCAGCCCGAATCTAACCAGGTTTGCGATGTCTCACTCGCAGTGCCCGCGCCCGCACGACCCCGCAGGCTCTCGACAGCTGGGTCAACCGCTCGGGAATGGGTTTCCGTTCGCAGTCCTCCCTTCGCCTGTTCACACAGTATGTCAACCGCCTACTTACCGCCTCATGGCCTGCTCACCACCACGCTTCGTGCTCATTCAATTGAATCCCTGCAGTGGGAACTCCGCGGATCGGTCTCATCAAGCCACGTCGTGAGCTCTGCAGGCGGGGCAGCCCACTCAGCGCGCGCGCGGGACGTGGAGTCAATGTCAAGTTGTCGGATTGCACGTCGATGGCCAGATCACCGGGGAGCCTCCGGCTCTAGAATGGCGTTTAATGTCGGGCTCCTTGTTCGGGACCCTTCTCCCGCCCGAGATTGTCACCAAGTGGGCTCGTCGGGGGGACGAATTGCGTGCGCAGAATATGGGAGGAACTGCAGGCGACTCACACGGGCATCCCCGAGGCCGACGAGGTGCGGCGACCGTTTTGCTTCCCACGGCGCTGATGCCTGCAGGCTCGCGACTGTACTTAGCTGCTCCGAGCTTTCTCTTCTTCCAGCCAATGTCACATGTCTGCTCGTGCTTCGTTCATGTCGGCGGATGTGATGCACTGACGTCCGCGTTATGTCTGAGATCTGAGCTTCCGAACACGGTGGCCCGCTCCCGATATTCAAATATTCGCCATTGCCACTAGCGGGAGGCCCTGGTTATATATGCCGCCCCATATTTCACCGCTGACGCTCCTTCCCTGCAGCTTTGTCTCAGCGTGGTGCAGTTTGACGTTCTTCCTTGATATTTGATGCCATGGAGCACGCGCTGCCTTGTCTACTCGAACGGCTGAAGCGGGTATGTCATTCTCTTCTCAATTCCCCGCTGTCAACCAGCTCATCACTTCACTCCACGACTCCTCATACGCGTCGAATCATCTCCCGTGCGTTTCTTCTCCGGAAAGAAAACTCTCGCCTGCCAGAACGGGATACGATAATGCGGCAGCCAAGACCTGGAAGAGGCTTTAGTCTTGTTGATTCACTGAGGCGTTCCGGTTCGCCGAAAAGCACCTTCATAGCTCTGTTTCTTTAGAGATTGTCTCAGGGGAAGTACTATCACGTGGTTTCAGCTGTGGGTGTTCTCATCGAAAAGACGTGAAGAATGGCATCCTCCCGCTGACGCTCCAAGTTGAGCTCCAAAAGAAGCCTCCTCTCACGCCGGAACAGGCTTTCCGCGGGGTTCCCGGCCGAGCGAAGACGCGCCGAGAGGACTTGTCTGCGGTCGCTCCGTGTGCGAGCTGGCCTCGTCCTCTGCTACTACTCAACATCAGGACCCTCTCGCGACCCTCCAGTGCGTCGCTCTCGCCAGCCGTAGTAGCCGATAGGAGGAACAAGTGCGTACGAGTCATTCCGCCTTAAATGCTCAAACGTCGCTGACCTCCACCAACAGAAACAGCTAATCGCCTCGTCTCGCTGCCCTCTCGGCGTCGATGTGACGAGCCTTGCGAGCAATGCACGCCGCAAGCCGGAGGCCGATCTTCCGACCTCCTCTCCACCCACCACCTCTGCCGTACCGAGCAGCGTCGGCCTGCACCGCGATGGAGACCCTTCACCGTACGACGAGGCGGGCGTGAAGCGAGACGACGACGTATTAAAGGTGAGCGCGTCGCCCTCCAGTCGCCTCCCCAGTCCTCCGCATCGCATCCATCCGCGTCGACGCACTCTCACACCTCTCGCACTCCCGCTCAGCCCGAACATCATGGTCGCCCGCCTCTCTGCCGTCTTCTCCCTCGCTCTCGCCGTCGTCGGCTCCGCTGCGCTCATCGTCCCCCGCGTCGGCGAAGGGTCCTGCGACACCGGGGCGATCCAGTGTTGCCAGTCCACCCATGACGTGAGTAGCTTCCCGTCTTTGCGCAGACGATTCCCACCTGACGAGCCACGACAGGCGAAGGACCCCAGCGTGTCCATATTGCTTGGCCTGCTCAACGTCGTGGTAGACGGCCTCGACGGCCTCATCGGGCTCGGCTGCAGTCCGATCAACGTCATCGGTGTCGCGTCGGGCAACGCGTGCTCTGCGACGACGGTGTGCTGCCAGAACAACGCCTCCGTACGTGTCTGTCTCGTTCCCGCGCGATACGGCCCCTCGAGCTCACGCTGTTGCGCACACAGGGAAACCTCATCAACATCGGCTGCATCCCCATCATTCTCTGAAGGTCTTTCGGCCGCCGAGCAGCGCGCTGTGGGTTTCGAGCGGCCCCCTTTCGTCAGCGCATCGCTATACCTGTCGCTCTCTGTCGTCGTTACCAGTCTTTCTCGTGGTTCTCGTCAATCCAAGCATGGTTCTCGCGGTGAACCGCTATCATGTGCCTGCAACGAAGACTTGAAACCACCGCGGTGTCGTTGTAGAGACCACCCCCGCACAAGCCGCACAATTACACTCCTCAGAGCTCGACTAGGCGGGGCTCTTCTAAGCCGGAGAAAGCGTCGCGCCCGCTCTGAGCACAGCCGAGCCCCCGCGTGGTGGATGGAAGCCCATACCTCCCGGGGCCCGCCTGAGGCCTGACCGCCGCCCGCTCAAACGCAATCACCGTGAGCGACCCGCGAGCCTCGACGAGCCCAGGAAGCTCGTGCATACATACATAGCGCCTTTCACAGCCTGCGGGTGAGGTGTGCGGGGAAGCCCACAGAGCAGAACACCGAACTGCAGCCGCCAGAACCTTCTGCGCTGCCCGCCGCGGCGCGCAGCCGCCGTCGACTCGGGCCCTTTTCACCCCGGCCAACTCCGCGCGGGTTCTGGGAGACCCGTGCGCGGCGAAACGTGCATCGAGCTCGGTCAAGATCGCACTCGAGGGTCGCGATCCCACAGCGTCGAAACTATACGCGGCCATTTGCCATTCCGAGACCACAGAGGCAGGTATACACAGTGACTACTACAGCGGCGCGTTCCCTCCCCTGCCCCTTCCCGCGATCCGAAAAATATCCAGCGAGCACTCAAACATCAAACTACATAGCGTGGAGTAAGTTCCAAGAAAAGACTCCGACCAGGCACCCGAGAAGATCCAACGACGTGGAGCAGCGAAGACCGGCGTCAGCGCGGCCGCGGCGTGCAACCGCGGTGCGAACCTACGACCGACCCCCGTCGCCCCGTCCGACTCGTGGACGGGGACGCGCTTAGAGGATGATGGGGACGCAGCCGATGGAGATGAGCCGCCCTGCGAAAGAGAGAGAGAGAAGTAGTTCAGTTAGTCGGGAAGAGCGGCAGGAGAGGGGGGAAGGGAGACGCACGACGTTGTTGTTCTGGCAGCAGACGACGTTCGAGTTGCAGTTGCCGCCGCCGACGCCGATGACGGAGATCGGGGAGCAGTTGATGCCGAGGACGACGTCGACGCCCTGGACGACGATGCCGAGGAGGCCGAGGAGGAGCGAGCCCGAGGGCGAGTCGGCCTGTACATGTGCGCGAGGGTCAGCGTCGCGTCGGGCGGTGAGGGGAGGGAGAGGGGAGGAAGGAGGACTGACCGACTCGAGGGAGTTGCAGCACTGGACGTCCCCGGTGGAGCACGTCGAGCCCGTCGAGGCGGGCGGGGTCGCGGTGACGGTCACCGTCTTGGTGGGCTCACCTCCGGGCATGGCGGCCGCAAGGGTGGCGGAGAGACCGACGGCGACGGCGAGGCGGGTGAACATCATCTTTGCGGGGCGGTGGAGAGGGTGCGGTGAGCGAGGATGGGAGGGTTGGTTGCGGGGAGTAGCTTTGAACTGGAGGTTCGAGCTGAGGATGGAGAGGCCACAGGAGGGGGGTTATATACGCCTCGGGGCGCACCACATCGGCGCACTTCGAGGTTGGTTCGGCATCTGCTGGGCGCGAGCCAAACAACCACGCCTCCGTGCGCATCCCCCGCCCTGGTGGCGGTGAGAGCGCGGCGACCGGGAGGGAGCGGCGGACGAGTATTGAGCGGGCCGAAGCAGAGGCCAGGACGCCCGGCCGTACGCGACATACCCGGGAGGTGCTCGTCGCGCGCCTGGCGGCCGTGGGGCGTTCAGTACAATAATTTACACGCAAGGAGCATGCGTCCGCACCGGGGCTGGGCGATCACCAGTTCGCGCTGTGCGCACAAGTTGCCATGTCGGCACGTCCACGCTGGCGCCGGGCGTTGATGGTGGAGGAAGAAATGAAAGGAAGTCGACTGCCGCCCCTGGACGCGTCCAATGCGAGGCGTGGCCGGAGCCAATGGGGTGCGGGTTGGATCTGGAGTGTCATTGGTTGCAAGCCGAGGACGCGTGTGGATTGAAAGCCGGATTTCTCCACAACCTAGATGCGGGCGATGCCTCTGAGCTTGCTGATCCACGCCGCGGGATGCTAATGTTCACACATGACTATCGGGATACTAGTGAGCGAACGAGTTTGGGCAGTGTGGACGGGTGCACTCACCGACACCGCCCGAAGACGATCTAGTCCCCGGCTCGACCTCCCTCTCGCGCGTCCTCCGCGGGGCTCTCGTAAGAGCGGGGCTGGACGTGGGGGCGCGAGGCCTCGTCGAGATGGGCGGGCGCGTCCAACGATCAGCTTCGTCCACCGCGTCAAGCGGGTGCACTCCGCGGGCGCGAAGCGCGATGGGCCAGAAGCCACACGCGATGGTCCGTATGCATCTCAACCTTCTCGTGGGTCCGGCCAGGGCGGGGCGGGCCCGTCGGCAGTCAGAAAACGTACTCAGGCTGGATGAGGGTTGAAGGTGTAAATGCGACCGGCCGTGTTCGTCCGTCGACTTGGACGACGAGTGCTGATGGAGGTCAACTGTCCGACTGATCTTCGCGACGCCGCCGCGTCACCGTGGTGCACGGGCAGAAGTGCCGGTACCGTCGCCGCAGCCCGTCGCGGTGAAACCGCGCAAGTGAAGGTTTCGCCCCGTGCTCTGTATTCCGCACCACAAACCAGCCTGGACACAAGGGCGGCAGTGCCGTACGTGAGCGTACGTCAACGAACCGTGTATTCAAAGCTGAACGTTGAACGTGCTCACCCCCGTGTCGCAGGCCCCACAACGTGCGTGCAGGCACACACAGGCTAAACGCGCTCTACTTCCGCCGGTAGGAGTGCGCAGAGCCCGAGTGGAGGGAAGGAGAGGGAGAGGAGCCTTTGCGCGGCCAATGCCACGAGCCAAGAACTGCCGCGGTTGAGCAACGAGGGAGACCAGCAGGAAGTCCGCTCCGCCCGCACAGTCGCCGCAGAGCATGCGCCGGGTGGAGCGCGACGACATCGACTGTCGCCGCTGGTGCAAATTGACGAGGAGGGGGTGTGTGCCGCGCGAGGGAGTCCCGCGGCGGTTGCTCGACGCCGTGCTGAATCCTCCACCAGACGCCCTGAAGGCGCCCACCGCCAAGCCGGCAACATGGAAGCGCCCATTTAGGGGCTCGCGGGTTGATCCGTGAGGCTTTTAAGGTGGCTGCTCCCCATCCTTTTTTGGCCTGGCCTATTCTTCGACATTAGTACGGCAGACTTGGGTCGGCAACACACGGGCCTCGCCAGCTGACCGCGGCCCAACGCCCGTCGTGAGAAGAGACCGGGACATTGAGTGAGAGGCCGGACCCAGCGATCGCACGTTTCCGTCTTGCCGCGGGGCGTGGCTCTCGACCCCCGATATTCCAGACGCCCACCGTGCGGTTCCCCCCGGGGCCGATCCATCCGCGAGGTATTATGTGACGACTACGTACACGCACGGCGCCCAGCGACCTCCATCCCGACGAGCGAGTCGCAAATGAGAATCCCATTTGTCGTGCGGCGAAAGCTAGGAGGGAGCTTGGCGGCGGCAGAACGCGACGAACTTCGAAAGTTCGAAGCCGGCGGACGGCGTTTGCGCATTTTCAGTTGTTGCAAGCGCAGGTCGACCCCGTCCGGCGATGTGCGTACGCCTCCCATCCCAGCCTGACACGCGTGTCCGTATAACCTCCGGTTGTTCTGGCCCACCGCCACTGGCGCGACCATGGCTCGTCTCGTTGCTCTTCCATGCCCGCCAAGCGCGAGCGTAGTGCGCGCGAGGCCGAGACTCGGGGCTTGGGTCTGAGGACCAAGCTCCCGACGACCAGAGCACTCGGCGGTGAGGCTGGGCCCTTCGCGGCCAGTGGGCAGTTTTGACCCTCGAGCACTTACGAACCGCAGCGTGCGGGTCTCCGCGACCGGCGCCGCACTAATCGCATCGAGAACGCATCGCAGAATGGGTTGCGTGCGCAATCTCCGTTCGGCCGTACAGCCCCGGACGCCCTACCTGCCGACCGACATGAACGCAGACCACGAGCGCGAAAGGGTGGCCCATTCACTTCAAGGACGGATGTCTGGTGACCGGGCACCTCGTCGATGAGACATCGAGAGCGTCATATCTTCTGTGTGCCCGCGTCAGCGATGCGCGAATACGATGCCACCAACGAACCTGACTGTGCGGCAAGGGTCCCCGTGGGTCGCGGCGATACGCCACCCTGTTTTTTGGGGCTCGCGTCATGTCGTGCTGCGCAGAATTCAGATAGAACCTCAGTCGAATGTCCTCCGGCGCGCGAGGACGGAGATGGCTCTTCGCCTGCTGCTTCCGTCGTTCTGTCGCGCTCCGTTTGGGCCTTCTCCGAGTAAGGATGAGCCCGTCGAGCACCGAGCGGTGGAAGAGCCAAGAGGAAGGAGAGGAAGGGAAGGAGAAGGGTGCTTGCTGCTTTTTGCGCGCGAGCGCGCAGAATCAAAAGCGAAACAGACAGACGCGCCGTTTGGGCGTGCAACGAGCTCGCTCCCGCGCAAGCCCGGCGTCACGCAGCACGACACCTCGCCTCCGCACAAGGCGCGTTGCGGGCTCCGCGCAGAGTGAGAGGGGCGGGGCGTGCGATGGACTAATACGTCGCCCGCGACGCCCTCCTCGGCCGTGCGGACGGTGCGTGTCGCGGGGGGCTCGGTCCCGGTGGGGCCTGCGCGCCGTGGAGGGCAGCAGCGAATGAGCGATGCTGATACTGACAGCACGACGCCGTCACGGGGTGTGACGCGGGTGTGCGTTTGAAGGTTTGAACGCGAATGGCTTGGGTCAGAGGGTGTCGACGCGTCGGGTAATGAAGTCATGGCGAGGCACGATTTGCGTGCGCATGCCCGTCGCGAATGATCGATGATCTGCAGGGTCGGGTGGTGCGGGACCGTGGGTGGCCGTTGGCTTGAGTAGGTTCAACAAAGAGGGCTAGGCTAGGCGATAGTATATGGCCGAGACACAGGTGAGCGAGCGTGACGTCGGAGACGTCGACGGCTCCGCGCGCACTGCGAGCACGTGAGAGGGGCAGCACCGGGAGCACTGCAGAACAAGCCCGCCCGAGATGGAGCCCCACGAATGGCGTCGACGGCACTCGACGCGGGCGAGACAGTCGACAGCGGCAGATTTACCCGGGCGGGCATCCCTGCCTCCCTTCCTCGCTCCCCGGGTGTGCGGGCTGCGACGAAAAGCCGAGGTGGCAGGAGGAACGGTTGTGCGCCGGATCCGTGCGCGTGCGTGCATCCGTGCGAGGGGGCGGAGATGGAGAACACATCAGGTGTTCAGTTGCAAGCTATGCTAGTCTGGGGATGCTTGCTTCGAGTCGGCCTTCATGTTGGGGGCCGCGCCGCGCGCGGTCTTTAGGCGGCAGAGGACGGGGTCTGCGCGGGTGACCGGGAATGAGGACTGTTGAGAAATACAAAGACGGCTTGGTGGCGGCCTGTGCCGCGCTTTGCACGACTGGAGAAGTGAACGTCCTGTTTTCGTCGCCGCCGTGGAGTAGAAACGTTTTGATCCAGTTCCCACGTGTGCTCCGTCGTGATCCGTTGCTGTCGGCCTGTGGGTTCATTTTCCGCCTTGCCCTCGGTTGCCCGCAGCCGACTCGGCGGGTCTGCCTCAAAGCAGCAAAGGCGTTCTACAACGGGACGCGCCCAAAGCTCGTCAATAATACCAAAGGCAGACTGGGAAAAAGGTGCTCACACTGGGACGACAAGTGAATGACGAAGGCCTTCTCATACTTTCGAACGAGGGTTCCCAGCTGTGGAAAAAAACAAGGACAGATCATCATCCGTCCCACTTCTATGCATCAATCTTCGCCTAAAGCTGGTCGAACTCACCGCATCCACATCGCACGTCCAATCATCTCCCGCACGGACAGCTCCCAACTTGCCGCGACCTCCCTTCGCAAGGCGCATCGCGCGCCGACGCGGCCCATCTATCTTCCGTGTCGTCCTCGACCCACCAATCCGCACGAGCCACCTCGACGTGCTGAGTGCAGCTGTCACCGTCCAGTCCGAATTTCTGGCGACAGAAAGGCAGCAACCATCTCCACGTGCCGTACAGCCCGCCTGCGTACGGCATCCGTCCTTCTCTCCTTCGCCTTCCCGTCGGACATGTCGCGGGTCCCCAACGGCCGTGGCGCGTTCCCCAGAAGCATTGCGGCGGCGCTGGGGCGGGCGCGCGATCTGGTCCCGCGCGAATGCCGCCGTCGCGCGCTAGAAGGCAGAATGCGCGGGGGGCGCGCGCGCGCGCGTTCTCTGCGGTTCGGTGCGAGGGTCGCTCAGACAGCTCCGTGCGTGGTCCACCCTCGTTCGCTCGCGCGTCGGGTCCACACCCAGCGAGCGCTCCTGTCGGTGCATAAAACGGTGAGGGGGCGGAGCGGGGAGAGGGCAAGCTCAAGGTCAAACGCACCCTCAGCTCTCATTCGCTCATTACCCACTCGCTCCTTCAGCCTCTTCCTCCCCACCCTCTCTCATCCAAGATGTTCACTCGTGTTGCTGCTTTCGCGCTCGCCGCGCTCCCCCTCCTTGCGGTCGCCACCCCCCTCGCGGCGCGCGACGACTGCTCCACGGGCCCGATCCAGTGCTGCCAGTCCACCGAGTGGGTGAGTGCTGCTGGCTACGCCTATTGGGTTTAGAACAGATGACTGACCGCGGCGCTGCAATTTAGTCCTCCTCCCCGGCGGGCTCTGCCCTCCTTGGCCTCCTCGGCGTCGTCGTCCAGGGCGTCGACGTCCTCATCGGCCTCCAGTGCTCGCCCATCACCGCCATCGGCGTTGGTTCCGGCAACACCTGCAACGCCCAGGCCGTCTGCTGCCAGAACAACAACGTCGTACGTGTTTCGTGCCCGCCTCTGTCGATGGGCAGCTCAGCTAACAGTCGCTTCTGATAGGGCGGCCTCATCTCCGTCGGCTGCGTCCCCGTCTCCCTCTAATTCCTTCCATCGGCGTGGCTGGCGGAGACGTGGGGAAGGGACGGACTTCGATACCTAGTGGCTCGGCTTCTTGGATTCAGAGATGTAGTTGGTCGATCTAATCGAGACATTGCGCTCTCCCTCTTCGAGTGAACCGGAATCGTGCACAAGCGAGTAGATAGTCCGCGGGGACGTGGCGGGTACTTGATTCGACACCCTAGATGGCTACCGCAAGGCCCAGAACAGTGGAGGTGGAGGCTGGGCGAGATCTGAGCGGAGACGAGCCTGGGCGGAGCCGTTGGCGACGCTTCTGCCGGCTTCCTGCCGGCGAGGGCTGTGAGCGCGGGGACAGGAAAGGTGAAAGGCAGCCGCGCGCCATCGACGATTGAGAGAAACGTGAACGGGGGCCCGGAAGGACCCGCCAAAGGTCGACGAAGGCTCTTCACGATGCCGCGGCGAACCGAGGCGTGGGTGATCGGGGACGTGTGTATGAGAAGAGGGTGCAGGTTGAGCGACTGGCCATAGTATCTGCCCGACGACCACGAAGATCCCGGTACAGCGATGACTTGTCGTGTGCGCGCGCGCGCGACGTCGGTGCTGTTGCGCTGTGAACTGCGCCTGAGGATGTCAGAGAGTCTCGACTCCTGTGAGCTGAGAGAATGCGTGTCTAGCAAACGTGCAGCAGATTTTGAGGACAGAAATATATGCTGTTCAAGAGTATGAGATGCAGTGGCGTCCGCGAGGAGCCAGTCGTTGAAAGCCAACTCGTCGCTCGAAGGAGAGTGAGGTGGTGTAGACGCCCGCGCCCCTCGCGCTCATGTGATCACGATTCACGAGGCGCGTCCGGGCTCGTCCGGAGAGCTCCACAACCACCACTTCCACTACGGTCTCTCTCAACAACTGCTCCCGCCCCGTCCTGTGTCTTCTGTATGCGCAAGTGACGCCGTCCCCTCGACCCAGCGACTACGCGCTCTCGATCCTTTCCCCACGCCGGACAAGTCGATCGCAACCCCGTCACTTCCCCAGCACACATGGCAGCCTTTGCGCGTCGACCGATGCATCCTTTGCGGCGGGACCGACCAGGAGGCGGAGGACCTGTATAAGGCTCGTCGTCGTGGTCTGTCTCTCTCATCCTCTCTCTTCTTCCTGCCCCCACCCACGATATCCACCACCCCGCAAATCTCAGCATGCAACTCGCCCTCGCCACTGCCGCTCTTCTCTCTCTCGCACATGCTATCTCTCTCCCTCCCACCGCAACCTTTCCTCGAACCTACTCCTCAACGTCCTCAGTATCCCGTGACGTCGGAGAAAGCCTCTGCGTGTACGCCAACGCGAGCAGCTTGACCGGGCTCGATCTCCATGGTGTAAACCCCGATGCCACCTCTGCCGACATCAACATAGACACTTGTTTGTGTCTGGACACCCTCCCGCTGTTTATTCAGCACGACCCTCGCGCGACTTTTCTCGTCAAAGCCGTTGGATCCGACGAGGCCTTACGCCGGCTACAGGTTGCTGTGAGTGGTACCCTCATCTCGCGCGCATCTACGGCAGCTAATTCTGCGCGCGCAGCTCGACAGCACCGCGCTCGCGAAGACCTGCGCTTATCCCGCGCACTCGCGCCCTCAATGCTCTCGCGACGACGTCTGCGGATTCACGTGCGACGCGCCCTACGTCGCCGAGGGCAACGACTGCGTTTGCAAGGCACCCGGCGGCTGCCGCTCCTCCCCGCCGGGGACCTGCAAGGTTGCCGCGAAAGCGGGTCGTCTCGCCGCTACCGCCGCCGTCGAGATCTCGACGCACGCCGCCGCTCAAGCGACCTGCAAATCTCACGAGACGGTCAGTCAATCTGCACCGTGCCTCTGCCCTGACGCTTCGTGCGCTAAGATTGAGTTGCTCGCGCAGGTGTGCGGCGTGCCTGCCCACGACAGCGCCGCGGACCGGTTTGAGTGTGTGGACGTCCAGACCAGCCCAGACAACTGTGCGTAGCTTGTTCTCTTTTACAAATTGCGTGCCTGTCCGCAATCTCCGTCCCCGATGTGCTCATCGACCTTTCTCATCTCGTCTTCGCAGGTGGGGGCTGTATGATCCCCGAGCCGTTCAGGCACCCGCACGCTGCTGCCTCACAGGGCGTACTTGGGATCAACTGCACGGCGATCAGCGACGTCGACACCGTCTCGTGCGCCGCCAGCGCGTGCGTCGTCGAGAGCTGTCTCGTGGGGTGGGCCGTTAACGCCGAGCGCTCGGGGTGCCTCGAGATCGGTGAAGGGTCCGCCGTCGCCCTGGCTCGCCGTGGGGCGTTCCGGGCGGATTTCTCGCGCGTCGCTCGCGAGGCCGATATCCCGAAGCCGAAGGAGGACTTCTTCTGGCGACTCCCTGAGTACGTGCGCGAGCAGTCGGTGAAGCCCCGCGCCTTGTAGGACATACGGAAGGGCTTTGAGACAACTGTTCTGGTTTTCGAGGTTCTGGGACAACAGCTTTACCCGCTTTCTAGTGTTATTTGAACTACCTGTAGCTTTCCACTCTGAATATACGCGACACCCACCGATTGCGTCGACCGACACTGACAGACTCCTTCCCACAAGGACATGTGCAACGAGACGCGCATGGGCGCTAGCTGGCCTACCGCCTTCCCCGCACCGTTAGCATACATCCCAGTCCCAGCCTCATACCAGAGCTATTCTACGCCGCACCCCAACGTTATGCTTCCCATAACAACCAATGACTACGCGGATATGCAAGTATCTCTCCTCGTTGCGACGCGTATCCGCCCCTTCAACATCCATCCAAGGCAGACAATAGCTCTTCATCCGAAGACAGCCATCTCATAATGGCCGGACGAAATCACGCAAGAGGTTCTTTCCGAAGCCATTATTCCATTCTGGTATTACGATAACATCCACAGGATCCAATCCACCGTTGCGCGCCCTCTAACCAAGCGGAGCACTGGATGCTTAGAGCATGATGGGGATGCAGCCGACGGAGATGAGGCCACCCTGTCGCGCAAGAGAATGTGAGTGCACATTCGCCACGAACATCACATGCGAGACTTACGACGTTGTTGTTCTGGCAGCAGACGGTCTGCGACGAGCACGAGCTCCCGCCGGCGCCGACGACGGAGATGGGGGAGCACTGGAGGCCAACCTTGCCGGTGATGCCGCTCAGATCGACGCCGAGGAGGCCCACGAGGGTCGAGATGGCAGTCTCGGAGCTCTGCGGGACGAAGAATGTGGTCAGCGTGCAGTCAAGGGCACGAAGGAGCAGAGAGAACGCACGTCGTGGGTGGAGTTGCAGCACTGGACGGAGCCGGTGTTGCAGTCCCCACGGCGGACGGGGGTCGCGGTCGCGGAGAGCGCGAGGGCGAGGAGGGAGAAGGCGGCGGTGCGGGCGAACATGGTAGGGAGTGTGTGGGTGGGTGGGGGGTAAAGAACGACTGGTGAGTGGGTTTGAGAGACGAGAGAAGAGATGCGGACTGAGAGAGCGCGATGGGGAGCTGGAGAGGGCTGGAGAGGGCGTATTTATCCCCGTCGTGAGCGCGCCCGAGCCGTGCATCGCACCCTGGCACTAACTGGCAGGCGAGTCCGCGGCGTAGACGTACGCGTGCGCAGGCTGCGTACGCGTACGTGTTACGCGCGCTACCTGTGCCCAGGCGAGGGTCTGGGGTAAACAGCTTCCATTGCTCCGATTCCCTCACGAGCCTCATCGTCGGCTCCCATCAATGGTAATTATCACAATCGACGGAACGGGGCGCTGTCGGGCTTGTATTCCACCCCAGGCCTCAGACTTCTCGGCGCCCCGCGCGGACTTTCCACTCAAGCGGCCCAATGCGCGCGCGTTCCGCTCCCCGCTCCGTGCTAGTCGCGCAACAGCAATGGTTTCTTCCTCCAGCCTCTGTTGACCTTCCGCGAGCTAACTTTGAATGCCAGCGGCACCAGGGGCCTCCAGTGGGGGGTGTGTCTGGACTATACGGTATAGTATACGGCACTCGCCCGGTGCCGCGCCTATGTGACGGCACCTCAGCGCCACGTAAAGGGTCGCGTCGTCGCGTAAGTTTGCTAGGCTCTTCACATCACGCAGGGTTGGGCTCGTTTGCATGAACCGGTGGTGCGGCCTGCGCGCGAACGTCAGAAGCAAGCTATGGACAAGACGGCAGGACACGCTTTCCGCCATTCCGGGGTCCTCCCTCTCAATTCTGTTTCCACAGCATCATCGTGCAGGCATTCACAAGTACGTAGCATATGCTCGCCTTCACGTCCACATCGTATGCACGCTTACTCTCGTCCAGCAGAAGACCAATATATTCTATTATGCAATCAACAATAAACCCTTGAAACCCCCGAAGCGCATGAACAAAAAACCATCCATCCCCTCGTTCCGCCCGCACGTCTCGGCGCGGCCTTCCGCTCCAGAACGTGATCGCGCGCATTGAGCGGAATTGAGTCCGCCCCGCAAAAGACCGACATGGTGAGCGAGCACCCCCAAGAACAGGACATCCGTTTGAGACACCCACGACTTCTTGTTCATGCAGCAGACGGGATCGGCGAGAAGTCGAGGCCGATAGGCGCAGCGGCGTCCCGGACGACGATGCCCAGGAGGCCCAGGAGGAACGAGGCCTAAGCCGAGCTCGCCTGGTGGTGCGTGCATGGCCGTCAGCGTTTGCTGTCTCGATGAGCAGGCGCTCGCAGCACTGGATCGGGCTAGTGCTGCACGTCTGGCATGCCGCGAGCTCGACGGGGTGGCGACCGCAAGGAGAGGGACGGCGAGAGCGGTAATGCGGGAGAACATCTTGTTAGGTTGGTTGGGTCGAGAGGTCGAGAGGACTCGTCGAGGGCGCTGGTCTGCTGCTATCTCAACACCTTGGTACGGTCTCTCTTATTTGTTTGCTCCTCGCTTACACATCCACTTCCATTGTCAGCGACGTCGATTGGACGTAAACGGAGAGCGTCCTCGCTGAATGGCAGTCCGCACCGGGGCCCAAGACGGTGACCACGTTCAATCGCTGCATTCGGTAGTCATTCCATTCGCCTTCGTGCTCGCACCGTGCTCACAGAAATCCTGTCTTGTGTCCATACAGGTCCAGTTGGCACGGAAGAGAGCACCCTTCTCGAATCTCTGGCAAGGGCTTCCGACCGCCGTCAAGACCTCCACACCGCTCCAGCACAGCGTGTTCGATCTGTGAGGTGTCGCCGCGATGACGATGTCCTGGTTCAACCGCCTTTCAGACCCCTCCGGGCCGCGCCTCGAAACTTTCGCTCCGTCCCCACACGCTGCGCAGGACCTCGGGCCTCCACCTTTTCCAGGACCCGCGCGGGGTGGTTCCGGTGTGAGTGGACTCTTTTTTGTTCATCCCGTCTGCCGAGTGCGACGATCAGCTGCCTTGGAAGTCGCGGTGCCCCAACCGATGAGAGAGTCGAGATGCGACCAGTTCATCCTTCTGGATCTCCTGGCGGCGGCCGCGGGCTGTGTCGAGCCCCTTTGTTCTCGTCTCTCGTGATCCTTCCTTTTCTTCCGTCTGACAGGTTCCCCGACCCCGAGCTGACATTCCTTTTTTCATCGCCTACAGACAGCGCGTTTGTGGAGCTACCTCCCTACCGCGGCACGAATAGACCGTCCTCAGAACCCAGAGTGAGCAGTGGGTAATACATTCCATCACTTGCAGGCCGGCGCCGGACTCTTGCCGCGGCCGTGACGGCCCAGGCCACGGTCGACTCTCTAGTACAGAATACAAATCGGAGATGAAGCGCACCTCGAGGCGCTCTTCCCCGCCGACAGATCCGGACGCGCGCACGCAGCGATGTTCTCGTGCGCCGTGTCGTAAAGTCGAAAAAGTTCCCAGTCCGAAAGTCGGGTCAGCAGCCCCAACCTGCACGACGTGGCCGCGAGGCAGCTGGCTGCGGCCACCGCGCCGATGAAAATACTCGATGCAAAATGAATCCGTCGGGCATCTCCCGGAATGGGGTCCAGACGCCAACGGCAACATCCGGTATGTTTGTGTTTCCTCTCTCGTCCGTCGCGCCTTCTCCTTCTGTGCCAGAACACCAAAGGCTGTCTCCTGCACTGATCCCCGCGCGCCGGTCTCGTCTTCTCCCTCGGGAGCCTCGGTGGAGAGTGCTCGACGCTCCACCGGCGCGCGGACGAGATCCGGATCGTATGCACGTACCCACCGGGGTCGAGCGCGAACCCAAGACCTTCGTGGTCGTGCACGCCGCAGCCTCGACACCCTCTCCACCGCTCCAGGCACACCAATCGCGCGAGCATGGGTCGGACAGCAGCGGGGAAGCCCTGACCTCCGCGCGGCCACTAGCCCCCGCATTCAGTCCAGCGCGGGGGAGCCGCTCGCCTGTGATCGGTGGGCATGGGGCGGGGCACTGCGGCGGGTGTCCCACGCTCGTCCCCGCCGCCCACGAGGTGCGACGGTCCCGGTCGGGGGCGAAGACTGGGGTCTGGCCCGAATCGAGTATATACGCTGCTCACGGGGGCGGCGCCGAGCGCAGGGGGCTGTCGGAGTACGCGGACGTCGCTGTCGATGCTTGAAAATCCCGGCGGCGCGGCGTTCACCACAGCTGCGCACGCACCAGGAAGTCGGCTGGCCAGAACGTTCTGCAATAAGACTCACATTTGGAATTCGAATCCGCGAACTGGCAAGGATGCCCATCCGGGCGCCTGCTCCTCTATCCCACGCTGTTCTTGCGCGCCTTCAGTACTTCCTGTCGTTCACTCCGCTCCGCCCTCCCTCCTCGACGCTCATCCACTCCAGACCCGCAAACACCCGCCAAACCAAGCTGTCTGCTGCTCGTCCTGTCATCCCCCATGTCAGCGTCGGTCCGCCGGCTGCGCTGAGCTTGTCAACGCGCATTCTGTCGGTCCGTGGACCACGCTGGGCTGTCAATGCTCTGACGGTCCCCCACCCTTCGGCCTCCTTGTCCTGGTCCAGTGCGCACGCCAAGTCGCCGAATGGAAGACGAGTGACCCGGGTATGTGTGCACGGGCAATAGCATGCACGGCGGTCGGCGTGGCTGGCTCTAACTGACGTTGGGCTTCTCTGTACAGATGCCATCTGCTATATACACCTGCTGCTCCCGGTGAACGCCGCCCGCCCGCCGTGCATAGCACCCCCCGCGCGTGCATAAAGGCCGCGTAGCGACCTCCCGGTCTCGCCAGTTCGTCCTCGCCTTCGAACCACCTCCCCGAGCCAGCCCGCCTCCAGCTTCAGCCTCGCAGCCATGTACGCGCGCATCATCGCCGCCTTCTACTTCGCGCTCTCGCTCGCACTCCTTGCCGCCGCCATTCCCGGAGGCGCGCCCCCACCGGCGACCACCACGGTCACGGTCACCGCGCCCGCGTCCGCGCCGACGGACGCGTGCAGCACCGGGCCCGTGCAGTGCTGCAACAGCGTCGGCTCCGTGCGTGTCTCTCCTCACCTGACCCCGTCCCGTTGCCTTGTGCCATCGAGCCCGTTCTGACCTCGCTCCGCAGGCGAACGACCCGGCGTTCGGGCTCCTGCTCGGGCTGCTCGGGATCGTCGTCGACGGCGTCGACGTGCTCCTCGGCGTCGACTGCTCGCCGATCAAGGTCGTCGGCCTCGGCGGCGGGTCGTGCGACTCGAACGTCGTCTGCTGCGAGAACAACAACGTCGTGCGTGCACCGCTCGTCTCGTTCGGAGCTCGGGGTGCTGATTTTGGAATCTGCACAGGGCGGCCTCATCTCCATTGGCTGCATCGTCATCATCCTCTAGGAACGCAGCGCATCTTTTTCTCGGTGGCACGCTGGGAGGAGGGGCGCCGTTCGGGTCCGAGAAGGGTAGCACGAACTTGTTGGAGATCAAAGTCTTGAATGGGAACTTCCATGCAGCTGGTGCTCGTTCCTAGAAGTGCGCGACCTTCATCGACACCGAGTTGGGAAGAATCACATGCCGCAGACCGCGCATGAAAGTGGCCTGGACCTTCCCGTTGTCCGTCGCGTGCATGACGGCGACGAGGACGTGAGGAGGCCTCTCTCTGCAAACAACCTGAAACGCGCGAGGTGCACCGTGCCGTCAGTCTCCCCCTGGCGGACCGAGCTCCGCTGCTCCGGCATGCCGGGTCTTTATTTCCACACTGGTGGCCAGGCTCGCTGATAATTGAGTCGACAGTGGTAGATGTACACCAAGTCGGGTGGATCGTGAATGGGGTGGGGAAGAGGAGACGCAGGCATTCACCAGTCGGTAGTTGTTAGGAAAAGGAGATCGGGACATCGCCGAGAAAGAAGTTCACCATGAAAGAATCCGTGGCCGTCCGGGTCGTCGAGTTTGCCGAGCTCGCGACATGAGCCGCTTGCTACTTGACGGCGTCGAAGAGGAAGCAGTCGGGGAACTTGGCCTTGATGCGCTTCTCGAGCCACCAGTAAGGGCAGATGTAGGTGATGGTGGCCTCGTCGCTGGGGCCTCCACCGCCGGTGATGAGGCCGACGATGCGACCGTCCCTGGCGAGGACGATGGACCCGGAATCACCAGCGTCGGAGAACTTGGGGTGCTGCTTGTCGTAGCCCAAGACGGCGATCTCGATCGCCGTGTGGTGGATGTCGTGCCGTCGTAGTGGCGGGTGAAAGACTCGAGACCGTTGACGCGGCCGACCGTCGTCCCCGTCGTCAGCCCGTTCTTCACCACGAGCAGCACTTCTCGTTGTGGACGTCGAGGTGCTGGGGGTTGCGGAACTCGGCGTCCTCACAACGCCATGAGCCTGCAGGAGACCGTCCTCGGGGTAGCTGTAGTTCGCCCGGTCGGCTGGCTGCGAGAACATGGTTTCGGCGAAGTTGGTGATGGACATGTTGCCGCCTGCGGAGGGAAGGGGAAACGGTCGTCAGCCGGAAATCAGGCGACGAGGATCGGATGCAAACAAATACGTACCGACGTAGACCTTGTTTCCCGTGAAAGTCTCCCAGTCGATCTTCTCGTCGTACAACTCTACCAGGGCCCAATCCTCCATATAGCCGTAGGGCTCGGCCGAACCTTGATCTCCTCCGAGTGCAGGACGAAGCCGACGGCTCGCTGGCTGGGCAAGTGCGGTACTTGGTGACGTCGTCGTGGAGCGCATTTGCCTCCTCATTCTCTTCACCGCCTTCTCTATCAATACTCGTGCTCCTACGACTCTCGGTCACCTTGGGATTCTCCCCCTCAACGCTTTCCCAGTCTCTTGAGTATGGCGTCCCAAACTTCGATGGACAGGACGAGGTCGCCGATCTCCTTCATTATGGCACCAACTGCGTCGGTATAGCCCCCCTACCAAGCGCAACGATTTGCTCGTGAGCCTGGCCCGTCTCTTCCGCATTGTCATGCCGTGTTGCGGGAGACGGGAGGGGGGCGGGCGACGTGAGCGCAGGTCAGGATGGCGACACGCTTGTCGTCTTTGCCGAGGCGGTAGTAGAGAGCGCCCGTCCCTCGTAGTGGGGTGCTTGAGGGTCGCGAGAGAAGACCGAGAGTGCGGTGAACGGCTTCCGCAGCTCAGGGACGTCGTCGAGGAGGGGGTCGAACGAGAGGAGCCCGGGAGTCCTGGCAGCGGCAGCGACTCCCGAACGCGTGACGACCGACTCCACGATAGCCACCTCGATGGTAGGGAATCCAGCCTCGGTAAGGATACCCTGGACGGCCTTCGCGCGGAAACAGCGGCACCGTAGAGAATCGAGTAGGGCTTCACACCGATGGAGATGACAAAGGGGCAGAACGGCTTCGCCTCCCCGGCGTTAGCGTAGGCGAGGGGGTTGATGGAGGTCCACAGCACGCTGGCAGAGTCGAGGCTCTTGATGATACGATGGCCGATAGAGAGCCAAGTGGGCGCGATGGCGTGACCGTAGATGGGGCGAGGCTCACGGACGATGCTCTGAGCATCGGGACCCTTGCGTTTGGGCCACTCAGGGCCGGTCTTGAAGACGCAGGGAGTGCGGCTGCCGTAGAAGTCGGTATAGGCATTGGCGTAGTTGGCCGTGAGCCGATTCTGCTGCTCCGCACTGTCGGGGGAAGTGGCAGCAGTCGGGGGAACGAGTGTCTCGGTGGGGGAAATAGGGAAGCGGCTCCCCTGCAGGTCCCACTTCGAGATGGCCAGGCAGGCGGCGACAAAGTCCTTGTTTATGCTGAGGGGGACCATGAACGACACTTTCTACGAGAGAGTAGAAACAATGGTCAGCGACGGGAACCCGTTCGGGGAAAGGGGAAAGGAGAGAAAGGGAAAGGAGGTCAGACGCGGTATTTACACGATTGGCGCTTGTCACTTCTCCTGACCCGCCATCTTATCTTAGAGCTCGTCCACTCTGACTCTGTTCCGGCCCCACCGTCTCGCCTTTACTCTTACTTCCACCCTCTGCACCTCTTTGGACTGGGCTTCCCTCGAGTTCGATCAAACCGGAATCCTCCCATCTCCTCCTCCAACAACCCCATCCCGAATGACCGCTCCCGCGTCGCACTACGTACACGCATCGGTGCGCTATCGATGGCCGCTCTCAAACTATTACTAGTCGAGCCCGAGTCGCGCAGATTTCCCCTCGTACCCCTCCCACTTTCCCAGCCCGTCCGGGACGTCGAGCATCCGCGTCCCGTAGAAGATGTGCGCCGTCGGCCGCACCGCGTCCCAGTCGGCGATGCGCCCCGCCCCGTCCGGCGCCGCTGTCGTGCGCGCGAGGTGCGCGCCCCACACGCTCCGCGTCTCCGCGCGCGCGTTCGCGGAGGCGACGCACGCGCCGCACGTGCGGCAGCGGTAGCGCGTCTTCCACGGCTTAGCCGGGATCGTGTACGCGTCGAGCGCGGACGCGGGGTCGCCGCCGGGGGGCGGGGCGTGCGTCCAGGCGAACGCGGAGGCGAGGAAGTGGACCGTGTGCACGAAGGGGCAGCCTGGAGCAGATGAAAGGAAGGTGAGCGGCGAGATCTTCTGGGCAGGACCCGCGCGCAAGACGCACCGGAGAGGCGTTGGCAGTTTGTGCAGTGGCAGAACGCGCTCAGCAGCGGTTTGCCGGCGACGGTGTAGGACACCGCGCCGCAGAAGCAGGAGCCTTTGATGACTGTGGTCTGCAGGGTGTGTCAGGACCATCACCTTGTGTTATCTGGACGCTGCGCTCACCATTACGGGCTGTCGAGATGGCAGTGATTACAGGGAACCGTCGTGGAGTTGAGCCAAACGGCGTTCCGTCCGCGCCGCCGCGCGTTCCCGCGACACGGTCATGTGATGCGAGTGTAAGAACGCGTCGCGACGCGTTCCCGAGGATGGCGGTCGGCGTGCTCCTCGCAGCCAGCGTCGGTCCAAGCGCGTGATCGGACGCCTTCAAATGCCCGAAACACTCCAGCGTTCGGCTACAGTACTCGCTTTGCGGTCGAACGTGGGGATATTATGTTTTTGTATGCCGCGCTTCTCGGCGTGTCGCTTGCAGTACTTCTAATTACATACTTCGAACTCTCCAGTCTCACAACAGCGGTCTTGCCAGTGGAATGTTCTACGCTTGAGAATCATCCGGGAACAAAAACCCATCCGCAACTTCCAAATGCCGTGCGGAAGGACGACCCTACAGTGGAGGACGAAAGCAAATGTGGCCCACGCTTAGGGATACTTCCCGCAACGTAATCACGCGAGCTCATTCCATCCTTGACACCTTTCGTACGGGACAAATTCCTGCATCTGGCGTGTCAGGGTAAAGCAATTAAATCCACCGCGCGCCCCGTCCCGGCCCTGCGGCGTTTGAGTACGGTAGCCCCGATTCGCTGCTGACCCTACGCCGACACCCGACGCCGGTTCTGGCGCGCACCGCGCCAATTCCCTACGCGGTGAAGGGTGGTTCGTTACGACGCGGGCGCGGTGACAGCACCCCGCTTGCCTCCTTGCCCCCAGAGACCGCGGCTATGTGCGCGGGACGCAGCCTGACGGCGGAATCTTGGCGGGATACCTGAGGCGACCGCGCCTCCCGTCCTCGTCGTATAAAACGCACCCCCTCCTCCTGAGTAAGGTCTCCAGTTCGCAGCCTCCCGCCGACGCAGCCTAGCACACGAACACTCAAACCCTCTCCACATCTCATTCCCATCCTTCACTCTTCGAGTCTTCGCCATGTTCGCCCGCGTCGCCGCTGCCACTCTCCTCGCGCTCCCCGTCCTCGCGGCCGCCCAGTCGTGCTCGACCGGCCCCGTCCAGTGCTGCAACAGCGTCGAGTCGGTGCGTCCACCCGCCTCTCTCCTGACGCCGTGCGTGTTTGCTGATGCCTTGTTGGCGGTCGCTGCAGGCCTCTTCCCCCTCCGTCGCCGGCATCCTCTCCGTGCTCGGAGTCGTGGTCCAGGACGTGACCGCCATGGTCGGCCTCCAGTGCTCCCCGCTGAGCGTCGTCGGCGTCGGCTCCGGCAGCTCGTGCAGCTCCAACGCTGTCTGCTGCGAGAACAACAACGTCGTAAGTAGCGCGCTCTTTCGTGGGTTGTCACTAGAAGTCTTACGCTGGTGCATTCGACAGGGCGGGCTCATCTCCATCGGCTGCGTTCCCGTTGAGCTCTAGGTGGATCTGGATGGTTAGGGTACTTGGATGGGGCCGTTAGGATATCCCATGACTAATGTTCTTGGATGAATCATGAATGCATGCCTCTTCCGATCGTCTCTTTGAGTGTCCATTGTCTGTCAACGAACAATGGAAGGTTTCGAGGCTTTGCATTCCAGCGTTACTAATACATTTCCTCGTGCTTTTGAAGTCTGGGATAAGACACAAGTACACGGTTCCCCCTTATCCGCTCAGTTAATAGCAAGGCTGTATGCAGACCTGCATGGCGATGAGCCCTCGTCAGCACAACCGCTCAGCGCGGAACAGCGAGACCGAAGACGTACGTGGTGAGCGTGGCAGAGCCCGAGGTCGGCTCGGTGCCCGCTTGCGCGGTGACGAGGTACTGCGACGAGCTCACGCCCTCGTGCTGTACAAGGTACTACAACCGCGCGTCAGCACGTAAGAGCAACCCGAGCGCGCGGGAGCGACCCACGTTCAAGAACGTCTTGAGGTCCCCGCTGAAGCTCTGGATCGTGCCCGAGGTGGGGAGGAAGGACCAGACGGCGTTCGCGCCGTTGCTGCCGTGGTACAGGTTCCAGGAGTGGCCGGCGAGCGAGACGGCGGAGGCGACGGGGACGGGCTTCCCGTCGGAGCCGTACTGGGCCGAGATCGGGCCGGCGTTGAAGTTCGCGAGCCAGACCATGATCTCGTTCACGTTCGAGCCGCCGGCGGAGTTGGCGGTGAAGAGGTCGTACGCGACGTCGGCGACGATCGAGCCCGACGTCGACTGCGACCACGTCCAGGTCGTCTGTACGGAGCGCGGGAGGGTTAGCGTGTGTACTGCATGCGCGAAAGGAGAGGGAGGGGAGGGGGCTGGTACATGTGTGTGATCACACGCGCGACGCGCATCTGCATCACGCGCACCTCGCCCGCGCGTGCCACCCCCGGAGCCCGGCCAGACAAAGAGAATAGGAAAGAGAGAAGACGCGACGCACGGGCATGCTCGAGATCGCGCTGAGCTGCTTGTTGAGGCCCTGGTTGAGCTGGATGTTCGTGAAGCTCTTCACGCCGCTCCCGCCCGTCCACTTCCACGTCGTCTTCCACGCGATCGTGCTCCCGCTCTGGCTGACGAGGTTCGCGCACTGCGAGCCGGACGACGCGCCGGACGCGCCCCACTGGTCGAGCAGGAGCGAGTACGGCGCCGCGGACACGGTGTCCCACTGTCCGCAGTGCGACGAGGTGTCGATCTGCGCGGCGTCCGCGGCGGGGCGCGCGAGGGCGGGCGCGAGGAGCGCGAGGAGGGGGAGGAGCGCGAGCGGCTTCGAGAACATCTTGCAAGGCCCGTTGGCGGTAGAAGGAACAGAGGCGGGGGTGGCGTCCTTGGGGAACCGGGGAGTACGCTGGCGAGACGGGACGTTATATGCGCCGCGGCGCGACGCGCGCGCATGATCTGTCGCGCGCACGAGGGACGGCGGCGGGGGCGAGGACCTGACGGCGACGGGGAAACACACGCCTATATCTCGCTCATATGGTGGAGTTCCGTCTACGCGCAGCACGTGCGCCGTCGGGCGAGCCAGTCTGGAGAGGATGAGCGGGATCCTCGGACTTATTAGAAGGCGACCGGGGCCTGAAAACGTCCTCATCAAGTCGCGGGGACGTGACAACGCTCGGGAGACGGTGTTTGCGGTGACGAGGTCGCAACCGGGACTGAACACGGGGGCGGCCCGGACGGCCCGAGACGCCGCGTCGTGCAAGTGGTGATCAAAGCAGGCGAACTCTTGCATATGACGGTTGTATGAGGAGGGAGGGATGGCTTGAAAAGTCGAATGTGCCATTTTGTAGACATCTTGAGTGCAAGAGGATGGTCTGAAATCATTCACACCTGCAATATCGACGCACGTGATTATTTCCTTGATACCATGCAGTTCTACTATAGGAGCGGAGCTTTGACGTCAAAACTAGTATGAGATGGGAAAAAATTGCTGCCACTTACCCTAAATTTCTATACGTTTCAACACGGACGGTCGTCGGAGTGGGCTGTGCCCGACACCAACATAAACCCATGCGTCAGTTGACGGAGGCCATGGAGGTCCGGTGACGAGTGCAGACCGAGGAGCGGATGTAAGCCGACCTAGAGTCGCCGGATTACGATGATGTCGGAGAGTCCTTGTTCACTTGTCCATCTTGCTAGAGCGAGCGACGGAAGTCGCGCTGCGATCAACTCCCGCTCCGCGTCTTCGGCGCTCCCAGCATGCGCGATAGGCGGACAAAGCGGAGTCGGATGCTGGTGCACGGATGACGAGGCGGAGGTGCGGGCGAGGGGAGGCGGCGCGGATGTCAGAGTGGACGGAAGCAAGAGCTGCAAGAGAGGATATCGGGTGGAGGTGTCTGGAATGGTAGCATCTATCAATCACGATACCTTACGCACCTGGCGTCGGGTGGTTGTTGGATCACTGCTGTGCCGGGGGTCGTGGAGGCCTGTTCCGCCTCGCCCGTTGTGCAGAAGTCTCAGCCTGGATATGCTGTGTGGCCAAGTCTCCGGGCGTCTCGGGCCGCCGCTTGGGTGAGCAACACTGCCATGCGGGCCAGTGCAGGGTGATATGCAGAGGAGATGGGCAAAATGCGGGCTTTGGACCACGGTGGCTGCGGACGGTGCTCGCGTGGGGTCGACTCGCGGAGAGTCCGCGCCAAGCGACTGGTGCGCACGAGGAGCGCAGCAAAATCGATAACGTTGGTCTGGACGCAGGAGGCGTCGATAGGGTCCCGGGAGGGGGGCAACTTGCGAGTGTTGCCGTACGTTGCTGGGGGCTCGTGGCCACGGCGTCCGACGCGTCGGAACAACGCCCAGTCCGCCAACGAAAGTCTCCGACCGGCGAGCGACGAACCGACGTCGATCCTTGCGCACGACAGATGCAACTGGGGCGCGAGCGACGATGCGACGTTGCCACTCGCCGATCGCGGCGGAGGTCTGTGCGATGAGCGGCGCGCAGCGCAGCTAGGCGGATAGCTGGGCGGATAGCGGGTAAGCAGCCACAGACGGAGCGGGGGGACGCGCGGTGCATTGGATGGAGCTCGTCGGCGGAAAGGCCCCTGTCTCGCGCTGATTTGTGGTCGACGCGCACCCTCACGAGCCCTCACGAGCCTCGTGCGAGCTGCGTGTTGCGACAGCGATCGATGGGCAGATTTGCGCTTATTTGCGCGTGCCCGCGGGCGATGCGCGTCGTCTGGAGGCGTGCGCTGGCGAGGGCCCGGGGAGCGGCGAGAGCGGTGCGGGCGGGGGCGGCAAGGCGGTGAGCGGGCAGGAGCGGGCGCAGGGCCCCTGGCGTGGCCCGTGGGCGGTGCAGCCATTTGGGGAAGGGGCGCCTGGGCGGTCGCAGGCGCACAGCCGCCTCGGGTACGGGCGAGGACCCTCTCCAGTCGCCATCAAGAGGCTATATAACATGTCGCCTCCCCCCGGTCCGTTGCCATTCCACCCCCTTCGTCTGCAGAGGGCTTCCGCTTTCGACTTCTCCCTCCCTCTGACGACCTTCCAGCCTCTTCCTGCACGCACACCCAGACGACCCGAAGACCAGCGCCATGTCCAAGCACTTCTGCTTCTGCATCCCCGTCCGCGCTGCGGTCTTCTTCTTCTCCCTCATCACCTTCCTCGGCTCCGTCCTCACCGCAGGGGTAGGCTGGTACATCGTCTACCGTGAGTTCCCATCCCTGTGCATTCGATATCGGTCCTCATCCGCCATTTTTCAGTCGTCAACACCAACCAGCTTGACAAGATCGAGACCAATGTTAGCGACCAAGACAAGAAGACGCTTGACGAGCTTGCCTCGAAATACAAGTGGTCGTTCATCGTCTTCTCCGTCATCTTCACCATCGTCGCTCTCATGTCCTTCTTCGGGTCAGTCTCTCATACATCCACTCGCAGCACCTCCGCTCACCCTTTCGCTCAGCTTCGTCGGCGCCGTCATCCGCAACCGCCGCATGGTGAAGGCGTATTCGTTCATGACCATCATCATCTTCATCCTCGACACCGTCGGTCTGGGCTTGTCCATGTACGCCGTCTTCTCCTCCAAGCCCCTTTGCGTCACCATCGACGGCACCAAGTCCTGCCTCGAGTCGCATCTCAGCACGGGCCAGAAGGTCGGCTACATCGCCTGGACCGTTGTCTGGTGGCTCGTCTCTCTCTGTGAGCATTCCACTCCTCCGTTGCATGCCTTTCCGCGGAAATGTGGGCGTCCATCCCTACACACATGCTGACTCTTATTTTCCCCGCAGACATCGTCATCGTCATCCGCCGCTATGTCACTCAGCTCGAGGACGAGCGCGAGTACCGCCACGACTTCCGCCTCAACCCCACATCTGGCGGCACCTACGAGGCCAAGGAGGGTCTTCTCCCCGAGAGCGGCCATTACCCTTACTCCGACAACCAGCACGCGTTCGGTGCCCGTGCATAAGCGGCCCCGCGCCGGGTTTTCGAGCCCCCGTCGAGCGCTGCTGCTGTCGCGGAGAGGGAGATGTTGGAGGGATCCGAAATGTACGACGCGCCGATAAAGATCGGAGAAAGATTACTTGGACCACCGGGTAATGTACCTTAAGCCCCCCGCCCCGCCACGAGCGAGGTCGTGTCCCGCCTCGTGGGTGTGTGTGCCCCCTTCACGTTGTTTTCCTCACTATCTATCACGCTGTATCTCTCACCCGCCACGGACTTGATTTCGGTTTACTACTTACTACATCTCCTATATCACGCTTTCAACCTTCCATCACGCCGCGCGGCCTGCTCTCATCAAAGTCAACCAGCACGCTCTCGCACGGCATTCGTTGCGCGCGCCAGGAACGGGCGATCTCCGCCCGGCTTGGGTCAGCGGGACCACATGCGGTGCGCCGGTGTCAGGTTTCAAATTTTCATCGGTCGCCCTGTCGCCCGTCGCGTTCGTGAAGCTGACGACCGCCCACCTGACTCACGCAGGAGCCCGACCGACACGCGAGGTCTGTGCATTGTTCACCCTGGCCGCAGGCGACACCTGAGACACACCGCTCAAGACTACTCCCAAGTTGAACCCGGCGGGAGCTCTGGCGGTCTGACCGAACTCTTCGCGCGCCCCCCATCCGCGCCTGCCTGACAGTGACATCTCGTCATCCCCCGAACGCCTCCTCTCTGTCGCCGCGACGCCCGGGCGCCGGTCGTTGCGGAGCACACAGGAGCACGCTCCCCTAGACTTCCTTTATTGATCCCATAGCGGAAGCTGTACTGGCGCCGGACCGCCCCTCTCCGCCATGGCGCTTGGCGTCTTCTACAAACACTGCCTGGAGGCCGAAGCGACGAGAGGCAGGAGCTCGGGGACGGAAGACGCGACTACGGAGCACGAGGCGCCAGCGCCGACTGGAACGCAGACGCTACGGCGATGGTGAAGACTCAAGATGCGGCTGGAGCTGCTACATAGCCCTAGGCCGACGCCCAGACGAGCCAGGGACGTCTTCCTTACTGCACGCCGCCCCGCCCACGGGCACACAGAAGAACGCACCTGACCTGCTAGCTACAGATGACAGATAAGGTCTATCAAGCGAAGGCTCGCAAGCACTGGCCGGCCGGCCGCCCCTCCCTCCATCCATCTCGAGAAGTGCGCGGGCGCCGAACTCACTTGTACTTCCTCCCCCTTCTCCCATCACGCGCGCCGGGCAACACAGAGACGCGTCGTCTATCGATGACGCGGCGCGGCGACGAGGCCAGCGCACAGTGTCCCTCAACTCGGCAGGGCACACGCGCCGCCCACTGAGCAGCTGCACTGAATAGGACCAACCCTGGCACGCGCTGTGAAGAGACGCAAGCGTGTAGATGCGGGGATGCTGAGGAAGCGCGAGTGCGGGTCCGTGACCTCGGACGCCGCGCTGTGGTCGTGCGCATCCTCGACCAGTGAAAATACGGCAACGTACGGCAACCCGGTTCGCCGCGCGCCCACCGCGCACACAGAATGCCGCGAGGAGGCTGGTCTCGTCCCCAGCCGCTCTGTTCCGAAATCCGCACCCCGCCACCACCTAAACGAGCACTGGGAAGAGAGGTAGCCGTACATGGCCGCCCAAGCGTGTTCTGCGGCTACACAGTCGCAGAAGCAGCGAAGGAGGCGCAGCCCTGTACGACGACCGCATCTCGTGGGTATGCAGGCTGCTCGGGTCGCCCCTTTACCTCCTCCTCCTCAAGCTTTCCGCCAGACAACCGAACTGCGCTGCACTGCCCCGCAGATCATGCACGCCCCCATCCTACCCGCCGCCCGCCGCGGCGGCGACTTCCCGCTGGACTCAACTGGACTGCGCAGCGCGGGCACACCCCGCGGTTCCCAGAGATGCGCTGCGCGCGTGCTCACGGCCTTCGGCAGACCGTAGCGCGGGGGAAGAACGTCAAGAGGCTGGAGCTGTGCGCGCGCGCAGCAGGGAGGGTCGAGGATGAGCTTGGCGTGGCAGGATTATACATAGCGAGTTCGAGGTTCGGCGTAGAGACGGCTGTGCGGACGGTAGATACTGCTTGTGCGTTATCCTCTGGTGACCCTAGTGCCGTCTTTGTTTCGCCGCGCGTATTTTCTCAAACGATACTCGTCGACGGCGAAAGCATAGGCTCGCCCTCGGCCGTCACATAATAAGACGTAAGGCCGCCGTCGACCTTGAAGCTTGAAGTGCGAGCCGCCTACGGCATGCAGCCTCTCGAACACCGGGCCCGGAAGCACGAAAATGAGAAAAGGAGCTGTGTTGCTAGCTAGTGTAAGACAATGCGAATGTATGGACCAATTACTACCGTAGACAGGAGCCTGAGAGGTTCTAGAATCATATACAGTGATGCATACTGTCATGGGCGTGGAGAAAATGATCACTGGAATGTAGAGTAATATAATGGAGAGCCAAGCCCATATCACCCAGACGAGACTGGAGCCAGCTGGAAGAGTACTGAGGAATATCTGTGAATCTATTTCGTTGTAGCGATCGGCATCCATGTGTTAAGAACTGTAAGAGCGGTGAGTGAGGAATGCTTGATGCCGTCGAGAGCGGGCGCGTTATTTAGACGCCACAGTTGACAGCACTCATCCAAACGATATGTAATGACGTCATTGCATATGATCCACCAAAACGCTCCAACTTCATCGGTTCAACAAGATAGACTCAAGGAGGGGAGTTCAAGGGACCAACCATAGAATTGTATCCAAGACAAGATGTCACTAATAGCTGTAGTCCATGCGGTAGATGAGTTAAAATGTCCGTAGTAGTAGTATGATCCAGCCGAGTGTATGCGTCTAAGATGTGGTATATAGTACATGCTACATAGCTGAAGGAATGTAGTGATCGTGTGGTCATAAAAGGTAGTGTGCAAAGGTCCGCATATCCAGTCATCGAAAGCAATCGGAACTATCGTGAATCGAGCGAGTAAGTCCTCGGATACCTCCGTCGCATGCGATTCAGCGGCCCCGGGCCAGATTCCGCTGGTGAGTCGTCGCTCACAGAGGTGGTGTCCTCCTGAGCGCTTCCTGCCGTGGCCGTAGGTGATGCCGTCACTGCCGCAGTTGAAATCGAAGTTACGGATGCAGTCGCAGTCGCAGTCGCCGTCGCAGTCGAAATCGAAGTCGCAGTCGAAGTCACAGTAGCAGTCGAAGCGAACGTGGACAGTGCGATACGAGCTACTGTCAACGAGGTCGTACCACTGTCATCTTCGTCATCGCCGTCGTCAGGGCCATCCTCGTCATGGGCCTCGTGATCGAGGACGGTAGGCTGAGCTTTGCCGGACGTTGAAGCGTTCGCGGCGACGCTCATAGTCGAGAGCGCGCTGTCCGAGATCGTCGATGAGAGGGAGACCGTGACCGAAATCGGCGGGGCGGTTGTGACCACGATGTCATCCGGGCGGGGCTTGTCGATGCCAGCGACGTCGTCTGGGTTGAAGATGGTAAAGTCCCCGCTCCAGCTAGACGCGTCGTGGTTATCGTGGCAAAACACTAGCGCAGAGCTGAGCTCATGCGCACATTTGAAGAGCTTGGGATAACATACGGTAGAGAGAGTAATCGTCTCGTGTAGGGACGGAGGGAACCATGACGTTGGCCAGCCTGTCAGTGATTGGGAACAGGTCCGTGAGATCTGGGAGGCTTGAGCATACGGGAAACAAGGCGCAAAAAACGAACGCGCTCACGTCCAAGGAGCACATGCGAATCGGGGACTCCGCCAGAGTACGAGAGGATGAGCATGCCCAGGAGCGGCTGCCCAGAGCTGTTGGTAGCATCGATGTTCTGTAGCTTCCTGTCGTGAGAGGGAGTGGGGTTAGATGCGTTTCAAGCAAGATCCAAGGGCGACGCACCATTGCACCGTATGCAGCTCCCCGACATTCCATACGTCTCCCGTCCGTGGCGCGACGACGTTCGACGCATGGCCGGCCTCCGGATACGCTCCGCCGACGGCGGTGACGATGATGCAGGCCACGGCACCGAAGACGACGATAGTGGCCACCGCCCTGGTAGACAGTTTGTAGAAGCGGGAGTGCTGGTACCCCTGCTTGTGAGGCATAGCATGTGTGGGCACGAGGAGGGGAGAGTGAGGGCAAGAGCAAAGGAGAGACGATCTCAGCGGACCGACATGGGTTGTGGAGCGACGGCGCGGTGTCGCGAAGAGCGTCCGTCTAATATTGTGCTTGGAAGATTTGTCGGTCGACAAAAGGCTGCTCGCCGAATGCGCCACTGCCTAGCGGTGACGCAACCGAACACCCGATCGCGTGAAACGAGCGAGATGCACCACGCTCACTGACTTTCCCGGCCTCGGCTACCGTTGCTCCACTCCGGGTAGACGAACAGCGCCTTGACAAGATGCCAACTGTGGTTCCGTGTGTCAGTGTTGGACACGGACATGGCTACGGCTTTCACTCACCTTTTGAAACTGCAGACCTATAACCTGCACACATCGTGGTCGTCCGTGCAAACTAATGTGCGAGCAGAACGGGATGATGATACAACATCGAACATTGAACAGCTTTAGCTGCTTGATACTTTCCATCTCTTTTCGACCACCTTCAGAACGCTGCCTGCGCTGACTCACGCTCCGCCAGACTCCCTCTCGGAGCCCACGCCTTCACATGTTCGAGTCCACACCCATCATCCGTCCCCTCCTGCGGCGCACCCCACGCCCCCGCGCCCGGCGTCTCGATGAGCAACCTATCGCCCTTACCCATCCACACCGTCGCCTTCCCTCCAATGTTGATCTTCCTCGACTCCGCCTCCGCCTCCTCGACGCCCTCCGCGAGGTCCCCGTCCTCCTTCCGAGGCCGTTTCACCCACGTGTTCCGCCCGAGCGCGCCGGGCTCACCACCTTCGAGCCCGTACGGCTGGCGCGTGCGGCGCTCGGAGAGGATCGAGACCTGGAGCGGCTCGGAGAACTCGAGCTCGCGGACGACACCATCGCCGCCGCGCCAGCGCCCGCGGCCGCCCGAGCCGGAGCGCAGGCCGAAGCGGTGGACGAGCACTGGGTAACGGCGCTCGAGGATCTCGACGTCGCCGATGCGCGTGTTGGTGATGTGCGTGTGCACGCCGTCGGTGCCGTGCCAGCCGGGGCCTGCGCCGGAGCCGCCGGCGATGGTCTGGAGAAGTCAAGTGTCGTTGGTCTGGGGACGAGGGGACGGGGAGAAGGTGCGCACCTCGTAGTAGCCCCAACCCACGATGTTCTTGCCATCCTGGTCCTTGCCACCAGCACCGAAGGTGAGGTTGCTGCGATCCGCATCAGTATGTGCTATCGAGTTCCGTGTAGGAAACTTGCTTACTTCGTGCACCCTTGGCTGGCCGCACAGGCGTGGAATGCCTTGAGAACAACATCCACGATCCTTTGCGAAGTTAGAACGTTTCCTCCACAAACAGCAGCAGTTGCAGATGGGCAGAGCAGAGAGCCGTCCGGAATCAGCACTGGGAAACGGTATGAAAACACGGATGAAAGACAGTTCTATGGTGCGCACCAGTGATCGGGACAAGGCAACCAGCGTTGAGAGGAATGTCCATGTCAAGCATCGCGCGCATGGAATAGATGACGGCAGAATGCACGACGGAGATGGGCGCGTTGAGGTTGCCTCGAATTTCGCATCCTGTGCCAGCGAAGTCGAGTACTGCAGACCCTTCCTTCTCGTCAATCTCGACCTTGAGCTGGATCTGCACGACACGCATCAGACCACCGAGTATAAACTATAACGAAGCAACACACCGGCGATCCATCATCCAGATAGTCGATGGCCTCGAGAATGTTTGAGCCAGCACGCTTCACAACGTCGCGCAGGAGGTTGCGGACCGACATCTCGGCGTTGGCACGGATGTGGTGCATATACTCTTGCACAGTCTCCAGGCCGTAGTCGTCCACAACTACCAGAGTCTATGAGCTGACTCCCTGACTACACTTGGGGAAAAAAGCTTACTCTGGTGGATGAGCTGGATGCCTTTGTGGTTCGCCGCAACTTGCTACCCGCGCGCATTCATTGTCCATATTCCCGAAAAACTCGAAGCGCCATGTGTACTCACTGCTTTCAAGTCGCTCTCGACATCCCTGATGTTCCTGCATCCAGAGCTCCCAGGGTACTGCGCTGGCTCATCAACCATGTACTTGTACAGGTTCTCGCTGTCGAAGACACCCTCCCGTACAAGCTTGAAGCTCTTGATGTGCGCGCCCTCCTCAAAGATCGTCTTCGACGTCGGGGGCATCGACCCGGGGAGGATTCCGCCGATATCGGCGTGGTGTCCACGCGACGCAGTGAAGAAGATGATCTTGGACGCGGTCGAGTCGAAGACAGGTGAGATGATCGTGATGTCGGGGAGGTGCGAACCACCGGCATGCGGGGAGTTCGTCATGAGCACGTCGCCTGGCTTGAGTGTCGCAGCGTGCAGTTGCATTTGATACCGCACCGCGCTGAAAAGCGCATTTCGCGGTATCAGCGTCCATTCTTCCCTGCGAGCAGCATTACCCCGTCCGGGAAAGAAGGACAAGGGAAGAGGGGAGGCGATGCGAACGAGGAAGGAATAAACTCACAAGCTCATCGACCCAAGGTGGATGGGGATGAACGGCGCATTCGCGACGAGGTCACCATCCGGCGCAAAGAGCGCACACGAGAAGTCGAGCCGCTCCTTGATGTTGGTACTGATTGCAGTCTGCTGGAGCGAGCGACCCATCGCCTCCGCGACGCTCATGAAGCGATTCGCGAAGAGTGTGAGGAGGATGGGGTCGGGAGGCGGGTATTTCTTTATGTCGTTCGCCATGGTGCTTGCGCGCGGGGATAACCAAGATCAAGGAGGCGCAGAGGACAGAGTGGAGTCACTTAGAGTTTGGAGTGAACCTGGAAGGTAGGTCATCTTGTCAGGTCAGCTTTATCAGAGAGCGGGTACCAACTTCCGGCTATACGCACTCACCTTTTATCGGAGAACCGCACGAGAGCTAATGCCAGCTTCTGGGTCCGGGTCATGGTGAAAGTCACATGCAAAGAGCGCTTAGACGCGTTCCCAGACGAGCCCAGCAACGACGTCTACCCACTCCTGCGCTCAGCCCTCGCCGTCCTCCACGCGACATGAGCGAATCCTCGACTCTCGCCTCCGTGCTCGAGTCGCAGGCCTCCCTCCTTCAAGAAGCGTCTCTCGCGCTCCCGCACCAGTTCTCCCAGTGCACCTATCCCAACGGCCCGATTCGCCAAGCTGTCTACCTCTGCCTTACTTGCACATCCCCTGCATCGTCCACCACCCAACCGCGCGGGATATGCTCGGCGTGCTCCATTGCATGCCACACGGACCACGAGCAACTTGAATTGTTTCCCAAGCGCCGTTTCCGATGCGACTGCCCCACACACGGGCTCACGGAGGCCTGTACGCTCCATGCGAAGGAGGAGCCGGTGAATCAGGCGAACGAGTACGGACCGAACTTTCGGGCGGTATTTTGTCGGTGCGGGCGGAAGTATGACGCGAACAAAGAGCGGGAGACGATGATCCAGTGTTTGCAATGTGAGGTGAGTGTCTTCGGTAAGGCTTTCGTGCAGCTGGACAGACTGTGTTGAGTATTGAGAGGGCCTCCGTTTCGCAGGACTGCGCATATACTGACCTCAGGTGCTCTCTTGTAGGACTGGTTCCACGAATCATGTTTGAACCTCCGTGAACGCCCCCCTTCTCGAGAGCCAACCCCGGAAGCTCAGGAGCCCCCTGCATCCGACGGTGCATCCGACGCGTCTTCATCTGGACTGCCACCACCGCTCGTCACCGCAGAAGACTATGATGCTCTCATCTGTAGCGCGTGCGTCCGCAAGGTGCATGCAGTTGAACGAATAGCAGGGATGCCTGGCGCAATTATGGTCGTGCGATCTTCGGATGGCGAACCCTGGCGAGCAATTGGGCAGCAAGAAGTTATAGTTGTGGATGAGAAGGATACAAGCACGGCGAACGGACATCCTGGCGTCACCGCGACGACGACCCCCACGGAATCCACTGGCGAAAAGCGGGGGCGGTCTGCTTCGGTGGATCAAGAACCGACCGCAAAACGGGCTCGGGTGTCCCCAACTCCGGAGGGTGCAGACTACATCGATGCAGGATGTTCATGTTCTGCACCTCCCCGCGACCGGCGAGTACAGAACCTGTTCAAGAAGCTGCATACACCAAACGAAGGGGTGTCACAAGAAGAGATAAGCGAAAGCTACCAGGGTCTTGGTGACGTCTTCCTGATAGATGGGTGGAGGGACCGATGGTGTAGCTGCGGAGCGGTGAGTGTGCCTCTGGCGCGATTGAACGAGACACTCACTCACTCTTTCTCAGTGTGCGGAGTCCCTGAAAGATCGCAGCTATCTTGTGGAGGAGGAAGATACGTACGAGCCTCCGGAAGACCCTGACTCAGGTACGGATCACGCATAAACCTGCTTGATCGTGCGTTCTTATTGTGTGAGCCAGGTCTTTCTTTGGAGGAACTCGGCATGAGGGCCTTGCAACGGTTACCCCGAGAACAAGCCCTCAACGGTATCATGGCATTCAATGCCATGCGGTGAGCCCTCTGCTCACCAATTCACTTACTTTCAACTGAGCGACTTGACAGGGATGACCTCATGCAACACCTGCGTCCGTTTGCGGAACGAGGCGAGGAAGTACCAGAGTCGGCTATACGCGCGTTCTTCAACGCACGCATACAGGAGCTCGAGGCCAAACGTCGATGATCGTCTACATTCGCGCACAATACGATATACTTGTACTTGGCCAGCAACACGCCGTTGATGCGGAATGCTCATACGATACTGTTCTCTCTGGAACATCCAAACTCCGGCTTGTTTGGCTCAACTCCGCGCTGGACCACTATTGCCGACGCTAGTGGCATGGACCCATCGAGTGCTCTTGTTTCCGACAGCGAGCCAGGGAGCCTGGAAGGGAGCGGGGGGCGCCCGGGTGATTTGGCCCGAGCGCGCGAAAGTGGCGGGGGCACGCGCAAGTCACGGGATCGCACGCCGCACGTGAGCGACTTGTTGATCGTGAGTAGGGTTCTGTTGAGCCACGCCCCGGGGCCCTCGCGCATCTTGACCCTCTTCCCCTACCATCCCCCAGCCCTTGCTCCTCTTCCAGTCACCCCGAACGCACTCGCAACAATGCCCCGCAAGGCTGCTGCCACTTCCGACACCCCTGTTGAGCCCCGCCGCTCTTCCCGTATCAAGGACCAGCCCAAGGCTGAGCCCGCCCCCGCCGCAAGGCCCCGCGTGAAGAAGACGAAGGAGTCCGCCGATGAGGGTGAAGAGAAACCTAAGTCTACCAAGGGCCGCAAGCGTACTGCTGCCGAAAAGGATGGCGACGACGGCGAGGCCGCCGTCAACGGGGACGAGCCCCCCGCAAAGAAGGTCCGTCCAGCTCGCCTTCGCCTTCCTTATCATCGCTGAGCGTGTTTTCCATCCCCTCACAGGCTAAGCCGGCCTCCAAGGCCAAGCCTGCATCTAAGCCCGCTAGCAAGGCCGCGGCTAAGCCTGCGTCCAAGGCGTCGCGCGCAGGGTCCGCGAAACCTGCGTCCAAGCCGGCCTCTAAGGCATCCAAGCCACCCTCGGCCGCAAAGAAGCCCGCATCGCGTGCTGGCTCTAAGAAGCCTGCGTCCAAGGTGGGCATGGACGTTCACTCCTTTGTTTCCAGCGTGTGTGCTTATCTGGGGGTGTGTGTAGGTCGGTGCGGCTGAGAAGGAGAACAATGCTGCTCCTGCTCCTGAAACCATCGCTGAGGAGCCCGAGGAGGAGGCGGCTGCTGCCGACGCTGCCGAGTCCGCAGCCGAAGTTGCTTGAGATCTGTGAGTCGTGTGCGCACTCTTGTTGCTGGCTATATGCTCACTGTGATGTGTCCCGTTCACTCTAGCGTAAGAGAAAGACCCTCCTGAGGGAAAGTATGCACTTCCATCCTCTGCCGCTGTCGATGTCTCGCTTTTTATCTTTTCTATTTAAACCCGCTGCATCCACCGGACCTAGGCCGCAATCCCGCTCACCTAATGTTCAACTACCCCTCCCGGATATCTCCCCTTCATCCGCTGCGTGGCCGGATATGCAAGATTTCACTGTACATAAGATTAGGGCCATGTACTGTTCAGTTCTCTGTCGTCGTCGCATTGTCCTGGCTACCGTCGCTGAATTAGCACATGTACCGGAGTCGGCATACAATTACGCCTGCGTAAGCGTTGCGTTGTTATATTACTAGTGTCATTTGGTTTGACCAATGTACAATGGAATGCGAGACTTTGAGCACTGTCGCAGATCTTGCCCAGACTCTACGTTGGCTGAGGATCATTGATAACAGATTATGGTGGCTCCCTTTGCTCAACCGTAATCAAGGAAGCGTAGCGTCGGGTGGTCTTCGCTGCGTTGGGAGTCGAACCACCTTAATGAAATGCAGACGAAGCGATGCGAGGGCGTAAAGTGTCGTGCATTGACATGAGGTGCGTGGTATAAGAGTACAACATGCGAGATACATAGATGATACGAGAGCTGAGATAGCATTCCGACGGTGTCCCTGGCAAACTTTAACGAGTCCCAACATCGACATCTGATCACCCCTGGCCGGATCACCAGCTGCTGAGCAGCGTCTGCGCGACCTCCTGTAGACCGACACGTGAGCACCCCGAACCCATTGCACGAAGCGAGCGTTACGTACCTTGAGCCGCACCATGTTGTGCGCCAGCGCAACGTTCACGATCGTGCGCAGCCGCTTGCGCGTGTCCGTACGGCTCACCGTGAGCTGGTACGCGCCCGAGCACGTACAGTGGCGGCTCACGTTGTCCGCGCGGACCTGCGCACACCGCGCACACCGGAGGTCCTGCTGAGCGAACCGCCGCTCGAGCTCGAGCACGGCGCGGACGAGCGCGAACTCAATCTCTGCGCGGTCGTACTCGCCACCGCACCGTGCGCAGCGCCACGGGCGCCCTGGCGCGAGCGCAGGGCTCCGGCAGAAGTCGAAGTCCTGCATGCTGTCGCAGTACCGGCAGGGCACGCTCGCGAGCTTGAGGGGCTCGCACGGGTTCACGAACGCCGCTTCAGAAGCGAACTCGCGCACGCCGACGAGCTCGAGCAGGTTGCGCTTCATGAGGCCGACCTCGAGCGCGTGCTCCTTCGAGAGCGCAAAGACGGCGCAGGCGAACTTGACGAGCTCCAGCGCGGGGTTGCTCATATGCAGGTGCGAGCCGGGGAGGAGGGGGAATTCCCACTGCGCGAGCTCCGACTGCGAGCCGTCTTCGTGGGTGTCCGTCAGGGCATTGCGATACCGCTCTTGTGCCCCTCCGAGAATCCGAAGCATGCGTCGCGTGAGCTTGCGAGTGATAAATTCTTGGGTGGGAGTGGACTTGGAATCGGAGGCCTTGGACATCTCGCGCTGGGTGGTCTCTGGTTCGCCGTTTTGGAGAGATCGTAGGGGGACACGGACCGCTCCTTGGCTCTTCTGTACCGTCCTGAAAAACTCGACGAGGAAGTAGCGTACGGCAGCACGGAAGTCGGCCTGGATGGCGGGTGGGAGGAAGGATGGGATATTCCAGCGCATTTCGATAGCAAGTTGTTCTGGAGGTTCCAAGGCAAGCGGGTCCTCGCAGACGACCGCGCCGAAGTTTGCTTCGTCCATGAATAGAAGGAAGTCGTAAAAGCGTTCTGTGTGGAGGTAGACGTGCTGGAAGAGTTCATGCGAAGTGACGGCGGTGGTGATATACATGGCGTAGGCGTGAGCGGTCCCGGGAGGTTTTGACGTGACAAGGAGAATACGGCTAAGATCTGCGTAGACTACATGGGAACCCAGCCGCTTGAACTCGGCGAGCATCTGGATGAAAGTCTTGCGCATCAACCCGTGGACAAACCGATGGATGCCGATGTCGTACATAGCTGAGGCGGTTGAGCTGATCCATCGCCAGAAGTGATCGATGGCGACAGTCGCGGGGCTTTCGAAGCTGCCCTGAATTTTGTCCACCATCCAGGTCTTGATGAGAGATTTCAGGATGCCGAACGTCTGTGGTGAGACGTTTGACTCGCCAAGAGTAACGTCGTGGGAAGTGTCGCCTTTCGAGTACTCGTCCAAGGTCTTCGAGGTGTCAAAGGCCGTGGCTCCGCCGCTTCCTTCGAGCTCATTGACGATGACGGAGTGCAGAACAGCATCAACAGCGAGGTTGCGAACGGTGACTTCGAGGCACACGTTCGAGTAACAGCCTGGAGAGATGAACTCGGTCTTTGCAAGCTCCTCAACCGGACGGTTGTCTTCTTCGATGCCGCCGAGGTCAGGACGGTCTCCGGGGGACCACCATAGGACGATGTCTTGACTAGTCAACCGACGGGCGAACTCAATGTCTGCTAGTAGTAGAGGCTGATCACCCTCGATATGGCCGACGGGCACGTCGTAGTATTCCGCCATCGCGATGGTCCGGTCTAACCAGGGGCCTAGGGTGAGGTAGCGGGCGACGAGCTTCTGGGCGACACCTGTCTGCCATGGGAAGACGTCTAGCGAATGGGGTAATTTGGACTTGGTCATCGACAGGACTGGGAACTTGCTGAGCTTCGGTGTCTGGAAGTCGAAGTAGCTTTGTTCTTTGCTGGAAGAGATGACCACGGTGTAGGACCGGTTCTCAAAGAGGCCGAGCTCACGAGAGACGGCTTTAAGCGCGGTGGCATCATTGCCGTGGTAGGTGTGGTGAATGTGAGGTAGTCGGGGTAGGAGTAAGAGTTGCTCGGGCCTACGTCGTTCGTGTGCTTGCTAAGGAGGTCCGCGTAGAGTTCCGAAAGACGAGGAATGGATTGTCGGCGAGTGGCGGGGTCGACGATGTGGAGCTTGACCACCTCTCCAGGAATGAAGAGTGCAAAGACATGCACTGGGGCGTTCTGAGCGCAGGCATGATAGAGGAAGATGTATTTGCCATCTCGCCCTTGGTCCAAGTACCGTCGCTTGGAGCCGGAGGAACTTGCACGACGAGTTGATTTAGGTCGAACCCGACTGTCTCGGCACGGCTCAGGGTCATTGTCTTGTCTTCGTTGGTGCACGTCTTTCCCAATCAAGCAGGGCTCGCACGACTAATGGGAGCTGAAAGGCGGTCGGCACAACGTCAAAGGAGGGCAAAGACTAGAACGTACCTGCAACTCGTAGACCCCGTCGACGTTAGGATCGTTGGTGATGTCGATGAAGTGCTCCTGGCTTTCCAAATACGTGTGCTCCAGAACGGTGAGCTTGTATAGGTTCACGCAAGGGCGATCACGAGGTAGACTCCTTACGACCTTCTCGCACTGATACAGCTTGGGGTCAAACTGGTCTTTTTCGGTGGTGTCCGGAGGTGGATATAGAACTCGCGAGGAATCCGCATGGGAACGGAGGTGAGAGACCCATCAATCGACAGCCAGAGGGTGAACCGCCTGGAGTCTTGTTGGGCCGGATCTGAACGACGTCCCAGTGCGTGTTCTGTTTCGTGCGCACTCCACGGAACATCGCGGGCACTGCGACGCTCTCGGACGTGTCGCCAGCGCGGTGCCTCCAGCGCTTGCGCATGACTCTGAGCCACCCGGAGTAGTTCTTGTTGACATCGGGGAGAAGCTCCGCGAATACACTATGAGCGTCATCGGCCTCCGGGCTGTCGTCTCGGTGCTTGGACTTGCGGTTTACGACTGCTTTGGGACGGAACCCGCGGGGCTTCTGCGGCTGCGACATCGCGTCTTCTATGTCCATGTCGGCGACCTCTGCGGGTTTCTTCTCGTTTGCACGCTTGAAGAGGTCGGTGAGGGTCTGCTGGTGGAACTTGTCTTCGAGGGCGACGACACGACGGTGCAGCCAGTCGGGATGACGGATACGGGGAACGGGGTTCGCGACCTTCTGCATCGCAGCGGGGATGGTGATGAGCTTCTGGATGACGGAGCCAAGTCGCTCGATGTAGTACTCCCAGTCGAGGATGGAGCGCAGATCGAAGTTTGTCAAGCCGTTGTCTTTGAGCCACTTGCGGAGGTATGTGCGTTTGACGCCTTCCTCGGCCGAGAAGATGGCGACGGGTACCGCGCGTTCGGTGACGGGTGCGCCCATCGGCTTCGCGGAAATGATGAACTTGCAAGCAAGACCTTTGTCCTTGACCATCTGGTCGCCAAGGAATTCGGCCAGGCGGCGGGCAGTACTGATCGAGGTGGACTTCTGGCCGGCGTACTCTGCAAGAGTCTTCGACATACTTCGGTTCTCCGAAATGAGCTCGACGAGCTCTTCGTCCGCGAGGTCTGCTGCATGACTGAACAGGACGTCCAGCCACCGGTCGGCATCCTGGGCCACAGCGGCGTAGCACTCTTCGAGTGTCGTTCCGAGGAGGAACTTCTCGAAGATTTGAGACTGGAAGATTTTGATGAGCTGCAGCTCTCCACGACGCTTGACCTCGAAGCCCTTCAGTTCTGCAAGGGAGCCGTCGTCGTTGAAAACGGCGTAACGCTTCTTCACAGCTTGTCTTCCTCTTTCGACGAAGGGAGGATCATGGCCTTGTAGGGCCCGTCGAGCTCGAAGAAGATAGAGTTCTCGCTGTGCACCTTGTACTCGCCGGTGGTGGGGTCGAGATCGTGGTACTGGTGATTCGTGAACTTGCGTGGACGAGATGATTAAGCATCGTGCACGGGTACGAGAACGCGATCGCCTTGCCGTTCTTGAGCTTGAACTTGAAATTCTCGGGAACACGCCGGGAAGCATGCACCAGATACCGTCCGTGTCCAGCTCGAGCGGTCGGCCGACCTTCTCCACAAGCTTCCGCGCCAGCTGGATGATCGTCGCGCCTGTAAGACAAGTATGCCCGCCATCTCCATGGATTGCCAACGCGCTCCTTTCCGCATGACATAGCCGTAGAACGAGTTGAGAATGCACTTGTGAGCGAGTGCAGGAGTCGTAGAGAACGATCATCTTTTAGCTTCGTCGACCTCGGTGATCGAGCGTTGTTCAGAGACGACCGTGTCCAGGTTCTTCTTCCACGTCTTGTGCAGGCCCTTGTATTCGTATCGCCGATCTCGGAAACGACGCACAGTGTCGACGTAGAAGGGGTTTTCGCGCTGGCAGACAATGGCTTCGCGCTCCTCAATCTTCGTGTCCTTGACCTTCTTGTACACTCGTCGGAGTAGTCACCTAGACGTTTGTGGAGGAGGGCAGTTTGCTCGGACTCGCTGAGGTCCATGAACTTCCGAGGTGGCATCCAGGTTTCTTCGGTGGGAAAGCTTCCTGGTTCAGCGCATGCTTGATCATGTTGAACTCATCGCGTCGGGCGGGGAAGAAATCTCCACGCCATGCCCAGGTCAGACGACGGTCACAGGTCTTGCCGGGGCGGTTGAAGTCGCACACAGCGCAGGTCGCCTCGTCGACAATGGAGTCGGGCTGCAGTCGGTTCGACAACATGATGTTCGGGTACATTGCAGCGACGTCCAAGTGATAGATGAGCGGTTTGTCCATACGTAGAGGGTTGTCTCGCATCTCCTCCAGCTTGGCTTGGATTTGCAACTTGACTTCATCGTAGTTGGTGACGTCCTCGAGCTTGCCGTGAGACTCTCCACGATGCAGAAAGTTAATGCAGCCTCGAGATCATCGATGAGCTGTTGGACGAGAGATGAGTCCATATTCCATAGACGGGTGCAGGCGGCTCACCGTTTGAACGGTGTCGGGATCGATCTTGAAGTGCGTTGTGATGTCACTACGGAATACCCCCGCTTCAAGGGCTTCACATGTCCCCCGACGTAGGTTTCGGACGCCACCAAGTGTCCATCGTACATGACGCCGTGCGACTCTTCTTGTCGATTCGGGAAGATGATCTCGCCTTGACACGCTTCCACCTGTCGAAGTCATGTTAACGGAACCATGAGGGTAAGAGGTGGAAATACATACCATGAGAAGGGTTTCGCAAAGCGTTCCACTGCCTTTCCTCAGAACCTCGTCGGGACGGAGGGGAATAATGTTGCAGAGCGAGAAGATGAAAGGATGGACGTATTTCATGTAGAGTAGTATGTAGCAACCGCATCGGAAACGGAGTACTGGGCGAGGATTTGAGGTTGCTCCATAGCGTATCTGGAAAGAATATGAGCGCATGTAACTGGATTGTGAACATGTGCATACGGTGTCATGAGTTCGGGGTCAAGCTCTATAGGGTTATAGCCGAGCTTGGCCGTCGTGACCGCTTTCAATCCCTGACTTCCCTGCGGGAGGTATGAGTCGCGCTTGACCCAGCGGAAACAGTCCATGTGGACGCATGTGCGGCTCTTGAACTCATCCTCAGAGTCTATGGCAAAACCGGTCTCCAAGAACATGTCGATGCCGTGAACCTTTGCTCTGGCATAGAGGAATGGGAAATCGAAGAAGTCGCCGTTGAACGTGGCCATAACGGTGGGTTTGACGTCCTGTATGTGCGAGAAAAAGCGAGAAATCGTCGCCGCCTACACGAAGTATGAGCATATGTGTACTCATGAAATACACTGACGCACCTCGTCCGGCTCGTTGAAAATCGTGAAGGGGCCCTCATAGCCCTCCTTTGGAGTATACTCGAAATCTTCGATATCTTCGCCCACGATCTCGCGGTTCGTGATAAGATAGCCCTGTCCATCTACCATGTATGAAATCATCATAACCTGGTCGATGGCCTGGTCGGGGAATTTGAGGGGCGCCTTCGTGTTTCAATATCGTAGGCCATGACCACAGGGTCGGCACGCTTGACACGCTCCTTGAGAAGTTTGAGGTCGGGTTGACCTGCATCGAAGGTGACCGCATACCACAGACCAACGTTGATATTCTTGTCCATGGCTACGCGAAGGAAGTAGGGGACGTCGTATTCGCGGATATCGAGGATATATTCACGCGGGTCTCGGTCGCGAGACCCGGCTCCCCACCGCGACGAGCCTGTCTGTGACTCACCGTTGGCTGCCCATTCTCCTTCGAGTTCGATGTTGGTGGCGGCGGCGGATGTGGCATTCACCACCTCGGCGTAGGCGTCCACTGCATCGAATTTTGCGCTATTTGCGAGCGCAAGAGGCAGGATGTCGCGTCGTAGAGTGAGGAGATCCGAGACATTGCGGAATGACAGCTTCAGGAATAGTCGACGATGGCCCATAAGATGATTCGGCATCTTTAGGTCGTCCTTGTACACCCGAGAATTCCACAGATGACGCCTTCGTACTGCTTCCTAAGCCACTCTTCAATGACGTTTCCATGCCGTTCTGGAGAGATGTAAATGAAAGTGCTGAAGATGTATGGCACGACGTACCTTGCACGAGATGAAAAGTATGGCTCATACTGCATCGTACCTTGAACATGCCTCCATCGTCCTGGATGAAGTAGTAGTCCACGGCGGCTTTGCCTCCCGGCCAGTCCGCGGCTTTGACTAGTGTCTATGTGACGCGAAAGAAGGATAATAAGAAATAGAGAGTGCTCGAACACATTTCATGTATTCTCAGCAGCGACGCACCGGATGTATATTGATCAACCATCCCTCTCGTGCAGGGCCCTCCTGGATACGAGCGAAGCCAAGCTTCTCGTCGACCTCGTCCTGTAATTTCACTTGCTCAAACCGCTCCTCCAGCTGGTTGCCGTCTTCATCCCTCTGTGGGGGTGCTGTTGAGGGTGCTGCTCCGCGACCGCGACCGCGTCCTCTGCCGCCGCGAAACGATGTGTTGCCTCGAAAGCCGAAACGAGAGCCACCGCGGGCCCCTCCGCGTCTAAAGGAGCCTGAACCTCTCGCCATCGTGCCTGACACCGGTTGAACCGGTATGGAGAGGGGTGTACGGAAGGAGAAGGAAAGGATGAAGAGGGAGAATTACAAGCTGTCACGGTCTCGCTCATTGACGTGACGAGTCGCGTCGAAACGTGACTGACGCCAACCGTAATGGTCAGTCACATCACTCTGTGAAGAGGACTAAGGAAGTCCATGGTGGTCGCGAAAGGGTCAGTTGATATACCACAGTAGATTGTCGACAGACAGTTACATGAACACAGTGCAGAGAGGTACCGTCTGCAACGTGAAATATACTTTCCAGTCCCGCCATGACGTCACCACCACTGGGAGCGTCCTGATCGCCCGCGAGTGGGTCTGACCTTGGTGGTCAGCCTGGTTGTTCTGAAGTGCAGCATTCCATGGCAGGTAGGAAAACATGGTCTTCCCATGTGCAAACTCTGCAGTCAAGTGCTATTTGCATCAAGAGCCATTCTATGCGTGCTGCCAGCTCGGGCAAGCAATGTACATCACATTATACAGATACATGTGCGCAGTCCGTCCAAGAATCATCGTGAAGTCTAGTCATGTCCGAGGTTCCGTGGGGAGTGGTATAGGGAATTATAGACGTGGTGTCTGTGCACGGTCCGTGGGAGCGTACTTGGCCTACACAACACCACCAATCAACAACCCGTTCAACACATAGGGGAAATATGACTGTAAACTCACCATCTCGTTCTCCTTCTTCTCAAACCCACACTTCTCGTAGAAGGCTGCATCAGGCATAGGCGAGTCAGCCTCATGCCAAAACGGGAAAGAGCAGCGCGCGGAGATCATGAACGCGACTCACGGATGTTCTTGTCGCTGCAGTTGAGGATCGTCTTGTAGCACCCGCTGTTCTCGCTGATCCCGGTGAGCGCGTGGATGATGCGCAGGCCGAGCTTTTTGCCCTGCTGACTCGCGTCGACGGCGATGTCCTCAATGTGCCCGACGCAACCGAGCCCGCGGAGGAATTTGCGTTCGACGAAGAGCGTGCCGACAGCGACGATGCGATCCGACGCCTTGTCTACGATGACGATACCGTAGTACGTGCAGGGTGCTGCACGGAGGGCTTCGAATTGAGCGCGCCAGGCGTGCTCACCGGGGTCGGTGACGACGGTGAGGACCTCGAGCACCTTGAGGTGCCCACGCTTGTGGTCGGTGGACGCAAGAGGGCGCAACTATTGACAGTATTGGTACAAGGCAGAGAAGAGGGTCCAGTGAACTTACGTGGAGTTCTTGGGGCAATTGTTTCCGCACTTCAACGGGGATCTGGTCGGTGGGGAAGAGCAGGTCGAGCTCGGAGTCGACAGTGAAAGGCATTATGACAAAGTGGTAGGCAGAAGAAAGTAGGATAGGTTGGTTAAAGATGAAGATGCTCAGTCTAGAGAGTAGAGAGATGAAGGTGATGTTGAGAGGAGAGGGAGACGAACTGAGGTGAATGTGGAGGGGAGTTATACCGTGAGCTCAGTGCTGTAATTGGTCTAGCGCCACGCGTCTGTGGCTATCCCTTCCAGCGCCGGTCCGAGTCGCGGCGTTTCACCGGTGCGAAATATTGAAGGCGAGCGGTGTTTGCGGCGTCTCGGTACGTCGCGTGTTGTTGCCTCTCACCGCATTGGATTGCCCCTGGACAGCGTTCTTGGAATGGCCTCTGAGTGCGTCTGCCCCGCCAATCTGCATTCAGGAGGCGTAGGCTATGTAGCTGACAAGTAAATTTAAAGTTCCCCCGCGTCCACCGAACCGCTTCGAAAAGCTGCCCCCGTACATGAGGTAACCTGCGCGTGCACGTTCGCGAACAGTTGCCCTCCAAGTTCGCGCGGTGTTCTCGGAAGCCGCAGCACATTATGACACATATTCTCATGCTAGAGGACGTCCATCACTTGCTTGGTCGGAAGACGCGTTGCCAAGCGTTGAACTGGAACAGTCACTTTGCATTCCAAACTAGCAATGCTGCACTCGCACGACCCAGCTTCCGCAACTTCATGTTCCGTAGTATTATCAAAAGCTACTAGTACACATCAACAGAGAAGGGCGTTCATAACCAGGCTAAATCGCTGTCGTAGCAGCAAACATGTAGCTCTGGCTCAACGTGGAGTGCGAAAGTCAAAAGAGATAAACATACAGCATAGTCGGAGTTAGATAGACGTGTTCGCATAAGTCATCGCAGGGGCCGTCTCCACCTGACATGGAGACGACGGGGAGTGCCCAGCACTCCTAGTACTCATCTTCCTCCTTGACGGACACCCCAACGAGCCCTGCCCGCCAGCGCCCAACGTCCGCATCTACCGCCCAGTTCTCGTCGACACTAGGACGCGGCTTGAAGCTCTCCCGCCGTGCACGGGATGCTTTTTTCGCCACGGCGGCCGTAGCGCCAGGACCACGGTACGTAGACGAGGCTCCGTAGGACGTTGCGCGCTGTGCGGCATGATAGCCTCCGTACGAATGCCCGCTTGACCCCAGCTGCTGAGCTGATGGAACACGGCCGTGGCCCAGTGCGTGATGTTGAGAACCAGGTTCGGACAGGCATAGCGAGAGGAACTGGACGAGGGAGGGAAGAGCTGGTGGTCTTGCCTGGGTGCGGGATCTTCGTTGGAGACGCAGATCGGTTCACGATGGGACCACGGCTACTGCCTAGTGGTGCGCGAGTGGGGACAGGAGGAACACTCGAAGTTGAATCAGCGAGACGTGGTCGCTTGTTGGGCACGGAATGCGAGCTCGCCATGCTCGACGCTGGGCGAACTGCTGGGGTGACGGTTCCGGACCTGCCGCTGGGCGCGAAGTGGTTGGTTGAGTTGGAGGGTGTCGTTGCTCGAGGGGGACTGAGCCTGCGCGGCCCTTTGCGCCGCGCTTGTTCCCGTTCTCCTTGTCGTTCGTCCCGACGGTCTCCAGCAGGAGTTGGTACATGCCGACTCCATGGACAAGGAAAACGCAACCCGTCTCCGCCTCCCAAGCGGGGATGGACATGAGAAGGTCTTGTTCGAGCTGTTTGCAGGGAAGATTAAGGCTCAACGTTCCGATCGTGGCATTAGGAGAGTAGAGACGTACCCGAGGCTTCTCCTTTGTCACGCGCTTGCGCATCTTCTCTTCACGCAGGAGACGTCCAGGATCTCGCGGACCCCGGCCAAGCAGTCGGCTCTGGTCGCTAGCAGACGCGGCTAGCTCTTTCTCGTCTTCGCAGATGTCGAATATTTCTTGACGCTGCCTAGAAGTGGACCTTTCAGGCGTCGTTCCTCTTTGAGACGCTTGATTTCCTGTTCGTGGAGGCATAGAAGCTCTTCCGTGTGTTCATCTACCCCGAGTGGTCAGAAGCGCAGCATAGATCCGCGACAGACACTCACCATCGGCGAACGGCGCGAAGTCTGCGCGCTCTTCCTCACCGACCAACAGGTCGTCCCAGAGCTTGATGATCTCCTCTCGTGCGTTCTCGATGAAAGTGCCCATACGTTCGCGTTTGAGTTCCAACATGCGTTCGAGCTCCTCTTCATACGTCTTGATCGTCTCGTCAGTGCTTCCCCTTTGCGCCTCGACAAACGCGTCCATATCTGCGTCTGCCACACCAAGTCTCCGCCAAAGCGCCTCCAGCTGGTCGTACATAGCTTGTATATGCGCTTCACGTCGTTTCTTAGTGTCTTCCAGATCCGCTCGTGTTGATTCCGCCCAAGTCATAAGAGCCTGCGTGGGTTCGACACCTTCAAGACCCAGCGAGGCATGAGACTCCGGGAGATCTTCCTCCGCCAACTCTTCCATCCGAGCAACGAACTTGCAAAAACACGTTGATGGTCGACCTCGGTGGGGTGGGGAGTGGCGTCGGAAAAGAACAGGAGTGGGGTGATCGGGCGGGTTCGCGTATGAGGAGTGGGCGTCGATATGGCCATGGATATGGATGCATTGAGGAAGGGGTCAGAGCTATTGCCGCATGAGGGTCGGAGCGGGGGATAGGAGGAGGAGCGAGAGTCGAGGAAGAGGCGGAAGGAAGGTCGTTGAGAGAAGGTGGTGAAATACCCAGCTCTGTGTAAAGCCAGTCGATCTGAACAAAGGTGGCGAAGAGCACGCCCAAACGTTTGGTCTGTCGTGTGTCAGTTCGATGCATCAGAAGACGCGGATGGTACTCACAACTTCGCCTTCCCTCTCACAAGCTCCTTCTCCAACCGCGAAAACCGCTCGGGGGTCACGTCTCGATAGGAAGTCGTATCATACTCGTTTTCTCCTGGGGCGTACGTTGGTTCCATGACATCGACAAAGAACTCTTGGCCAAGAGTGTTCGCCAGGGTAGTTAATCTCCCCGTCAAATTCAACAGTTGCTCGAGTTTCGTGTGGTATTGCTACAGACGAAGGTTAGAGTCAACTGCAGTGAATCAGACATGAGCTCACTCACTTGACGTAGTCTTTCCTGGTGCTCTGAAACCATCTCAAACCGACGAGGGAGCACTTGCTCCTTCCTGATCTCCCCAACACTCGGCCCCGACGTTTTCATGTGTCCACCCAGAGCCCTTCCATATCTCATACACTCTCCTTCTACTGCTGAGCACTTCTCCATCCACTCATCGACCTGCTTTTTCCGGTGGTCGATCTGGCTCTCAATGCATTGAGTGAGCTGTTGTTGGAGGGTTGATAGTTCGTCATGTAGCGCAGTGGGGGGAAGGCCGAGTTGTGCATGGAGGGTTGGGAGAGTTGTGTTTGGGATTGTAGGTGTGTGTGTAGTGAGTTTAGCAAGGACGTTATGGTCGTAGACATGGCGGCTGAGGCCAAGAGGTGGTCAGGAATCAGGATAGAAACGAACATGCACGCGGCGCGAACCGCGCCGCAGTCACGTGATGGCGTTGCTGCTCAATCGGTAGCTGAAGGCGCTTACCACACCTAAACACCTTCCATCCTACCACCACTATATGACGGCACAGTTAATCTCTGCGGATATCTGTGGATCACTTCAGCGACACTTTTGGCTTAAACGGCCTAGGAATACTAGTGGGTATTGATTGTCGTCGGCGCGCAGGTAAAGTACTGTATCGTGATTGCCAATTCGAGTTTAATATTAATCGACCGTCGGAAACTCAGGTGCAATATAGGCACAGTGCGTGTCCTCTGCCTCACTTCATCTTGCGCTTGTCACGCTGACCTCCTGTGTCATCCAAAGTCAAGTACATATGCCATGAGCGCTAGCGCTTCGCCCTGTTCGGAACGCCCAAGAAGATGATCCTTGTCACCACCAGGCCAATCCATAAACCCCCTGCAACGCCATCGCTACTCATACGAGCTTAGTGACCCCTCGGCTATGGCGCTCCGCGATCGTCTTCGCATGTGCACATAGCGCGGAGGATTCACATGGACGTTGACTGGCTCCTCCCATCGAACCCGAGATGCAAGCACGAGTCCACAGGCCCTGGCGGCGGATGGCGCGGTCTCATTATGCACACTCGAAAGCCGTTCGTCGCTGTCGTACGCTTCGGTGAGTTAGCCAAGTCACCTTAGCTTGGCGGCAACTCGGGCTCACCTACTGCTTTTGAAACCCTCGTTGCAATCCGCCGGTGTGCGCTCATTCATGATCGTAAGATGTGCCTTTTCTTCTGGTTCGCCGTCACATGTCGCCGAAGTTCCTCGTCAAGCAAAGCACAAATAGCATAACAGCTCACCCACCTCGATTATATTTGGCCCCTGTATTTCCTGTGTCGGTTCCACAGTTGCATAAGTGTCGAGTGGTGCTACAGGGTGGCATTCCACCGAAGCAATTCACACATTACAGCGGAATGCGCGGTCGATGGGCGCCCACGGCTGCCAACGGCGTGCTCTTCCGGCTGCTGATTTTGACGCCTTGACTGAGCTATGCCGCGGGGTCCGTACGATGCATATATGTGTTTGGGCTTCCCCTGGTGCATCCCCGCATCCTACGCTCGCTCTTCTACTCATCCGCCCGAGGCTAGGCACCCGACGTAACGCATACAACACCGTAATATCGACCACAGCCACATATAGTACCTCAAATCCCCTCTAATGGCCGATCATCAGGTGTGTGCCAAACTTGCTCTCAAGAATTCGCCCAAAAAACTCAATGGGATGAAGGCCGTTGTAACTCGTACCAGTATCATAGAGCCTGATGACTTCGATATCGAGAGGGTGTTCAGCCGTGCAAGCACTTTCCATCATGTCGAAGATATAGACAGGGCGTTAACTCGCGCAAGCACTGTGGTGGCCACTGAGAGAGGCGAGAAATCTGACACTGCCTCCTTCTCGACGGCGGAGAATCCCAAGAAGCCGGAGCCGTTTCAAGAGGCGACCCCTCCGACTGTGACCACCGAGGACAAGCCTTTGTCAACAAGGAGATTCAGTTGGTCTTTGTGGCGTAAGTCATTCTGTCATCCCTCTCAGCACATTCCTGAGTATCCGAAAGTTTGTCTGTCGCCGCCTTCCTCGGCTCTCTCGACCAAACCATCATCGCCACAGCCATGCCTACCGTGGCATCTGAGTTCAACGCACTTCCTCACAAAGCTGTGAGTGGCTTCCCTCGTACTCCTGCTGATCGCGACTGATATGTCCCAGGGATTTCGTTGGCGTACCTGCTAACTTCCACCGTGTTCCAACCCATCTTTGGCCGTGGAACCGACCTGTACGGATCAAGACTCATGCTCTTCCTCTCCATCGCTTTCTTCGACCTCGGCACACTCTTTTGTGCTATCGCTACCGACTTCATCTGGTTCTGCTGTGGTCGTGCTATAGCAGGTATTGGGGCAGCGGGACTGTTGGCACGTACCTTCCATGCTGCTGCATCCCTTCCAATTACTGACCTCGATGTCTCTGCAGGTCGTATGTATGATCATTATCAGCCAAATGGTACCCCTCCGAGACCGTGGCAAGTTTGTCGGCGCCATGTATGCACGGACGGCCATTGCCACTGTCCTCGGCCCCGTAAGTCTACTAATTTACGAGGACGTATTGATAACTGACTTGCTTCCAGGTCCTGGGAGGAATCTTCTCCGCGATCAACTGGCGCTGGTGCTTCTACATCAGTCTCATCCTTTCCGCCCCTGCTGTTATTGTGCTGCTGCTTTTCGTCAAGAAGATCCCGAACAGGAAGCGGCCCGGAGTGTCTTTCAAGGACGTAGACTTTGGCGGTATCCTCCTCATCTTCGCTTGTGTTGTCAGCCTCTGTTTGTCCCTCTCTTGGGGTGGTACTACATTCCCGTGGAACAGCCCCATCGTCATATCGCTTCTGTGTGTCGGCGTTGTTCTCATCCCCGTCTACATCTTTTATGAGATGCGCGTCCCCCGGTACCCCGTCATTCCCCTCCAGATGTTCAGGATTCGCAATGTCACTGCGTCGACTGGAAATTACTTCTTCTCTTCTGTGTACGTACTCTCCGCCACGCCACAAACGCTCACGCTCACCGTCTCCGCCCCGCAGTTCCATGTATGGTCTCTCGGCGTACATCCCGTCCTACTACCAGCTCGTCCGCGGTGATTCGCAGCTCGTCTCCGGTCTCGAGGTCCTCCCCTAGTGAGTCCCCTTCCCCGCCTCGGCGCCACCCCGTACCGCCGGGAAGCACGCAGTCTGACACACCTCCCCGCAGCGTCGGCACGATCGTGATCTTCTCCACCCTCGTCGGGTACATCATGTCCTGGACCGGGCGCACCCGGCCGTGGCTCTGGATGGGCGGGCTCGTGAATATTGTCGCGAACGGGCTGCTCATCATGCTCAACGGCAAGCTCCCGCGCGCGGTCGAGTACGTCTTCCTCGCCCTCAGCGGCGCCGGGGTCGGCTTCATCGCGCAGACGAACACGGTCTCGGCGCAGAGCAAGGTCTCGCGCGAGCTCCTCGCGAGCGTGACGACGATGACGATGTGGAGCAAGAGCTTGGGCGGGATCGTCGGGATCGCGATGCAGGGGTCCATCATCCAGAACGTGTTCCTCAACCAGATGAAGGCCGACCCGGAGGCCGCGCCGGTACGTGCTGCCGTCGGGTTGTTGCGATGGGGAGAGAGGGCCTGATCCGGGCATCGTTTGCAGTACATCGATCAGCTCCAGGCGGTGAGCAACATCCAGTCGCTGCCCCTTGACGTCCGGACCAAGGCGTCGCAGTCCTACGGCAAGGCGTTTGAGACGATGATGATCGCCACGTTGCCCTTCGTCATCGTCGGCTTCCTGTTCTCGCTCACCGCCGAAGAGGCCGACCTTGGTCGCCGCTCTGGTGGGAAGAAGAAGGACGAGGACGAGGAGAAAGGCAACGCCCCCAAGGTCGAAGTTCCGGAGACTTCGGCCGCCCCCGCTGGCCTCGCTACTGGAGACAAGAAGACTCCGGTCGAATGATCGACAGTCGCCGCCGCCAGTCACTTACTCGTCTGAGTACTCAGGCCAGGGATATGTACGCTACATTTCATGTCCTTCCCAATGCGTCGTTGCAGGCGATATGTTGTATTACTATGCTGTACGCAGCTGTGCGGTGTTTGTTCCATATAGCCACCTCTCTTGGCAGAGATCAAGGTTGTTCCGTTCTCCTTTCGGAGTTTTGCATTGCTTGTATAACCTCTATCAGGAACGGTTATTATATTTGACACCCGAACAAACTCCGCTTGAAGCTATGCTTCGGCACGACGGGCGTCAAAGTCTAAACAGGCCGCCTTGTCCAGACCTGTGATCACTGAGACGATCTTTCGCCGACGTCAGATGCTGTTTCTCGTCTAAGCATGCCTCGACTGCTTCGGTACGTGCATACATACTAGTAATATCTCCTCTTTTACTAATGGCAGGATAGAAAGACCCAATCCAGTCGCCTATTCTTTCAGCGAACGTCAATGGTGGGTGATGCGATGTCCCAGGATACCGTCGATGAGACGGGGTGGACACACACACCCCGTCCCAACGCCGCGGCTATTTCGGTTTACCACAATCTCGCCCGGTGACCTCGAAGGTTATTTTTGAAAGGGGAACTCCACATCCCAAGCCGGTGGTGTCCGCCCTTGATCAATCGCGAGGCTTCGTTCCCCGCGTCCGGAGGGCCGCTTGCTTGCGCATGCAGATCGTTTAGTGAGTACCTGAGGTCCGCCAATTATCTAGTCACCGTTGACGCCTCTCTCCGGATCGATTCTGCCCACTCTTGTCCATTCAGTGAAGCCGCCACCGCCACACAATGCCGGCGGTTTCGTGGACGGCGTGTTCACAGCAGTCCTTCCCCCGATGGACGACAATGTTCAAGGAAACTCCCGCGTTCATGCGTCCTTATCGACGGCACTTTTTCGCCCCCTCCGAGGCCGACCAAACTGCGGAAGAAGAGCAGTGGTTGCTCCTCGGCTTTATCCACCGCTCTAGACTTCGGGACCCTGCATCGCCGGCGGAGTCTTCACTGAGCGTTGATTCGTTACGGTGCGTGGCAATTCTGCGCAGTCCATCTGCTGGTCGTTTAGTGGCGACAAACGGACACATCCAACTAAACGAACCTGCAGCCTCATTGCGCCCCGGGTCTCTTCTACCACCGGCTTGCCTGGCCCTCCGCTAAACCAACATTAAACCACGCGCGCGCTCGTGGCAGATAAAGCGGCGTATTCGATGCAAGAAAGGTTACGGCTCCCCTCCGTGACTCGCACGGGATCTTCCGCGCGCTCGGACGTTAACAGGGAAGCCGCGTGGATGACGTACGGCCTGCTCGTGGCTGGGTCACCGTTTGTCGCGCTCGCCTAAAGGCTGCACATCCCTCCTCTCTGGTCCCGCGCTCGGTTGCCTCCTCCGAAGAGAACTGAGACGAGGTCTTCGTCGCGCTCAGGTCGGCTACCGGCGGGCATGCTCCTATCGCCGTCGCCTTTTTTGACGTGGTTGTGGATCCCACAGGCTGCTGTTGGAAGTTACGCACGGTGAAGCTAGTCCGGCAAATTTGGACCCCCGGACGGTGCGTGGAGGCGATTCCAAAGCCTCCGGTGGACGTGGCCTTGATTCTAGGTCATTCCTATATCATCGTTGGTGACTCCTAGGTGACATATGAACATCGCGCGCCGGATGACATTCGGCTGACGTTTCATCAACACAGAGTCACATCGCCTCCACGCGTGCTCCTAGCGACACGATACGAGCCCCGAAAAAAAAGCGGTGGCGTATCACCGCCACGGCGACCGTTACTGTGCAGTCAGGTTTGTTAGTGGGATTGTATTCGCGCATCGCTGACGCGAGCACACAGAAGCCATGACGCGCTCGGTATCGCATCGACGAAGTGCCCAGTCACCAGACACCGGTCCTTGAAGCGAATTGCTCTCGCGCTCATGGTTTGCGCCCGACCACGTCCATGGAGGTTAGCAGGTACAGCGCCCGGGGCCGTACTGCCGACCAGTGATTGCACACGCAAGCTATTCTGCCATGGCTCGCGCGCACTACGCTCGCGCTTGGCGACCATAGGAACGGGAAACGAGACGAGCGAGGGCCGCAGCAGTGCCCAAGCTCGCACTCAGACCGGCGGCGGCAAGAGAAGACCACGCGAAGACCGCGGAAGGCCAGAACAGTCGGAGGTTACACGGACAAGCTTGCGATCGAGGTCGACCTGAATATGCGCGGACGGCGTCCGCGCCTTCGAACTTTCAACGTTCGCGTTCTGTCGCCGCGACTTCCTGCACGAGGTGGCAGGAGTCTAATCTGCCATGCCAGAGTTCACGACAGATGCTCCCATACTGATCGGGGATCAAGGTGAGATGTCCTGTGAACAGGCAGGTATCGGCTTTCGGAGGCGACGGTACAACCGTCCGAACAGCGATCGTGCATACTAGACGCATGTCAGATCGCTTGGAAATGCGTGAGACGTTGAAAGGCTCATGGGACGCGAACTTGAGTGAGAGACCAGAAGCTACGGTCGAGAGGACTGCACGATGTGATGTGGGTCGGGATGAGCATGAGAGTCGTGCGGTCGGTGGCATGTGGCTGTTGATAATCACTGAAGTAAAGGCATCCAGATCTTGATTTACACTCCGCTGGACGGTCAGCGCTCCGAGGGCAGACAGACGCCTGCTCGGTTGCTCCTGAACGCTTTGGCCTCTCGCCGTTGACCACCCCGGCCGCGCGCGGGCTGCGACTCGGAGTCCTGGCGTTCTGCGAGCCCTCGAGCCACGAGGCGTGGCTTATCGCCCGCCTTCTAGTTGACGCTCTCACGGGGACGTCGCCGCTTGTTGCGGTGGCGTCCACCCCCCCAGACGCAAGCTGAGGGCGACGTCCATTCCATTCCGGGTCGTTGCACTGGCGGTGATAGCCGAGATGTATGCATCTGCAACGACCCGAAAAACGCCTCCAGCTGACGGTATGTTCTACGGTCGTCCGACTTCCTTTCATCGCTCACGCTATTTGCAGCTTTTCGGCCCACCATGACGGCCGAGCGCACGCATCGCCCACTGCGTGATACCGGGGGCCTATTCTCAGCGTCCTTGCGCGGCAGCGACTCGCTCATTTGTAACCCTCGGTGCGTCCGCAGTGCGGCCCGCCTCGAACCCTAATTGTCAGCGCACAACCCTTTCGCATTTACAATTCCGAAGCCGAGCGCGCCCCGCGAACCGCGAGACGACCGCCCGCAGGTGCAGACGCACATACCACCGTGCCCACGATGACGTGAAGCCCATCCACCGTCCCGAACAGGTAGCTCGCGGGCTTGCCGCCGTCCGCGTTCGCTTGCACACCAAACTCTTGGGGCGTCAGAACCGTCGGGATGCATTTATACAAGCCCTCGCTCTGTGCTGGGGTGCCATCCCTCCGGCTCGTCCGCTCGCCTCCCTCGCCTTCGAGTTCAACCTCGTCCTTGCTGCTTCTTACGCCCCCCATGGCCGTGCAGTTCGCCCCCATTACCCCCAGCAAGCTCAGGGATGAGCTCCTCACTCACCCTCTCATGCTCTCCGTCGGCAGTCTTAGTCTGTCGACCTTCATGTCACGCTCGATATACGGCATGATCGACTGGAGACCTGTGAGTTATCATGCTCTCTCACCGCGCCTCCTCAATGCCCATCTTGCTGACTGCCCACCCACACCCCTTTCCTTTGCGACCCTGCTGCGTCGTAGGTACTCATCTGTGTCGCCTCAGACATCCTCGCCATCGGGATGGACCATTATTTCGACCAAGCACCGATGCTCTCCTACGCACTCAAGACAGGCAACAGCGAGATGACCTCCATCTTCCGCCAGGCGAAGATGCTCCTGTACTCCAACGCACTCCTCCTTCTCCTCGCTCTTGCGGTCTCCCCGCCCTGGACATGGGCGATGGTTGCCATCTTTTTCGGCCCTGCCTTCGTCTGGGATTTCAAGCTCTTCGTTTTCGGCGGCCAAAAGAAGCCCAAGAAGAGCGTCAGCGAGGAGGCACAGAAGCCGAAGCCGAAGTCCAGCGACAAGCCAGCGTTTACGATCAAGAGAATCCCCGGCATGAAAGCGGTCCTCATCGGTATTATCAGAGGGTGCGTCTTCGCCTGACGTCTCTGCGTGTTCTGGACTCCGGAACTGACGCGGGTACAGATGCGGAACCTTCGCGATTGTGAACTCCATCCTCTCCCGGTCCCTGCCTGCAGGCGCGCAGGTCCTAACATCTGGAACCCCACACAGATTATCGTGTGGTCTACCATCAACCGTGCGGCACATGCTGTAAGCCCCAACCTCCGTTGATCTATGGAAACCCTAACAAGCCTCCCGCGCGCGCAGGTCATGGCAGACGTGCGGACTTCCACGAGGACTGGGAGAAGCAAGTGCCGACGATCCCCGTCCTCCTCAAGTCCGTCTTCCGCACCAAGCTCCTCCTCACCGCCGTGCACCTCTTCACCACCTTCCTGTACTCATACAACCCGTACATCGTCTTCGCCTCCCTCTACGCGACCGTCCTCGTCTGGTTCCTCGACGAGAACTCGCCCCGCGGGTTCTACCGGCTCAGCTTCCACTCACAGACGCTGACCGCCGTGCTCTACGGCGCCGTCGAGGCCACGAAGTGGTACACGTCGTATCAGTCGATGTGAGCCGACATCGGATCCCGAACGTCTCGGATCTGGTGGAGCGGGGCGCGTCGCCGGCGCGATGCAGCTGCGGTGCAGGGTTCGCGTTCCGTACCCTCTTGCGGTCACGGAGCTTCTCCGGGTTTCGCTCCTACCGGCGTGATGGGGCATTTTCTGGCGGGTGCGCCGTGCCCGCGTGTCTTCTGTAGCTTGTGTAACGAATTTAGGTTCCTCATGTATCGACCACATATTGAGTAGAGTCTAGACGGAATGCTATATATGCAATTTTGTATCTCCTCCTTTCCTGACGCCAGCCGACTCTTGGTCCGCTCTCTTTACATGTTTTCATGTGGTCCCGGTCAGAAGGTCGGCGGAGGTCCGAGCCACTGTATAATACTCCCAGGAAATTCACGCCGTGAGCAGAGTGAACTTTCTTGGGCGTTCGCGCGGAATCAGTAGCGGACGAGCGCGCCCGGCGTCAAATCTGGTTGATAGCGTGGCCGCGCCGATCCCTTTGCAGTCGCCCGTGCGTGAACGACCGCCCCCGTTTGTCGTATGTTTGTTCCGCCGACCACGAGTCCCGAGCGCGCAGGGCCGCGAGGCTTATTTTTAGCAGTGTTGCACCGGACCGGGCGCGCGCCGCATTCAGTCGCGCGCGAGGGGCCGGCGGCGAGAAGCTCTGGTCGCGCGCCAGGACGTCGAGTGGTGCGATCGACGGCCGCGCTAGGCACCGCGCTTGCCGCGCGCGGGTTGAGTCTCGAGTCTCGACGTCGAGAGGCCGATGCCGCATGCGACCGGGGCGCGGCGAGGCTTGATCGTCCGCGTGCCGCAGGCCCCGACGCGCGACCGCATGAGTGTGCAGGAATGACTGTCGGTGCCGAGCCTAGCCTATCCTGGCGCTGCAGGGGCGATGGGGGCAGGAGGGCGGGGAGGCGGCGCGCACGAGGGTGGTACGACGGCCCCGCTCGCGCTCGCGCGGTGAAATCGGCTTTGTTGAGGTGGGGTGAAATGGCTCGGTGAGCGAGTGTCGTGGGTGTTCGTCAGGCCAGGTGAGAATGGATTGGCTTGAGAGGAGCTGCGGGGTTTCGCGGTGGGCAGGGCCCTACTACGCCCATCTTGCAGCCTGTGGTCGACGCAGCATGGGCGCCAGTCTGGGACCTCCGCCCGCGCCGGCGCAGAGTACTGCCCCTCGCGCTCACGGATTGCGTCAGCGGAGGGCGGAGTTGCTTCATGCGTCTGGTGTGGCAGCGACAAGGTCGACGCTTGCGTGTAGACAGCCTTCTCCGACCTAGATGCTTTGATAGCGGACGCCCCCGGAGTGGCAACGTCGTAGGTGAGATGCAGAAAAACCACACGCGGAACGCATGGACCGCAGGCGAGTCGTGACGGTCTGTCTGATCACTCGATTCCACGCACATCGCGGACATTATTCTGCAGAGTGAGATCAAGATGTCCGTAACATGGACCGGAGACTCACCGGGCAGGGCGCATGCAGTCGGCGCCTGTGGTGAGAACCCATCCTGAGCTTCCCACCAACGCCGGCGAGATCTTCCGTCAACGGTGGGCGTGGGCCCGCGGAGGACAAGCGCGGACAAACCTCGCGGGCGCACGGGATGAGGTCGGCGTGTGGCAAAGGTCGTGCACCGCTCGGCTGACAATCTTTGAATCTCCGGTGCAACGGCGAGATCCCATCGAGCAGAGCGCAGCGTGGTGGCGCAAAGTGACCACGCTGGGGCCACGCGGCTAGCCTCATGGTGACTCGATGATGCAATGTACAATCGGTGTGGTTCCCATTTAATTGCTGAGTTTCAAGCCTGGCCTATCCATGAGAGAAATGGGGAAGTGGAGTATCAACAGCTGTCGAATGCGCAACGGAGTTCCTGCTGAAATTAGCACCACTAAATCCAAGTCGAGTCCGTAAATAAAGATGTACAGGGATGAGAGGCCTTGAGAGTGGGTGGAAATTTCCAGAGAGGGAAGGACTTATTGGCGACAGAGGTCAATGCCGTGTATTTTTTTGCCTGTAGGATTCCTCATGAATGTCTGGCCACCTGAAAGAGTTGAGATGCGCATTTGCGATACATGTCAATTGACCGCCATTCCAGACGCTTGGACACTGAGATAGCACGTCTGCAGCTACACCCGATTAAACTGCAACACTAGACTTGTTTCCCAATACGTCATAGACTCGGACTAGAAGCTCAGATCAGTGATCAGACGAGGGTGCCACCGCGTCGCTACACTCACCAGTGCACTGTTCCATTGCTCTCGAAACACCCACACGTAATTCTTTGGCAATCTTCCACGGCACCTGGCCCCCACTTGGAAAGGCCAATTCGAATACCAACGCCTGCGTATGTGAACGATTCAATGTCGTGACACGGCAGCGAATGCTGAGTATATGCACTCACTCTGACTCTCAACTGGGCAATTATGTATTACGTGTGGGTATCTTGCTCACACGGGCTGTAAAATGTCGCGCTTGACAGATGGGCGTGATCATTTTGATTTTCACGATAGAAGCAGTTTGCAGGTGACGAACCACTTACATGAGCGCCCGAGCTTTCAACCGTTAGGATAGAGGCGCCCATACCACGTGGTACTGCTTGGCGTCATTTGGATTGTGGCACAGGCACACCCAATCGGGTAGCGGGACGCTACGCTACGTCCACCAACCTCCTCAAGCACCGAAATTCAAGGTGAGTATCGCTGTTTACGCTCTGGGAGGCCGAGATGTTGCAGCATTGGCCAGTTGGGATGGTTGGGAACATTTTGAGGGTCAAATTGGGGTGGAATCGGCACGGGAAGAGGATGGATGGATCGGACATGTTGCGGATGCCGGATCGCTCTTGTGCTTGCAGCGACTAACGCTCTCTATCTCCCGTCCCTTCTGCATTGCAGATGGTGAGTGTCTACGCCCTCATCACATCCGCGGATTTTGACTGGGCCGTTCTGGAGTGTAGAAGGTCGAGATCGACTCCTTCTCCGGCTACCGTATCTACCCCTCGAAGGGTCGTCTCTTCGTCCGCGGGGACAACAAGGTCCGCGACCATCCTCCCAAAACTTCTCCCGTTCCTCCTCACGCTGGCGTTCTCCGTACAGATCTTCCGCTTCTCCACCTCCAAGAATGAGTCGCTCTTCCTCCAACGCAAGAACCCTCGTAAGATCGCCTGGACGCAGGTGTACCGCCGCATGCACAAGAAGGGTATCACGGAGGAAGTCGCCAAGAAGCGCTCCCGCAAGACCGTGAAGCATCAGCGCGGTATCGTCGGTGCCGACCTCGCCACCATCGCCGCGCGGAGGTCCCAGACCGCGGCTATCCGTACCCAGCAAAGGACAGCGGCCATCCAGAAGGCGAAGGCCGAGAAGAAGGCCAAGGAGGACAAGAAGGAGAAGGCTGCGAAGGTAAGTCTCGTCCTAGTTTACCCTCTTGCTTTGTGGCCTCATGCATCTTGCTTGCAGCCCGCGCGTGCACCTACCGCTCAGCCCCGCGTATCGAAGCAGGGCATGAAGGGTGGCAAGGGCGGTCGCTAAACTGTACTCTCACCGGTCCTCTCACTTTATGACACATGCTTTCGACTCTTCGCCACGCACAAAATGTATAGGTCTAGCATGCCCCCACCACCCCTCGATGTTATGTTATTGCATGCCCGATGACTTGCATTGTATTAGAATGTGCGACGGGTGATCTAACGGTTCTTGTAGGAGTAAGGGTCTTAAATCCATCCTCGACTTTTAGAGGCAGCCAGCTTGAATTCTCCAGACTCATCCTCCGAGGTGCGCCCATAATGCGATCGATAGTGATGGTTCTGACGTCTATACACAGCGGTATCTGTGCCCACTCACTGCTCCCAGCATTCGTCCGCTTTGAAGTGCGGTAGAGTCTCGGATTCGTCAAAGGATTCGCCATTTGCAAACAAGATTGGCGACGGGGGAATAACGGTAAGCATCATGAACGTCATAGTCGAAGCTACAGCCGGGCTAAGCGTTGCCTATCGGAAGCCCGACGGTGTGAACTCCGTGGTTTCTGCCCATGTGATGTGCGTACCTGCCCCGCTCGTGCTTCTGGTGGCCCCGTCGGCGCGGTGGACATTCGGATGGACGCACGATGGATGGCTGTCCCATCAACGTGACCCGCTTAGAAAGGCTCACTGACATGGCCCGACCACTCACGTTGCAGTTCTCCTTCGGCTACTGTATTTAGATCTGAGAGCCCGTTTATCGTGAATTCGGTCGCGGTACTTAAAGCCAGCTCTCGTTCAGCGTAGTCCGCGGACGACCCGGGCCCTCTCCACAAGGTGCGCTCCAACCTCGCGCTACACACTCTGGCGAATTCGGTCGACTCTCAAGCCCACGTCAAAAGGCTCACGCCATGGTCAACTTCGCCATCCTCGCCGGGGGCTACACCTCCTTCGTCGTCTCGTACCTCTTCAACTCGCACACCAACACCCTCTCCATTCTCAACCAGTCTCCGACGGGGGCGAACCCCTCGTGGATCGCTCTCCACCCCACGAACAAGAGCGTGCTCTAGTACGTCACTCGGCTTCTCTTCCCAGACGGTCCGCGTGCTAACACGGCGCAGTGCCGTGAACGAAGGCACCCAAGGAGCACTCCAGTCGTTCCTTATTGGAGCGAACGGTCAGCTGTCCAGCGCCATCGACACCATCAGCTCGGACGGCGATAGCCCCGCCTTCACGACGCCGCTCTCGACGGGCCAGGTTGCCATTATGAACGTACGCAACGCCTGCTGCAATGCGTGCGCCGCGGGGAAGCTCATACGTGGTATTTCACTGGCAGTACAACTCGGGCAATGGGGAAATCATTCCAACGGTGAAGGGGAACCCGCTGGAGTTTTCTAGCGACTTCACGCCCATCAAGTTCAATGCACCTGTCTCGCATCCTCACATGGCCTACGAGTACGGCTCGGAGGTCTTCATCCCGGACTTGGTATGTCGCTTCGGGTTGTTCCCATTGTTCTGAGCTAACGGCACTGGGCTCCTCCCAGGGTGCCGACAAGGTCTGGCGTCTCACCGAAAAGGGCTCTCCGGGCAATTGGGTCGTCCATGGCCAGATCGACCAGCCCACCGGGAGTGGCCCTCGTCACATTGCCATCCGGGGTGCGTGTCACCCATAGCGCGCATCCTGGAAACTAGTCTCTGATACATCCCTAACCTTGCAGGCAACACGCTCTACACCCTCCACGAGCTCGCGAGCACCCTCACGCAGCAGACAATCCCGCCCGCGCCGAATGGCACCGTCGCGGCCACCGTCGCGAGTTTCAACATCACCCCGCCCGGGCTGCCCGCCGGCGCCGCGATGGCCGCCGCGGAGATCCTCGTCACCGAGACGTCGCCCTCGTTCCCGGAGCCGTTCATCTACGTCTCGAACCGGAACACGGGCGTGCAGGACCCGCGCGGGGACGCGATCGCGATCTTCCGGGTCGAGCCCGCGCTCGAGCTCCTCGGCTGGGTGTTCACCGGGCTCGACCAGATCCGCGGGATGCAGCTCGGCGGGCCGGAGAAGGAGTTCTTGATCGCGAGCGGTGTGGCCGGGGACGGGGGCACGGTGGTGTTGAAGCGCACGGATGGGGGCAAGAACATGACGCTGCTCGTGCGCAACACGGAGATCCCGACGCGGACGAGCTTTGTGTGGCTGAACTGAGAGAGGGAAGGGGAGGGAGTGGGCGTCGACGTACAGACAGCCTTTCTAGGTACAGATGATACGTGCTTTCGAGACCAATCTCGCTCTTGTGCCTCTGGGCTGATGCTGGACTCACCCTCCAGGCGTTGGCGCTGTCCTGCGAACACGTCGCGTGCAGTTCTGACGTCCAAAGGGGTGAGGCATTTGTTGGCTATACTGGCCGTCGTCGAGACCCCGAAGATGAGATGAAGAAATCCGGGTTCCTGCTCTGGCGCCCTGCAGTCCGACCAGGCTCAGTGAGGCGAAGCTGAAGGAGTACGCGTACTGCGGGCAGGGGTTGGCAGGCGCGGAGGTGCGCGCGGGGGACCGCGCCTGAGCCGGTGGATACCGACGGGAAGGAGACGTCGCTGTTTGGGATGCTCTCTCCTGCCGCGCACAGTGCACAGGATCTTGGTCTTGGCCAGCACACTGACAAACTTGGTCTTGGAAGTAGCTGAAGTCGTCAGCACTCTACCCAGCGCGGTTGAAGTACGGATCCCTATCTATCAGCACGCGGTCCCCAGTGTTCACGTCAAGGTCAACGGAGCGAACTACCACGACAACGGCGGCTGGTTCGGACGTGGGCAGTGCTGGGTTAGCGGCGGCGCCTCGGAGGAAGTTGTTGTGGTGCGGCCGGACTTCGGGAATACTTCTCTAAGACCGTTTAGCTCTTGTCCCTCTTGACTCCATGCTAGACAGACTGAAAAATAGTGGGTGAAACATCCACTACGTACGTAGTGGAATACTCGCCAGTGCCATATCCGGGCCGGACAGTGGTATCTCTGTGCTGGCAGAACCGCGCGCCGAGAAGGCACAGCAATGACCATGTACTAACAGCCTCAGTCGGAGCCAGAACCCGTTTTCGACTTATTTCCAGACTTCATCGACGTCTCGTTCGGCATTCCCTCTGCGGCGCGGACTTATTCCGGCTGTAAGACTAACAAGTTCTTGACTCAGCACTGAGCAGCAGCTTATCATCGACATCACGCTCTGCGGTCACCGAAAAATTGCTCAAGTCTCTCCACATCTTTCAAAGTACGAACATCGAGGGAATGATGATGGTGTGCAACTTGAACGTTAAGTTGGACCTGCCGCGCATACAGTGGGACGTGGATTCGATACTCGCGGAACAAGCAACTGAAAGGGCACGCAAGGATGAGGCTCAAACTTTGGAGGAATATTGAACGCCCCCTTGACCCCTGGTCACCATAATATCTCTCGCGTTCGGTATGTCCTTCTGTCGGCAAACCCGGCTACGAACTTAGGTTGATTGTTATCGGTGTTATAGGGACTACTGTGGGTCCTGGCCCCTGGGATTTGAGACCACTTCGCCGCCCAAGAAGCAGCCTGGTTTCACGTGGGCGCGGGGGGGACGCAGGAAACGATTGGCCAGATGGTGCTCGGAACTCAAGTATCGCGGGTCTCGACGCGGCCTTGTGCTCCTTGGGTGCGCAACCTTGTGTTAGTACGCGTGTCCCTGGCGCTCGGTCTGCGGTCGCCACTCGGAGTTCGCCGTACGGATGCGCCGCGCGAGGATATACTCCCTCCTCCCTCACCCTCTCTCTCCCACCATCCCACCATCTCGCCCTCAACTGTGCATTCCTGTCCATGCGGCACATCAACTGCTCCCCAGCCGCAACCCAACCCACCCCTTCATCCATCGGCCGCCTAAACGACGGCGGTGGCAACATACTCTCTTCCGGGCAATGAACAGACGCTTTGAAAACAGCCCTTGTCGCCCCCAAGCCCCTCCTGTTGCAGCGTCGCCCTCGCCGGCGCGCACGCGGTACGTCGAAGGTGAACATATTCCATCAGCGCACGCCGCTGCTACTCACGCTGACTACTCACTAGGACCGGTGGCGTACCCCACGAGGTCAGCTCCTGTCACTTTCCTCGCCCAACGCCGAGGATCTGGCGTCGCTCGCACTGCGCTGTCCCTTATTGCCAGATGGGCAGGCGAGAGACAGGTTTCGCGCCGCATCGCACGGGGTGTCCGAGACGTACCCCCCTGGTACGGTTGGCGAGTTCTGCGCTCTCTCTCTCTCATGCCTATGTTTATACCTGCTTCTGACACTGTGTCTCTGCTGACAACGGGACAGGTGGCGCGCATGGGCCCGATAAACGGGCGCCGCTCCACGAAGCTTCGTACGCTCCGCCTTCAACAGTTTCTAGTAGCCGTCCTGTGCCTCAACGTAAATATTTATACTCATCTGATTCTCGGACGACGGAGGTCCTTACGACCTCCGTTTAAAACGCCTCCCGAGGTACCTGAGGAGGCTTCTCCATGGCCCCCGGGACCAGTACTCGTCCCTCGCGCGGCTGCCAGGGAACCAACATACGATCACATGTTAGCACCAAATTCATACAGTGTGATATCGATATGACTGCTCGACCGTTACAGGTATACTCATCGAGAATTCAAAAACTAAAAAGCCATCGCTTTGAGACATTAAACAGGGACCATGGCCGCTGCTCACGCTATGAAGTGCCCGTGAAGACCTGCCTGGAAGGATATAGCTTGGAGTACAGAGTAGGCAGGGCTAGGCTCTGCAGAAGACGAAAGTGTACCGACCCAGAGGCTTTTGTGGACCTTCGTGAGATAACTAGTAACGTCGCGAAAGGCGTCGGCTTGTCGTGTGCCTTTGCAGGACATTCAAAGCGATCAAGCACTAGAAGCTTGTCGTGATGCGCGTTCTCAATCTGGCAGATGCGTATGCTGGGACGTATCCGGCCCGTCTCCGAACAGAGACCGGTACTCACGGAGGCCAGCTTGTGCGGTGCCTGTACCTCTGCATCTCGTCCCCGCCGGCAGCATGGGAGATGAATCGATGATGGAGGTGCGCCGAGAAGATGCCGGCGCCCTTCGCCGGCGTCGTCGACAAGAGCGCGCGCGCCCCGCTTGGCCCCCTTCCTTAGCGCCGGTTTACTGAGTCCCAACCTCCAGCTCACTGATGTCAGTTGCAGACTTAAACTCGTGACTGCGATCTACCATGCCCAACAAATCTTTCCTCTGTCAATCAGTCGCTTCGCGACCCAGGCATTCGCGCTCCCACTCGGATCCGTGGCGTCCTGAAAGAAGACTCTACAGCGTCCATAAATATGGTGCCTGCGAAGAGATTGAGGTCCGGGCGCACTGCGCAGCCAACGACTTCTGATATCATTCAATATCCTCACAAGAAGCCTTCCCGCAAACTAAGAATCCTGTGTCGGACGCCCAGGGCGGTACCCACCCATAGTCGACGTTGACGAACGGCCTTGGTGAACTTATGCTCAAGATTCTACGTTCCTGAAGACCCTCGCCGTAAGCAGTACCGTCCGAGATCGTGCCGTGTCCCACCTTCTGACAACATGCCTGTTCTAGCTCGTTCTTTTACTTCGCATCGCCGACGAGTGCGCCGCTGGCCGCCCACAAAGATGGGCGCGGTGGTAAAGTTCGTGCCCGAGAGGCTTCGAACGTGCGGGCGGTACAGCAGAGCGCTGTTCCCGCGCGCTGTCTTGCCGTGGACACCGGCGGGTCATGTCTGTGAACGGCCGGGTGCGGAATGATACATAACGGAGGGCCGCAGGAGTCGCGTTTCTGGTGCCCCAACGATGGTCGTGATCACGCTCGACAACACCCTGGGCGCTGCCTTCATTGGTGCGTTCACCATTCTCGACTTCCTCAGGCTTCTCACAAGGGTTGTTCTCTAGGCTCCACACTGACCTCGATGTGAGTGGCTTGATTCTGCGTCGTCGCTCTGGCTGACGCTCCTCGCAGCCTTTATGGTCTTACCACGGTTCAGACCGCGACGTACTACACGCGCAATCCGGGAGACCTTCCGATTTGGAAACTCACGGTTCGTCCTCTTCCTCCCGACGAGGGTCCACGCGAAACTTACATTTGGTACCTTTCAAGGTTGGGATTCTATGGTTCGTCATCGATCACGCCGAACGTATTTTAAATATTCCTCATGCTCTGGAAGGGTACTGGATACCGTGCATACGGCGCTCGTGGCACACATCGTTTACTTCTACGGTGTGACGCATTACGGGAACGTGTTGATCATTTCCAAACCTATATGGTGAGTTCGAAACTCCGAGGATGGTGAAAAAGTGGATTGATCGCCCAATTCTCTAACAGGAGCATTGGAGTCAGTTTCACAATTCACCAGGCTAATCATGCAGTGCGTCTTACCTAGTGCTTCTATGCAGGCACAGCTGTTTGTTGCGGTATGTTTCAACCGTCGAGTATCTGACTATGTATGCTTACCGTCAGCCCTATGCGCAGACTTTTATGGACTCCATCATCAGGGGGTACGTACAATCCACCTTCACGGCATCAGGCTCTCGAATGGTTACTCAAACACGCCCACCCAGCGTGTTTGGCTATCGGATATGGAAATGTATGTGTTCAGTGAATGCTGCTCTGGACTTGATCGCCGCTTGACACGAAACTATATAGTATCAAACAGAAAGCACGGAATATCGGTGGTTTCTGTGCGTAGTGCATACGTGCTCGCAGCGCCTGCATACTGATCAAGCCCCAGATCTTGTTCATATTGTCAGCTGTAACGACAGGTGAGTGTGTTTGTAGGATTTCCTGCTTTCCAAAGGCCTCAAGTTTCCCATTGCAGGCACGGGAATTGGTGAGCATGAGATATGTTCGACGAGGATTATATGTCTCACTATCACACCTGTTCAGCATACGGGATCAAAAGGTAAGTGATATCGGTCACTCCGTCATTTTACATGGACACTAAGGAAGAGGGATGTGCCATACAGTTACCAGGTCACCGGATTTGAGGAGTTCCTCAACGTCGAGGTACGTGCAATCACATAAATCCCGGACGCATCTGACACTAATCTTGCATCGTGGCAACAGTGGCTGGGGTGCTGGGGTCTGGTGATGATTGTCTTAACAGACGTTGCGTACGCTGCGGTCCTGTGGTACTTGCTCTCCGTTCGGCGAAGCGGAAATAAGAAGTGAGTGCTTCCTTCGTACTTCCTCTCGCCTCCAATCTCATACCTTTGCAGAATGGCAATGGACGGTGTCGTTCAGACACTAATGTTGTACGCGATCAACACTGGGGGTTTGGTTGCGTGAGTCCTCACTTTACCCGCCGATCAGCTGCACGTTCATATTTTCGGACCAGGGTTTGTGCCATTGGATGCTTGATTGCTGTGAGCGTCGCTCGCCATGCCCTATAACTGAGGACGTGCTAATATGACGTGCCTCCCCAGTTCGTCTCCGCCCCCAACACCTTCATTTACATCGCGATCTACTTCATCCTCCCCAAACGTGCGTCCCCTCCCGGATCCTTCGCACCGTCCCACGCTAACCTCATCCAATCAGTGCTCATGAACGCGCTCCTGATGACCTTCAACACGCGCGAGTCTCTTCGGGACCGCATGGCACAGGGCGGGGTCATCCACCTCTCCGGGCTCTCGTCTGCCGCGTCGGACCGGCCGAGCGCGGGGCACAGCTCGGGCGGGATCCGCGCGCGGACGATGGAGGAGGGCTCGGTGGGGTCCCGCGCGCCGAAGCCGCCGTCGGGGGTGCTCGTCATCTCGCATGAGACGAAGGGGTCAGAGTTTGAGGGGGAGCCCTTTTGAGCGGGCCCGAGAGGTGGATAGGAGGCAGTGCCGGGGACGTATATATTTGTGGATTGTCGTCGTACGTATAGATGTATATACATGTCCGATGAAAAGCGACATCAGAGCAAAGTGTATACCTTGCCATCCAGCCGCGGGGAAGACCACAGGGAATCGCATCTTCACTGTTTTGGACCCCAGCAGAGCGATCTTCCATCGGCATCCGTTCGACCTTCGGCATCACGCTGACATTCTCCCCGGGATTCGCACGCTCGGAGTAACATCCAGGGGCACCTTGACGCGAAGCAGGGCCTGAAGCTTCGACTGGGAACCGGGGCGCCGCGCACCCACGAGCGTGGGGCGGCACCACGTACCCAGACTGCTCCCCGTCCAAACGGTGTGCCTCGTGGTCTACGAAGTGCGCCGCGGCGCAGTGCACGCCAAGGGCCTCTTCTCTTCCTCGTGCACCACCCGCAGACGATGCAGAACGCGGGACAGTGCCAGGCGTCGTCCACGTACACGACGAGGACGCGGCCAGTGCAAAGCTGCAGGGGCTGGGGGCTGTCGGCGCGCGACGCGGAGCAGTCTCCAGTCGGCGTCGATGTCCTCGACGGAGGAGGAGGAGGAAGACCAACCCGGCTTGAAGGGAGCGGAACGGCGCGTGGCGGTGATGCGGTTGAGTCCGTCGAGCGGGAGACCTAGGCATCACTGATCGGGGTGCGTGCGGTACGGAGGGTGAGCGGAGATGTAGATGGTGTGTTCTTCTATTTCCATGCTGATGTGAATGTCCGTCGGTATCTTCTTTTGGAAACCGGGTTGAACGGCAAGCGATGCGACCTGCCCCGACGACGTAGCAGAATGGGTTCCATCCGCTGAGACGCTGGGTCGAAAATTTCATGAAAATCGGGCCGTGCCGCTGGTGAGTGCAACACATATCCCCGAGAGCGTAGTCGTGCCCGATGACGATGGCGCGAATTTTGCCGCAGATGCCGTGCGGTGAGACATATTGCGGGTGCCCTGAAGGTGTCTTGTTTATAATGCAAACGATCGCAGATTGTCAGTAATGGGGACACATATTACTCACCCAGGAGCTCCGACCATAGAATACATACGACTTGAGTGGGAAAAATGGTGTGGCAGAGGGCTTGAATTGAACGGATTGGTTCCCATTCTTATACGATGGGCAGTCGCAAGTCTTGGGGCGCGATCTCGTGGATTTTTCATGGTATGCAGTCGCGTCTCGACGCCCTAGCCCATGCAAAAAGGAATGATCGGCCGACTTCTTCATGATCTCCTCTTGAAGGCGGTAAAACGCGTCGTTGCCTTCGCCGTAGAGGGTCGGCGTGTTGATTCCAGACAAGGAGTACGCCCGATCCTCAGCTCGGGTCATCTCGCGATCGGCGGCCCAAGACATGCGCGCAGCGACGTTCAACTCGGTGCTATTTGTTTCGAAGCGGAGGACAGAGGCGGGATGGGGGCCACCTGGGTCTGAAACTTGATGTCCGCGAGGTCGTTCTTTGTCCCTACGGGTGTCCAGTCCTTGGCTAGGAATACGAGAGTCTTCGGAGCTAGGAGCCTTGGCATCTATCCGCGACGATGCCACTGTGCCAGCGACTGTGGCCAAAGTTCGGAGTTGGAGACGCTCAGGCATTATTAGGGATCGGTCTCAACTTCGTCGTAAAGGTTGACATGACAGACGGCGAAATGTCCAGTGAGGGCTTTAGCTAGTCACGAGAGAGGCTGACGTAACCTCTGGGGATGTCTTTAAGGCTAGAAAAAACATGAGCTTTTCCTTTGTGCAATATGTCAGAGTCTGGTCGTGGAGGATGGGAACATACTCAGCGCTCAGCACTTTTATTATGTACTGTACTTATGCTTGGCGCCGCCCGGCCCTAGAGATATGTATAATCAAGCGCGCTACCACTCACACTGCACATTGTATACACCCCTGGTCCCCCTCATTACTCTCCATATCCGATCGCAAATTCCATTCTCATGGCTTACGCACAACGAGCGGTCCCTGCCTCATGAAGTGAAGTATGGTCGAAGGAGCTCTACCGAACGCAATCGGGATGGGCGGGTGCGAGAGGCTCCGCGAAGCTGTGGTCGACGCGGCGGTGTGGGCGACAACGAAGAAGCCGTTTGCGATCATCCAGACTCGCGGAGATGGAACAATGGGCATACGCGTGGCGCCGTGCTTGGTCCGTCTGTTACATATGCTGAGATCTGCGCTCAAATCCGCCCGCTTTTGCCCCTCTTTCTTCTGACCCCGCCCCTCTTCTCTTTCCTGCTTTCACGGCCTGGAGTCTTGAAAGCTCACGACGCATACTTGTACCCAGCACGTCCTAATCATCCACCCACTCCCTCCCTCACGACAAGATGGTCAACTTCACGATTCTCGCCGGCGGATACACGACATTCATCGCATCCTACCTCTTCGACTCGGACGCAGGTGCTCTCACCTTGCTCAAGCAAAACCCATCTGGCACGAATCCGTCGTGGATCGCCCTTCACCCGACGAACCAGAGCATCCTGTAGTGAGCACCGGCTTCTCTTTGTATCCTTCACTCGTATTGAACGCAACTCAGTGCCACCAATGAGAACACCGAAGGCGCACTCCAGTCCTTCTCGGTGGGACAAGATGGCTCGCTTACGGCTGCAATCTCCACTGCGAGCTCAGGAGGCAATGGGCCTGCGTTTGCGATCCCGCTCTCGACTGGGGAGGTGGCCACCATGAACGTATGTCCTTTATGTAGTTCTGCCTCCCGTGCATGATCCTGACCAACGTCGGGTTTCCTTTCCCTGCCGCACATAAGTTTGGATCTGGCAATGGTCTCTTCATTCCGACGCAAGAAGACCCACTCCAGCTTGTGTCCGGCTCGCCCTTGATCACTTTCCCTCCTCCCACCGGTGGCGTGTCTCACCCCCATATGGCTCTCGAAGTTGGCGAGGAAGTCTTTGTTCCAGACTTGGTACGTTGATGTTCTTCAAGAGGTCGCTTGGCAGTCAAATTCATTCTGCCTTTCTCCCGTGCAGGGTGGTGACACCGTCTGGCGTTTGACCCGCGACGCGAATGCGACCTCAGGTGCCTTCCAGATTTCCGGCAAGATTGACCAGCCGCAAGGTTCCGGCCCCCGCCACATCGCCGTCCGCGGTGACCAGCTCTTCACGGTGCACGAGACCGCCTCCACGCTCACGCAGCAGACGATCCCGTCGGACCTGTCCGTCTCCGACGCCGCGCTCACCGCCAACTTCTCCGTCATCCCCCCAGGCGTCCCCGCCGGCGCGACGATGTTCGCCGCCGAGATCTTGCTCGTCGAGGGCTCCAACACGACGTCGTCCAACTTCACCCAGCCGTTCATCTACGTCTCGAACCGCAACACGAACGCGAACGCACCGGACCCGCGCGGAGACGCGATCGCCATCTTCGCTGTCGAGCCCGAGCTAAAGCTCGTCAAGCACGTCTTCACCGGCCTGAGCCAGATCCGCGGCATGGAGTTCTCCGGGCCCGCATCGGACAACGAGTTCCTCGCCGCCGCCGGGTTTGCGGGCGACGCAGGCGTCGTCGTGCTGCGCCGCACCGCGGGCGGCGCCGACCTCGAGATCGTGACGAGCAACAAGGACGTGCCGACGCGCTCGAGCTTCGTCTGGCTCGAGGGCGGCTTCTGACTCTCGGGCGGGGCTCAGCCGTCTGGGTTCCCCTCGTCCGTCACGAGCTCTGGCTTGCCCACCTTGGGTCCCGCGGCTCGAACGCGGAGAATGCCGCGTCAGTGCGGACTCACGGCCGCGCCGTATTGTTGCCCGCCGCGTCCTTCGTCGCTCTCGTCCTGCTTTGGTAGCACCGCGGAATGTATCTCTACGGACGCTTATTGTCCCGCGAAGAATCGCCGTTCCTCCATCGCACCACCGTCCGCTTATCTCTGCGCCCTCAGCGCCCAGCTTTTGTGCCTCGCCCGCGCGCCCTGCCGCGAACGCTGCTGCCCGGTCGCGCTCGCCCCGCCTGCGCTCACAGGAGCCCACAACGGGAGAACCCTCCGCCCGCGGGAAGACAATTGTCTCGCCACCCGCCACCCGGACGTCCGCCAGCGGCCACGCGCACGCGCGTGCTTCGCGGCAAGGAATGGAGAGGTGGGTGCGAGATCGAACAATCGCGCGCGGCTCGTCCCTGCGCGCGAAGCCTTCGGGGACACAAAGGACCGTCGCGACGTGCAGCCCCCGGCGACCAACGGGCAGGGGCGAGAACGTGCTAGCGCGCCGCACGCGATCGAACGTCGAGCGTTGAGCGTTGAACGTTGAGCGTTGAACGTTGAAGGTTCTGAGTTCAAACGTTCAAGCCCAAGGTACAGCACTCGCTGCTGTGCGCGCACGCGACGACGGGCCAAGCCCGCCCGCCCGTCGACGCGATCCACCGCCGCTCGTCGTCGTCGTCCCCGCCGCCGCCGCCGTCAACTGGCAAATGGACGCGCGTTCTGTCCGCCCGCCGCGCCCCACCGGTCGCACGTCATTAGCTGCAGCCCGCCCGTCGGCGGGCGCGGGCGTCGGGCTCGGGGCAGCGGCTGCGCACACGCGCATGCCCTCCGAGCCGGCTCCTCCCCAAGTCGTTCCCGAGGCCGCGCCGGCGCGCCCGAGCGCCGGCCGTCGAGCTCCTCGAAAGTGGCCACCCCCGATCTCGCACGGCTGGCCATGGCCAGATCGCCGGGCGCGGGAGTCCCGGCCGCTGCTGCTGCGCCTGCATTTGTCGCGCGGCGGGAGCGCAAGGGTCCTGGTGCTAGTGCCAGTGGCCAGCATCTACTTACGCGCGCGAGGCCGGCCGGGCTTTCGACTTTCGACTTTCGACTCGGGTCCAGGCTGGATCGGGCAAAGCTTGCAAGCGTCGACGTCGTTTTGCTCCCGGCCGTCCGACGCTCGTTCCTCGACCGGTGCGTCCTGTGCCGGGCTGCATAATAGCGTGTGGGCGTATGACGCACGGTGGGCTGGACCTGGGCTAGTACTCAGTAGTGCACGCCGATGCCCCGACCCCGACCCCGACGCCGATGCCTGCCTCGACGCTACGTGTCGCTGCCAGTCGCGGGGATCATGGACCTTGGGGGGGCCGAACAGCGCATCCTCGATCGCCTTTATTGCCCTCTCCCGACGCTCGATCGAGGCACCGTGCATCCTCCCGAATTCCGAGTCCCAGATCGCGCGCGCGCTGCGCCTTCGTACGTAGACTCCCGAGGACTCACCCGCGTCGGCTCCAAGCTTCAAGCTTCAAGCTTCAAGTCGAACGTCGAGCATGACTAGTGACTAGCCTCAGCGGCCGTGGCGCGGTGAAACGCAGGAGACGGTGCGCAGCGCGCTACGCACGGTGCGGACCCGAACGCAGGCGCAGCGGATTACACACTCGGTGGCCCAACTGAATCCAAATCGTCGCCTTGAGACCGCCCGAGGTCACTTTGTTGCATGATCGAGCGACTGTGCATTTGGCCGTCACACTAGCACACTTGTAGTCAGATGCAAGCAATAGAGGACGGGTATTATGTGGGCTGAGACCGCCGCACATCGAGGCGGTCCGTGTACTAGTACATGAGAAGATGCGAGCCTGGGGATCCTATGTCGTGGCGAGTCGTCTATGGTCATAGTCCGCGGAAATATCATCATAAAAAGTAGGAAGGGGCCGGAGCATGGGGCGTATGTAAGTGAAGGGAGAGATACTATGTATGTCGAGGGTAGAGGTAGAGGTATGCGTCGTGCGTGGGGAACGGGTGTGGGTATTAAACGGGGAGCAATTATACACATGTACAGACATCAAACTTTTGCGCTTGTCCGAGACACCGAAACGATCGAGAAGGTGAAGGAATGAGGATGAGGATAGCAAGTGCAAGAGAGCGGAGCGGAGCGATCGAGAAGCTGGAGAACTTTTGTGCGCAGGACCTGCCTTCCAGGGGCGAGGCCCTTACGAGGCTGTCATGCGACGTGCGCCCGGGGCGTTCCGCCGTGCGTGGCTGGCGACGAGCGCACCCTGCGGCACTGGCTCGGGCACCGCGTACGGGTGGAGGTGTTGCCCATGGTACTGTTGGTAGTACTGGGGCTGCGCGTGTCCATAGGCTGACGGAGGTCCGGCGTGTCGCGAAGGAGCGCCGTACGCGGGGCCAGAAGGACCCGCTGGATAAGCCTGCCCCGAGACTGACGGACGGCGCTGAGACGAGGGCGCGCACACCGGGGCGGCACCTCGCGCTCGTATCCCCAAGTCGCGACTGGCAAGATGGGTTTGCTCGGGACCGCGGCACTGGCCGCGCGCGCACGCATGCTCGCGGCAGAAACGGCGAGCTGCGGTGGAGGCGGAGTACCGGCGTGAATGAGTGTCATGAGGCGCGGGTGAGCGCGCGCCTGAGCGACGAAGAGGTGTGCGCCGGCTTGCTCGGGTGATGGGGAGAGTACAACACGGGAGAGGCCTGGGTTCTCGGATATCTGTCAAGTAGTGGAGAGCGTCAGCATGTGCACTCGTTTCAGGGTGGCAGAGGAGTGGGAAACTAGGCATGGAACGATGGCGGGAAGCGTGGAAACGAGCGCGTAGATATCCAGCCGACGTAGGCGGGTGAAAGGGGGTGAACAAGTGACTCACGTCAAGGAGAAGGGTATTCCACACGGCGGGGAGATGGGTATAGACGGTGTGCAACCGCGGAGCGACAGCGAGCGCCTTGACTAGGGCAGTGGCGGCGGGAGAGAGGGAAAGCCGGAAGGCAACGTTGACGGATTCCTGAGGGAAGAAGGCAGGGCATGTCAGCACTTTACGTCAATCAAGAGATCGGAGGGTGCGGGTGCTAGCGTGGCACTAATCCCCGGGCGCGTCGTACGGCGCGCAGGATCTCGAGACAGCAGGAAGCACCATGCGCCGACTGCGATGGGACACATGGCGCAGTGGGGACGCCGCAGAGCCAATCCATGAAATGATGAAACACTGACCAGGCGGGGCCAGTGGGCGATGGCCGCTGCGAGGTGCTCGAAGACGTAGATGGCGCCAGGCTGGGTCAGGTAAGCGTTCTTGCGGACGATGAGGTTCCGGATGGACCGAGTGCGGGAGAAGGCTTCGCAGAACGCAATGACGTTCCGATCCCGAGCGGCATCGCGCGCAGGGTTCGCGGTGGACGGGCTGCCGTCAGATTCGCCGTTATCGACGGTGATGTCGAGAGTGTCGAGGTTCTTGCAGTACGGGACGACATCGCGAAGGGCGGGCGAGGTCGCGTGGATGTGGAGGGCGCGAACAGCGAGCGCTAGCGATGGAGCGTGGCGGATCGCGCGGAAGAAGAGCTCGACATGGCGAGGAGTGCGGAGGACTGGGCTCCGGTAGTGGATGGGAGTGCCGATGCGCAGCCACTTGCGACAGACGAGAAGAGGGGAGATGATGGTGGGGTGGGTAGAGGAGGAAGGGGAGGGGGAGGAGGCGTAGGCGTGCCAAGAGGGGCGGTTGGCGTCGGGAGACTGGACGAGGAGAAGGGCGAGGATGCGCTCGAGGAGCTCTTCGGGGACGTCGTGAAGCTGGGCAAACATGGCGAGGTACGCGGCGGGGGGAGGAGGACAGAGTCGGAGGGGGGGGGTGGTGATATAAGTACTTGAGCTCTTCGCTTGCGGGGAGGGCAGAAGCGCGCGAAGGTGTTTTACCCGATGTGAGCAGGCTGGACCCGAGGAGCGGGATGCGCGCGCTTGGGGAGTAGGCGAGGACGGATGGCAGAGGGCCCTAGATGGGAGTGTACTTGGGCACCGGCGCGGGGAGCGAGGCTTTAGAATGAGCTCCGTACGGGCGAGGCTGTTCCCCGTCTTTGTCGTCGACTATTGTCTCGAGTGCAGGCGGCGGGGGAGGCGGGCAGAGAATAGGCCGCCCCTTGCGACCGACGCCCACAATCCAGCGCACACGCCCAAGCGCTCGCCCGCACGGCGGCGGGCAAAAGACCGGCCATATGAGGCAGAACTGCGCACCGACCCCCGCCGGGCCTATCGCCGATCCCCGCCACGGGGCAAGAGGATGCCGGCGGGATGGCCGGTTGTGGCGGGAGGTGATACCAGACGTCTTCCTCAAATCTTTCGACGGCGGGCGGCGGCGACGTCCTCCGCGTAAAACGTACGATCCCCCGCCGTCCACGCCCTCGCAACGCACCGCCGCCCCGCCCTGGCCCGCTCTGTGCGCACGTGACGGCATCCACCAAGCCATTCTCTCGCCTCCGTCCTCCGCCACTGACGTTCTGCCCTCGTCTGGCAGTGCAATTCAGTCCCGCCTCGCCCGATGCCCGAGCTGCCCAAGGCGTTTGCACCAGGGTCGTTTCTTGGACCAGCTCTCTCAGCTGGCTGTGCACTCGCCTCCCACAAACACACGTCCAAAGGCGGTGCGCCCGATGCTCAAGCCCATGCCTAACCCTCTTCTCCCAGCCGCGCCTCCCTCGCACCTCGGTCTCGTCGGCCACCGCTCTCGGCCTCCTCACACGGGGCCGTGTCCATGCTCTTCTGTGGTCGTCTGAAACGCTGGTCACCCCCTCCGACCCATCCTTCCTCGCGCTGATCTTCATTTCAGCTTCCAGTGCACGCATTCGAACTCTACTTCCGTGCGCAGACGCCTGCCCGGACCCTTGCTGTCCATCTCCTTCCAGCTCCTCCGACACTTCCTCGCCCGTCGGTCTTCTCCAGATCAGACCCCCGCAGAGAACGCCCTGCAGACGCCAGCTCCGTGCCTCATGCTTCCCTGAGTCCCCACCTGCCCTGCCCTGCTCACGGCACTCTCATCAATCCTCCATTTGCCGTGCGCGCCCGCGAGATATCGTCCTCTCTCGAATCTCCGCCGGCGACCAACATGGCCATCCCCGGCGATCTATTCCCTCTCCATCGCCCGCTTGCCGTCCCCCGCCGAAAACAAAACAAACATACGCACGTGGCAGAGACGACACCGACATGCGTCCCGCACCATGTCACTTTGAGCTCATGCTATTGGCCTCCCCGAGATGAATGGCGGGGCTTCTCAAGTTCTCTCTTTAAGCGTTCATCACCATCCGTCGTTCCATCAGGCTCTTACGCTCTCACTTCCCGACTGGCCTGCTTCTCCGTCCGGAACGTGGCCACATCCCTCAGGCCTCACCGCCCAATGTCCGCCCGACGACGCCTGCCCGCCCTCGACCCGCTCCTGCCGTGCGCGGCACGCGAGCTTGAATGAAAGACGCAGCCACGCAGGCCGCGCTCCTCCCGCTTCCGCGCTCGACGAATGCTGACCGTCCGCCCACCTCTTCGCCGTCCGGACTCGCGAAAAATTTGCGCTCGGGCAGCTGCAGTCCTTCGCTTCGGGCGTTCGCGCGCACGCGAGCGCGCGACGTCCGGGAGACAGAACGGTGCGCACCCCCTCGCCAGCCGTGCCTCCTTGCCGACGTCGCTGCTAGCACGCCTCCCCCAAATCCAGGCACTTTCCAGCACCCGTTGGGACTCCGGGGCTCCCGGCGAAGGCGGCCTCGCCCGACGCTAGCCTCTCGAGAGTCGAGTCTCCCGCGTCGGCGCGCTCGGTCTGGCCAAAAATACAAAGGGGCGGGGGTGGGGCTGGGTGGGGGCAGGCCGAGGCTGCAGCGAGCAAGCGGTGGCCGCGTCGAGCCGCGAGCCGCGACCCTTCACCGCGTCCGGGCGAGCCGGGTGAGTGCCATCATCGTCGCGCGCGTTCTGATCCCCGCGCCTGCCACGCTTCCCCACTCTCCGCTGCTGAGCACTGAGCACGCTGTGCGCAGAGCGGGCCCGACAATGCACGGTCCCGTGGTCCACTCGCGCAACGTCTTGCGTCCGTCCTACCAGCAGCCTGGTACTTCAACGCTGGGTGGGGTCAGCGCAACGTCGCGCCCTCCGCGACGCTCTTCCCGCGAGACGAGCCTCTCACGCGACAGGCACCCGACGTACACGCCTCCGCTGTCGACGGGCCCCCGGACGATTGCCGCGCCTCGCGTCTCGCGTCGTCCATCGCACGACCGGACGCGGGCCCTCCGTCGCACTACGGCCTTCTACGGCGCAGTGGGCGGGACGCACCGAGGTGGGATGACCCCGGGGCCCGCGCGGTGCGCCGGCGTTCCAACCGACGGCGCGCGGTCGTTGGGCGAAATTCACCGGAGGCGGGGCGAGCCCCAGCCCAGCCCCCGCTTGCGCGCGTTGATGCCACGACGAGTGACGACATGATACATCTCTATTCGACGGCAGAAGTCTGGACCGCACGGGGTCGACACCGCATCCTTCGGCCTGCGCTGGGTTCGCACGTACAGAGGCGCGATGGCAACGGGTGCTCGCGCTGTCTCCAGCCCTAGCTCGGTCCGTGAGAGCTTTTTTGCAGCGAGAAATGCTGGAAGTGCGAAGGCGAGCTCGTCGTCCATCTTCTTCTCTGATCTCCTACACGCAGTTAGCATTCCACATTCCAGCTCTTTTGGAGTCCTCGACCCGGCCGGCCGCCATGTGGCCCATCAATCGCAGCGACCGCATCGTCCCTCCGCACCGGCCATCTCGAGACCATCTGCCAATCGCCCTCCCGTCGAGTCCTCGATCGGGCCAGGCTCAAACGTCGCGGCGCCCCCTCTTTCCCACGCGCGCACACACATCGCACCCGCCCTGAAACGGCGCAGAGTCGAACGCGCAGGCGGATCGCGGAGGGCCTCCGTGGCCCTGCGCGCGTCCGCTCGCACTCCGCACGCCGGCCACTTCTCGGCGTCCGTAGCAAGAAAAGAAGCCGGGCGATCCGCCGCGCGCAGGCCGGCGACGCGCACCCGCTCAGCCTCTCGCCAGGAAGTCTCCGAACGACGGCAGTGCGGCCGCCGCACAGGACGGCTCGCAGGACGAGCTCAAGCGGGGCTGATCGGGTTGAGGCCTCCTTACTTACTGGTGAGTTGGACGCACCACATCGCGTGCTGAGATGGTCTCAAGCGTTCACCAGCTGACATCTGAGAGGCTCGCGCCGCCCCTCATACGAGACGCCACGTGAGTTCCGTGCAAGACGTCGACGAGGTCGAGTGGCTACGACGACGGCTGACCGAGCGCACGCTGACAGCAGCAACAGCTCGCCTCCGCACATCCCCATCGCGCGCCCATATGCACGCACATGCACCTCTCGTCGGCACCATGACGGCCCCCAGCAACGGTTCTCTTCCTCCTTGCAGTCGCGCAACCGCCCATCTCGGCCCCCGTACCGGCACCAGTGTCCTAAGTTACTTACATGGGGTCGATCTCCGTCGCCTTTCTGTTTTCAAGCTCAGCGCACGGACAGCGGAGCGCGCTCCCGCAAGCCTCAGCACTCAGGCTCAGCGGCCACATTGGCAGCAGCCCCAGCGACGCACACGTCCACGCGCCCGGCTGGCCATGAAAGAAGAGCGTCCATCGCCAGTGCTCGAGCGCGGACGCGCGCGACCCAGATCCTCAAAGCGCGGACTGGCCCAACGCAATCTCTGGGCCTTCTTCCGCATCCTTCACGTTCGGACGCCCTCCAGTGCCTTACATACATGACATAGCAAATATTGGTGGGCACCCCCATCGCTAGACGCGGGGCGCGCGCTCGCTTCTGAGCGCATTGGTCAGGCCCGCCTTGTTTACGTCCCCAGCGAAGGCGCGGCGGGGCCCAGACACGTTCCGGAGGCCGGTGAGTGCGCGCTGTGGTATCCAAAGGGAATCCTTCTTACTGAACGCCGCCGGGAGCAGATGACGAGGGTGTCTAGCACGGCGCCCGCCCGCCCGCCCTTGGTGTCCCCCGTTACCCATGAGCAATGGCAACGGGAAATGGGTCCGCGATGGCGCAAATAGCCAAGAAACGCGGACGGTGCCCCGTGGCCGCCAGTACTTCGAAGCCACGACGGCGCCGACGGCGCGCAGCGCCTCCCTTGTGTGGCCCAAGTTGGCCCTTTCCTTCGCTCGATCTGCGCGCGGGATTGCGGCCGCGCGCGGTGCTCTGAACTTTGCTCGCAACAGCGTCATCGACATGTGCCGTACAGGGCGGATCGTACGGGCGAGCTTGCCACGCGTACGTACAGCGTCCGGGCACTTCCCGCCCGCTCGTGCAGGCAAACTGCGTTTCTGGGCACAGGAGGGCTGACGTCCCCCGCGCGGGCGGCGGAGGTGCGGCGTCAGACGTGCGCGAAGATGGGCCTCGGACGCACTGCAGCGCTTCGACTCCTCCGCGGACGACCCTTTCTTTGGCTTCAGGCGTGCTCTCTGGGAAGCACGCATCCCCATGGCTCTGAGCCACGAGAGGCTGGCCACGATACTGCAAGACCGGTAAGTTCTCTAAGGACCCTCCTCGGCCTCTCAAGCTGAAGCGCTGAAGCGTCCGCCCTGGCTACTAGCAAAGCAGGCGCCCCGCGGCGGACGGGAAGAGGGAAGCCCCCCGCGAACTTCACCGGCGGGAAGGTGGGCCCCTGTCCAGCGCAGGTGAGGAAGCAGTCAGAACCACTCAGGCCTCAGGCCCCAGGGAAAGAGCCCGAAGCAGGGACCGTTTCAGCGCGACGGGGCGAGCTCCGCGGAGGACCGACGGGCGAGTTCGACTGGCGACTCCGGGGCGGTCTCGTTCGACGGGCAACTCCGGGGCGGCCTTGACGTTGGCGGCACGCAGCGAGGTCGAGACGGCATGTCGAGACTGAGCGGGTTGGTACGTACGTGTCACGGTCGCCCGGCGGCACCGTAGACGTCGGCGCATCGGCGCTCGCCGCGCTCGTTCGCGCGGACGTTCTCGCATCTGCGCTGCGCTCCGGCCGACCTTACGAGACTGCGAGGCCCGAGGCGGGCTTCGCGCCTTCCTGTTTCCCAGCTCGCGCACGAGGGGGTTTCCGTGAGACTCGCGTAGTACTGTATCCATGTCGATAAATGCAGCATCAGCTTCTCCCATATTCGCTGTCCCTTGTACAAGTATGAAGAACTTCTTTTCAATTCCTACATGCACACCCTAGTGGGTTTCAGGTCCACGAGGGCGAGCTTCTGCGCACGCAGCGCCCTTCCGTCATATCGTCGCTATGTCCCGGGGAGGCCCCGCCCAGCGGGTCAAAGCCTCCGACGCGCACCGCGTACAATTGATAGTGCGCGAACTGAGTGGACGTCGTCGCCGCCGCCGGAGCACGAGGCCTCGTGGGCTTCCGCTTCTCAGGCCGCCCTCTATCCCGGGCGGGCTCCCCGACGACGTCGCAGCGGAACCCCTCCCGTCATCGTCGACCGCGGAGAGATATTGCGCTCTGATGGGGCGTGCCTCGTGTGCCCTGCTTGCGACGTCCACGGACGTAGACTTGGGTTCACAGCTCCCAAGCTCTGGACCTTGCAAGCCTCTGATCGAAAGTCGAGGAGGTTACGGGGGTGTGCCTTCGACGGCGATGGCGCTGAGAGGGAAGATTTTCGTCGCAGTCGTGCAGGGCTCGAAGGTGGGGATCTTTTTGCGCAGTAGGCTGTATTGCTTTTGGACGCTTGACGTTCTGCCACGTCATTCGCCTCTATTGACCCCGGTCGTACTGGTGCGCATCTGGCGATGAGGGTTTACAAACGGTGATTGCGGAGGAAAGAGAAAGAGAACGGATCAAATAAGTTACGCATATCCGTACATCCGGGCCGTTCTCCGCGCATGGATCGAATCCACCTTCAGTCCGTCGTCAGCCTCCTACATCGTCTGCTCCCCCCAGCTCGCCACTCTCTATGCGGTGATCCAGTTGAGCGCGGTCTGGAGCATCATGATGAAGACGACGACCGCGGCGATGCCGCCGAGGACGACGAGCATCGGGTACTGCCACCAGTAGAGCTCCGCGAGCTGCTCGAGGTAGCGAACCATGACCTTGCCCGTCAGCTTCGACTCGCCCTCGGCGCGGACGCCGAACGAGAAGGGCACCTCCGCGATCGCGCTGCTCGGCACGCTGCACTTGACGAGGATGTCGAGCGCGATCTTGAAGCCGTCCGCGTTCAGGTTGCGCCCCTTGAGGAACTGGCGGCGCGGGGGCGGGCATAGGAGAGGATGACAGGAAAAGAAAAGGTAGAAGGAACAAGCGGGGGATAAGGACATGAAAGCAGAAATGGCTAGGAACGACGCACCCTTTCGCGACGGAGACCGAAGAAGCCGGACATGGGGTCGCTGGCGGCGGTTAAGGGCAGCGCGAGCATCCGCGCGCCGTTGGAGATGACACGACGGTAGAGCGGCCAGCCCTCGTCGATCTGGACGCCCTTGGCGTACCGCGTGCCGAGAACGAACTCCTTCGTTGGCGAGAGGGCCGACAGCATTGCCGGGACATATTCAGGAGGGTGCTGTAGACGAGCGCGTCAGCATACACGGTTGCACATGGGGGCGAAGGGAGCCATGCGCGACTTGTGTTTGGACTACGCATGCGAAAAGGCCTCAAGTCTCGGTAGATCAACGAAAAAATGCTCGATTTCACAGTGCGAGACACAAGCCCGAGAGTGTGCAGGAGTTGCAAATAACACCACCCATGCCCGCTCCCAAGAGGCCTGAGCAGCAGCGCGTCCACATGCGCGCACTACAGAGCTCACCAACCCACATTCGCACGGAAACAGAGCCGAACGCACCTGCAGATCCGCGTCCATACACAACATATTGTCGCCCCTCGCCTCGCGGAAGCCGCGGACGACGGCGCTGCTCAGCCCGCGCTCGGTCGTGCGCACGATGATGCGCACGTTGTAGCCCTCGCGCCGGAGCCCGTCGACGGTCTCGACCGAGCCGTCCCGCGAGTTGTCGTCGACGATGATCACCTCCGTCGCGCGCGCGTCCGCGGGCGAGCCCGGCTGCGAGAGCGCGGCGAAGATGCGCGTCACGAGCGGGCGCAGGTTCCCGTTCTCCCTGTACGCGGGGACGACGATCGTGTTCTGCATGCTTTCCGACATGGCGTGCGTGCGCGGTGGTGGGGATGCTGGGTCGGGTAGATGGAAGGAAGTCTCGCTAGGAGAGGACGGAAGGTGCGATTTGCCCGAGTTTGGCGGGTCCTAGGAGGCGTGAAAAGCAAGAATGTAGCGAGAAGAGAGAGCGTCGGCTGGCTGGTGGGTGAAGAAAGCGCAGGTGGAGGGCGAAGAGAAGACGATGAGGTGGCACAGAGCCCGGGATGCGGGCAAGGCTTGTTTATTCGACACGTCGTCGCTTGATTGGGAACGCGGCCCGGCGGTTCCGTTCTGTATGTCCTGCTGCGCACGTACTTGCTTGCTCGTGGATTCAGCCTCGTCTCTCACGATCGGGCGTTGAGGCCGCATCCCATCATGAGCTTGCTGCGGGAAGGGCATTCAGAACAACGCGCAGCAAGCAACCGCCAAAGCGCCTCGAGCTCAACGGTACTTGGACCTCGGTGTTAGCCTCGGTGGAGCGAAAACCATGATGTATGAGCTTTATGGATACAACCCAATGTGATTGCTCCGAACCAAATAGAAAGACAGCCATGTAGTCAAAGACCGAATACTGAGCGCCGAAATCCCTGGCCTATGCCCACACTACATACGTATGCAAGCAACGGGGTTGTCCGAACCTCCAATAGTATCGGTGTCCAGAAAGCTTCACGAAAGCGGGAAACTTGAATACGTACCCGGAGTTCCGACACCAGCGACATCCCGCAGAAACACCATACTAAAAGCAAAAGGTAAAGACCGTCGCAAATATCTGACCTCATGGACGGACGCCATCGATGCTTGGGATGTTTGCACAAGATAGCCGAGTGTACAGTGGCCAACTTTGATCCCGGTTGTCGATGGGGCTCGTTTCAGACTCGAGATGGCCCAAGGTTAACGTCAGGCAGAGACCGGGCTCGCCGAGGGGAGCGAGCTAGCGCAAAGGGAAAGAGCTGAAGCAGGCCTGCACGAAGGATGAAACCCGAGAGGCCGCTTGAAACGAGCGTGGGTGCCCGCTTTCGGACGCCACTGACGTTGTGGAGAGGCCGGGCCGGCGAGCGGGCGGCCGAGGACTGCTCACGTGACGGGACAGTGTGGCTTGGTCGGCTCAATCCAACCTTGCCTCCCTGCTCGACGACCGCTGCAGCGACGACCGCGACGGCCGGCTCAGGTCCCACCCCCACATCGCCATCCTCCTCGCCCCTGCGCGCTCCCCCGTCCCGGAAACTGTCTCGTCGCACCGCCCCGCCCGCCGCCGCTGAATCAAATCTCCGCCTTCTACTTATTCCTAATCCAACGTCCTGCCAGTTCTGCTGTGACCTCCACATATCCGCCTCGCATCCCGTCTCTCCTCCTCATCGCTCTCCGTCGCGTTTTCCACAAACCTCTCCTCCCTTTCACCCCCCTCAGTCGTCAAGCTGAGCCATATAACCATGAACTTCTTCAAGACGAAGCCTCGCACACCTCCAGATCTCGTCCGCGGCCTCCGCGACGCACTACCCAAGCTAGACGCGGGCCCGCCCGGCGGCGAGGTCCGGAGAAGGGTAAGTCGTCCTATGGCGTGCTAGGTGCTGCTATCGACCCCGGTCTAGGCGAACGACGATGTCGCGAAGAATCTCCAGCAGATCAAGTCGATCTTGTACGGCGATGGAGGTGTGTTAGCCCGGTGCTCGCCCCGCGGCACGTTTCTCACTCGTGGCTATCACGTCCACAGATCCTCTGCCGGAGCTAGTGGCCCAATTGGCGCAGGAGACTTACAGCACAGACCTCCTCTACCACCTGCTTCTGAACATCCACAAGCTCGAGTTCGAGTCGCGGAAGGACGTCGTCCAGATCTTCAACAACCTGCTCCGACGGCAAATTGGCTCGCGCTTCCCTACCGTCGAGTACCTGTGCTCCAAGCCGGATGTCCTCTTCGCCGCATTCGATGGGTATGGGAACGAGGAGATTGCCTTGAACACCGGCATGATCCTCCGAGAGATGCTCCGACATGAGCCGTTGGCCAAAATCCTCCTCTACTCCGAGCAGTGAGTTATCCTTCCTGTTCGGGTGGAACAGACGGTCATGTTGCTTCAGGTTCTACAAGTTCCCCCATTACATCGAAACGACGACGTTCGGCATTTCGTGCGATGCGTATACCAACTTGAAGGAAACGCTGACACGACACAAGACGATGGTGGCCGAGTATCTGGACAAGAACTACGACCGCGTAAGGCTTTGTACTTTTGCTGGAGCCACACCATGCTGAACTGTCTACTTTTGAACCGCAGTTCTTCTCGTCATTCACCACGTTGATTCTGTCCAACAATTACGTCACCAAGCGACAGTCGCTAAAGCTCCTTGGCGAGATCCTCCTCGACCGCGCGAACTTCAACGTGATGACTCGCTACATCGCGAGCGAGACAAACCTGAAGATGATGATGAACCTGCTTCGAGACAAGAGCAAGAACATCCAGTTTGAAGCATTCCATGTCTTCAAGGTGCGCATGAATGATGCCGATCGACGCTCATCACTAAAGGAGCCAAATCCACAGGTGTTCGTCGCGAACCCGAAGAAGCCACCACAAATCGAGAGCATCCTCCGGCGAAACAAGGACAAGCTCCTCAAGTTCCTCAAGGACTTCCACAACGACAAAGAAGGTGCGCCTCACATCATTGCGTTTACCACTGCTGATCGCTGACACGATCGCTCGACATTGCAGACGAACAGTTCATGGTGAGTCGGCGTCCTGCTCTGCGCCACCTAACAAGGCTGACCGGATTGCCCATCGATGGTGCTCCAGGACGAGAAGCAGTTCCTGATAGTGCAGATACAGAATCTGTGATCGGACGAGCGTTCGGACTCCCGCCCGGGCTTGTTTCCCTGCTCGTTCAGCTTCATCCGGTTAGCTTGGTCTACATACGCCTCCCTGGTGGCACGCTGCTTTCTTGACTCTCGCGCCTCGTCTTTATCGTCCGTCGTCTTGGCCTCACCCCCATTGCCCTCACAGCCACAGCCTCGCTGCACATACCCGCGTCCCAACCCATTCCCGTCGCGTCCACCCCATTCCCTGTGCGCTCGTCCGTGTCTCGCTGTCTCGCCCGTGTAATATCCCTGCCCTCTCCGTGTATCATCAGTAATGACACCGATCGCCCGTCCGTCATTGTCGTTTACAACATTCGTCGTCGCCGTCCGCTGTCACCCGCCGCTCCCTGCACTCATACGTACCTGACATATCGCGTCGTCTCTGTCGTCTTGTCTCCCCGGCTCTTGTCGCACAGCCCATCGCGCAGGACTATTCAGCTCCCGGAAGTCACTACAACAACAGCATATCTCGCCAACACGTTCGTTTCAACTGTCTACCGCCTTTCCCTGATTGCCACCTGCTTTAGAGCCCAGAATCCATGAGTCCAGACCCTCTGTGCGACTTCCCATCTCCTGCTCCAAACACGACGCGCGTTGTCGTACACAGCACCACGGGCGCGCGGGACGCCGTTCCTGGCCCCTCGGGGCACACCGACGCTCCCGAGTGACGCTATCGCCACGGATCGACGCAGACGCTCCGTCATCGTCGGCCTCGCAGCTAGGCCTCAGGCCTCAGGCCTCCGGGCCCGTCGTCCCGAGTCCCTCAGAGCTCGTTGGGCGGTTGGAAGGCGGCGCGAGCTCGCTAGACAGGGATTCGGCGTTATGCCCGTCGCTCTCGACGTGCCAGGCAGATTCGACGAGACTCCTGCGGGATCCGACGAGAGTCCCCAGCTGGCGTGTGCGTTGGAGTTCGAAGTGCGAGCTGAAGGTGGCTGGCAGACGGCGTCGAAGGTGTCACGGTGCAGCGCCCGAGACGATCGTTTGAAATGCGATGAGCCACTTGGTTCGTCGTCCGAGACCTCTGGCGGCCCGTTCTGTTCGGAGGCTCGATCCTCTGCCGAGCCCGTCTCGTGTCCCATGCGTCCGAGCCCCGTCATCCACTGCGCAGCGGCGTCGGCGCTCGCGCTCCGCGACCGTGCTCCGATACGTCTGGCGTCGAGCGTCGAGCGGCCGGGCAGGCCGAGAGTCCGAACGAGCCCGCACGGGTGCGCTCGAGCTCCTGCGCCCCGCAGGAGGACAGCGTTCGCGCGTGCGGCGTCGCGTCAGAGCTTGCGTATGGGTCGCGTTCTTTCGCTCCAGGTCTCGAGCTTGATTGAGCTTCCATGGTTCCCGTTGCGAGCACAAGGCGCGAACTCCGCACTCCAAATGCCGCGTAGCTTCGATCCTGGCGCCGGGCGCGGGTCGAAGTTAGAGCCGAGGGTCGCCGCCGCGGTTCCACGCCGAGCCCCCAGGCATCATGTGTCCACCGTGGGCCCAGGGGCGGGCCGGCGACGGACGCGGCGTGCCCATTGACGTATGTACTGTCCCCCGCACTGGGGACGGGCCCGGGTGGCGCTGAGGTGATGTCGATGAGCTGAGAGCACGGAAGCTCGCGGGAGCGCGCTTCGGCCGCACGCAGCCATTCAGCGGGTTCGGCGCGCGGGATCCGGGGCCGTGTCCGCAGCCCGATGGAAGGAGGGAAGGGGGCGGGGCTACGGCGTAGCTTGCGATGCGACCTGAACTCCTCGGGTCGAACTCTGCAGATCCGGGGTAGGGCGGCTTCGACCGCCACCAATGTCATTGTCCTTGGGGGCAGCAGGGGAAAGCGCAGCAGCGCGCGCGATTCGAGTGAGGCCCGCCGCGCCCGAACGCGGCGCAGGCCCGTGTCTTCCGAGGGCACCTCCACTGGGGGCACACCACGTGAGCGAGCGTGGTGGGCGACACAGCGCGCTGGAATTGGTACACACCGGCGTTCATACGAGCTTGTGTGGGGTCACATGGGAGCGTGTGTATTGCGGGCTCGAGCGTTGCATGGGTGGGTAAGCGATCCGTTATAGACTGGCGTCGGGAGCAGACCCCGCGTCCGGAATCGAATCCGAATGCCAGTCCCGGTTCTAGATCTCGGGTTGCCCAGAGCTAAGGCCGCGCAAGCCATGAGTGGAGCAGCGGATGGCCCATCTCGCGCACGCATGACGTATCGCCGTCTTGTACGGACTCTCCACCTCAGTCGCGGATAGTCGTTTGGGGACCTGGACGCCTCTTGCGAACGTGGAGGACGAAAGGAAGGGCCTGCGCCTCATTGGTTGTCGCGTGCGCCACATGAGAGCTCCGGAGGCTGTTGCAGCGCAGGTCCAAACCCCGCGGGGCCTCGATCGCGCGCAGCCCTGCAATCGATGGAGGCACTATCGCGCCATGACGAAGAGATTGCGCCGCGTCGTTTGTTCGTTCGGTGGGCTGGGCAGACGGAACGGGTTCGGAGGTTCGGATTCGGATTCGGATTCGAGTTCGGAGTGTCGGCGCTCGGGTGGGCGGAGCAGGTGTCGTTGTTTGGTATTGTCTCCAAACAGCGGTGAGGCGCGGTACACGGCGGAAAGGGATGGGACCAAGGCATCGACTTCTGCGAGAAGATACTTTCATCGCGAGACCTCCCTTCGACTTGGAGTGCGCCCCTGCACGTCGAGAGTCGGGGTGCGTGCGCGCGAGGGTGGCGATGGGGCGGCCTTCTCGGGAGCCAGGGCGCGCCGATCCTTCATTTATCCTACAGCGCTCTCGTGCGCACACCTCGGATGAGAAAGTACGCTCCCCGAGCGGGCGCGAGGCGCGGCACACGGCAGAAGCACAGTCTGGAGACTGCCCCCCGCCGAGTGTGCGCCACGCCCCGACCAGAACTTGGACGCGAACGTTGACGATTGCTGTTGAGCCTTCGACGTTGTGTGAGAGTGCGAGTGGATACAGAGGTGTGTGAGAGGGGATCGAGGAGGGCGGAGGCACCGGGGAGTGAGAACAAGGGTGCTGCTCGATGAGGACGACGGGCCGGAGAAGGCTTCTGGCGCCCTTTTCCGCTCTCTTCTCTCTCGGGTGCGTGTAGGGCCTGCTTCGTCTGTGGCACTGTCGGTTCTGGGCTCGGCCCTAGCCATCGTGTGCGAGTCGGGATTGTTGCGATGGTCCGCTCGCTCGCTAGGTGTGGACCTCTCATTTCCTCAATCCGCAGGGGTGTGGAGTGGCTCTGCGAGGCGAGAGTTGGGCTTGACATGCGTACTCTGGCGCGAGCCTCCGCTGTGGGTCCGCAGGGTGTCCGGTTCCCTCGTGGCCCGCCACCGGACGCCGTCGATAGAACGGTAATCCTATCAGGCAGCCCGGCACACGCGACCGAGGAAGCGGCACGGGGAACCGTGGAGGACACAGATGTCGGGCGGTGTAGCTCTGTGGAGGCGAGGCGCAGTTCTTCGGTGATAGAAGGAACGATCGAGTACGGTCGGGCTTAGTGGATTTCAGAGTACTAGATGCGCGTCGTGTGGGCCGCTGGATGACGCCGGAGGGACGCTGGAGGGATTCATGTGAGACCGGCGGCGAACGTTTGAACGTGGACCCGAGAGGATACGAATCCGGTGGGCTGGCGGACATCGACCGCACGCATCCGCGCGCCCTGGCTGTGTTTTAGCATAAAGGGTAAACGTAGACTGTGCTTCATTGTTTGCCTATGCGGCGAGGAGGAGGGCGGGGTGTCGTCGTGTACAACGTCGAAGGGCGAGTGTTGGTCGGCGTAGACGGAGCGCGCGATACCGCGCTATCTCGGTCCGATACGCCGCGGGACTGATGCTTCCAGGCAGCGGCCGTCATCGATGGGCCTGAGCTGTGACATTGAGCAGGCAGCGCGTTATCCGATGAATGTTTGAACTCTGATGCCAACACGTCACCTGACCGGCAGGTTCTGGAGCCGGCGCCGGTCCAAAGGCTTGCTCGAGGAGACGGGGATGTTTTCAGAATCTGGGCACCACCGTAGCAACAATGGCCCGCCTACTGTACGTGAAAGAAAAAAATTTGGGTGGTGGCATACCCAATAGGTGGTAAAGCACGCAAGTTCATGAGTCTCTTGGAGAAGATTGAACGTAAGAGACGCACCTGACGATCTCTTGTAGCCGCGTTTCCAAGGGAGTTCATAGCACAGGAAATGATCGGGGTTGCCAGCCGGCTATTGGCTCATACCACGACTGCTTGAGGGGAAGGGGCATGGCCATCACTTTCATTGAGGAGAGAACAGTTAAGGAGTGGAGCAGACCTCCGCAGGAGTCACTTCCGCTTAAGGGGAAACAAATATCACGTGATTGTATCACGTTAGATGGAAATTTTGCTGCCGCACTCTTGAACGCATACACCCACCTGCTTTTCATTTCTGCGTAACGTGCGTTTCAAATTTTGTCTCAAGGACACTTGGGTCGGCGGACTCGACAAGGCCCTGGGGTTGCAAGGTAGATGTCTACTAGTCGTCTAAAGCTCGTGCAACTTGCGAGACGTAGGTATGTAGCTCACGGCTGCAGCGTGTTGCAAGACTATGTCAGTTGACCTTCTGCGCACAGAAAGCATGAGTAAATAGCCCAATGTCACTGAATGCAAGTGAGCAGGATGCACGAACGCGCCTCGGGCGTGTCAATGTCTGAGAACTTCATGGAGTCCTACCGGGATCGTCGTCGTCAGATGGTCTCCTCGGCGTTCACATCTTCACAGTGACACAGACACAGTCGCACCGCAGTGACCTTGCACTACCCGAGCCACCGCTTCCCGACATGCACAAGGGATGCTGCAGGCTTACCTCCGGACTTACAGCGCTCCGCTTCGAAGAAGACGAGCGACACTTTTGCCACCCGGCGGTCGTGTCTACGAGCCCCACACTCGCTGGCACAGAAGATGCTGCATGCGGTGGATCTCGGCGGTTTCGCCGACCCCCCTTCTCAACTCGCAAGCTCCCGCCGCGTCACGGACCGCCCAATTTACCACAGCATCCCCGTGTGGTGCGTGTGGACACGCAGCTACGGTGAGTTTCGACTGCTCTCAAGGACGTGCGCTCTTGAGACAGGCTTCTGTGAGAGAGTGCGGTCGAGAGGAAAGATGCAATCCCTCTGCGGCCGTACGTACGAGGACTGTCCTGATGCGCACTGTGGAGGGGGGCCTGTGTGGCGTCATTAAGGCAACGTGCGCCGTGCCTGCTTTGTTGCGTCTCGGGATTGGGAGCAATCCATCATCCGTGATGCGCCATGCTCACCTCTTTCACTCTGTAGGCGCCGGCCCCACGAGGCCACCACGGCTCAGGACACTCGATCCGGAATCCGGTCCCCCTGCTTCAGGCCGGCGTCCAGCCTCTCCCCCACTTCTCGGGCAGCGGACGCAGAGGCCGCAGATAGCGTCTGGGAAGGCGTCTGTGGGCGTCCACCGTCTTGTTTCGTCTTATCACACGGCCTCATCCCCGCAGGCGATGGTTCCGGCTGCTACCGCGCCGATAGCGCCTGCACGTTTCGGTAACGACATCCTCCATTGGGCCATCAGCACCCTTTCGGCGCGGAAGACAGCCTTGGAGATCAAGGCCCGATCCAGGCGTCTCGCGGGTGCACCATCGCGCAAGTCCTCCTCTTGGGCCAAGGTCTAGCCGGCACGCGATGTGCGCTAGCCGACCGGCCTTCCCCACCTTATTATCCCGGATCCCACCCCGCTGTCCCTCGCCCCCCGCGCCCGCGCTGGTCTCGCCCACCGTTGATCATGCTCGTACTCCACCCCGACTCCCAGTGCGACGTCTGCCTCGAGAGCTATCATGGCCACCGAGAGCCCCTCGTCATCACCTGTGGACACATATTCTGCCAGAGGTGCGTCCCCGCTGTCGTCATGGCCCCTGGTGCGGTGCTGACCGTTCGCTCCGTCGCTCTGTGTCGCGTCGTGCCCCCGCCCCCCTCCTCCCGCGCGCCGCAGTTGTCTGGCCATGCTGCCTAGGCGTCTGTGCCCTCTATGCCGGGTGCCCTTCGACGTCGAGGACATCAGGAAGCTGCACGCCGATAAGACTGCGGTTCCCCCATCCCCACCCCTCGCGCCCGCCGACCTCGACCCCGACGCCAGCCAAGCTCGCCACCTCCAGACCGCGCTCACCGGCCTCATCCTCGAGGGCGCGTCTGGGATGGAGACTGCGGAGCTCATGAACTCGATCCGGAGTTGGTTGCTCACGCAGTCCCCAGACGAGGTGCGTGCTCACTCGCGTTTCCGCCCACGTTTGTCTGCGGGTGCCTGCGCGATCGGATTCTGATGACGTGTTCAGCACCGGGACCTGGTCGCGGCACATCGCCTGGTAGATCGTTATAGGGCCCTGCAGGACAAGGCCAAGACGGAGAAGCGCCACGCGACAGAGTTGGAGCAGGAGCTGAATGGACAGTTGGAGGAGCTCAGGGAAGAATTGGAAGGAGAACGCCAACACTTTGAGGAGGAGAGGGAACACTTCGAGGACGAGCGCCACAACTTTGAGGGCGAACGTCAGCGCTTGGAGGCAACGCTTCGTGAGGAACGTGAGCACGCGGCGGCCAAGTACGAAGAGTTGGAGCGGAAGAGCTTCGAAGATCGCGAGATTCTCGTGAACATCGAGGAAGAGCTGAAGAGCGACAAGGCACGTCTCGAGAAGGAGGTTGAGGAGTGGAGAGCGTGAGTGTCGTCTTCCTTGACATCTCAACATCTCACTGAAAACATTTGCCCCTCACAGTAAAGTAAGTCATGATCCGTTCATGCTGTTGATGATTTTTCCTGAACTTAACTGCGATAGCTCGAAGATGCTTCAAACGAGTGCCTCCGTCTCACCGACGAACTGCAGAAGGCGAAGCGCAGTCCTCGCCACAGTCCTCGTCATGTCCTGAGCGGCTCGAAGTCTGGCTCGTTCAAGGAGCGCCGGATGGACGTCACGGACGACGACGCTTTCCTCCTGTCCCCTGCGTCTGAGAGCCGAGAGGTCGAGTACCCTGACAAGTTCCACCCCCTCGGAGGAGAATCTGACGATGACGGCGTCGATGGCGACAAGTTTGGCACCCATCACTCGTCCGCGTCGCTCTCGATCCCCATCTCAGCCAAACTCGACTCCCGCCGGCCCCGCAGCAACTCGTCGCTGCTCACCCGTCCCGATCAGGATGCGATGTCGATTTCCGTCCCACGGAGCATACGCGATGTGCCCATGGCGGGCTGCTCGACTTCCCCGACCGCCGCTCCCATCCACCAGTACGGTCACCGTAGCGGTACAGAATTCGTCTCAGCCTCTGCCGGCCACGTCCAGGAGAACGCCCTTGGCCTCCGAGCCTCCCCTCCCACGTCCTCCACGCTCGACTCGCAGTTCAAGACGCAGCAGGAGCAGCGCGAGCAACGCGAACGTCTCGCCCAACTTCACGACGTCCTTCAGGATCCACAGTCGCACTCCCGCTGGCCTTCCCGGCAGTCGTCGCTCATCGAACGTCAACCACGTCCCCCTGTCCCGAGCGCGCTCTCCGCCACACGCACGCCTTCTCCGAACGGGTACGACTCGCCTACCCTCGACAAGGAGTCCTTCCTTCAGCCGCACAAGCACCAGCTCCTCGGGACAACCGTTCTGTCTTCTGCTAGCAGCGCTGCGGCAGAGCGCGAGCGGGCCCGCGCATCTTCCGGCGGCTTTCACGCTAGCCAATCGACGGCGAGCTCGACTTTTGCCACACCCATGCCCCCCAGCACGCCCTCTGCCACGCTGGTGTCTCAGGTGACAGCGACTCGCGATCGCGAGATGTCTTCGCCAGCATACGGCGTGTACGCCATGTCGGGATCACCGGCTCAGCCCCGCCCAATGCAGATGCGCCGCGACAGCACGGCGAGCGTCTCTGGAAGCTACCCGAAGAGCAACAGGATGACGACTACTGCGAACGCCCCGGTCCAGCAGTCGAACCTCGCTCGGACGCGCGGGTATGGCGACTCCTCTCGGGTTCAATAAGCGTGCCACGATGGCAGCGCTCGTCTCGGTCTTCATGTTCAAGTTTCCGAATACAGGTGCAGAGGCCGCATGTCCGCTCCGTGGACGCCAGCCACACCCACCTCGTGCGCTCTCTTTGCGGTCGCGCGCGAGTCAAAGTGTGCTAGCGGACGCTGCACGGGCATGAGGCCTTCCGTGCCTCGTGTACTCTTAACTTATCCGATTCGTGACCGCTCTCCGCGCTTCGCTGTTCATTTCCTCGGTTATCTGGTCTTCATCGCCATGTTATGTCGGACGCTGCGATCCTTCGTGCTGGCGTGAAGACCGGCGCGACGTCCCTCCCATACCTCCTTCCTCACTCCCGTTATAGCCTTATCGACATCGCTCGCGACGCCGAGGTATGAGCCAGCCCCCGATGTGTAACTATACGTGCATGCTCCCTCTCTCCCGCCTCCTTTCGGACTGGTCTCTGTTCGCCGCATTCGCCCGACGCATACACCCACACTCTACTTCCGCTGCATCCCCCAAATTCTCCGTGCATGCACTCAACGGATCCTCACCACGCGCGTTCTCGTAACATTCACGCCTCGCACTTGCATACGACTCGGACCCCTTGTACAGTACTTGTTTGTGTACGGCGCACCGTTCTCCGACCTCACGACACATGTACGCCCACGGCACCGGCTCCACCGCCTGCCGTTGTATGACCCACTGTACTCAATACGAGGCTATGTAGCCAGGCCCTGAATAATCGCATTAAGCCGCTTTGGCGGACACCCTCCGCTCGTTATGTATATGTAACAACCCTGCGTGCCTAGCGTTTCCGCGAGCTCGAGTCTGTTTGGTCACGGTTCCCGCAGCGAGGTGCCGTAGCTTCAGGCCCAGCCCACATCCACCGGTGCCTCCTCCGTGTGTGCGCGGCGGTACCGCCGCCAAACCCTGCTCGCGCGCGCGGTGGGCAAGGCCGGTGACCGAACCGTAAACCCGCTCCTTCTCTCCATTGAACGACACGGGGTGGACGCGCCTGCAACCCACCTCGAGGCGGCGCGCGCGGGGATTCGCTCACCGCAGCGGTGGAAGCTTTGCTCCGCGAACACTCGGGTGCGTCTCCGGACGTCCACCCGAGACGCCGCAGCGTGGTGTGGTTTTCGCAGACTATGCTTCGCCGCTCGCGCGCTTTCAATGGCGCCGCATCGCGGTGGCCTCTCGGTGGCGCAGGACGGGAGGGGTGTGTTCTCGTTCTTGAGTCAGAGCTTCTGTTTTATCAATGCTAACCAATGAACGCGCGCGAAGGTAATCGACTAGGAAGAGCGTGTCCAAGAAGGAGGGGAAGGAAGGTTGGAGTCCGATGTCGAGAATAGTTGCCCCTGGGATGCGCGGGGTACCTCAGGCATGGGCGAGAAAACCAAATAGAACACTAGGGGCGCCCTGGGGTTCTCGCCGGGCCAGGCCCAAAAAGCGGAGAACGGGTGGAAAAGGCCCCTAGAAGCCCAACGTGCGCGAGGCGAGAGACACGCGTCTTTCATTTCGTCCACCGTCGCACGCGGGAGCGGGAGCGGAGGCCGAGGGACTCGGGCAGCGGGGGAACAAAGAAGTGATCCGCGGCGGGTACGTCGGAGACGGGGCCGTAGTTTGGACTTCCACTACCCAAGAGCCCGAGCGTGAAGGCAGGCTACTGGCGCGCCTGGAATGTCGCGTGTTGCGGAGAACGGGGTGGACGGGTTGCGGTCCGCGAGTGTCACTACCGGGGCAATGTCCGATGGTCTTGAACGTGAGGTGAGTCGCGGCTTGTGAGAAGTTGGAAGGCGCATTTGAATGTGGAGTCTCGGGAAACTTCGGTTTAGAGCAGGTGTGAATAGGGTATGAGAACACAGAAGCTGCGACTTTGCTTAAACCAAGACGTTATGCGTACGTTCGGGGCGAAACTGACAAGAGAGCCGATGGTAGAGAACTTCTGGATTTTGTCAGTTGGTATTATTGCTGCACGGCCGGGAAGCAAGTAGGTGCACATAATGTCAAAAACGCAGTGTCAAAAACTGTACCTGAAAGGGACACGATTACTGAAGTAATACCGCTCGGCTGGTGTCAGATACACTTAAAATGGCGAATAGTCGTATAATGCCTGTCGATCCTGCGTGACTTGCCCACTAAAATCTTATTCAGTATGAATACATGGTGAGACAACTCCTGACTCCGAACAGCCCTCTGGATTGTACTCACCGTCTTCGCTCTAGTGTATCAATATATGCAAGTAAGCGAAAGTCCACTCCAGAGACTGCTTGAAGCTGAAGAATAATGTGGAAGTGTAAGCTGGTGTTCGAATTACTGTTCTTAATCGAGGGGCGTTGATACCCTCGACATTCCATAAAACGGATAGAACGACTTTCGCGCTCCTACGCCTGTCGAAAGAAACGCATTCCTACGGTGCACGACCAACGCGCCTCGAAAAACTCCTGAGCAACTCCGTGTGTGGGTGACTCCAAAAGACCACGCGAACATCCTGATTCTGCTCGGGCACATGGGTGAAATGTCGGAGGGCCTATGTATGGGTAGTGAATGCTCCTTAGTATTGATGGCCCCGAGGATCCTGCCTGTAACGTGGCAAAACCTCCGAATTCTCACCGGACCTACGTGGGACACGTAGTGCATACGTGATGTTGATCAACAGTGCCAGCGGTGGATGCTGTGCAAGAAGACGTATGAGCGGTTTCAAGCCCAGCAGGCAAATGAAGGTCCCTGTGTCGAGAACGGCCGTGCACTTGCATACGTTGTTGTGGGGACGTATTGTACGCTTGCGTAGAGTCGACAGCACATGGTATGGTCACGCTCACCATTAAATTGACCTTATAACGACCGTGATATAATATAATAAGATGCAACGCTCCTACGAGCGATTTTGATACAACGGCGCGTCGTACCAGGGCCTCTCGGTGTAGTGGGAGGGTATCCACATGGCCCATCTCTCTCCATGACGGCCATACTCCGAAAGTCCGTGTGTGCTGGAGATGCGAAGGTGGATCCGTTACTTGGTGAAGGCGCGGATGACCTTGGCAGAGATGTGGAGGAAAAATATGGAGGCAATGAAGGAAAGGGAGAGGACGAGGACGATGAAGGGGTCACTGCATGGCACATGAGCACAAGTTGAACACATGAGAACCTCGCAGGGGCCAGGCGAAGGGTTGGTACTCACACTCGAAGTCCTGGTGAATCGTCCGTGTACAGCTTGAGCATCGTGTTGGACGAGCCACCGGCGCCGGCTGCGCGCGTGGAGTTGGGCTTTGACACCTGCGAGCCAGTCGCTCTCCGCCTGAAGAGTACAAACATGAGCTATTGGAACTACGACCACAACAACATAGATTCTTGCGCACCGAATCTGGGCACCAGGGGGCTTTGCGACGGCACTGGGCTTGCCGGTAGAGCGGGCGGAGTCAGAGTCGGACTGAAAAGAACGTCTTCAATGAGAACGGCGTCGAAAGACATACACAGACGACAACGTACCATAGTGGAGGTGAGGGTGGAAGGGAGGACTGCTGGCAGCGGAGTGCTGCTTGCGCGTGAGCTCTCCTGTCCACGTGGAACCCGTGAGAGGGTCACTCCAACGTTACTTCCATCACTCGAGAGTTACAAGACGTGACGCTGACGTACATGGTAACGGCGGCGCGACGGTGCCGCGCCGCAGGCTTGCGCTCTCTCTTCATCTCTTCCTCTGTCCAGCACTCATTCCACCGTTTCACGATCTCCATATGTCTCTGGTGTGTGATTTTGACGCGCGATTGCTGCAGGTGCTTACACAACGACTCAGATTCACGCTCTTGTGGCCCGAGGGTCTTCCATCTTGGCCGAACACCAAGCTGGACAACGGGACTTCTCCCAAGGTATGCTCTTTCTAGTACTGCGGCCTTTGCAACCCTGAGCCATTGTGAACTTTTTCTAGCCACTCAAACCATCTTGTCGAAGATTCCCCCTAACAACAGCAAGCTCACTTATGTTTGGGAGCAGTACCTGTTCCATTACATCTCGGAGGGAGGGTTCACTTACCTTGTAATGGCCGACGATGCGGCAGGACGGTGCGTTATCTCCCGGTGTGGTTCTGCGCGCTTTTTTCGCGGTTTTGATTGTACGAACGTCCTTCCAGGCGAATGCCGTTCACGTTCCTCGCCGAGCTGCAGCAGAAGTTCACGTCACTCCCCTCTGCTTCATCATCTCTGTCCGACCCACCAGCATATTCTCAACAAGGTTCTTTCGGACCTGTTATCGCGCAGCTTATGACCCAGTACAACACCAACCCACCCACGGACGAGCTCACCCGCGCCCAGACTGAGCTTGCTCAAGTCAAAGATATTATGGTCCAAAATGTCGAACAAATATTGTCCCGCGGAGAGCGGATCGAACTTTTGGTTGATAAGACGGATACTATGGCGAGCCAGGCCACGGCGTTCAGGCGAGGCGCCAGAACCGTGCGTCGCAGTATGTGGTGGAAGAACACGCGCATCCTGGCGCTGAGCATAGTCGTGGGTGTGGTAAGCTCTTCCAATCATACACCCACCCATTCTTCGTATTGACCCAGGGTCCTGTCCAGGTGCTTCTGTGGATCATTATGGCGCAGTTTTGTGGTGCAGGTTTGAATCAGTGTGGCTCGAAGTAATCGAGCGATAGTGCCTCTGGATATATAGAGACTCTCACCCCCTGCCCGCTCGCTATCTCCTCTGTATGTTATCCCCCTCTATGGCGTCCGCCAACGATCTAGTGTTATGACCCTCCACGTGTATTCTACTTCGATCTTCACCTCGATCTGCCCCTCGATCTGCCCCGTCGCTTCACATGATAATGGCGAGGGCGCGCCACTACGCCCACGCAGCCCTCTCTTGGACTTCCACCTCTTCCTGCCGGCTCAGGTGTCCGCTACCGACGCTCTCCCGCCTCGATGCGCGGTCTGCCTTGTGCGGCGTTGTGCGCCGCTAAGCGGACACTCGTGATTCGGGCACGCGGGGTCGGACTTGGGAGCGGAGGCAGAACTGGAGCACCGCTCCTTCCGGAAATGGCTTCGGTGTTCGCTTGTTGTGATGGCTGGTCGACAATTGGGCGCGCACAATTTCCTCCACCTTGTCTCTCCCCGCCATCCACACTCTCCGCCCCGTGTCCTTGCGGCCGCTCAGGCTCGCGCAGGCCAGCGTGCAGCCATGCTCGTCGTTCACCCCTCCTCTCAATGCGATGTTTGCCTGGACGCCTATACTTGGGTCACACCCACCAAAACTCCACATGCTATCCAGTGCGGGCACGTCTTTTGCTATGAGTGAGCGTCGCCTCTCCTTGGTTTCCAGATATCTGCTGCTCCTGTGCTGATGCTGTGTGCGTCCGCCCTATGTTAACCAGTTGCCTGCGCACGGTCCATCCCAGCAACTGTCCTATGTGCCGCAAGGGATTCAACCCCGAGCGCATCAAGAAACTGCACGTCGACAAGGCCCCGGGTGAAGGTTCATCAAAGATGACGGAGGAAAACGAGTTGCTGAGGCGAGTGGGCTCGCTGTTCGCCGAAGACACGGACGAGGAGGACGTGAACGCGCTCGTCGAAGAAGTTACGGTCTGGTTGGCTCGCAACTCCGGCTCCATGGTGAGTCGTGCCATCTCTGTGTTATTGCACAGGGCGGTCCCGTGAACCTTCGCTCGGGACGCCGTTCTAACGGTGTCTCCGTCTCTTCCCCGCTAGCACCAACCCCTGCGCCACGCCATCACCGCCTTGCACCAGTATAAGGCGCTGCAAGCTCAGAGGATCATGGATTCCGAAAAGATCGAGGTTCTTCGTGCGACCCACGAACGGCACGCTCATGTCAAGCAAAAAGACCTCGACATCGCTATGGTGGTGGAAAGGAACATATTGCTCGAACAAGACAGGCTCCGAGCTGAGTGCGATGCGTGAGTGTCATGGTTACATCATCTGCAATATACACCTGGCTGATTCATCTTTTGCGTCTAGTAAGGTGACTCTATGCCTTAAAAAGAGTTTTGTCGTGTGATTGCTGATACCCTCGCTCTCTACCACAGGTCACCCAAATGCAAGTGGAACTGAACGCCATGCGCACAGAGAACCGTCGCATCCGAGCAGAGCTAGATCGTTACACAAGCTCTCCCAATAATCTCCCACGTCCACCGGAGATTATCCCGCTCGTGGCTAGCATTCCGAGGGAACAAGTTACCAGTTCTACGCGTTCTTCACAAGTAGCCGTTGTGTCACTCGGCAGAGGACCAGCCCCGGCTCCCACAACAGTCACCGCTCCCACCTCGCAATCACGTAGCAGCTCAGGTAGCTCATCGGGGAGCTCTGGTAGTTCACGATCGCGGGGAGCATCCGTCCATTTTGTGGGTGACCCCATTCCACATGAGTCATCCAGGAACAGGTCGAACGCGGATCCAGCCGAGCCCCGCCCAGACAAGCCACAGAGGCATCTCATCGTCCCTGGTGCACCTCCTTCTCGCAAGGTCATCCCCCCTCGGCCCGAAGGCGACGAAGGCACACCAAGGCCTCCAGCATCGACCTTCCCCAATATCGTCACAAATGCTCCTGCAGACCAGTTTTGGCCGCCTCACCTCCTGCAGTATGCTCCTCACCCCGACTCCCCGTGCGTGTGGGTTGGCAACCAAGACGCACCACACGAAATCCTGCCGAACGAGGTCCCCCACCACGAGTTCTTGAAACAGCAAGCCGCTCGGTCCACTGTTCCTAGTGATGCCACTGCCGTAAACCTTCCTCCTGTCATCCCTCCGGTTCCCCCGTCTATGCTTCCTGCTCCTTCCGGTGCAACGTTCGCTCGTGTGGCTTCCGATACCGGCTCCATCCGTCGGGTCTCCCCTGCCGACCCTCCCCCGACCGGAAGGCCCCCCATGGCATGGCGTCCCGGCCCTGCTCATCAAGAAGGCTTTGTCCCCGCCTTCATCCCAGGCACAGGCGAAACATGGATTCCACTAGAGCAAGCAAACAAACTCCCTGTCCGCGCAAGAGGGACGGTCAGTCAGCATGCGTACGCCGTTGCAAAGGAGCCGTCGGAAGTCGACGACGAGTGGCGACAACGTCGCAACGGTGCTTCACCCGGACCGAACCCGTTGATGCTCACGGACGTTCCTGTCGCCGGACCCAGCGCGAGTACTGTTCACCGCGGTCAGTATGACGGGCTCCCGGGCTCCTCTATGACGGGCTCCACGCTCTTCCGCAATGTGCCTGTGGCCTCGGACCGCACGATCATTCAAAGTACCTCGACCGCCCCAGACACGCACTCACGCCCGATCGCTCGACGAAACTCCACCCGTTCCCAAATCCATGGCCCTCTGGCACTCGAGTTATCCGCCCTTCCCGAGCCCCGTGAATCTCCGCCTGCCCCTCCATCCGGTAGTATGGGTGTGCAGCCCTCACCAGCGATGTCGTGGGGCACAGTGCCGAGCAACCCAACGAGGAACTCCAGCCTGGCCAACCTCAACCTCCAAGGCCTCCCAGATCCAGATCCTTTCCCCCGTCCAATCGACTCTGCGGAACAATTCCCTGTCGGGGAGCACCTCGGAGGCCCCATCGTCCTCATTCCTGGCGTCACTCCCTATCACACCGACGCTTTCCTCCTTCCCGGCGGTAATATGTCCGTCTCTGGCCATTCTGATTCGTCTCACGGTGGAGGGCTGGGGATCGGGCTCAGTGCAAGCGCTGGTAGTTCTGGAGTCATCACAAGCTTGCGCGATCTAGAGGAGGTCAACCGCTCTCTCCAGCAACTTTCGGCCGCGCAAGCTAGGGAAGAACAGGAGGATGCTCACAGCCTGTCGTCCCGGAGCTCTCGATCCAGCCGCCACTCGCGACAGGTGTCGTTCAGTGAGGTTGAAGACATGGATAGCCCGATTGTCCCGCGCATTGGCATTCCGATCTACAGCTTTGCCCCCGCAAGTGCGCACGCGAGCCAGCGTGCCTCCAACGACCCTTCCCCGCCGGATCCGTCCCCACCTGTCCCGTCACCGCCGCGCAGCCGCGCCTCCAATCGTCACGGCGAGAGCGTGTCCGGCATCTCCAGCAACCACAATTCGTACAACAATGTCTCCCATCGCCCCTCTGAATCAACACGCCGTCGCTCTCGAAGAGGCTCCTTGGCCCTTCTCAGCACCTTCCCTACCGACCCATCGCCGTCGTGGAATCCCGCACCCCTAGATATCTCCATATCCACATCTTCCCAGGGGCCGTATAGGTCGGCCGCACCTTCGCAGAAGAGCCAGGATTCGATCCCCCGCGCTTTCGGCTCCTCGCTCGAAATCCCCAGCCTCCCTAACGCCATCCCTGGGAGCATGAGCTCCCTGCTCCTCAACTTTGGACCAGAGAACAACACTTCCGCAGTTGACGCAGACGGCGAGGAGGCCGCTGGGATTCACGCGCCTCGGCCAGTCAGTGGGCGACGCTCCAGCTTCTTCGGCAATGCTTGGGGCGCCAGAAGTTCTCGGTGATGATCTATCCATGCCCCATCTCCATCCGTCCCCATCCTATCTTCTGTTTAACTTCCTGGATGTTTCGCATCCGGTTCGGCATCTTCGCATCTTCATACCCCGCCCTCTTGCACACGAACCATCAGGGCCGATTGAAAATGTCCTCATGGACTCCCATTTACTACACTATGTTATCCTGCTATTTTGGTCTCGTCTTCGTCTTTTCCTCCGTTGATGTACTCTCTCATATCTATTCCTTTTTTACGCCTACTTATTTGTTCGGTGTTGTACTCTCTCTGCTTGCTCGCTGTCCCCTCTGGCTCTCCCTCCCCTGTCGCGTACTGTTAGTTAGAACCCGATCCTCGCCGTTGTCGTTCCGTCGTGCCTAATCTACCTCGCTCTCCCCACCCTCGTCTCTCTTGCCGTCATCGTCCCGTTTCATCCACCTGTAGCCGCTGTCCGTCGTCCGTCGCCGTTGTTGTAATGCCTGTAATGTCCCCTCCGTCCGGCTCGTCCCCGTGGCCGCTTAAGAGTACGTTATCCCCGACATGTGTTGTCCCCCATCGCATGCTACACGCCCCGCCCTCGCGCATAATGACTAGTACTGCGGTCTCATGACCGCCCTTACGATACTTCACGACCTTCACGCTGTTTACGTATACCAGCGCGTTGCGCTTACATCCGAAAACATGACATTATCCAACCTTGGTGCGAGTCCTGGTGGTCTACCGATCAACGTCAACAGTTGCTCGTGCTACATCGGTCCAGGCGATCCCGTGTGAATCGTACATTCGTTTCTTGCTTCGTGCCCTTCACATTCTACAGCTATTGGGAAGACTGCACGTTCTCCAACACGTTTTCCTCCGACTGTTTCTTCGCGAGGAAGGGCCGTGGAGGCACTGCCGACACAACAATCCCGTTCACCCTTCGTGGGCCCGCACTGGTGGGCGCCGCTGCTGTGGACGACAAAGCGGAGAGGTGGATGAAGCTTTGGGCGGCCATGCGGTCGCGGAGGGACTCGCGCGCGTTGAACGTCACGAGGACGGCGTTCAGCAGCACTGTCCGCACGGTCAGGTGGTGCAGTGCGTGTGCAAGTGGCGGCGGGAAGCTCACGCTTGGGCAGGATCCAGTAGATGGCGATGTTGATGAAGGTCGAGGGAGAGGCCACGTACTTGAAGGGAGAGAAGATTACTGATGTCAGTGCGAGCCGAGATGCTTTCTGGAGCCAGATATTCTACTCACCGCGATAAGACAGGCAATGGCGCAGACACTGAGAGAAATCGTGGAGAGGTTAGACGTGCCCGAGTGATGATTAGAGTAGGCACCGACGCGTCAAGGCCGCCCGTGCCGATGGCGTAGATCATGAGTGTTCGGACGATGCTGTCCATCCTGGAGAAAACAGTGCTGAGAACGACACATGCAATCTGGAACTATTCGTGGCACTTACTTTCTGTTTACCGTCCGACGTGTGGATAACAAGTAGCAGAGGACTGTCGCGAAGAAGGTGTCCGCGAAGGCCAGCGCCGCAAGACCCGCACATCCCAGCCACTGAAGACACAATCTTTCATTCGCGTGCTTCACCGACGGAGGATAGTGGTAGGACCATACCTCGAGCCTCTCCAGTTCGACATAGTTCTTCGACTGCACACTGAGAGAAATGACCATCAGTAGTATATGATCGTTGGTGCAGCTCACTCACCTTTTGATGCCGTATGCTGGAGATAATACATGATCAGTGCCATCGCGTCACGGCGCATCTGCGGGAGCCGACGTACCCAGGCCAAACCCTGTAGCAGCACGATGAGCATTTAGCCCTCACATGACTTCCGAGGTACACACGCACCGATAGCAATCAAAGACACTACTATCTGCAGAGAATGTAGCATCAGATTGGCGAGATCAGTGCGATCATGAGAAGGTAAGCCGCATACGCAGATCATGAGGAGCACGAGATTCCTGTTTGATACTGCAGGAGATATCAGTCAGAGGTCTGGTGGCGTGAATCAGAGGGGCAACATACGCCTCCAGATCCTATACATGAACAGGCTGCCAGCCGTTGGAGCACGATGATAGCAGTGTGAGAGTGTGACTAAATATCAAGCACAGAACTCACCTTCTGATAATGGCGTCATTGACACACTGAGAGCAGGGGTATCGATTCAGCGGATGTTTGCGCGTACACAGCAGAAGCTGTTGCGTGACACTGGAGGACGCACCGAAGGAAACAGGAGCGCCTGCGTTTTCAAAACCCATATCAGATAGACGTCAAGCGAACACGACAGCTTAAAGTCAAGAAATAACGAACTGTGGTGCTCCTGTCACTCGGTCAGCATAAAATCGAAGGCCAGAAGCTCGGCACTGACCATACAAGCCTCGTAGCCACAATCGGGTCGCCGAAATAGACGATAGTGTAAGTGTACACCGCGTGACGGACCAAAATCGTCAAAAGCGTGTCCAGAACCCTAAGAGGATGTATGAAGTTAGTAAGCAGATATGCACGGTTCCACTTCAAAGTGACCATACCACAGGATACTGATCTGTGCGAAAATCCAATCATTTGAACCGGATAGACGGTGTCGAGCACTTACCAAGATCCTGAACACAGCTGGGTCGTTCGAATTCCGACGGAAGTATGTTGCCGTTTGAACCGTCGTAATACCATAAAAGCTGGTAAAGAGTTGGATATCAGTCGCATGGATAGGTCTTTTCTCTCGACCCTTGGCAACATACATCGCAGAAATGATCGAGCCTAGCAATCCGATGCACTGTCAGAATACACGCAGGCGGGAAAAGCGGTTTGCATACTGATGTAGGCTGCCCCAAGTGTGTTGTGAATGGTGACTGTAACCATGACTGACGCAGAGAAGGGAGGCGGGAGGTTCTTGCGAGGTCTCGAAGAGCCGAGCCGGATTTATATATCTGTACCATTCCACAGAACTTGGTATATCTGCATCATTCAATATTCAGTACCGTACTAACGGCCAACTTGGCTAGGACGCATCCTGTCGTCTGCCGCTGATGGCTCCACCGCCGGCGCCGTGGGGGCTAGAACTCAGTGTTGAGAAGGTGGAGCGAGTCGTTGACCCTCAAACCTAGATCTCACATCTCCGGATGCGACGGAACGCGTTCTTGCGGGGATGCACATGGAGTCCTACACGTCACCACATACTTCCAGAAGTACTATGAAGAGTTGCAACTTCATGAACGAGGAGGCGAACTTCGGAGTGGTCGACGTGGTATTGTCAACGCGTTGCGCGATTGAGGTGTCTGGAAAGCCCTAAACGCATGCATGGCTAGCCGCCGTGCGACAGCTTTGACCTCCCTGCGACGAGGAATGCATCCGAGAGTTTGAGCTAGAGAACTCGATCCTGAGTCACTGGAACGAACCACGCACTAGCTGGCGCTCCGATCGAAATGCCCGTTGCTCAGAAGTGGTGGATAAAGTGACTTCTTTAGATGCCAGATTGAATGAGCTACCTTGAGACGCCGATGTAAGGTTATCCAGATAGAAAGGCGGACGGACAAACCTTCCGGATGTTGTCCATATTGTACCCTCCACCAACGTCTGACCGCCTCGTGGTGGTCTATTTGGAGTGTTCCCTAGTCAGTCGGTGAAATAAAACACTGGTCATATTAGTACATCGATGTATGCTGCAGTTTTGTGAACTGCTTGTCATGAGCATCATCTCTGAAAAGGTGGTTAAATGCAAGTGGAATGGATGGTGTGTACGTGTTCGCCAGATGGGGGCGCCGTTGGTTCAGCAGTTCGACGATGTATGAGACCGGAACGGGATCCCGTGCAGCATTCGCCGATGCGTTGGTTTGAGACGTCGGGCCGACCGCGAGGAGGTACCCTGGTTCGCCCGCGAACTGGACGAAAAGATAGCGACGTAGCCGCCCGTTGACTGTGGGCCACGATCGGTGTCTCGCGCAATCTAATCTTATCAGCTCATGCTTCATCGTAGGAGTCGAGGATCAACTCTCTCTCCCCCGGCCAAAAATCGATTTCGTGAGTAAAGAGCATTCCAGCGTCATTGTACTACCAACTTCGTCGATTACACACAACATACAAATGAACAAGTCCGCAAGATAACACGCCGAAGGTATGTTATCCCGAATGATACTCCCAACACGGTACCGAGTGCCGGATCCGGTCGGCGTTCTTGAGTGAGATAACCATTCTGCAGCGTCCGGGCATGACCACCACCAGGACAAGCCCGATCTTAACGCGCCGTCTTCGACGTCAAAAGCTCGATAGCTTCGAACGACCGAGGGGCCTTAGCCCCGCGCCTGGCTTGCGGCGGGGACCCGGGAGGAGACGGGCCGTCGGTGGAAGATAGGGCGATGTACAAGCGCGGGGTCGGGTAGCCCTCGCCGTCCTCGGCGCCGTGGGCTCCGGACTCGAGGTCGATGTTGATGGTGCTGGAGGCAACGGTCTTCGGGGCGGGTCGCTCAATGCGCTGACCCTGGGCTCTCGCCAGCTTCTCTTTGCTGAGAGCGTGCCGTGGGGGCGGTCAGACGAGGAGACTCCGCGGGAGCACGGAGGGACGTACCGGAACTGGCGGCGGTTGGCGACGACGCGCCCTTTGACGCGGTCCATCCGGCGGTTGACCCACCACACTGCGACGAAGGTGATGATGATGGTGATCGCTAGGACGACGTACTTGATCGCCTGGCCTAGGGGACTTCTCTCTGTGAAACGCGCGAGTCAGACTCTAGGAAAAGCCATCGACGAACGCTATCACTCACTGCCATCTGCATCGTCAGAACCGATGTATACCGCGGCGAATTGCTTGGGAAGGGACACCAAGGCGGAAACGAAAAACACCCATAAACTCATGCCGCACGTGGCAAAAACGGTCGTGGTGACTGGGTAAGGGCGGTCGTCAGCTTTTTGAAGTGCGCGCGAGAGGGGAGTGGCGTACAATGGCTCGGGATGGCACTAAAGCGCATGACAATCGGCACTAAATGGCCACCTTCGCGCACAACCTGCGCCATTAAGGCATATTGAAGTTGGTCGCGCTCCCAGTTTTTCCCACGTTGAGTACAGTAGTACTTGAAAACCCTTAAAGCTGGTCAGGAGAGAGTATGTATTGGGTGCGGTCAAAACCCACTCACAGGTAATTGACGACTTCCCCCAACAGGGTCCCGGCACTGACAATGCCGAAGCCAATCCAGGGGCCGTAAATCTCACCACAAAGAAGATTGACTAGCTCGTGTCCAATGAGCTGGTCCAGACAACAGATTTGAGTTTGGGAATCGATAGGAGCGTAGTGATGCTTACCGGCGGGAACGAAAGAATGAGCAGCACAGCGATGGGAATGAGCCAGCCAGCAGGAAGGCTGTCCACCAGGCCCAGTCATCAGTGTTTTGGAGCATCGAGGGTATGCAGAAGCCACGCACTGCTTAATCCACTCTGTAAAGGGTTCCAGTACTTCTGATATGCGGCTCTTGAACCCCAAGAACAGCGCGAAGACGGTGATGAACGTGATCGTAGCGATGAGCGCGACTGCAAAGGTGTCGGACGCCGATAAGCAACCACCCAGGCGTGCGTCCAGAGGCTGACACTTACAGAGCCTCCGCGGGTTCTTGTACGTCCGCCAGTTGAGAATAACCCCCCAGTCGCACATACGTGCCTTGTGCCTGAGTATATGCACTTCGGAAGGCGTTGGGCTGGGCGTCCGCACCACCTCGCGCTCGTCGATGTCAACAAACTTCGCCTTGAGAGGGTTCGCCTTCGTCGATGGCCCTGAATATTGAGGCATCGGCGCCGCAATGGGCACGGATGTCAGGGCCGTTTCGGCATCCGAAGGTGCACGACGGCTGAACTCCCGTAGCTTCCCTGAGTGTGGCATTGAGTCGGAGGCAAGTTCGTGAGAAGACGCGACAACGTCCAAGCTGTGGGAGTCGTTCGTGGGGTAGGCAAATACTGCTCCGATGGTGCGACTAGATGGTGTCCATTATTGTGTATAATGGAAGGAAGCGGAGAAACACAACTTACATCTGGATAGGCATGGGGTACAAAAGTGGAGAAGATATCTGCTGTGAGCGCACGACTTGGCGACCAACTGAAGGAGACATACGCACTGAAGGAGATGTACGCAAAGAAGGAGGTAAACGCACAGAAGAACTTGAGTGAGTCTGGGGCCTCCACGGGGAGTGGTGTGTTCTACTTCGATCCGTGGCGTTGCGCCAAGTACTTATGTATACACCCACTGTTGCATAAAATCCATCGCACAGCGTGCCGCGTCTTCTCAAAGGCGCTTGCCCCGGGTACAGGCAACACAGCAACGCGAGCGGCGAGGCTGCGGCCAAGCCTCGTTATCCGGGGTCTGCGGCTGGGGTGGTAAGCGCTTTCGTATAGGGACATCCTGCACGAAGAAGCTTACCTGCGCAAGTAGAGTTGTGCATGAGCACCTCATACACCTACCTTCTTCTTCTGACCCTCCAGACCGTTCGCAGGGTCTCCGCAAAGCAAGTCGATCACCACAACGGAGTGCGCTGACTGTGCGGAGACCCTGGCACTGAGTCCGACTCCGCGCTGAGCCCGGCGCGGAGGTGGTTTGCACGGAGCGATTTGAAACGAAGATACGCAACGAAGACACGCACACCCGGGCCTACTCACTCGCTGGAACATCCGCCCGCACAGTCAGCGTACTCCGCTAGGCCCGGTGGTTTACAAGGAACAATTTGAAATGGCAACCCGCACATCCGGGCTACTCGCTCCCGGCGGCAGACGCAGCACCGCACCGCACAGCAACAACGATCCATCGACCGTCCTTCGTGCAAGGAGGGGTGGACTGTGACGCCGCGACGGAGCGGAGGTGGGGTGGGAGAATGTAGTAGTCGCGGTGGAAAGCTTGTCCTGACTGCGCGCGCCCGGACATCAGCGACGAATCCGGTTGGCTCGGACCGTTTCACGCAGGGATGTGTGCCGAATCGCTCCGTAACGTCCTTCGCTCTCGAGTCCAGTTTCCACGCCCGAGACGGCTGTGCTAAGTCTTTAAGTCCTCGAAAAAAGATGTAGTGTTGCACTTACTTTGAACTGACAAATTGCTGTCTTCGCCAGGAGTCCGGACGAACCCATGGGGCTTTTGCGCGCATCGTGCGCGAACGACACGCCTGAGGCTACTAGCACCAAGGTCAGAATCGCAAAGCGGTGTTTGATATGCGCGCGCTGCGCTAGCGGATCCCCGAGGGGCCACTTATCCGAACACATTTAGACAACATAAGATTTGATCACTGCGCCCGCATCGTGCAGAGCAAGGTTGCCGCACGATCCACTTTGTCCCCGAAGGATGAAGATCTTGTGCTTGTTGACGGGCGTGGTGTGGCAGCGATGCGTAGGCAACGACATGTTCCGCTGACATGTACTCTCACAACCTCGCTTTAACCCGCACTTATTAGTGGCGTGAAATTTATGTGGCAGCAGTACGCCACTGGACAGACCAACGTCATGTCAATGCGCAGCGCATATCTGTTCGTAAGTATGCAGCATCCGGGCAAACTCCATGATGACGATCAAATTCGTCACTGTATTCTCCGAACGCGGCGGAGACGGCAGTGAGCGATATCCGATGCCTGAGGGAAGGCCACGTTTCAACAAGCAGTCTCCGGACTTGTTGGGAAGTGCACGACTGCCGCACAATCACGTATGAAGACAACTTCACGCACCGGCTGGCAGCGTACGCTCGATGGTTACGGTGATACTTTGCATGGGGTGTCCCGCTTCAGCATCAGCAAAGCAGCAGATTTGCGAGATAGCGTGTCGACGTGTCTTTGTCGGCAGAAGCCCGATGTTCTGGACGCTCATGGCACGAGCGAGCTTCGCAACGCCTTAGATTGGGTGGAAAGGGGGCGCTGTACTTAGTTCGGATTGAGCGATCCGGCGCGACAGTAAACTCTGAGAGGACGCACCAGGTAGAACGACCCGCGTCCCGTCGGGTTGCAACCCCGTGCTACAAACAAAGGACGAGAATGTATGATATAGGAACGAATAGAAAGACATTCAGATCTTATCCTGCCAGGTTCCAGTATGAAGACCTCCAGAGATGTATCAACGCTTCACGGGTCCGACCTGCATCCACGCCTCACCCTTCATCTTCGCGGTCACCAGACCATTGAGGTACTTTGAGTCTGCGAGGAAAGACCACATCGCCCGAGTTGCATCCATGCGCGCGTCTAGCAGTGGTCGGATGAGGACCCGTGAGGGCACCGGCGGCGCGGGGGGTATGTGAACGGGAGCTGTCTGTCCTTCGCGGCGGCGGATGTACGGGTTGGGTGGTGGGATCTCGTTCGTGGTGTAAGGCGCAAGAGCTGCACCCTTGAGGGAACCGGAAGCGGGTGATAGGGCACCAAGACAGAGCTTGACGGAGGCCACAAGCCGCTTGAACTGAGCGTAGTTCGCTGAGAGAGGGTGAGCGAATGTCAAAGATGGCAAATGGATCCCCTCACATTTAACGAAGTAATTGTGCCAGTGAGACACCACATATGCTGTGATATAGAACGAGCCGAAGAACCCAGCTGTCGACCTGACTTTGGGGAACTGTCCCTGGTCTACGAAGAACCATCGCCCGCCCTTCACCAAAATGTCAAACAGAGGAGAAAATGCTTCGGGGACATCGATATGTGCGCGGGAGAGGTTCGCGACAACTCGACTGACGATGACGCGGGTAAGGGAAGCATACACCGCAGTGGCCGCGAGCCCACCAAAGACCGCCTTGAACTGGGCGCGAGTTTCCTCCTCTCCTGGTGTTGATAAAACTCGACTGGCGACGAGGCCCGTAACGTACGCGGGTATGTGTAGAGGGAGGACAGGAAGGAAAAGCACGAATCGGGGGTGGAGCACTGTTCGGAGGACTTGATGGACGACGAGCAGCATGGCACTGCTGGCCACTGGACGCATGGAGATGTCAGGGAGCAGGTCAATGAGTGAGGCATGAGACATGTTCGTGTATTCAAGCAGCGCATGATATTTGAGGAGGGCCTGACGAGCCTTGACTTGCGAGGGTGCTGCATTCTTGTCGGAGAACAGGGTGATCAAGCTAGAGCCAACTCACTTGATCAGGGAGTGGATGCTAAGCGCAATGGTTGATGCTTACTTTTGAGAAACGGGCACAAACTCCTGCGGCTGCAGAGGCTCGGAGGCCCACAAAATGTCGCGAGCCATTTCAGCCGCGAATAGCGTGTCCCTAGAGCCGACCTCCTGTTCGACCCAATGCCTCTCAGAACGCATATATGCAGCTTACTCACCAGTCTGGGGCATTGATTGTCAAAGCCAGCATCCTCTTCTCAATCTCCGCGGACAACGCTTTGGTAACCTCACGTGAGTCCTCCTCCTCATTCTCGTCTCCACTCTTCTCGCGAACATCCTCAACAAAAGCCGCCACGTCTAGAGGTTTGCCCCATCCGACGCGAACCTTCACAGGCGGGCCCGTAGCCCCGTCAGGTCTTGACCCCTCGAACATCATGCAACGAGTACTCACCGCGCTTTGGTACTGCGACTTGTCCGTGTACACAATCCCCACCGGCACAATAAGCAGCTTCTTTCCCTTGCCCTTCCCCTCCCGCACCCACTTGACGTACCCCAGCGCCGCGCGGCTCGCGCCGTCCTTGACCTGCGCGATGCCCGGCTCGGTGTAGCTCGTGCCCTCGGGGAAAACGCCGATAGCCTCCCCGCGCTCGAGGGCCTTGAAGGTGTCGCGGAAGAGCGCGTCGTTCGCGTGCGAGTGCGGGGGATTGCCGCGGTCGGAGGGGGTCGCGGACTCGGAGGGGGGAGTCGCGTTCGGGTTGCGCGCCACGGGGATCGCCCCTGAGGAGAGGAGGACTTGGCGCACGATCGGGTTCTTGAACAGCGTCGACTTGCCCCATATGCAGACGGGCCGTCCGTGCGGGATGGATATCGCTGCCCCCAGACGAGTATTCGCGGTGCGAGTGAGCCGCGGGTCCAAATGGCACGGGGAGGGAAGGGAGGACGAAAGTGGACTCACATAGAGTTGCAACGTCAAGGATTTCGTTGTGGTGGCATGACGTTCTGGAATGCGGAATGAGGCCTCCCAGATACTCAGAAACGGGGCGGGACAGACGCACATTATGAGAGGACCATGCTCGGGAACGTTCTCTTCTCCCTCAACATATACATCGGAGTAGAAGCGCAGCGCCCAGTCCGAGATTTGGCGAAGACTGCGATAGACAAGCTTGAGCTCCATGAGCCTCCCGCGACGGCTCGGAGACTAACGAAACCCTGGGGATCTGGGACTGGGGAAGACAGAGGAAAAGGTAGACCGTGACGCCGGGCCGCTGCTTTTGTGTGCCCACGAGTGAAACAGGTCCGCAGACTAACTGGTAACTACGTCACTCGGATCAGAGCGTCGCTTCCGTGACCCGTCATCCCACCGATCGACCCACTATACGGAGCTCGGAAATCGTATACAGGAGCATGGAATACAACATATCACACACACTAGGCACACAAAGACTAGAGAAACATGGGCATCGACCACGGGGCAGGCCTTTGCACAAGTCAAAGGGCCTGATGCGCGTCGTGCAGCGACCTTTGATCATTCCACTCTCGCACCCGGCATGTACAGCAATACACGTAGCAGCGACCAGGGAGATGATGTTTTGTGCGCCTGTGAGTCCAACGATCACAGACGACGACCACGGCGACCACCCTAATTCGCGTTTCTTGAGTTTCTGGTGGTAGCAGGATAAGATATAGGAAACGCACCTTGCGACGAGTAGAGTCGGTGGGAATGGGGGTAACGTCCTCGATACGCCCAATACGCATGCCTGAACGAGCGAGGGCACGAAGAGCGCTCTGCGCACCGGGGCCTGGGGTCTTGGTGCCAGTACCGCCAGTCGCACGGATCTTGATGTGGAGAGCGGTAATACCGACCTCGCGGCAACGAGTAGCGACGTCCTGAGCGGCAAGCATAGCAGCGTAGGGGGAAGACTCGTCGCGATCGGCCTTGACCTTCATGCCACCTGCACTCTTGCCCGTGAGACACTATGAAGTAACACAATCATATATCTAAACGCACCTGTAACACGGGAGATAGTCTCCTTGCCGGAGAGATCGGTGACGTGGACGAAAGTGTCGTTGAAGGACGCATAGATGCGGGCAACACCAAAGACGAGCTCGCCCTCGGCGACTTGGGGACCGAGGGAAACAGGCTCCTCCCGGGCGACCTTGACCTTCTTGGGGGGCTACATCCAGATGTAGATCAGCCAATCCATCCGAATTCACCCACTTCTCGCTGCATCTGCTCCTAGAATCCGAGCCTATGGTATGATTGAGCACTCACCATGTTGACAAGATTGGCAGTAGTCTTGAGGAAGGGAGTTTGAGGACGTTGTGGACGGTGGACACCACATGTGTGGTCCCCCAGGAGCCCCCCTCGGCGCTACAGTCACGTGGATGCACACCTAAGCATGTGACTCGAAGTTGCCGCGTCACGTCGCGCGAGCCTTGAACGTCTGAACGTTTAAACGAGATCCAACAAGTTTACACTTCAGCCATCAATTTATTTGGAATAGTCCCAGTTTTAAACCTCTTCAAGTGAATAAGATTACAATGCAAGATGATCTCGAAGCTCTTAGACATATCTTTGCGCGCACTGAGGTTGCTCGTGGCTTGCGACTCGTACTCTGCAAGAATATCAATCTCTACTACGACCGACGATGCCTATAAAGGTGTAGTGGTAAAGTACTCTAACACAGGCCCCCCCACTATCACCAGGGACGAGCGGAGGCACGACGGGGCATGGAGCCAAATCTAGCGAATAGATTAGATAGTTGATATTAGATAATCGCTGTCGATCCGATCCCTTGGTCGGCGTAAATAAGTAGAGCGTGAAGCACGTTATATAGAAGCCGCTCAGGTTGCTGTCTATATAAGCTCCAAGAGCTCCGACAGAGCCAGTCTGACCCGTCTTCTGACCCCCACCTCCGTCAAGCTCCTCCCGTCTACTCAACACTTCGCCATGGCTCCCAACCCCCAGTGCGCTGCCCTCGCCGCTGCCAAGGACAAGAAGGGTATGACAACACGCTCATCGCTGCCATCGATCTCGCCGTCCTCATTGACCGAAACCGTCTCCCAGGCATGTCCTACGGCCAGATCGCCTCTGCGCTCGGCAAGAGCGAGCAGCACGTCGTTGACAGTGCGTACCACCACGCTCCTCTCCGCTGTGCGACGACATCTGACACTGTACTTGGCCGATGACGTCCAGTCTGCACCGGCGCTGCCGTTCCTACCACCGACGAGTTCAACGCGCTCGCCCGCGTCCTCGGCATCACCTCTGCGGTATGTCATCGTCCATGCTGTGCATCACCCCCTGCTCTCATCCTCACGACTGCTCGCATTGGAACAGCCCCCCGCGGACTCCGCCCACGCGACCAAGTAAGCGGCGTGTACAGATGACGCGTGAGATGTAACAGCACGATTGTGTAGGATAACGAGGGAATATCGGAGCTGTATCATATGTGAGGTTGATTGAGAGGCAGCTCGGACCGATCCACGCACCATAGCCTGAGAAAGCGGGCCCTCCTCCGCCGGCCCATCCGACGGGAAATGTGACCATAGACTCCCAACGCCGGCACCGCGGTTGTAGAAATCTGACAGACTCATATGTGGACGTTCACATGTGCGCGTTTCATTGGGGAGCACACACGGTCATCGATGTAGCGCAGCCAACCTATTTATAATGCGTCGACGTATGCCCTCATCTAACAAGGTAATGACAGACGGACCTTCAACTGGATTCACATTTGTGGCTTGAAAGGGCCGTGCGAGGGAGGCAAGGAGGAAGAGCAGCGAACTTATACGGGGTATCTATTAGAACACTGATCCACACGATACAAAGTCTCCCGCTGTTCGCGCTTTACAAACAACTAGGATGCTGAGACTGGAAGTCATTAATATGCTTTCGTTCGACGTGCTCGTGAACGTACCATTCAATGCTCTAGTTCCGAGGACCCCAGTATCATGCATATCGGACTGGCGATCGTGTCGTTGAGAAGTTCCAGTGACGTAGAACGGAGTAAATTATGTGGCCTGTGTGCACACCAACATAAATCAACTGTGATTCCTTGACAGTGGCGGAAAACACGCACTGCACATTCACTCGTCCAGCTCTGTGGTAACCTGGTCCGTATAGTCCAAGAGGGTAGAACCGTCGCTGTCCTCGTCCTTAGCAACATTGATTTCGTTCTTTTGTCGAAACTGCCATTTGACGAGCTTGAGAGCAGGAGGACGCTCGATCATCTTCTTTTGCTCGACCCAGTCGCACCGAAAGTCATCAATGGCGTACATGATGTCCATGCACGCGTCGCATTCTCCGGTCCACAGATTCTCGTTGCCTTTTGATAGGGACGTGAACCCACCCAGACCATACACGATGGACAGCGTGAACGTGTGCAGGCGGATGAGAGCCTTGAGGTACGTCGCGTAGTGTGTCTGCCCAAGACCATTGGTAGATGTATGCGGCGCAGAGCATGACGACATACCGGCAGCCCAACGACTTTGTCATACGAAATCTCGGCAGGAGGTGGGTCCTTGAACGTCGCAAACCGGCAAATGTTGCAGAGATTGCACCATATAAGGTCTTGTGCGAGCTTCAGGTTTTCGATGTTGGGGAACGCCCGGGCTATCACCTCCAACGTCTTGGGAGATGGCCACGAGATGTCAAATAGCTCGAGTGTTGTTATCTGCGAGGTGATATAGCGGGGAGTTTCGAAGCGCAGCACTAGCGATGCGTTGGATTGGGCGGGGTCGAAGTCCACGCGTAGCTTGCGGAGACGATGAAACGTTCTGTAGTCCCAGTGTCGCAAGGGCGGCGCCTGCAGGTCGGTCCCAAGCTCGACGCAATGCAACTCTCTGATAGATCTGTAAATCGGTGCAGACACGGAACTTAATTGCTGCTGCGACCCACCTCGTCCACGAACCACACTCCGGCCAAGCTTGCAGGAGGGCCTCTGGAGATGGGGCAAAGTACACCTCGAACCATGCTTCGAGGGCAAGCTGACGCAGCGCTTTGGCGGCCAAGCTCAGCGATTGAACCACTTTCCACGCAGGTTTGTAGCTTCTTCGGGGTCCATGAGGTGCTCGTTCCTTCGCGAGGACCGACTCGCAGTGGACGTATTCGGCGACAATTTGACGTAAGAGCTCCGTTGGAAGCTGGAGCCGGGAGCAAGGGGGTGCCGTCATGGATGGGGAGGGGTGTGGTGGTACGTCTGAGAATTAAGAGTGGCTTGGAGGGGGCCATGGGTACTGGTGAGGGATGCAGTCATGGCATGCTTGAGTCGCGCGACGCCGACTCGCCGGCTTCGGAATTGATTGGAGACTCCTGGGGTCGGCGGGATCGGGCGGGCCGGTCCCGGGAGACGCTTGGTGGCGACACACTAGACGAGCGCCTGTTCCCACGTGGCATCCGACGTTCAGTGTGGCGGAGGCACGAGGCGGGGTCAACTGCGTGCTGCAGCCGTCACCTTTGTCCACCACGTCTTCCCTCTCTGTCAGCGAATACATCGTGCTGCTTCGCTGTCGCGCTCAGCATGAAATTCGCTGCCCCCCGTACCCCGTCCCAGTCACCGCCACCCTCTTCGTCGCGCCTCAGGTACGTTTTGGAAATGGCTAGTCTAAATCCTGCCCTGAGGTTTAAGAGACGGGATAGGCTTCACCGACCGCGTTCAACGTTCGGACTCTCGCCAGACTCTTCCTCTGAGGATGACGAAGATGGACGCTCGAAGTTGGAGTCGGACGTGGGGAGCTCGTCTTCTAGTTTGGACGGAGGGGAGTCGGAGTCGGAGCCACCGTGAGTCTGACTTGGCCGTGCATGCCCCCTTGCTTCTAATCCAACCGGTAGCAAATCAACGCGTCGAAAGACACTGGCAGAACGCTGGATGGTGGAAGACAATTTGTCGTGTGTTCGGCGTCACCTGAACCACCATGACCCGTACGAAGATTGGCAACAGGAAACTCGTCAAGACTCTTTCGTATGTTTCATGCCCCCTCCTTTTATCACGACTTGACGCTCTCCGCAGCGTGCTGCTCGGAAGAAGCATGCTCATGAGAGCGCCGAGCGCATGCGAGCACGTAACGAACGCCGTATTCAGGACGAGGAGCGACGCGCCCAGTTGCACGCAGAGCAGGTCAAGGAAGTCCAGGCTCAACTCGCCGCCATGAACCTCAAGAGGCAGCAGGAAGAAAGCCAGCTCCGTGAACAGTGGAAGGAACGCGACCGAAAACTCTGGGAACGCATTGACACGGTTATCAAGGTTGAAGAGGATCGCGTTCGTGTCAAGCTTGAGCAAGAACGCAAGAAGCGGGAAGAGGCAGAACGCGTTCAACGAGCAGAAGAGGAGAAGAAGCGCCAGGAGGAGGAGCGCAAGCGCAAGGTCGAGGAGGAGGCACGTAAGCAGAAGGAACAAGAGGAGGAGGTCAAACGGAAGCAGGCGGAAGCAGAGAAGGTGCAACGAGAGCGCGAGGCCGCTGAAGTGGACCAACGCCACGCAATGGGCAACACTACTGCGTTCGAGGACTGGAAATTGGCCCGAGAACAATTGAAGGTGCGTTGCATGTCTATGAGTTGCTGTTACCGGGACTTGTCGTCATTAACATCGTTGGCGTAGAATGTCAAAGAGGCCGTCAAATTCGTCAAGGGTGATCCTACTCTGAAACCCCTCTGGAGCGCCGGACGGCGTGCTATAACGCCGAAGATTGGACAACTCACCAACGATGACCAAGAGATCAACCGGATAGTAAGGAACTTGCGTCTATGTTTGAATAGTACTGACATTCTGAAACTAGTCTCATGCTATTGCCAATATGCTTCGACCTCCTTATCCACATCATCCCAAGGTGTACATCGCTCTCATGTCGTCCCTCGCGAAAGCCATTCTGCTGCAGGCGGAGACGGAAGTCACGGCAGAGAAGAAGAGTGCCATTCCTTTGGCACGAGTCACGACAAACATGTTGATGACACTGGAAGGGTTCTCCCACGTTTTCTGGGCCAAACTTTGCCAGCGCGCGGGAGGATGGCCTGTACCTATTGCCGTCCCCGTTAAAGACGCCGACGATACCCCGTTCTCGCAGGCTGCCAGGCGGAAGGCTTTAGGATATCGCGACTCAGACGAGAAGGAATCGTTGCCCGAGTACATCACTCGCGTCTCGGGCATCATGCGAGTTTACTTCCACATCCTTGCCACCCCGGTCCACTCGCCACTCGATTCCCTTATGCGTCTACCGCGGTATTGGACGTTCTTCTCGCGCATGCTTAAAGACCCCAGAATGCTGGGAAGTCCTGTCGCACCAGAACTCCTGAGTAGTGAGTGCTGCTTGTCACCATACGTGAATGTGTCTAACCCTAGCATCTCTAGCTGCGCTGGATGTCTGCGGTGTACTCGCGGCCGAAGTATGGGGTCAGCAATGGATACGCCTGCTGGCGCTCCTTTACGAAGGAGTGACAACTGGATATCATGGCCTCGAGGGTCAGCTCATCGGAGGAGCTACTCCGGAAGGCACCGCTGCACGTGTGAGAGTGCAGCTGGAGGTAGAGCGTATCATGAGTTCCGGGGCCGTTTGACACGGGTTCCCACCAAACTCTCTCTTGGCTTTTCGATGATTACAGATCGCATCTTCCGGCTATCGCATTGTATTTCTATCCATCGTTCATTCATACGCAATGAGACACATCACACTTGAACATACTGATCCCGCAATGGGCGGGCTGTCGATGCGAAACGTCGTGCGCTCCGTTGCGATGTGCTGCGAGTAAGTTGGTAAGGGCTCGTGGCAGATGCTATCAAGCCTCGCGGAAGGAGGTGTGGAGGCTGCTGCGCGTGATGAGTCAGTCACGTGCGGGAAAGTTCCGCAAGGAGTTGCGAGCATCGCTGCGCCCTTGCTCGTTCCTATTCATTTCCCCACCTCCCCACCACTGTCCGTCACCGCACCCGGGTTGTCACACACACACGCTGTAGACTATCTTCACGACCCCCCCCCACTCCGTCACTCGTTCATTTCTCTGTATATGTCGCCATGATCCCCACTAGCAATGGACACAGGCCAACTGGGTCTGTTTCGCAGGCTCAGAACCACAAGGCCCAGCTTGCCAATGCATATAATGAACTCGGCAAGGAGCTTTCCTCTCAGAAGATCCGCGTAGTTGGAAATTACACTCTCGGGAAGGTCATAGGGGAGGGTACGCAGCGTTACGCCTAACGATGCCCCCATCCGAGCGCCGTGCTCATCGACTTCACAGGCACCTATGGCAAGGTGCGGATGGGCACTCACCGCCTCACGGGCACCCGAGTCGCCATCAAGCAAATCCCCAAGGCCATGTCCGCCGCCCTCACCAGGGAGATTCACCACCACCGACAGTTGCACCATCCGCACGTAACCCAGCTGTATGAAGTCATCGCGACAGAGTCGAGCATCTGGCTCGTCACCGAGCTCTGTTGCGGCGGCGAGCTCTTCGACTATCTCGTGGAGAAGAGCCGCCTGGAAGAAGACGAGACGAGGGTTCTCTTTGGCCAGCTCTGTCTCGCGGTTGCCTATGTGCACGGCAAGGGCATCGTTCACCGGGATCTCAAGCTCGAGAACGTGCTCTTAGATGAGCATTGCCGCGTCAAGCTGGGAGACTTTGGCTTCACGCGCGAGTTCGAGAAGGGCAACCTGCTGGAAACGTTTTGCGGGACAACTGGATACGCTGCCCCCGAAATGTTGATGGCGAAAAAGTACCTGGGGCCAGGTGTGTGCACTCCTACTTTGACTATGCGGAAGCTACAATAATAGTCCTTCGTTCAGAGGTGGACGTCTGGTCACTCGGTGTTATCTTATACACTCTCCTCACCGGCACGCTACCATTTGACGACGACGACGAGGCTGTTATGCGCGATAAAGTGATCGAGGGCGTGTTTGAGGACCCGGAATGGCTTTCTGATGGTACGCACACCACTTCCCAATTTTCCTGTGGGCAGATTGCCCTAGGAGCATTCATCACATGAACCTCACAACTTGTGGCAGAGGCCCGAGATTTACTCACCAATGTCCTGCAAGTGGATCCAACGAAACGACTGACTATTGCTCAAATCCTCAATCACCGCTGGTTCACGGCGCCTCCACCCCCACGAGATAACAAGCGATATTCAATCATGACCGGTTCTCCCTCCCCTTCCAGACCAGGTTCACCAACGCAATTGCAAACGTTGACCGCACGCTACCCGCAACCCCCCTCTGCTTCATCGGCATCGGATGCTACTTTCCACTCTGCTGCCTCGGAGCTGTTCTCTTCGAATCCGGGAACTCCTGATGAGAAGACCATCACTGAGTTCACAGGCGACTCACAAAGTACTCTTCAGAAACTCACTGGACAGCTACCACCTCCTAGCAATGGCAAACTTCCAGAGGTTATCCCCGAGGAATTCAACGAGACTAGTGAGAAAGTCGACGATGCACCGGATTCCACCCCATCCCGGCGTCCATTCACTCGCAATGATAACGGCTCAAACCCGAGGCTCCCACCGGCATACCCCACTCGTACGCCCGTTCGCACGAAACGTCGTTCGGTCTCCTCGACTTTGTCGGACCATGGACCTGCTACATTCGAGAAGTCGTCCGTCCCTACTCCTCCTCAAGACTTCTCGTCCATCCTCCAGACACCGGCACCTCTCATCTTCTCCACTCCCCTGGAACGCGAGCTACTGAACAACATGAGTGGCTTGGGCCTCGACACCGGTCAAATCGTCCACTCCGTCCTGAACGATGCGTGCGACGCGACTGGAGCTCTCTGGTGGATGCTCAAGCGCAAATCAGAGCGCAAAGCTGTTGAGGAGAGTGCGAAGAAGCCAGCAGAGCAGACCGACGTTGCGACCGAAGCTTCCGTCGAAACTGCGCGTCCCAGGGCTCGAGGAGCTTCTGTGTCGCGACGTGAACCAGCAGATGTCCGCGCTGCTTCGCCCAAGGACGATCCTCCTACAACAAATGGACGCTCCAAGGATGCGCGGCCACCCATACCACCGGCCCTCGTAGCATCCTTACGTCCGACTCCGGACGTGCAACTCATACCTGCAACGCCTACAGCGCCTGTCACCAACCGTCCTGCAACTCCTCCGCGGGACTCACCGAACCCCATGCTGTCGCCAACTCCCTCTTTTACCGAACTGACGATGAAGTCCAACCCTACGACCCCCAGCGGCTCCAAGGACAAGGACAACCAAGGCTCCAAGGGCCGCAAAGCTCGCTCTGGGAGTGTCAGCATCATGCAACGTGCTACCACTGCGCTGGAAGCTGCCGGTCTTGTTCGGAAGAAATCTGCGGAGGCGGTCCGTGAGCAGAAAGAGCGGCAGGAAAGGGAGGAGAAGGAGAAGGAGCGGATGAAGAACGCTAGTCCGGATGAACCTCGTGCGTCACATGGCTCTTCGTCCAGTAAACTCGTCAAGACACCCCCAATTCGAGCCGTCAAGGACTCGGCCATGTCTTCTACCCCTCCTCCGGCAGAGTTGAACCCTGCTCCCGCAGTCGGTTCCCCATGGGTCTTGACCGGACGCCAGTCACCTAGTGCAGACACAGGATCGCCGGCCGATACTCTCACGTCCCTTCCTACTATCCCATCTCGCAACAACAAGGTCGGCAGTTCGGGGCATCGCAATCGCGCCAGCTTGCTTTCCGCCTTCCAGCGGTGGTTCAGGGAAGATCCCAAAGGCAAGCGCAAGGAAGATCCCGCCATGTCCCTCGCACTACACCGGACGTCATCGCGTAATAGCAATGGCTCTAGTCCTATCGCCACCCGCCACAGAGGCACGGTCAAGGGACGCCCGGCTGGACGGGGTAGCAAGGTTGCAGGACGAGGCAAGAACGCAAACCGGTCCAAACGTGCCTCCGTTTCCTCTCGACGGTCCAGCAGTGTCAACTCTCGCCGATCCTCTGCGTCAATGCAGTTCCCCGTCCTTGAATCTCCGTCATATTCTGCATCCGTGTCTCGTCAACGAAGTGATCAGAGCCGTCGCTCGTTCGGAAGCCACACTCCGAACTCGGAGCTCGACGAGCTCGTCTCCCGTCCCAGTTCCATCCACAGCTTCGTCAACCATCCGCGACATCGCAAGTCACCATCTGCGAGCTCGGCTGGTTCGATGTATATGGGGAGGACATCCTCGCCATTGCCGAAACATCGGCGCGGAGGCTCGGGATCGTCGACACGAGTCGTCCGACAAATCCAGATGACCCCCGGCGGCTCCACCAAGGTCTCACATCTGCGCTCGAACTCGGCGTCGTCAGCACATTCACGACAGTCGTCGCGCCCGGGTTCCCTCTACGATCTTTCGGAGACCGACAGCCGGCGCAACAACTCTCCTCACAAGTCGCTGCGCCACTCTCTCGACGACACCCCGCGTCGCGGTCATGGCGCCGCCCAGTTCGTCGCGCACAAACGGCAGACGCCATTCGCAAGCGGCACGAACAGCGGCTACCTCAACTCCCTCGGGCGCTCGAGCTGGAAGAAATCCTGGGGGCTCGAGCCGCCTGGGTGGCAGACGCGCGCCGCGCACTCCACCGTGGAAGTCCTCGCCGTGTACCCGCCCGACCCGCCGACCGGGATCCGCGACGTCTTTTCCGGCCGGCAGTCGCTCAGCATGGGCGACGAGAGCGATTGGGTGGACGAGGAGGAGGAGGGTCCGGCGTACGTCGGCGGCCTCGGCCAGATGCCGTCCTCGGCCAGCTCCCTTGTCGCCACCTTTGCGCAGGCGGAGCAATCTCCGGTGTTACTCACCCCGCCCCCGCGCAGCGCCCCGCCGCGCACGAACACGGCGAGCGCGTCCGGCTCGGGGAAGCGCGCGGCGGGCATGGCGACCCTCGGCGTTGGCTCGTCTGGGGGCCGCACGGGCGGTCGCAACAAGGCCGGCCGCTCGTCTCCTGCTGGACGCAGCTCGCCGTTGCCCAACGAGTCGGTCTTCGGAGGGGACGCGTCGGAAACGCGCTCTGCCAGTGGGGGTCGTAGGGGCCAGTTGCCTGCGGGCCGGGCGGGTCCCGCCTTCCGTGGCATCATGGAGGAAGAGGAGGAAGAAGAGGAGTAGTCGGTACGCTAGTCTGTTGATGGGCTCCTTACGATTGTCTCTCAAGAAGCGGGGCTGGACAAACAGTGAGTTCCCTCCCGGGGTTGCGACAACTATCGTTATCCATTCCTTCCGCGTTCTACTCGCCGTTCACTCATCGTTGCATTTTATTATATCCACTCTACGTGACACAGACGTTCGCTCTTTCACCAAAACAAGGATACCCTGTACGGAATACATTTGTATAGCGTTCACGCGAGTTTCCACGACGATAGATTCTGCAGCTGTCTCTTGAATTTTCGGTTCTGTTAGGCATTATATTATATCACATCATTCTGTACACACGACATGTTGATAGAATGCATAGGATTTTTACCCAGGACATCAAAGGAAGACAACGATTCCGAGCAACACGTGCTGGTTGTGACTATTCTGGCCTTGTTCAGAAGGAGAGGGTCTGTCCCGCGGTGCCCTCAACAGCGCTGCGAACGGCGCTGGCGGCGAGGAGGGTGTAGCTGTAGGGCGGGTCGGTGAAGTTGCCCTCCGGTGCGGCGTTGTCAGCGCCGCCGAAATCTGCAAAAACGAGCACCGTAAGCATATATGTGCGCAGTGGCTATACTAGGGACACGTACCGTTCCCGGTGGCGACGGCGTAGCCCTCGTCGGTGGAGTACAGGGGCTTGTCGGTGCCGGTCCAGACGTTATTCTGGACGAGGACCTGGGCGCCGTCGCGGGTGTTGATGCCGTCGTTGTTGTCGTCGAAGACGTTGTTGAAGATGTGCCCGTGCCCGAAGCGGAGGGACGGCGTGCGCGAGTTGAGGTTCACCCAGCGGTTGAGCGCGAAGGTGACGGTGATCGCGACGTCCTGCGCGCCGTTGTTGTCCGAGTGGCCGACGAGCGACGCCTTCCAGTGGTCGTGCAGGTACGAGTTCGTGACGGTGATGCCGGTGCAGCCGTGGGTGATGTCGAGGAGGCCGTCGTAGCTGCGAAGCGGGGGGTGTCAGCCAGCTCGAGCGCGCCTGCGAGTGGGCCGAGCACGCACTAGTCCTTGTCGTGGTCGCGGTCGCTGGAGAGGTCGACGTGGTCGACCCAGACGTTGGAGGAGGCCTGGATGCCGATGGCGTCGGTGGGCGCGAGCACCTTGGAAACCTTCAGGTTGCGGAGGATGACGTTGGACTGGTTCAGGACGCGCACGCCGATGCCGATGAGTTCTGCAGGGCCGTTAGCGTCGTCGTTTGCACACTGGCAGCGGGGTGCACGCACGGGAGCCGGCAGCGCCGAGGAGGGAGGTGTTGGAGCCGACCTTCACGACCGCGGCATCGTCGCCTGTGATGGTGCCGGAGATGATGACAATCTTCGAGTCGTTGCCAGAGACCGCGGCGACGAGGTCGTCGTAGTTCGTGACGGTGGTGGTGGAACCCCCGGAACCGCCGGTGGTACTGCAGCGATGTACAGTCAGCAGAGCATCAAAACAGTATGCTCGAGGGAGCTCACCCAGCAGCGTAGCCAAGCGTAGCGGTCTCATGAACCGAGGCGCGCTTGAGCAGGGTGGTAGGAGCAGCCTGTGTAAATTGCTAATAGTCAGACATCGAGGATGTTGGGGCAGAAAATTCGACGCGTTACTGACGAGGACCGCAGCGACTTGGATGGCAGTGAAAGCGACGAGGGCAGAGAACCACTTCATGACTAGGCGAGGCGAGTCTCTGTAGGCTGAGGAGGTGAGGCTTCGAGTCTGAGGTCCATCCTCTGCTCTCCTCGTGCTTATATACTTCCCAGATGCTGCTCTTCATCGGCTAGCGCGTCACCGCGCATCATGTTTCCTGAACAGGGCTAGACTGTGCGGAAGAATCGGCTGTCTTTCGAAGATGCCGTTTATCCGCAGGGTGAATACGACGAGGGTGAGTACTGACATCACCGTCCGTGCAAACGCATCCTGGCGAGTGCCCCCCAAGCGCGTTCATTGGTGTGCCACTTGCATAAGTCCGTGAGGGCCGACACGGACCGTCGGCGGACCGCCTCGGTATTGTTAGAGAGAAGGGGAGGGAGAGAGCTGCGCACATCCGACAAACGTGGTCAGTGGAAGAACATGAACGCGAGACGAAGGAGCGGGAAAGATGCGGAAAAAACAGTGGAGCTCAATACACGGGTCTGATGGACCCAACTTCCAACGGGGGTCACAACTTGGTTTATGTCGCTTCGTGAGCTTCCATCTCTGGCAGCGTGATGCATCGGTGGGAACACAATGCCAATTACTTGGGGATGGTAGAGAGGGTGTCGCAGACGCGACATAAAGACGTAATATCTAGAGTGGATATGCCCGGCAAAACACCGTTCAACAGGAGCATGCAAGAGTGAGGATTTTCAAAGCCAGGCAGTTATAATGCATGATGAACGTACATGATTGACGTCAGCCTTCAACCAGTCTCGGATGGAGCCGCTGACTAAGATAGAGTATCGACATCCCATACAACCCGGACGGGCCGCTCAATTACGTGGACATTGCAGAAGCGTGTTGACCACTGCACATGGACAGGCCTAAAAATAACGGCCCTGTATAATGCTCAATGTCAGGCCTTTGCGTGATGTGGGGGAGAGCACTCACAGCTACGGCTGCAGACGGATCCAGTCCCGTGCAGCACCTGACGCCGTCGGGCCCCGTAAGAGCCGATCTCAGCTCCGAGTGAGGAACCGTCTGCTTGAGTAACGTCGTAAGAGGTCAGTGCAATTGGACCGCAGAGGGCGGGCCTTGTGGCGGCCCACAGGGTCCCGAGCGGTCCGCTCGGAAAGAATGCTGTCCGAAGAAGTTCGCAACGGACTCACTTCGGATGACCGGAAGTGCATGGCGCGTACGTGATATTCGCGAAATCGCAGCAACTGGAGATATATGTATGTGCAAATGGTAGAAGTGACGTTAGTGATCAATTACTCACTAGCAGCCGAGAAGGCTTGCAGAACTTCCATTTTGCTTGAGCTGCACCGCAGCCTGTGCGGCCAATACATAGATATGTGACGATGATAAACAACGAGACAAGGCGCCGGCGTGCATAGATCTGTGATGAGCTTCTCGATAGTCGACAAAAATAACGAAAATACTCTCACGTTCTCCGTTGGCCCTTCTGCCTCTAGGACGTTTGAAAATGTCTATGAGGCCCGAGACAAGGGCAGGGAGAATGTGCTATGGCGTGCACGAGCTTACGGCAAACGAAGTCGCTGGGCCACCAGGTCAACCTGTGAACCTTTCGGAGACGTGGCAACATGCAGTCGATCATCCTCTTGCTGTTGTCGGGCCCCTGTTCTTTTGTTGTCTTTAGATGCGGCTTGTTGAACCACCAAGGAGTCAAAGAGATCGAGGCCACTTCGCGGCTCCATCTTCCACCTCGCTGTCGACATCTACGGTCTCTCCTTTCGAAGAATCGCTTCCGAGTGGGTAAGTATTATGAACAACCTCAAAGCCAAGCTCGGGAGAAAAGCTCGCTCAGGAGCGAAGACTAGACTCACTGTGCCGCTACGATGATCGGCCTTCCCTGCTGCCCTATTTCTATTTCACCCGAGAAATCATCACTTCGGTGCGAGCAAGCCGGGACCTGTGGTGCGGCATGGCGGTGCTGATATCTTGACGAACAAGCCATCCGACCTATCCGACCGCGCTCTCACCCTGCTTGTCCTTTAAAAGCGCGCCATGCAGCCACGTGGAAATGGGTTTTTGGATGTGGGGATTGGAGCCGGGTAGCAGGCCAAGCTCTGAGGAGCTGCTTGGGACGTTCGCGAAGTACGCACAGCACATAGACTTGATCAAGGTGCGTTGGCGCCCGCAAAAATATGCGTCATTGAAGGTGCACCTGCATGCAGAACGCGAAAGATGATGAGCGGCCGGGTGGAACCCGCGCGCATCTATCTGTCTGGTCATTGCTGATTACGGGCGGAGGGCTGCGGACGGTCGAGGAGGGGCGAACCCAAGGCACGGCCGTGGGCGATGCGGGGCCCGGGTGCTTGTGCGTGTTTGGCCTGCGCCGCCGCGCCTTCGTCACCAGCCGCGTACCGGCCTTAGCTTGACCACCTCCCTCACGACTACCGACGCCGTCCCCGTTCTCTTCCTCCGATAACTCGGTCAGTCGCTGCTCGCAGCCCCTTCTCCTTCAGCAAGCTCATTCTCAGTGCCTGGTCGCGCCCTTTCTTCCTTCACCCAGCCATGTACGTCCTCTCCCTATCGCCTCCTGTTGCCGAGTGCTAAACTTGGTCTGCTTTCGGTTGCCGCTGCCTGCTCCCTACACCACCTCCACCCACGCCTTACATCGTGGCCGTCCTCCAGGTCTGAGCCGTATGACCCCTACTTGCCGCGTGGCGGCTCCTCCTCGAACCCGGCTGGCCAGGGAAACGCAAAGACTGCTGCTATCCAAGCGCAGATTGACGACACCGTCGGCATCATGAGGGACAACATCACAAAGGTCGCGGAGCGTGGCGAGCGACTGGACCAGCTGCAGGACAAGACAGGTGCGTACCCCTCTCTCTGCTTGTGCGATATCGGGGGTCGCTGCATTGCTGCGCGGTGCATGGCCCCACTGCGTGAGACCGTTTGCTAATACGGGCGAACTCTGCTCAGACAACCTTGCTGTCTCTGCGCAGACTTTCCGCCGTGGCGCGAACCGCGTTCGCAAGGTATGTCCCCCGTCCAGTTGATGCTGAGCTGCGCTGACGTGCCTCGGATGACAGAACATGTGGTATGTGCTCAGTTGTTGACATGTCCGAATGCGGCCTCTGATCTATTTGTTTGTCTCGAATGCTTAGGTGGAAGGACATGAAGGTCGGTTGTTTCCACTCATTCCCGTCTTCATATGCTCAGCATGGTCCATTCTCGTACAGATGAGGATCATCATTGGCGTCGCAATCGCCATTATCATTATCATCATCGTTGTGTCCGTTGTAAAGGCCACAAAGGGCTGAGCATCCTCATCCCTGGTCTTCCGCTGTCTCCTGGATCGTACGACCACGACTCATGTCTTGTACGTCTTCGCTCGGCTTTGGCGGAGCCGTTGTTGTGTTATATCCCATGCGCGCAGTTCTAATTCCCAGTCGATATATTCTCCCATACGGCTCTCCATGTGTTCGGGCGTATGGAAGCGGACTATAATACGTGTTCATTCTCTTCAGGAACTACTGTATTATTGCTGGGACAAGCGTTGCGCAAATGGCCATCCGGTTGTGGCGTTACTCGGCGCCTTTGCCATCAAGCCCGGTGATCCAGTGCGAAAGTTGATTGATCAAGCTTGAGGTCGCCTCTCGCCTTTTGCCTCCTTGATCACTGTCTCCTCTCAACCACCCACTGCAATGTCTGAAGACCGTCTTTTGGTCTTCTTCCCGCGGATGCGAGGCCCGCCGTCTTGGCAATTCGCCTAGGCAGGCTAGGAAGCATACCCCAGCCGCACAACAAGCACTGGTCATACCCGCCAACTTGACCGACTATTCCGAGAGCAAAATGACCGGCTCGCATACGCGCATTGTGTTAGCTTTCAGGTGAGGATCCAAGCAATCACCAGAACTGTTGATCCTGTACTGACGTTTCGCTGCGGCGCGGTGAGACCGCATCTGTCGCAGGGCTGGAAACCCCCTTTGCACTCTCGAGACGTCATCATCCAGCATGGGACCGTCCTTCTCGAGAGCGCGGCAATGTGGCCTACGGCGTCTTCCAGCCGTCCAGTGCCGTACCAGGCATCACACGTCTATACCAGCGTCATCGGTTCATAACATCCACTCGCGTTGGCAGTGCCGCCAAAGTGCCGACCGCTTGGCTCTCGCGGCACGGACAGCCCATCCAGGATGACAGACAGCCGTTGCAGAGCCCTCCACCGACCCCGATCGCGCCTCGGGGCGAGAGCTGGCAATACCGGCGCGACGGTGGCGCACTCGATCGGGCCAATTTCAGTGTGGCGATGGCGCAGAGGCGCGACGCCGCGTCCGTCCGCACAGGGGCTCCTTCCGACACGCGGACGCAGCTCCGTGGTACGCGCGCCTGCCGCGACCAAGCATCGTGTACTTATAGAAGTGGGGCGCACACTGGGCACAGTTTCTCGCCCGGTGCTTTTGTCGCCCCGCCCACCTCCCTCCTCGCCCTCGCCCTCTCCTGCACAGGCACCCTCTCCCTGAACTGGTTGCCTCGTCGCCCACCCCCTCGACGGCCACAAGACTCCCAGAACTTCGTCCGCAGGTCATGGATAGGTAGCAAACCTATCATCGAGTCGGTACGCGCAAGCGCTGACCTTGGCTCTCCCCAGATTACATGAGCCCGCCTTTGGGGCGCACCGCGGCCCCTCCGAGGCCTCCTCCTCCTACACGTTCGCGCCCCACATGGACTTTCCCCCCGCGCACTCGCCCGCGGCGGACGGGGTCGAGGACCCGTTCATGCGGCTCGACTTTGAGCGCGGCTTCGACCCGACGCTCGACTACACGCAGCATCACGGCTACGAGCAGCACGCGGAGGTCGAGTACATGGACGCCGAGGCTCAGCCCGACGTTTCGCGCCCCTACCCCCCGACCGGTCATCAAGAGGCCGCGGACTGGTCGGCACAGCACGGGCAGGCGTATGGGTACTACGGGCACGGGCAGGCGCATGCGCAGGAGCAGATACCTGCTGGCGTGATGAGCCCGCGGGACTCGGACCTGGAGGCGCAGCGCGGCGTGGACAAGGCGCTGTTGACCCCGGAGGTGCATGGAGGAAGCAGAGGGTCGAATAGGCTGCACAAGAAAAGGTTCACATTGGGTGCGTGGTGGTAGTCAAGTTGGAGAGCGATGTGGACGACTGACGGGGACGCCTAGAGCCCAGCGAAACCGAAACGTTGAGCACTCAGACGCGTCGCAGCGCAGCTGCCCACCAGTCCAGATATACAGTGCGTATTTTTGCCATGGGGAGTGTCCACCGCATGACATCTGGATTCTATTCTCATCCAGTCACCAAATCTCTCATGGTGAGTCTCCGAATAGCTCATACTCGTTGATGCAGGCTCGGAAGCTGACCTCCCGACTCTCCCGGATCTTCAGGATAGCGAAAAATTTCGTTAGTTTTGATTGTCATCTCCAATTCCTCCGCATTCACTCATGTTCGTCGTCCCCTTGTAGCACCGCATCTTGCTGGGTATTGCGGTCTCAATCGTTCCCCTAATCATCGGTATCGCAATTGCGTTGGTGATAATTGCAATTCACTACGTCCATACACCATGACGACAGCAGATCTCACTCGTATTTAGTCTCCATGCGACGACGAGGCCGCGTGTCCGCGGCAAAACCACCATACCCTACCCTCCTACTGTATCCACGCTAGAGATCGCTCGCCAAACCTCGGGGCCTGGGAGCCATGTCGGACATCATCCACGTCTTACTCTATCACCCTGTTCATGGAGATATGGACCATCGCTTGCATGCACATGCGCCTCTGCTGTACTCACAACACCTACACTAGTAGTCACCCTCCCGGGGTCCTCCCAATCTTGTTGAGGTCCGTTCCATACCCCCTGTATCACCTATTTTACCCCCCAAGAACCTCGGCTACACATCCATGATCGAGTGTACTGGAAGCAGGCTGACAACACAGACCTTCAGCATGCCACCTTCACGCGGCCAAGCTTTACGCAGTGGTGCTCTTGCGCAGCTCGCAGTCGCATACGGTGTTCTAATTAATTACGCCCAGCACGCACGTGGCTGGGCTGGGATCGCAGCATATCATGGCATCTTGCGTGCTATTATGGCTCCAACGCCCTGCAGTATGACAGAGTCGTAGAGGATACGAGAAAATGATTTGGTATAGGGACTCTAGATCTAGTACTAGTAGGTATATAGTTACATCAACGACACGAAGCACCGGCGCGCGCCCGCATCACGCGCCCGCACTCCCACCGATTGTCAGAACCGCACACTGCCTGCGCGCATCTCCGCTTCTGCCGGCCTTGGCCCTTGGTATCCGCGTCCTCTGTCCCCTCATGCCACGTCTCAACGGGACCGCAAAAGAGGGTCAAGCCGTCCCGACAGGAGAGACGTTGATATTGACAGTGGCACACCGCCGAAGCCGCCACGGATTCCTCGGGCTTGAGGACGGTGGTCGGAACGCCCGACACCGCCCTCGCAGCGGCGTGCGTGCGCGCGCACGCACAGGAGGCCAGAGTGCGGTGCCCCGCTAGTGCGGATGGGTATATCAGCGCGGGGATGGGGGCCTGCGCGAGTCCTGTGTCTGTTCGCTGTTACTTCCTTCCCGCACCCCGCGGTTTGCGGTTCGCCCTCGACGTCCTTTCTCGTACTAGCCCTTCACCATCCGGTTTCGGCGAATTTTGTGGGCTGGATCACCGTGACGACATGGCAGGGTAGATCTGTCCGCACGAGCGCATCATGTCTTCAGTTCTCATATGCTTGGGTTGGACAGCGCACGGCAAGGACGTGTCCCGACGATCCAAGTCCAAGAGCCCGAAGACTCCATCTATTCCATGGACTCCATCCGACGCTCCCCTTCTCCCTCCCATTCACCCCCCAGTCACGGGGACCTCGAGATGGCGAAGTTGAAGGAGGAGATGGACGTGGAAGAGACCGAACGCTTAATCGCGAGGGGAGAGACGGCGCGGAAGCCGACGCTAATTGGAGGTGCGCACCAGATAGCCTTGCTGTTTCGTATTCGCGACCGACGCTGACCGCGGCGCGGGGCAGATCTCGGCTACGATTTGGACTCGCGGCCGTCTTCGATGGCGTTCAGCACGCTTTCATTTAGTCAGGTACGTACGCACCGCGCCTTCCCTCGCCCTTCTCCGCTCAAAGCTTCCCGACGCCTGCTCCACGAATCGCACGAACAGAGGAATTGGTGAGTCGTTTGTCGTTCGCCGCCACCCCACGGCTTCTGACCCATCCGATAGGTTCCGGCGACATCAGGTCAGCACTTTGCCGTGCTGTGCGATCGACGTGAAGACTCACCATGACGCTCCTCCAGAAAGTCCTGATAATATCCGTCATCGTCATTGTTTTCGTCGGCGTCATTGGCGTAGCCGTGTTCTGCGTTGTGTGGGCCGCCAAGGGCCAGTCGCAGCCGTGAATGCTAAGGGTTCCGTCTTCTGTAGTATTAGCCTCGATACGATATTCACCCTTGTAGTGCACCCTCGAACATTGCGTCGTACAGTAGCTAATCTTATTGAAGAGTTTGCTTCCGAGATGTTCTTGTCTGCGACGATGCTATAGTTGGCCGCAGTGGGGAAGGATTCTCATCGGTTCCTTCGGGACAAGTGGATTGGCCGTGCTTATCGTGGAAGGGTGGGATAAGTGACAAGAATCGCAGGACGCGGGGAAGCTGAGACGTACCACGGCTGCACACGGGACCTGAGGCCATGAGGTTGGTGGGTTGGAAAGTTGTTGAGCCGTCCTTGTCACAACCTTGTGAGCGAGGACTGACGTGTCCATAGTAGTCCATGGGCATGGTCTTTGAGCAGAACATATGGATTCCAGCAGTCGATATGTGATTGTTGAGAGCGAGAGGAAGTTAGAGACGCGCGATCGAGTTCAGCGTGGGACATCGTCACTCCGCAATTGTCAAGCGCCCATTTCCGCTTGACGAGAACCCCCATAGTCATGGTCTCCCCTAGTCAGACTTTGCCCAAGCCATGGTCACGACATGCGTCGCGTGCATCAGCCAATTATATGCGCGTATATTTCGTACGCGTATGTGTTCTGGTATTCTTGTACACCCAAGAGGCTGGATCCCTTCACATTCGGCGATTTTCTCAGGGGTTTTCTTGAAATCCAACCGAACTATCGTCTGAACCGCGGTGCCGTTGCTCCGCGGCGAATGGCGCTTTACGCATTCACGCGTGAGTCTTTTTGGTGGTCTTATGAGCTTCTCTCATGACCTCTCTTCCACAGCGTGGCAGCTTCCCTCTCTCTGTCCGTGTGGAGATCCCACGGCCGCGGCTCCGAAAGTCCACCATGGGTGGATCAACCTTGTTCATCCTCAGGGCCAGATTAAGTATAGATAGCAGGCGGACGCTCTCTCGACTGGCTGTCTTTGACCCCCTCACATCCACCCGACTCCTTGCCGGCCATGACCACCGCTCCAACGCCCCCTTTGTCGCTCGATGACACCCTCGGCGCGGGGTTCTTGGGTACGTGATGACGTTCACAGCTCGTACCTATTCCAACCGTCTATCTTCTGCGCAGGGCTTGTGGCCGCCTCTTGGTAAGTTAATATCCGTTCATTTACCGCCATGGCGCTTACTATAAAATGCAGCTTCTACGGGATCACAGTCGTTCAGACCTTCATCTACTACAAGCGAAACGAGATGGATCCGGGGTTCTTGAAGGGATTGGTACGTTGGGCATATGCTGCCGAGTCTTAGGAACTCCTCTGACTTCCCATGTCAGGTATTCTTTTTGTGGTCAGTGCGCGCGACTCCTCCGATGAACAATCCAGATTCCTGATGACGAGTATAGGATTCTGGATAGCTTACATCTGGCACTGGTAGTGCATGCGATCTACTTCTACGCAGTCATCAATTTTGCCAACCCGGCAGCCTTGGAAGTTCTCGTGTGGTGAGTGCCCCTCGAGATCATTTTGTGTATGGCGCTTACCCTGCGCAGGAGCATATTGGTGTGTAACCGCTCGAAGAGCCGCGACCAACGTACAAAATAGACATCGTAACGTTTGACAGGCTCAGATTTTAGTGACTGGCGTGAGCGATCTTACAGTCAGAGCGTGCGTATATTTCGCCATTGCTGCACACACTGTCGTTGAATCCACCTTCAGAGTATTTTGCCATCGTGTCTGGAGACGTGCGTGTCCGTATACTATCCTCAAACCCACTGTTGAAGTGAACATGCACACATAGTGGGCGATAGAAACTGGCTGCTAGTGACCGCGATTGTGAGACGGCTTTGTTTTCTTTCGCAAGAGCCATCTAACCCAGTCGCGTTCAGATTGTATCCTCCCTTACGGTCTTCGGTGGGTACATTGAATGTTCGAAGACTGGCATGGCACGCTGATAGTCGCGCTGTCTTAGGCGGTAGCATCGGTACGTTCCTTCAGCCATATCGTGAAATTCCCCTGTTTAACTTCGAAATAGCGTTTCCCGTTAAAGCGTATGACGGTTTGATATGCATTGCCTCAGCTCTAAAACCAATCCTTGCGGTTTCAGATTTCAGCTGCCTTCCTTTACGGCGCTCCCAACTATCTCAGTGCGTCAATCAGCAAGGAAGACAAATTGCTTAGCTGATTGTGGATCAGGACATCCTCTACGTGGCATTAGGGGCAGGGGTCGTGGCCGACCTCATTATCGCCGCGTCTATGTGCATCTTACTTGCGCGGCGAAGGACGGGGTTCTCGAAGTACGTCGTCTTGATCCTGATGATAGTCACATCGTTCATTGGCATTGCGCCGTTTCTAGGACGGACTCTACGGTCCGTGTTCTCATGATTTACAGCGTGAACACGGGTGCTCTCACGAGGTGAGCTTATGACGATCCGTGGAGTCTCTTGACCTCATTGCTATCTTTATCACGCAGCCTGTGTGCACTTTTATGCCTCATTACCGTACGTTTCTCACACCTCGCTCAGAGCTCTTTTTAAGTGACCGCCCCCCGTAGTATGCCAGTATGCCCACGAATTTCGTCTTCATCGCCTTTTATTTCGTTCTTCCTAAGTGTAGGTACTTTACCCCCACGCTCGACTCTGCCATCCTGTTCTGTGCGCCCTGACACTGATTACCTTTTCAGTGTTCCTGAACTCGATGCTTGCTACCCTGAATGCGCGACGCCCCTTGCGTGAGGGCAATTCGGGGGCCATGATGTCCTTCCCGCTCTCGGTCACCCAGTCAGACAACGCTCCTATGTCCTTCTCCAGCCGACCGCGGTACTCGAGCGGATATGGCGGACGTCGCAGCTTCGGGACCCAGGACGACCCTGTACGTACTCTGCCAAATCCTCGCACGCATTGATGCTCATGAGAGTGTTTGTGCCAGAGGAGCCTCCACATCCAAGTTGAGACGACGAGGGACACTAAGGCAGACATGGTGATAGAGGACGTTCCAAGAGCACTGGAGCGCGAGGTACAGTTGCGGACGCTCTTTCACTGGTGTCGCCTGTTCTCACATGCTCGCAAGCAGGCGAAAGGCTGGGAAAGTGCCTACGAGCTGACGCCGGTCGACCACGACGTTGCTATCGTGGTATGACTGCAAATAGTACAATTTGCGACTCGTCGGAGTTGATGAGTGGAGACGTGTCAATGTATGCGTGTAACACAAGGTCTCTGCTCATTCAAAGCCCACAACATACCGGTTGTTTGACTGCGAACCAGACCCTTCCCCCGACCACCATGCTCAATATACGCCATCATCATACACCAAGTGCTCTTTCTTACCTTAAGTACCATCGGTGTCTTAAGACTGAAGTGCCGGTCAAGCTTAAATCTTTGAAAACACCACCGCGTATCATGCAGATTGGCTTTAATCCCGTCGTGTATGCGCCCTTGATGCGCCCAGGCGAGTATTCCTGATCCGACTCTTACAAGATCGGCGACAATGGTGAAAAACTACGGTTTGAATCGTCAGCCCTTCAGCGACAAAAGCGGTGGCACAGCTTCTGTTTGAGATCGGAGATGTGTGAAATGGCCACGGCCATATGGGTCATAGCACACCGGACTGTTGGCGCTTAACGCTTGATCCGGAGATAAACTTGACCCGATCCCACTCTGATCCCTGCCGCTACAGCGATTCGTATGCTCTGAAGTGCACCACTGACGACTTGGCCGGGTAGACGTGCACTTTGTGGGCTTTTCGGAGATGATACGTCGGAAGACAACGCTGGGGCGACCTCGAATCTTTCGATTCTCAGCGCTTCGATCCCAGGCTTATCGTAATAACTGTGCCCCTTCCGACCTCCATCATGGGGCGGAGAGGGCGCGCGGAGAGATCACGCATCCTGTGCGTTTACGATAGAGCGTGTGTGGTCTCGTCCCCAGCCGCTCGCACGTAACTCTCGCTGATCATCCATCAACGCGTGCGTTTATTTCCGTGCTAGATCTCACGCGGCATACACTCCGCATATAGCCATCCTGCATCCCGGCCTCCACCTCGTTCTCTCCGACCATCCTCTTGCAACGGACGACACCTCCCAACATGCGTGTTTTCTCAACCGGTTTACTGCTGGATCAACAAAACCGCGGCACTTTACCCTTCCTGGTTCCAGATGCCCTGCCGGCGGCCGCGCGCCGCGCGGACAGGCCGCCATCACGACATGTCATCTCTCCCCCTTCCCCCCACACGGCCGCAAGACCGAGATCGCCTCTCAGTCCACGCCGCCGACGACTGCCCGCCGACACGTGACCCAGGACCACACTTGCCGAGAGATCTGGGGAGAACCGCAGGGGGCATTGGCTTGGGCCGCCGGCCCTATAAGCTAGCGCAGGCCCTTGCGCGTCGGATCTGCCGCCTCAAGCTCAAGCCTCGCCGCCCCTCCGTCCGTGCCCAGTGCGCCAGAGCCACCGATGGACGCCACCGCCGCTACGCTCGACGTCGGCCCCACGCTCGGCGCGGCCCTGCTCGGTGCGTCCGTCCTGCGTCGTCCGGGGCCGCCTCGGTGTCCATTTAGAAGGCTTCGCTGACGTTTCTATGGGTCCACGCGCCGTGTGCGCCGTGTGCTTCTTCGTCCAGGCAACACCTTCGCCGCTGCGTGCGCATCACCTTCTTCCCTCCGTCCTCCGTCCTCCGTTCCGCGACTCCGGCTGACGATGCGGGTGCTTCTTCAGGCTGTACGGGATGTCGACGCTGCAGATGTACATGTACTTCGGGGAGGGCAACATGGACGGATTCGGGCTGAAGGGTCTGGTGCGTCCTCCGTCTTCCGTCCTTTACTCTGCCACGTCCCCCGCTCCCTTTCGCCGCCGTCCGTCTGACCGGGGGTGTCCGTGTCGTAGATGGTGGCGCTCTGGTCTGTCCTTTCACCATCCTGATGCGAACGGGGGCGTGCTCAAGCGGACGCCCAGGCTGCTCGACACTGCACATATAGCTTTCACGACTCACGCCGTCTACGATTACGCCGTCACGAACTACGGGAACCCGGCCGCGCTAGCGTCCCTTACATGGTGCGTCCGTCCGTTCGCCGCCCTCGCGCGCTGACGGTGAGACGTCGGTGCAGGAGTATAGCGGTCAGTTTCACGTTGCTCCTGTTTCTGCAAACAACTTGAAAATGCGGTGCGGGCGGCGCGTCTAGGCCCAACTTCTAGCGACTGTGCGTTATGTGTGCTCGTCGTCCTACGACGGTGTGAGCTGACTTCTCGCCAGAGTGCAAGCGATATGATCGTCCGAGGGTCAGTGTCGGGGTGAAGGGAATGAATGTCGACAGCACCTGACGTTCTTCGTCCCGGGTAGAATATTCTGCTACAGGATATGGATATGTGAGTGGTCCTTGAATCGGAGGCAAGAAAACCAAACTGATGACGGCTTCCACAGTGAGCCAGAGAAATTGGATCATTCTCACAGGCACCGTGAGTGGGAACATGTGCTCTTTCTCTACCGCGGTGCGCTCACTCGGGATGCCACAGGTCTCGTCTTCGCTGTTGGCTACAGGTACGATGTCTTTGTCCCTAGGATGACTTCGCATTGACCTCTAGTGTGATGTAACAGCATTGACTGCAGGTATTTTCTTTCACCGAACGCCCCCTGATTGCTAACCTGACCTGTCTTCTCTCACGACAAGTCCTCTGTATGAAAGGGTGCGGATTCAATCATCCTCCGTGTATCCAGCTCGTTTCAACTCAACTCACAGCTTCTCTGCCGAAACTTACGAGAAGCTGCACGAGTCCGGGGTCAGTTCTTCACCTGCACAACGTGCGCTCGGCGTTTTTCTGACTTTCGAATAACTTGCTCCAGTGGTTGATCGAAGCTGACCTTGCGGTGACGCTCTTCACGGACCTCATCCTGGCCGTCGCCCAATGTTATCTGCTCTACACCCGGAATGGCGAATTCAAGAAGTGAGCGTACCCCCTCCCCCCTCTTCTCTCGTCGGCCTTCCCACTGACCGATATTTGCAGGGTGCAGTCCGCGATCCAAGGCATCATGTTGTACATTATCAGCACCGGCATCTTTACAACGTGGGTCGCCGTTTCTGCCCCCTCCTGCTATTTCCCCGCTCGCCGTGGTTCTGATGATGTTCCTCAGATTGATAACGCTCGGCTGTCTTATCGCGGTGCGCGGCCTCAGTGGCTACCTCGCATGTGTCCTTTGTGCCTGACGTGTTTGGAACAGTACGTGCTCCGGCCGACGACGCTCATCTTCGTCGCCTTCTACTTCTCGATGGGCAAATGTGGGTCCTCTCATTCGCCGAAGCTCTCCGGAGGGCGCTGAGACCTCTGCTGCAGTACTGCTCAACACCCTGCTCGCGTCGCTCAACGCGCGGAGGCGCCTGCGCGAGAAGATGAACGACACCTCGATCGCCTTCCAGCGCTCGACCGGCGTGAACTCGTCTCGCCAATGGCACACAGACGACCTCCAGGACGTCACTCCGGTGGGCCCGGAAGCGGCCCGCCTGTCGTACAAGAGCGGCGACGTGACGTACGGCGCCCGCAAGTCGTACAACAGCTCCTCAGACTCCCATTCCGAAGCATGACGAGCGCGGGGGCGGCGGCGCCGTCCCGTAGACCGCGCGTGCGTGAGCGTGCGATGTGTATGATGTCATGGTAGAGCGGACCGAGGGCGCCGAGACGCTGCTGCTTCCTGTCTTTTCGTGTAGTGTTGTGCCATACGCACCAGTATACCGCGGCGCGCCGCCTGTCGCTCATTGGTTTAAAAAAGACGATAGAGATGGCGTGTATGTGTTGTTATGTACCGGGGTGCCGCCATGGCGGGGTGCAGGCGTCGGCTGCTGTGGACATCGTATTTAACCATATATATTAGCTTTGTCCATCCTTGCTATGATCCGTCGGGGGCGAAGCTACACTTCACAACACCCGACGGCGCTGCAGCGCGCCTATGAACCGCATTGCTACTCGTCATGGAAGTCCTCCTCGGGACGGGAGAAGCACCCGCTGTGAGTCCCCCGCCCCGCAAAAGGCAGGCAGGCATACTACCGCGCGATCTCCACGCGCGACATTCGCCTCGGCGGGGACTCGACGCCAATAGAAGCACACGAGGTCCCGACTAGAGCAGCAGCGCGTCACGGGGGCTCGGGGAGGCGGCTTCGCTAGCTGCCCTGGCCGCTCGTCACTCCTGCCGGCAATTCATTGTCCACCAGCACCAGCACCGTTGCCGTACCAGCACTGCAGTCGCGTGGGCCACCCAAGCGAGAGCGCCCCGAACAACCGCAACGGCGCTGCACGCGCAAAGGCTCATCCCATCATACTGGTGAGCTTGCGATCCAAGATTCCAAGATCCGCCCGCCCGCCCGCCCGTTCCGGTCGCGATTCGCCGCAAACGGAGGGCCCGTGCCCGCCGCTTTCGGGGTGGCCCCGATCGCCGAATGTGTGCGCGCGGCGCTGCGCCACGCGGCCGCGGCGGTGATCCTGGCCGAGATGCGCCCCCCCAGATGGGCTTACCCGCGCCCGCCGCCCAGCGGAGCCTAAACGGGCGCCGGATCGGGTTGTGGGTCCAGGGGAGTGGCAGTAGCTGCTTACTAGGTTCGAAGGTGGCCACCCCCTCGAGCTCGATCGCTGATCGGGTGGGCCACACCCGGCGCTGTGTGTGGCCCAGGCTCGGTCGACTCCGCCGCGCAGGCCGTGGGGTTCGAAGTTTCAACAGGACGCCCTCGGTCTGCGGGCCCACCGTAGCGAGACTGTGGCGCAAAGACGTCCTCGCGCCGAGCACCCTCGAGGCCGCGTCGGAGCGCAGCCCCAACTGGGCTGTGGGCTTCCTCGAGGCCTCAGGGCTCGCGTCGTGTGACGCGGCCCCGTCCCACCCTCGAGGCGGACGAGGACCGCACCTGACCGCGAACTTCGAAGGTCCGGAGCTCGGACAGGCCACACTCCCATACGGAGCGCGCGCGCGCAGCCCGAGGACCCGCTTCCCGCAGAGCCGCAGACGCAGTCGTCGCAGGGCTCCACCCTGTGTGCGGAACCCTAGAAGCCCGCGCGGGTTCGAGCCGGACGAGTCTCTTTCGCTGCGGTGGTCCGCTGTGGTGATCGATCGCGAGGGGCCCCCACGGACGGGGGGCCCAGCCCACTCCACTGGCAGAACGCCGTCCGACGGTTCGCGAAGCCGGTCCGAGAGCAAAGCAGTGCGTTCCGGGGCTCGAATGAACAGGACGCGGACCAGAACTCCTTCTCCCACCCCGCGATGCCGCCATCGAAGCACCGGTCAGTATCGTGCAGACCACATAGGAGCAAGCACCAAAGTGAGATTCGATTGTACGGCGTACAGGACCTTGCACGGTGACTTCGTACAGCTCGACACTGCAGTCTGAGGACACTCGCTCTCAGCGAAATATCGTACGTACGGGGCGGGAGTGGCAGGTCGCCATAGTCCAAACATGAAAAGCACGCGTAGATAACAATAATCTAAAGCGTCATGACATATCGTGGTATCGTGAAAGGGCATTCTATCCGTATCCGTAAACGGAGGAGGGTCGTAAACCAAGAAGGGCGTGAGTGAGTCAGAAGGAGAAAGCCAGTGCTACACGGTAGTAGATGAGCTGTAGTAGGTGGGTGTAGGGTGGAGTATCGATCGAACAACGTTCGTTCGACGCAGGTGGGAGTATTGATAGTGCGGATGGGGCATTGTATGGTGGTAGGGGGAGAGGAAGGGGCGGGGAGGGAGACGAGCAGAGATTACCCGCGAGGCAAGCCTACGCGAGGACGAGAGCCGAGGCAACGGGACAAGAGAGCCAGAGCCAGACGAGAGAGCAGAACACGTAGGAAACGCGACTAGCAGGAACAGCAACGGGAAAGGGGAGAGGAGAACGATACAAGAGGTATATCAGACACGGGAAAGCGAACGGACGCCGAGAGTGCGTAGGGTAGCGCAGTGTGCGAGACCTGTAAAGAAACCCAATATGTGCAGAGAAATATAAGGAGGATAAGTATATACGGAGGCAAAGGGAGGAAGTGTGCGCATCCGAAAAGGTCAATCCATGACGAGCAAAGCGGGAATCGGGAGACGAGGCAGGAGGCGATTAGGAAACGCGAGGGAGACTATATATATCGTGTACTATAACCTGACGATCAGAGCAACGTGAGGAGGAATAAGTGATCCGATGGGGCGATAAATATCGATAGCAAATGAAGTCCGCACCGGGCTCACGGCGAAGCGTGTGAGACAGGCGTCTTGTACCGGAGAGGCGGCATCATCGAGTGGTGAAGCCTGGACGCATGAGAGTGCGAGGACTCGAACTTCTCGGGGCGACCAGTGGGCGGGCTGCGAGAGAGGGCGTCTGCGGGGGGTATCCAGCGCTGGATGAGCTGAACCCGCCTCGCGTCCTTCTCCCGTTGCTTGGCATCAGCGCGCAACTTCTCCTTTTCTTTCTCGTCCGAGCTTGAGCTGGAGCGAGACATTTTGGTAGGGGTGGGCGTCGATGACATAGACATGCGACGAATCTTGGGGGGTATAGTGGCAGGCCGGGCGATGTCAGCACCGCTGACGACCGGGGTCCCAGACCGAACCTGAGGAGTCATCGAACGTTGAAGCGAAGTCGTGCGGGAATGAAGTGACGGAGAGGGTCTCGCGAGGGGGGATGGGAACGTCGGGGTGTAGGTCGTACGCGTCGGTGACGTAGGAGAAGTAGCACCGGACCGGGAACCAGCGGACGCCGTGGAGACGGATTGAGGCCGCGGTGGGGTGATCATCCCGGACTCGAGAGTAAGTCCGGTGCTGGGCGGGGGTGTAGTCGGAACGCCGAGCAAGGGAGCGGCGGACTTGACTTTGCCGCGGTTGACCTCGACGCGGAGGCTCTGAGCCTCCTGGGCCTTCTGAGAGTACTGAGCCCGCTACGTACATCCTCAGTAAGCGCTGATAAAAATTTCTGAAAGACGCGTGCACTTACCAAGGCGCGCAGCTCGGCTTCCATCTTCTCCTTTTCGGCGTCGGCCTTCTCGAGCTGCTCGACGAGCTGGGTCTCGACCATCTTGGCGTGACGAGCGGCCTCAGAGTGGGCGACATGGTTGATGAGGATGGCGCGAAGAAGGGCGGCGCTAAGTTGAAGCGACGATGACTATGAAGAACAATGAGCGGAGGGCACGGAGCCAAAATAGGATGGGGCGCACCTGCTCGTCGACAACCTTGTCCGTCCTCAACCAATCTTGAAGCTCTTTGTGCAACGTCGACACCTCCTCCACCGAGCACTTCTTGGCCGCGACCTGGGCGACCTTGGACTCGAGCCTCCGGGCCTCGGAGCGTCCCTTGAAGGAGGCCGGGTTGAGGAGACAGACGTCATCTTCGCCGACGTCGAAGTCGAGGGCCTCGACGCGCTTGGGAGTGTTCGAGCGCTTGGGAGTCGAGAAACCGGAGCCGAAGTCTATGCGGATGAGGCGGGAGGAGTCGCCCGTGAAAGACTCGCGGCAGAAAGGACATGAGGGGGCGAGACGAGCAGGGGTTTTTTTGACGATGTTGTTGCAGCAAGCAAGGCAAAGGACATGTCCTGGAGGGGGCGGAAGGGAACGCGAAAATTTAGCCGAGCGGGGGCGGCGGCGGGGAGAGGGCACTCACCGCAAGGGATAGAGTGAGGGAGGTTGTGGGGACCATACTCCTCTGCGCAGACGTCGCAGAGCGACCCGGGACTAAGGGTAATCATAGGGGAAACCCTGCGTGGAAGAAAGGAACTGTTGGGGGGGAAGGAGGACCATTGAGCTCGGCGCGGAAACAATCGCTCGGGGGAATATATACGGAGGCCAAGTGCCTGGCGGGCCCAATTAGGCAAGCGGGCATCATGGACACAGCCGCGTGGCAGGACGCCGGAAACCCTCTGCCCCCGTTGCCTGCCCGCCCGCCTGGCCCCCGTCCGCGCGACAGACAATGGACACTCACGTTGACTGTGGTTTTCTGTTTTCTCTCCGGCGGACGCGTGTCCGCTACAAGTCCACCTCAAACGCAGCAACCCACGCTTGCACTCGTTTCTCGGCGGCGTATCGGCGGCAAAATCATAAAAATTTTGCGCTGAGGGCAGAAGACGTGAGCGAGGGCGCGCGGCGGGGAGCAGGTGGTGGCCACGCGACGTACGGGAAAGGAGACGCCTGATTTCACTCGCGACGGGCGGAAGGAGCAGCGAGGACGGCCGAGAGGACGAGGAAGCACACCGGACAGAAGCAAAACATGAAAAAGAGCGGCGCAGTCCGATTTCCTCTTCATCCAAAATTTACTGTCCGCTTGATCCTCCGCTCGGGTTAGGGTGCCCGTTCCCACGCCTGTGCTCCTTCCCCGGAGCGCCCGGTGACTCTCCGCTGACTACGAGGTGACTCCGCCGCCGCCCCTTCCAACCCCCGCTCGCAGTCGGGATGCACGCGCAGCCCACAGAAAGCCCCAGTTCTTACCATAGCGCAGCTTCAGAATCAGCATTCGGGCTTGTGACAAATGCACGACCATTGCGTACGTCAAACCCTTCCCTGGGGTTCGGTCATAAGACCTGCAGGACGGTATTATGTCCAGATGCTGCCCGGATTCATATGACAAACCGTTGACCATTTTTGCTGCTGTGGGCTCAGGCCCAATCCTTTAAGAAGGCGAAGCCATGATAGGCAGCTTGTTTTCAAGTCACCGAAACGTACGGCCAGCCCCGGCCTGCGGTCGCGTGACTGTAGCCACAGGGAAGCCAAGTCATCCACTCGGAGAAAGATTCATGTTTTAATCATTCCTTCCAGGAGGAGCTATCTGCAGTGCCGCGTTGCGAGCCGGGCTTTTTTTCGCAGCGCACGCTTTGGGACTTCGACCCCCTTCTTCCACTGCTTCGCAAGCATTTCACACCTTGTGTATGTGATGCTGCGTAGCGAAATGAACGGTCTCGGCAGGAGGATCGGCCCTTTGTCTCCTTGCTTAACCCCGTCCTCCTTGTCGGCACAATCAATAGAAGAGCCTACTTCTCCAGCACGTTGTACGGAGCGCGTCCTCCTTCTCACTATGCAGAAACCAGGGTACGCCCCTTTTCTCGTCTGCGATGTATGCCAGAAGTCGCGATCTCCTGATCTCCAGCCGGCGTTCACACCTCCCCCGCACGACTTCCGCGATCGCCCGTGTGCCGCTCATGAGCATGAGCGCGACAACGCGCGCATCCGCGAAACGCGCACCTCCCACCGATCACGCCCATCCGGTCGTCTGGAATGGTCGATATCGCGTCCAGATCACATCCATCCATCTCGCACGCCCGGATCCGGATGACCCCTCCCGCTCCTCCTTCCGAGGACCCCATCCGGCATTGCACCTTCGCGCGAGCCCTTCGATCCCGGTCTCCGGCATTCCCATCCTCCCCGACCCCGCACTCGCCTCTCATACCGACGATCGAGACCGTATGGCGTGAGCCAACGTTCGTTCCCCTACCCGCCGGTGTGCATTGTGCGCCGCGGGCACGTTCCCTCGCCGCTCGATCGTTCGCACAGCACCGACGCGTCGACGTTGCACGCGTGTGCCGTTATCGCGCGCGGCCATCGACGAATACCGTCCAAATAGGTCGGGCGACTGGGAAGACCAAAGATACGAGTCCAGGTTGGGCGACCCGCGATGCGCCCGTCCAGGTCCCCCCTGTCTTCCACTCAGCACCATGCGTGTGTTTTCAGGAAGTAGTGCCATAGCTCTAACGATCCGCCGGCGCGGCGTGTGACTGTGCCACAAAGGCACAACCTGCAGTGGCCCAAGCGCCACTCCCGCCCGCATCCGATCCTCTGCTGGAGGGAGAGCTGCACGGATCTATATCTGCGGCACTGTGCACTGAGGCATCCGACCCATATCCGAACAACGCCCCGCACCTCGCCCGAGCCGCACATCCCCAGCTTCCTGCCCTCTGGGAGCAGCGATGACGGGCGCGGGTGCTCGCACTACGTCCCCTATGACGACATGGTACAAGGCTCAGACAGCAGCGAACCGTGGTCGTAGCGGGCATCCTAATGCCGCCTGTCAGACTCCCGCGCTCGAAGGGGTCACCGAGGGCACATGACCCCGCGTAGCGCACCCTCGGCGCGGGACGACACGGTCCATTGAGCGAGGCACTCAATCTGATTCCGCACGGATCGCGGGTCCGTTCCGAACCCCGAATTTTGGCCGCACCAGTAGAGGTGTCGCGTGACCGCCGCTTTGCACGTCGGTCCATGTACCGGACGTGTTCCCAGTGAGGTCCGTGCGAGGGTGCGCGCGAGGGCGGTGCGTTACGGAAGGGTCGATGCGTATGCATGTTGCCGCGGCGTGGGGCACGAGAAGTACTTCCAGGTCCCTGAAGTCGAGTTATCTCCTCGGGAATGGAATGTCGACCGGGGAGTCTGGTCGGAGACTGAAAAGAGGCTCGGGCGACCCTGGGAATTCGCAAATGGCCGCGAACGCGCGTCCTCGCGAAGCTGCGCACAGCATAGACGAGAAGGGACTCACATAATCCGTTTACAACATGACATCGGGCCCGCGCGGGCGGCGTTCACCGGAGACCGTCGACGCCGTCCTCCGTCCTTCTCGCGCGTTGTCACAGGCTAGAATGGGGAAGATTGCGTCCATTACAGAGAGACCAGAGGCGTCGCCGCCTCGCCCGAACAGGCAGACATCCTTGGTCGGTGCGCCACGGAAAGCATGCTGTGTATTTTTTGAGACCTCGCCGGCCTTCGTACCTATACGGCAAATCGCCGTCGCGCGCGCGACAAACGCGTGGGTGCCTTGGACCCGTCCGCGCACAGCTCGTAGATAGCGACACTGTTCGTTCGAGCCTGCCGTGGAGAGCGAGAGACCGAGATCACTCAGTCGCGGCTCGGAATCATAGATAAGGCGACACGTGGGATCAACATGGGCGACGTCTGCGTATGCGAGGGCGGTCCAGCGCACACCGCGTGGAGGCTTGCTGGTGGATTTCAGGCGGGCCCGGTGTCTAGGAACTTGGAAGCACGGATGTCGGGCCCGGGGCGCGAGCGGTTGTTTGCCTCGTGGCCGTGCGCAGCGGAGATGGTATGTCCGAGCCCCAATTTTGCGTGAAAAGCCACAGCTCGAAGAGGGAAACAATGCATAGGCGCGAAAGTAAGTTGACGTTGCGAGGGCATCGAGGGAACGATGGCCGCAGTGATTTGTGGTCGTGGACGTCGCTGAGAACGCAGGGACAGTCCGAGAATGGAGGTGGGAAGGGATGGGCAACCAGTTCGCCCGAGCAGTCGGGGCGCTCGGGAATGGCGGCGACGCGGGAACTTTACTCTGCATTGACGCGTTCGATACTGACATTCCTGATGTACACCTGGCGCTGGCACGGTGAGCATCCTCTCTAATGTACAGGTGCACCAAGAGCATCTTCACCTTTCACCTTTCACTCTCGCGGCCATGCTTCCACCCGCCGTCTTGAGGTTTGAAGTTCCAGCGCAGCCGCGAGCTCGAAAAAGGGAGGTACCAGTACGTGCGCAACCGTCCCTGCACCTTCCTGGACGTACGCGATGGCGCGCAGGGCGCAGGGCGGGACGGCGCGCATACGCGCTATCGATAAGCCGCGCGCCGCGAGGCACAGTGAGCGCAACGTGTTATTCCCACCTCGAGCGAACGGTGGTGCACGAAACCTAGCGAGAGCGCAACGAGGGTGTTACGCGAGAGAAGCAATTAAAGTTGCACGCTTGTCTCCAGTAAGTCGGGTCCCACCGCCTTGAACTTGCTCGGCGGCCACAACACGAGGAGGTTGCGGTCGTCAGTTTGATGCGGCAGAAGACGAAAGCGCCGCGCGAAGCGGCTAGATACCGCGAGGTTAGTGCGTGAAGGACGGCCGATGTACGACATGGCGCGCACCTGTTTCTCACAGAGCCGCATATGAGCGTGCTGTCTTCGATCCCATTTGCTCTCCGCTCCGGCGGTGTGCTCTCAGTGAGGCCACAACGGACCTAAGGTGGGCGCCGATAGACAGTTTATCAATCAACCCGCGGTATCGAACACGTTCCAGGTGGCAACAGTCTTCGAGGAAGGGATCATACTGTCAAGCCGTCCTGCATGGAATCACGCACCTGAGACAACGAACAGCCAAATTAAGAGCATCTCTGCGCCGCAATGAAGAAAATTTTCATGACTGTGCTTGAAGGTCTGTGAGATGATGGTTTCCGCTTTGAAAGCAGGCATCCTCGGGATTTGCATCCGCGGTGAGGCTAACCGTTTGCAACTTGTAGCTCTGTATGTTCCATATCTGTCCGCGGGAAACGACACACCATTTCTGTATCAGCCTTTGTCAACTGAATGCCACCGAGCCATGCTGACGTACCTCTTGATCCGGCTCACGGTCTCCTCCGGTGCCAATATCTCACTGGCTATCGGAACCGCGGCGCACGATGCCCTAGCGATGTGAGGGGTGCCAATTCGGCCTCCCCGTGGGTTGTATGCGTGTCAAGAAACACATGTATGCGACCTGGAGTAATAGATCATGATGGTGTAAGATATGCTACGACTCGGGGTTTCCCCCCGTAGTTCTGGCACTCACCGGAGAGACACACTTGATATAAAGTCGGCAGAGTAATCCATGGGATGGTCCGTGGCTGAAGTTGGTGACTACATCTGTCTCGCTGCTGTCGGCGGACCCCGAGTTCCTTCATGAATGTTAGATTGATTGTGTTCACAGCGCTGAAGAAGTACCAGCTTCACAATTATAGGCATGCTTTTGCGGCGCAAATAAGCAGCGAAGAAGGATATTTCTGAGTGGCGGATGCAGAAGAAGTCGGATGTCGATGAGAGGCCCGGCCGCTGGCGCGCGCTGAGTTACTGTCAGGTTACGAAGAGAAAACACTAGGCTGGGGTTAGGTCCAAACTTCCTGGCGTCTGAGCAACTGATGACTTTTTGGCTTCGGGTGGAAAGCCGTCGCTCGCATCTATACTTCTCCTTCAACCCTTCAACGTCCCCTACCATTCCCTCTCACATCTCCGCTTCGAAGGAAGACATATGTCAACATTGGGCAAAAGGAAAGATCGGGAGCCTCTCGAAGGAGGGGAAGAAAAACCTCACGGGTGTGCTTTATTCTTCTGGCATCCCCGCACTAGACTGACGCCGTTACAGGTCGACACTTTTCGTGTCGAATCTGCCATACACTGCGACCTCCACCGATCTCAACACGCTGTTCTCCGATATTGCGCCTGTGCGGACAGCGTTCGTGGTCACCGAACAAGGCACCGGCATCTCGAAAGGTGTAGGTTATGTCACCTTCGCCATCCGTGAAGATGCGACCATGGCTATCGACAAAATAAGCAAGGAGGGTATTTTGCTCGACGGTCGCAATCTCAGGGTGCAGTGGGCTGGAAGCAAGGTGCGTGTTGTATTCCGTTTGGTAGCGGCCGCACTCTGACGGCATGTGTGCCAGAACAAGCATCATGAGCAGGGAGAAGAGTCCAAGATCAAGCGAGAAAAGCCCACGGGGACCAAGGTAGCGCGTCCCGTAGGAGTGGGCGACCCCTTGGCCATTCGCACCGTCGTGGTTTCGGGGCTACCTTCAGGGATCGACTCTAAGGTGCTGTGGAAGAAGGTTCGCAAGCTTCCAGGCGCAGAAAAGGTCGAATGGCCGACCAAGTCCGCAACGGAGGCGGAGGATCACAGCATTGGTGTGTTTCTGTTGTATGCTGTCGACTGTATGCCAACGGTCGGTTGCCCCCCAGCTCATGCTGTCTTCAAAACACCCGCGACTGCGTCCGACGCTGTGAACAAGCTGCACGCCCACGTCTTCAAAGGCTCCCTCCTCTCAGCGACCCTCAAAAGACGCATGGACGGTCTCGCCAAGGCTGCCGCGGCAAACTTGAAGAAGCCCAGAAAGTCGGCTGACAACTCCACGAAACCGAGCGTGGGCCCGGCGCCCAATCGCGCGAGTCGCCTCATCGTCCGCAACCTGCCGTTCGACATTACAGAGCAAGACCTGCGCGCAATCTTCCTACCGTATGGGCCTATCCACTCCGTGCACATCCCGCTCGCGAAAGTGGACCCGAAGGAGAAAGACGAGGAGGAGGTAGACGGCTCGTCAAAGCCACGGACGAAAGGGTTCGCGTTTGTGTGGTTTCTCAGTCGGAAGGACGCGGAAAAAGCTATGGAAGGCGCGAATGGACTGGAGGTGGAGGCGGGCATGGCGCAGACGCTGTTCTCGGACAAGCAGAAGAAGAAGAAACAGAGGAGAGAGGAAAAGAAGCTGAAGGCCAAGGTCCAGGCTGAAGGGGAAGGCGAAGAGGGAGGCGAAGAAGACGAAGACGACGACGACGACGACGAGGAAGACGATCGTGGTAAGAGGACGATTGCAGTGGACTGGGCTTTGAGCAAGGATAAGTGGGAGGCAGAGAAGGCGAAGCTGGAGGCTGATGCAGAGGATGGAGACTCGAGTTCGAGTTCGAGTGGAGAAGAGGGAGAGGAAGATGACGGAAGCGACGAAGGCGAAGACGAGCAACTGGGCGTACACGAGGGACACTCCGATGAAGACAGCAGTGATGAGGAGAGTGGGTTTGACGAAGAAGACGACGACCAGACGCCGATGAAACCAACTCTCCCCGCGCCAGAGGTAGGCACGACCGTCTTCGTTCGTAACGTACCATATGAAGCCACGGAGGACGAGCTTCGCACATTGTGAGTGGCGTGTAAACTCTCAAGGCTGCCCCAACTAAGTTATGATATAGATTCCGGGCATTCGGTCCTCTGCGTTACGCTCGCATCACCATGGACCATGCAACAGGACGGTCACGAGGGACTGCGTTCGCGTGTTTCTGGAACAAGGAAGATGCGGATAAAGCGATTGAGCAAAGCAACATCTTGTTCGCGGAAACCGTTGGAGCAGAGTCGCTTGCAGTAAGTGCCGCATTGTTTGTCCCAGGTGCATCTCTTATCGCGGCAGTAGGTCAAGAAGAATCCCTTCAAGCTCCCTTCGCTTCTAACTCCCGACCCTTCCGCTTCCATGGCGCAAAACCTCGTGCTTCATGGGCGCACACTGGGCGTTAGTTGTGCCGTCACTCGTGACGAAGCGAGCAAACTCAAGGAGGCCGGTGAGCGACAACGCGAGAAAGCCGACAAGCGCAACCTATATCTTCTCCGTGAAGGGAGTACGTCATCCGTCTAACCCTCTCGCTGCGTTTGAAACTCATTCCATCTTGCCAGTCATCCTTCCCAACACTCCCGCTGCCGAGAACATGCCTGCTGCGGAGGTCGAGAAGCGCACGACTTCCTTCAATTCCCGCCGTGCCCTCCTCCGCTCGAACCCTTCCCTCTTCGTCTCGCGCACACGTCTCTCCGTCCGCCAGCTTCCGCTCTTCGTATCCGAGCGCATGCTCAAGCGCCTCGCCATCCACGCGATCCGCGCCTTCGAGAAGGAGGCCAAATCCGGCACGCGCGAGCCCCTCACCGCCGACGAGCTCGCCGAGCCCGTGCCCGAAGATAAAGACGCCGACGGTGACGTCAAGATGGAGGCCGCCGACTCCGACGCCAAAGCCGCGGCGGACAAGAAAGGCAAGAAGGGCGGCAAGCACCCACAGGGCAAGCCCGGGCGCAACACCGGCGTCCGCCAGGCGAAGATCGTGCGCCAGGGTGATCGTGTCGACGCCGTGACGGGCAAGGGCCGCTCGAAGGGGTACGGCTTCCTGGAGCCGCACACGCATGCAGACGCGCTCCGCGTCCTCCGCTGGGCGAACAACAACCCGGCGGTGCACCCGTTGTTCGAGGGTTGGTGGCGCGCGGAGTTCGAGGAGCTCATTGCGGCGGAGAAGAAGAAGGGCGCGGGCAAGGACGGCAAAGTGGACGAGGCGCGGGTGAAACGCATCCGCGAGGAGCTCGAGCGCGGGGCGCCGCCTAAGGGCAGGGGCACGCTCATCGTCGAGTTCTCGATCGAGAACGTGCAAGTCGTGCAGCGACGCGCTGCAAAGACAGGCAAGGAGAAGGAGAAGGAGGAGAGAACAGATAAACGGAAAGGGAAAAGCCGAGAGTTCGCAAAGGAGAAATTAAGGGAAGGGAAGGGCAGTGAGCGAGTACAAGAGGAGTCTGGATCGGTCTGCCTGCTGTTCTGCCACACACCGTACTCTGCAGCTGATGACGATTTACAGAGCGAAAAGAAACCTCGTGTTCGTCAATCAGTGCCCTCCAGCAAGCATGAAATCTCAGGCGAAGACAAGGACCGTCCCAAGAAGAAGCGTCGCATCTCCGACCTGTCTAAGCCTGCTCATTCAGAGACGGAAAAGACGAAAGGCGCGGACAGTAAGGATGTCAAAGGGTCTCCCACCAGAGTCAAGCAAACCAACACTCTAGGATCTGTCATTGGGCGAAAGCGGAAAGAGCGTCACATGAAGCGTGCAGGGAAAAAGTAGCTGCATTATGGTTGTCCTAATGTATAGTGGTTCTGAATGTGTGGATCAGTCCCCGTCGCTAGGTCGGGCACCAGTGAGTTCCAAATACTGAGCTTGACACGCTATTCGAAAGGCCTTCGTCATTGCTGGCGTTAGTGCTGTTGTACAATCCTGATCGTGCACATTCAACAACCATTTTGAGTACGCGAAGTTGCAGGCATGCAAGAAATACCAACCTTGATCAAGAATGGATCCAGAACAACAAGGCGCGGCATATTTGCCGGGATTTTCAGTCTTCCTTTGGGGACAAGCGTCGCTTTGTCACTCTTAACAATGCCACCGTCGCGGATGCTGACAATTTTCGGAGAGTAGTAATTATGTTCATGACCCCAATAGCTGTTAAAGGGGTGTGTTAAAACTTCGCCAGCAAACGATAAATCGTATAAACGGGTGCTTACTAGAAAAACCGCTGCAGCACAATGCTCAGAGAATCATCCGTCCGGTATTTGTCGCGATATTTGGAAGCAAGGCTAAAACGGACTGCGACGGGAAACGTGGGGACTTGGTCGTTGCCAGATTCCCACCACTCGACGTTTATCTGGGGCCTCTTGCCAGCTTGGAGATTGGGTAGTAAGTTGCGTGACTGGTGGACATGGGTTAGGTTTGCGGATAAGGGTTCGGAAAATAGCGTACCTGAAGCCATGCAATGACCAGGAGCGTGAGCGCATAACTGGTAACGGTTTTCGGGCCTTGGGGTATCCGTTTAACGGAGATACCGACGGATCGAGCCCATGCCTTCACGCTCTTGATCAAAGGGATCAGATGCCGGTTTAAGCGGCTGTACTGGAGTATTAGCTCGGTGTTATAGAGCCCCAGTCGAGAATTGATGTTGAGGTCCATTGAAAGATTGGTCTAAGGATGTGTGAACTTCACTGGAACCGCGTCAATGTCAGGAACATGACGGCGTAGTGCTACGCTCACCAATCGGCACTCGAGCGGCTGTAATGGCCTTCACGTTCTTATACCCCGCTTCCTCCAACACTTCCGCGAGGTTGCTAAACGCATACAGCTCGCTAAATCATATCCTTCGAATAGCTGAGGGCATACCTAATGGAAACTGAAGATGACATTCGAGACGCTAGCTTCGCTCAGGTGTGGGTATGGAAACTCACGATTGCGTTCGGTACGTTCGGTGGTTTCGATGGTTTCGGTATTTTCAGAAGCCGTGCTCCGCGTCTGGCCGAAAGGACGAGTGCTGTCCTGGGAAGCGCTGAGCGGATCTGCAGCACACATTCGACGGCCGCACTCACAAGGACTATCAGATCCAAATCGCTGCCTTCTGACCACACTCCATAGCTTGCGCTCCCAAACGCGCGCACTTTGCATCCAGTGCCAAACGCCGCGGAAACCACCTTGGAGACCTCTTCCCTTGCTTGGCGCAGCGGAGGGTTCCTACCCACGTGTCCTCGGCGGGTCGAGCGCAAACGCTCAGACTGAACAGAAATCAGACCTAAGAAGACGGAGGAAAGACAGGGAACCTTACAGAACTCGCAGACCCAGAGAGGCTGCACTTGACAGGCCTGTGCCGTTTGTCCTTTCATTATCGGCGTCGACATAGAGAAGACGAGACAACACACTTTTGGTCGGCCATGAATGGCGTTGATTTGGTTGTCCGTGACACGAAACTCTGCAAAGATAATGAGGATGAATTCGGAATTAAAAACAGCCCATACGCACACATGCGTCAAGCTCCTGCAGCGTGGCTAGGTCGCGAAGGCATGCTGCAAACGCCCCGCCTACAGGCGTAGCAGACGTGAGCCGCTTGTGCGGCGTGCGGTCGGGAAGTAGTGGAGCTACCATGATCTGTATCTATGTCTTGAGCCCCGAGACTAGGACAGACCATGGAGTGAGTAAGGGACACTCACCTCAGATCCGGTGGGCGAGAGCGTCAAGTGTGATGCTTGAATGGCATTCGCAGCAGTTGATGCAGAAGCGCGTGGAATCTGATGTGTCTTTGCATGCTTCAAGAAGGAGTAGCAACCTCTGCTGGGACGAGGGGCGCGGATGTGCGGGGCGGGCATGTGGCACGCAGCCCGCTGACTTGAAGACTCGGGGAGCTACGCGTGGCTGAAACAGGACAGGAGTAGACCAAGTCGGTGAGGAGCAGCCGAAAAGACGAGCAAGATCCTGGAGAGTGGTGTTGAATGAAGGGAGCGGAGCGGTGGATGTCCAGGCCAAGTTCTCAGTTGGAGTCCAGCATGCGCGGCTGCTATCAGCCGCCATCGCGGACACTGTCGAGACGCGGACGGAGGCACGTGCCACGCACTCGGGACGCTCACAAACAATTTGAGAGAAAATCGCGACCTAGAACATACAGCTGCAGTCAAGTTGTAGGGCAGGGCTCTAAGGGAATGGAAAGAATAAGTAGGGCGAGAGGGCCATCATCATACAACAGTCGGCGACATAAGGCTACACAACAACACAATGTACCGCATATAACAGCTCTGGTAGCGACAACGAGGGCATGAAGCAAAGTGAAGAACCCCCGGTGACACCAGCGTCTCAAAAGGCACCTATGCTACCTTCACGCTGCCCCATGCCACTTTTTGTCCGCCCGTCCGCGGTGCCGCGGCACCATCCTTCGCAGCCTCCGCCGCAGGGGCCGGCGCCTTGGGCGGGGCAACAGGGAGAGGGAGCGCACGAAGGCCGTCAAGGACGCGTTGCGCGTGCTCCGTGTTGCGGATAAACCAGCCCGCGTAACGGCGGCCCACAGTCGACTCCGCAATGTGGACCATATTCTGCACCGGGGCATGAGATTGGTGATAGATGCAGTAGAAAGACGACATCACGTACTTCATTAATCACAAAGTCCAAGTCACTCGTTGAGATCATCTGCCCGTCGAGGAGACCCTTCTCATGGGCGACGCGGCTGACGGATCGACTGGCCTGCTTCATGACCATGAGTTGTTGGACCATCTCCTCTTCGTCGGCATCCAAGAAGCCAGCAAGTTTTTTCGCGTCAAGAGACGTGTAGAGCTTGAGGAACGAACGAAGTGTGGGCACAGGTGCCTGTGCGCGTACTTCTGACAAGAAAAGGGCGAGGTGACGTTGTGCGGGCTCAACCGGAGGCTCCGCCATGTACGCCGTGAGGGACTCCGAATCGTCGTATGGCGGAGGGTTGGCGGAGATGAACTTGGGACAGGCATAGAGAAACAGCTCTTCGAAAGCAGGGATGCCCTCCTCTCTGGAAACATGACATCAGCCTTTCGCGGTGCGTTTACTCGAAATTGATACGAACCCTCGCGACATTTTCGAGAACTGCTCGCCGTAACGCTCCTTCACAATGTTTGAGATGTTGTCGTCCACTCGTGTTGGTGATAGGGCGTTGCAAATCGCGAAGAGCGCATACATCCGATCCGCCGTCTTGTTGATCTACTCACGGGCGGGTGTCAAGGCTTGCACAGTAGCATACAAACATGTTACGTGCCTGGTCATACTGGTAACTCCTCGTGTGGTACTGCCGCATCCGCAAGATAAAGTTGAGAATTGACACGAAGGTGCGAATGGCGTCCGGATATCTGCAGAGCATGATGTAGCAGAAGCCGACGTAGTAGTAGGTGGTTACATGGCAGGCGGTGACACGGGTGAATGGCGACTATTACAAACTGTCAATGTAACCCGAGGCCATCATGATAGCGTGAGCGACATACCTTTTGGTTGAGCTCTACACTCTCCATGACCTTCAGGGCGAGGGTGAAGTCGCCGAGAAGGCTGTGCACCCGAAGGAGGCCGATGAGACTGAAGTAACCAAGAAGCTTGTACAGTGGCCGCGTGCCATACTCTCCCACTATTTCGCTGTCGTTGGACAAGTGAGCGAGCGTACAGCGCGAATATGACAACGACTTACGCGATTTCTTCTGCAGACTTGCCTTCCTGGAGGGCGACCAAGTGCTCGTTGACCTTCGACTTCTGAATGAGGGAGTAGAGGACGTTCAACACACTGTAGGAGCTCCAGACCTGGCCTCCGTCGGCTAGCATCGTGAGCTCTTCCTCCGACTTGGACTTGGCTTTTGAGCGCCAGACGCAGAACGACTGGAACTGGTAGATGAACTCGTCGATAATGTCCCAAAGCCACTGCTCCGGCAGCTCAAGAGGGACGGGGCCATCCGAGTCTGATGGAAGCCTTGTAGCGCATGAAAGGACAAAAAACACGGCTGTACTTACTGAGCAGGTAGTTGAACAGCTCGCAGCTGTTCTCGTAAGAATGGAAGCGATCGTCGATGTCGGGGGAGAGACGGGAGTAGACATGACGGTAGTAGAGCTCGCGGTAGAGGATAAGGAAGATTTGATCTTGTTCGAACGAGTTCAGGGAGAGAGGAAAAGGGACAACGATGCGAAACACACACCATCATTTACGAGAGGCGCAATAACCTCGGCCTCTGGCCATTCGGTTTTTGAGTAGAACTTCTCCGTCAGCCTATTCCATCCACTCTCGTATGCCACAGTAATCTCCGCAAGGTTGTTCTCCAACACAGCTTGGTGGAAGTGTGCGATGAACTGAGAGCACTGAGCTAGAGCATTTGACATGGGGAGGGGCATGGCACTCACTCGCTTCACAACATCCGGGACTTGGGCAAACGCAGCTTGCTGGGCCATCTGCTGTTGAACGGCAACAATGGTAGCCTCATTTATACTAGATTGGGCTGAGGTATCCTCTTTGAATATCATGCGCTCGCGCGGTGGTGAAATCGACCGACCGTCATCGTAGAGGCCATTTTGTCCGTAGCTGCCGATGGCGAGGTTGAGATCGACATCCTGAAGCTCCTCGTCGATATCGGTCTCCCAGAGAGCCTTGCGTTGCTGTGACATAGCGAAGGGGTGGGGAGAGGGCGTGGAAGAGGGACTAGAGACTTGACTGAAGTGTTTCCCCCCTTAGACTCGGGGAGAGCAAAAATCCTCGGCGCGTTACGATCTGATCTAATCTCAACTGTTGCGGCGTTTATCATATCAACGTTGGCAAGCAGGCACGTAATCGGAGTTCCAAATACTCTTTTACTAGTACAAAAGCTGGGTCTAACAGCATCATTGAGATGCGTGCTCTTGGGACAGGGGGGTATCTACATGTACGGCGCCGAAGTCGCGACGTTCACCACAGACTCAGCCTTCTCGTCCATCGAAAGCGCGACAGATGAAACGGCGGAGGGTGTGGAGGAGGAGCCCAAGGTAAGCGCACCGCGATCGCGGGCCTGAACGGAGGAACGGATACGGAGGATGTCTTGGCGGGAGAGCTTAGCTTCGTTGCAGAGGGAGCGGAAGATCGAATCCTCGAGGTCGAAGAGCGCGAGGGGCGTGTCGTACTCGGCGACCTTGCCGGCGTCCATGACGAGGATGCGGTCGTAGTAGACTAGTATTCAGGGCCAGTGAGCACGACTGTAGGAAGTAGGAGGGAGGGGCAGGGCGCACCAATGGTGTTTAGTCGGTGGGCGATGCATAAGAGCGTCGACGACGAGAACTCGGTCTGGATCGTCCGCTGCACCTTTGCATCCGTCTCGACATCGACGCTGCTCGTCGCCTCGTCCTGATACACAGGTCAGTATCGGTTCCGGATGGGGTCCACGTATGGTAAAAACTCACGAGGACAATGATGCGGCTGTTCTTGACCAACGCCCTGCATAGCGCGAGCAGTTGCTTCTCGCCCGCGCTGTAGTTAGAGCCTTCGTCGCTGACCGTCGAGTCGAGGCTGAATTTAGCTTCTGTCGTCGCGTCAATCGGGGCACCCTCCTTTGGCAGGAGCCACGCGCGCCGCAGCGACTCCAGCAGTTCGGCGTCCGTCCGTGTGTTCTGCGGGTCGCTGTTGCAAGTGACGTCAAAACACTGTCACGGAGAGGTCAAGGTATGACACTGACAGGTTCTCCCGAAGCGTGCCCTTGAACAGCAAACTGTCCTGCGGGACAAGCGCGAGCCGCCCACGGAGCGTCTCGAGCCCAATCTTCGCGATGTCCACACCGTCGACTTCAATTACCCCATCTTGTATGTTGACAATCCGGAAGAGCGCCTGCAAGAGCGAGCTCTTCCCTGCTCCCGTGCGACCGACGATGCCAACCTGTTACGAACAACGTTAACAAGGAGCTTTACTGGAGAATGGAAGTTACAAGGTGACTCGCCTTCTCTCCGGGCTTGACTTCAAATGTGACGCCTTTGAGGACCGGAGGAAGCCCCGGCCGGTAGGCCATCTTGACATCCTTGAACTTGACCTCGCCGTGCTCAGGCCAAGATGGAGGAGGATCATCGAGATTCGTCGGGGCGCCCTCCGTGGGGAGGTCAGTGTAGTACAGCACGCGCTCGACGGCGTTGAAGTTCTGCTCGTTCTGCGCGTACATGGACACCATCGTAGCTGCGGATTTCAAAAGCATCAGTTGGTGCAGTTGTGAGTGGGTGTAGGAGACGCGACTTACAAAACGATTGCGTGACTGCAAAGCGACTCGTCAGGAATGCGCATACAAAGAGTATGATGCTGGGACTTACTGCCGAGGGTGTACGACAGAACGACGCCAATCTTGCTAGGGTCGACAGACGACCTGAAGCCGGCGGCGAAGAGACCGATACCGAGGATAAGGATGTTGCCAAGCACGTCGAGTCTCACTGCGAGCCAACGCTGGATGGCAATTGTCATGTAATACGCGCGATTCTCTTGGTCGAGCCCTTGGTTTGACTTCTGTACGAACCGATCCTGGAAGGGCACACCTCGTCATCACGACCAGCACCGAGGCACATGAGGGAAACCTACCTGCGAGCGGTAGGCGCGGAGAGTGCTCAACCCAGTCAGGGCTTCGGAGTACGAAGAATACAGGAGCGAACGGAGCAGGGAGTCAAGGCGCTTTGTCTCAACCGAGCTGCTTCGATAGTAGAGAGCTGCGGCGTAATAGAGGATGATCATCGGGACGAAAATAACACCGAGATAGGGGAAGGTGTAAAAGACCAAGGCGACAGTTCCCAGCACGTTGCTGAAAATACTATCAATGTCGCTCATCAGCCAGAACACGACGGAAGTACTAACCCAACGGTGGTAAGGAGTTGAATCGCCACCATGGAAAGTTCGGCATCGATCGTGTCTTGGTCTTTGGAAAGGCGCGACACGATGCGACCTGGAAATCAGGATGTCAATGCCGCCATCTGACTAGTGGCCTTGGATTGGACATACCAATAGGAGTAGTGTCGAAGAACGAGACTGGCGAGCGGATGATAGCGCCGAACGCCGTCTTGTACATTTCGAGACCTCCGGTCAAACTAGCCAAACTATAGAAGGTTTCATGAGCACACTGTCCGTGGTCCCTCGAAGTAGAAGATAACGCACCCAATAGCAAGACCGACCAAGAAGAAAAACACCCCACTGGCGACACCAAGCGCGGTGTATGTCCAAATGTAGTCCGACGTCGTGAATCCTGGGATCGACGACGACGTCCAGAACCCAAGGAAAAGAGTATTGCCAACTGTTACAAGGGTCATCAAGCCACACTGTTCCAAGAAGATCCAACGACGTACCTTGTGCGCCTTGCAAGAGCAGTAGCAACAAGACCACAAGCAGGACTACCACCAAACCACCGCAGTACTTGAAATAGCGTATGTAGACCGACCAGTCAACGGCACCTGTCACGCGCTCCTCCTCCTGCATGAGTGCTTTTGGGGATGTGTCGGGAACCAACTTCTCGAGCTCGTCCTCAGCTTCCTTCGCTGTTGCAGCGGTGGCCTCCGTCTTCTTGGCCGCCATGGCAGCCTCGTCCTGGTTATCAAGAGAGCCGTACTCTTCCATCAGACGCGAAAAGTTGGGCCCATTTACCATGAGGTCCGCGTACGTGCCCTGTTCGACGATCCGGCCTTCATCCATGACGTAGATATAGTCCGTGCGGTCGAGAACGTGCAGCGCGTGCGTGACGAGCACCCGGGTCTTGTCGGCGAGGGGACCGCGAAGGAGAAGCGTGTCGAGGAGGGTCTTGCCGACGTGGGCATCGACGGCGGAGAGCGAGTCGTCCATGAGAACGATTTCGGCACCGGAGTATACCGCACGGGCGAGAGACACGCGGGCCTTTTGGCCGCCGGAGAGGTTTATGCCTTTCTCGCCGATCTCGGTCTCCTCTCCGTGCGAAAGCATCGCGAGATCTGGTTCGAGGCAGCAAGCTTTGACGACGCTGCGGAATCTGTGGTCATGTCAGTTGAATGCCTATCTGTAACCGTAAAGAAACTCGCTTTGCGTCGTTCTCCTCTTGACCAAAGACGATGTTTTGTCGGAGTGTAGCGTTCATGATCCATGCCGTCTGCGGGACGTACGCGGTAGTCGATGAAAATACAGTCTTACCGCGGGTCTTGCGCATCTCTCCGATCAACGCCTGAAGTAGAGAGCTCTGTGGCATCGAGTTCACCATCAGCGGCCGAAGATCCAGGAATCCGAGTTTCGCACCTTTCCACAACCGACTGGCCCAACAATGGCGACGAACGAGCCTTTCGGGATGTTCAGCTTGAGGTCGTGAAGCGCGAACGGCTTCTCCTCATTTGCTCCCTGGCTCTCCTCCGAGGTACCCTTCATGTCAGCGCCGGTGATCGGCAAGATCCCCCCTTTTTCCTTTCCTTGCTTTCCTCCCTTCCTATCTTGACCTTCGTATGCTCCCCCGCCAAACTTTGGCGGCTCGGTGGGGCCATTTCGCACAGTCTCCCACGTGAAATCGCCGTCGACGGCGATGGCGTCTACCGCAGTCTTGTCGATAAGGTAAGGTTCTTCCAGCTCTTCGGCACGAAGGAAAGTCGAGATGCGCCGCAATGCTACCACGGCGTCTGTAGCGGACGCTAGGACGATCGGTAGCAGTATGAGCGGCATCCGAATGATCTACCGAAGATGAATATCAGCGTGGGCAGCTGGTCGTGGACACGGAGATGACGAACCCCCAAGAATTGGACGGAGGAGAACACCACCGCGACGTCGAAACTACCGCTGCGGAGGGAGTATGTCACCTATCCATATGTCTTAGATTTACCAACGATAGACGGATGCTCTGAGAAACATCGACGATACGCACGATTGATAGTACCGTGGCTAAAACCGGGATAACGGTGACTACGCCGAGCAGCGCTGAACGCACGGCGCTGCAATGCGCAGGGACAAGCATGGTGTCAGCAAATGTGTACGCGAAGGAAGCGTCGTGATGCGACTCACGTAAGACGACGGATTGTCTGAATTTCCCGCTCTCGCAGGTCACCGACATGATGGGAGTAGAATGACTCCCATGCAAAGTACTTGATGAGGCGGATCCCGGAGAGGACTTCGTTGGTCATGCGGACTCGCTGATCAGTGAGAGCGACTCCCTTCTTGCGCTGCGCGAACATGGCCTTGGCAAGTAGGAATTGGATCGGAAAGCCGACGAGAAGGACCTGAGATGATTGTTAGTCACGAAGAGATGTCTCTGATAGGGACGGCTCGCACCCCAAGGCCGACAAGAGCTGATGCTCCGATCTAAGAGGAGAGAGTCAGGATTTGCAAAAGACTATTAGCGACTCTGCACAACTGACATTGCGAGCAAGCAAGCCAATGCCGAGAATAATCTGAATGGGAGAAACCCACAGGCTGAAGGGAGTCAGCATACACACTGCAAGGCAGACAACAAAGTCATACCCGTGAGCAGTCCAACTGGTCCATTCTACCCGACTGGCGTCTGTCGAAATCATGGTCGTGATTGGACCAGCGCTATGCATGTTGCGAGCCCTGCCGCTAAGGCGCAAAGACTTGCGAAAAACAGCTCCGATCAGCTGAACGGGTCAGAGTGAGTACCTGTACGCGGATGATACAGAAGCAAAACACACGCTAGTACGAAGAGAAAGACCGCAGGTCATTGAAACTGTAAGCATATACAGTTCAACGACGGTGCAGACGAAACGTGACGAAACGAAACGTACTCATCTGGGAGTGATTGGACAACTGAATGCCGCCGTTTAGCAAACATTCGTGCACAGCTATGTTCGACACGTACCAAACTTGATAGCTCTACAGATATTGCGTTCAGCGGTGTTCGAAGCACGCAAGTAAAGGCATTCACCTTGCATTGAAAAAATGGCGAACGTAAGACCGATCCCATAGCCGATGCTTCTGGGCTTCGGTAGAGCTGCTTGTTCCTCGGTGCTTGCGCGGTAATATACGAAGGACTGAGTAAGCCAAGTCAGGAGAAGTTGGTTGACCAGCGGAGTGCAGGTGTTCAAAGTGTCTAGAAACCGTGTGAGAAACTTGAGACACCAAGTACACCGGAGAGACGGGCCCACCGGCAACCAGTTTGAATACACCCGCAGTCCACCATTCCACCCAAAACACATTGTGAAGAGCGAGAGCGAGGTTGGAGTCGTACTTCTTCGGTTTGCCTGACGTAGTGACCTCTGGAAGCTTCTCAGGAACTGTATCCCCGTCCAATTTCTCCTCGGTGTTTGACTCGGTTGCCGGAACGCGTATGAAAGCAGGGCGCTCCTCTGGACGGCATCGTTGATAAAAGGAACGCTCCGCGCGCTCAGTGAGGTCGCCCGTTAGGCGGTAGTCGGGGAGTCTCCAAAAATCTGAGAGGGCCCCATCAGGTTTGTCGGACCCATATAGCTTGCAAGACAAGCCACACACCTTCTTGCTGAAGGGGGCGTGAAAACCCCACAGCAAGGAAGGGACCAAGCCATGAGAAGAAGAGCCTGGAGAAAGGACTGGCCGACAAGTCAGCGGGGTGTCTCAAGGTGCAGCAATAATACAAAGGACGAACTTGGATGTCTCGGGGACGAGCTTGCCGTTGGCGAACACAGGCGGCGCTGGCGGTGGACGAAATGGGTTTTTCATGGTGGGGGGCAGTGGGGTCGCATCGAATGGCGGAAGCCATTGCAGTGGTTATAGGTGGCATGGAGACGCGTGAGCATACCTGGCGCGACGGCCAAACGACAATATCGGCACGACACGTCTGCACTGCGGTGGACCGGCATGTCAGCACGACCTGTTTCTGCTGTCAGTGTCACTACAACCACCGATCCGAAGTGACGCGGCCCATGCCGCCGCGATGCCGCCGCGATGCCGCGTGTCCTGTGCCGCGTTCCAGAGCTTGCTTGCCTTCCTGGCTCCTGTTGATGTTGGGTTGAGACCTGCTGATGACGGAGTACGGCAACTTGTCATACTCTGGTCAAGATCAAAATGGCCGTCGGCTGGCGCTAGCGTCCTGGACTCGGTCACGTTCCCATCCTACTCCAAAAGAGGAAATGATGACCCACGTGCGTGACACAGTAAATGTCCACCCTTTCACCGGCCTAGGCCTTTCACTGGTGACCGGTGAGCATAGATAGCGCATGCGCTGATCCGACCAGAAATTGCTCGCCTGAGTAAGGATACATTCCCGGTGTGCGTCCGTGCTACTACTACCACGTCGCCACCCATACGATGCTGTTCTGTTCCCTGCAGCCGGTACTTAGTAGAGTCTACAAGTGTCGCCGTGCTTCGCACGGCATCCCTTGATGATAATGAAAAATGACATATGTAATGGCATTTATGCGAGAATATCAGTATAGACTACATTGCGCGTGGAGCTAGAACCGTCAGGTAGAAGTATGCGGGCATCGTGTCGTTTGCGAACACGGGACAATGCAGTATACAACTGCCCGTGGCCGAAGACAGGTACGGTAAGGTCAATACCTACGGTGTCTAATGTGAGACCTTGACAGCTATTGAAAGTGGAAGCGTAAGCGCATGCAAGAGGAAACTGTTTGCGTAAAAGAGTGTGACCTGATCGGAGCTGATGAGTGAATGAAATGCGGGGTAGGAGGAATGTTTGGGATGGAATTTGAACATCCAAAGCATTAAGAAGGTGTACAGCGATCACATGTGAACCCAGTCCCACTATAATGACACGGGCATTTTTGACGAGAGCACGATCGATAGAGAGAGTGCGGACTAGCCTATACACGCCGTTGATCTTGATGCGGAGTGTGAAGGGAGGAATGCCTGGAAAGGACTGTTCAGACGTCCAGTCAAGCATGGAATCTGGTGGTGCAAGGTCGCATTCCTGGCTTTCTTTGATTTCGTCGGATGCGAAGTACGTTTTCTCATCGCCAGTAATGCGGTTGAGAATTGCAGAGTTGTATGAGTTGACTTGGACGTGCTTCGGAGCAAGAATGGCGCGATGTAACAGTAGATCGGGATGATAGAGGATGTTAGAAGGGTAGACAAAGTCGATGAGGTCGGATAATTCTGATACTCGCTGGATGAGATCCAGTTGAATGTCGTCTTCAACACCGTCTCCAACACTGTCAACGAATTGGGAAAACTCAGGGTCTTCAGCGTTGCGCACAGGAATCGTCAACCTGTGGATAGTAAACTTTGACCATAGCGGTGATGACTTGAGGGACGCTGCGACAATCATGGCTTTGGAAGCGCCAGGGATGACAGGGCACGTTTGACGAAAGTCTCCAAGCATGACAACGATCTTGCCTCCAAAAGGTAGATGGTTGTTCATGAGCTCTTTACAGAGATCATCAACGCACTGGAAGACAGCGCGGTTGGCCATAGGAGCCTCGTCCCACACGATCAAGCGAGCTTCACGGATGAGGTCAGCTCGCGAAGAACGGGTGGTGACAGTGGACTTCAAGAGCTCGTTCCGTTCATTCACAGGCACCTTGTGAACGTCAGCAAAATTTACGAAAATGTAAGTAAAAAAGCAACCTTGAATGTGGAATGAGCGGTCCTTCCTCCAGGGTAAAGTTGTGCCGCGAAAGCTGTTGTCGCCGTCGTAAGGACGATGAAATCCCGGCTACGCAAGTTGTCGCAGATGGCATTGACTACGAAGGTCTTGCCACGACCAGCAGGGCCGTCAACAAAACAGAGGTAAGGTGTATTCGCGAAGACAGCATTGAAGACATCGTCGGCGATGAGCTTTTGTTCGGAGTTGAGAAGCGCGAGGTTCCGGTCAGCACGGGATCTCATGTCGTCGATGAGGGGAGCCCATCGTTCGCGTTCGTGGGCTACTTCATGAGACAGTTGAACAGGTTGGCGCAAACCGAAGTCGGACAGTGTTTTGCCATACTCCTCGAGGTCATGTCCAATGTCTTCCAGGGCGTGGTCGTCAGCAGCTGCAATGGAGCCGTTGTGTCGAATGAAAAAGTCACGTGATAGAGTGTCGTGTAACTGATCCCACAGGATGGCAGGTGTTGGAAGGCAGTCGTTGACGAGGAGATGGATGAAGAGAATGCGCAGTTCTCGTGGGGTTCGGAGAGCTTCGACGGCTTCAAGAAGTGCAAGTTCGCCTTCCGATTCTTGTGCAAACAATCCCATAGCATTTGCTGCGTCTTGGTAAGAGTCATAAACAACACCGTTAACGGTGCGAGCATCAATGAAGTTGGCGACCGGACGAGCATGGAGGATGACTCGAAAATAGAAGCGTTCGCCTTCAGTTGGTCGTGCGGAGTGTAGACGGCAAATGTGAGTGCAGGACGCAGTGCGTCGAACGACGTGCTTATGAAGGACATCGGGAGTGGGACGTTCTTCATACCAGTTTGGATCGGTGATGCGAGCAACGTTGTATGTTGCGAGGCGGAAAATGGTGTAGTATTCCATATAGGTCAGAGAGGAGAACGGTCGGAAGCAATCTTGCGAAAATTCAAAGGATCCGGCTGGTCGTAGGAAGTATCTCTCCAGGTCTGATAGAGTGGAGGCGACGTCATTGCCATCGGAGTTGTGATAGTACTGTCGGTAGTGATGAGACATCGATGGGAGGTGAACAGGAAGAGCTGTGACAGCAGGAGATTTGCGAGTGATGTGGTAACCTAGAATGCGCCAGACGGCTTCTCCTGCTGATAGGTAGCGGCCTGTCCAGTAGTCCTTGATCTCGTCAATAGGTTTATCAGGATCTACTACGTCGTAAGTTGCTCTGTCAGGGCCTACAAATGAGATTTCAGTGGAAGACTCAAAGACGCTTATGAAGGTGTAAAGCACCTTTGTGAATGTACTTGAAGATGTATTGGAACATCAGAGAAGCGAAAGCGAGCTCGATATTGGTGTGGCATTTGAACGCAGCAAGGATAGCGCGACAGTAAGGGACAACCCACGCATCTTGTGGTGAACGGCGCCTGTAAGTGACTTTTCCTGTAGTGTGGTCTATCGTAGTCGTATCGGACAGGGGTTTTGGGTAACCAAAACGACAGACGCGGTCTTTGTGACCAGGAACGGTGCGTAGACAGTAGTTCGAATGCCCATGGACCATGAACTTGTGCACGAGAGCTGAGAGGGTGGGGTCGTCAGGGATTTCGGCTGAGATGACAGCATCGACGTCTTCAGGGCGGGTGAGATCATTGTTGTATTTGACGAGAATGTGAGCATGTGGAGCACCGCGCTTTTGGAACTCGACAGAGTGGATGAGATAGACAACACCACCAGCATGAGGGAGGAAGTCATGGGAGAGGGTGTGAAGGAAGAGGGAGAGTTTCCGGTGGAAGACTCTGCATACGACAACAGGAATATCCGTCCACGATTGACCCGGTCGGAGCTGGGAGGAAATTTCCGGCCACGAAGTGTTGCACGTCATTGTAATGAAGAACGTAGGTGGTCCTAAAGCTGCTGCGATTGCGAGGGAGTCGGCAATTTGCTTCGAAACCCATTTGTTAGATCCTAAGAAGGACGCCGGAAGATAGATGTTGTCGGAAGCGTCAACGCTCTCAAGACCCATTTGGTGAGCATCTTCCAAGCGGAGGCGTTGCTGATTCGCACGGAAGTAGCAGAGGCGGGTGTCAAGATGTCGACTGAACATGTCCACAACGTATTCATTGGTCAGCCTGCCGAAAATGGAGAAGCGTGGATCTCGTAGGAGGCGCATACGGTAGTGCCATATCTGAGTGCAGTGTGGGTCCTGGTCGTTTTCGGTGTTATGCTCGATGAGATCGGCAGATCCAAGAGGTTCTCCGGGCAAACCCCAACCTGTATGATGTATGAGTTCATTCAATCGCACACGAAATAAAAGGGTCGAACCCAATGTGCCTGCAGGGAAGAATAGAGGGTAACTCAAAGGCTCCCACAGCCTGCTCGTAGCAGAGATGAAGGATTGGGCATTGTTCGTTCTCTGAACGACGAGCGATCGAGATCGAAGATCGTTTTGAGACGTGTTGTCGTAGTGCATAATGGCAGCGATTTCATCGCCACCTACCACAAAGGATATGTAATTCACATCAGCGAAACTAGAAGATGTACTAGTACGAGAAAATGACACTCACCAGAATCGTGCAATAGTATTGTCGCTTGCGGACACAGGGTTTCATCCATTCCTCCAAGTATGTTGAGGCGCCGGACGAAAGGATTTTGCATCAAAAGGGCACCTTTGACGGCTTCAATCCAAGAAGAAGGTAGAGTATCTGCCCATTTTTTATGCGGGGGTTTGGTGGTGTCGAATTTGTCATATAAGAGCCAATGTACAGCGGAATTTTGATGTTCAGGTCGAACACGATGGTAGATTCGGCCACCAACAGACCAAAACCCAGGTGGACCGCCAACGTCAAAGAAAGGGACACTTGATTCAAGAGATGCAAAGGAGAATACGAGGTTGAGAGCACGGGACAAAGAGGAGATTTTTGGGTCGAACAGGAATTGGTTATATTGTATTGGGAGAACAGGTAAAGGAGGGAAGCTGTTGAGCTTAGACCCATTTGTTCCACAGCAGAAGCCCGATTCTTCCCCGGTTAGGAGAATGACGCCGCAGTGCCGGCAAGCATGAGTGGAACCCGCACGAATTTGACCCCATACCAAGTCTGCTGAACGCAAGCGACCAACGGACCAATCATTGGAAGTCATCTGCAAGAAAGAGTAAGGATTATGGACGAGTTATAGCAGTATAGCAGTTGAGCGCGAAGGTAGAGGAACGTGTGCTAACCTGGCAGTTCTGAGCTGAAGCCTTCAGGTGCTATGGCGCTATTCTGTGTATTTCTCATCCCTCATAGGGAAAGGGGCTCCGAGTTGCTCACGATCAGGGGTGTTATCCTGTAGGATAGCTCTCGCAGGGCACGTAGGAGCACAGAAAGCGTTTTATTGCTGTCGGAAGAGGTATGGGATACACAGTTGGTGAACGGTATGCACGGGTTCGTGATCGGCGATGAGTACGAAGTGCGGCCGGCGACCACAATGACCGGTTACGCAATCACGAATGGGCGCCTCGGAAACCCTTCCAGACCGCAGTCACAACCAACACACCGCACGACGACGCCCATACGGACATAATCAGTGTGGATATTGGAATATGGAGGTCGCGGTGATGTACTGCAGCCGTTGTTTTGGTAAGTCGTTCAGTCTGCTCTCCTGCATTCTCAACGCCGATCCATGCCCCACAACGAATCCGACAGGCCGAGGACGTCGTTGTCAGGACTCATCGTCGCTACCCCTCGTGTTGTATCCCCGCTATAGACGTGGATCTAACGCACCTGCGACGGCCTCAAGACTCACCCGAGGAAAACCACCCCCGGATCCTCACATCTTTTTGCGTTAACCCTGCCCTTCGAGTCAAGACTGTGGGCGAAGATCCCTTCGCCTCCGGACTCTCGCCGGCTCTCTAGCGGAGGCTGCGACGTAGCCACCTTGGCTGCTCGTCGTTGGACCCGGTATGAAGCCCGAGCCGAGGACTCCCTCTCCCGGACGTCCTCTCTCCAACGACCCGCATCCGCGCAGACAGGAGGAGATTTGGAGAAAACCGAGGACACGGTGGATTTGGTGGTTCCTGGACGACCTTGATGGGCTTGGATCTCGACGAATACGGCACGTAACACCCTCGTTCTTTCGCCGCCCTCGTCCCCTCGTCGATGGTTTTCGAATGACACCGCTACCGCTATACCCCGTCCCGCGGTTCGTCCGGAATACCCCATCCTCTTCAAGCATCGTCTTTCGGCAGGATATCGGTCATTGCTTCACGGATTCTCGTCTGTTCGCTTGGCGTCTGGGCTCGTTCGATGCGTCTTCTCCAGCGCGTTCCAACGCACCCGGGATCACCGCAATCGGCCAACTATTCGTAGCGCAATCGCGCTGAAGACCTGCCCCCGCTCCTCTATTCCATCTCGACTTCTACCTTCACCATTTCTTGGCCATTCGGGATGGTTTTACAGTTCCCCTCTGCGCCTCCACCCCCTTCCGCGACTGGCCGCATCCGCGCTCTCGAAACGAGCGCTCTCCGCCCGTGCACCATGATGTCAGGTCATCCCGCGCCGGGACTGGTGGTCGTTCTCTTCCGAGTCGCCCATGCCCTTCGCACCGCCCACCCAAGTCGCCCACCCCCGTGTGGTGTATGTTCCGTCGTCATTGCCCACGCGCGTGACCGACGTCTTCTTCGTGCCACCCTCGTTTCCTGCGCCGCCCAACCACGCAGCCCGCCTGCGTTGCCCTATTCCTCCCGCCTCACTAGCTTCCGCGTTACCCGGCTCTGCTTTGCCCGGCTCTGCCTCACCTCCGTCCACGTTGGCCATCACCACCGCCGCGTTGCTGCTGAGTACGCGTTGCCCATCACCTCCATGTCTCCGTTCTCCGCCCATGTGTCACGCACCTTCTCCGCATCGTCCCAGGCCTCCACGTCCTCGAAGGAGTCCTCCGCGTCACGCGGCTTTGTGTCGCCCGCGTTCACGTCGCCCGTGTCCTCCCGTGTCGCCCTCCAGTTCCTCCTGCGAGCCCTGCTCCGCGTCTCACCGACGTCTGTCTGTGTCGCGGCCCCTTCCTTTCTCCCGCGAGCTCTCCGTGTCGCTACCGTGTCGCTGGTTCCGCATCGCCGTCCTCCGTCGTCGTCGTCACCCCCCTCACGTCGGGCTCCCCCTTGCTGTGTGTCGTCCCGGACGATGTCGCCTCCTCTGCCTGCGTCGCCCACTGTCGTTGTCCTTCGCTCCCCCGTCCGGGTCGCCCACCACCTCCTGCTGGCGGTCGTGTTCTCTGAATCTGCTGCCTCAACGTGCTTCGCCTGCGTTGTCCATGTCGTCCATGTCGCCTGCGCCGCCTTCCTTTGTGTCACCGCATTCGTCTTGCCCACATCTATGTCCACACAGCCCCCCGAAGACGAAAATGGAGTGTAGTTAACAAATACGCGAGCAAGTCACGAGAACGTGCGAGGTATGAGCGGCGACGAGCGCATCAGGCGCGGTTGGCGATGAGCGCATCAGGCGCGGTCGGCGATGAGCGCATCAGGCGTGGTCGGCGATGGGCACGCGAGGTGTGATCGGCGATGGGAACGGTGAGCGTCTGCGGCGAAGGCGATGGCCAGCGACGCCGGGAACGGACGAGGTGTGCAGGAATGAGACTAGAAATGTGTTGATTGCTAAAGAGTGTCGTGTAGTATTGTAGTATATATACATGTGCAGTGCACTGGTTACGCAATCGGCGATGGATGCCTTAGAAACCGGCGGAGGGTGTGTGAAGACTGGAGGGATACATGTCTAGAATGACAGAGGGCCCATAAGGACAGTGCAGGTATGTCCGTCAGCGTCGGTGCGCAATCGGCGATGAGCACGAGTTGCAGTCGGTGATGAGACCAGTTACGCGATCGGCGATGAGACCAGTTACGCGATCGGCGATGAGCACTGGCGCTTGCATGAGCAGCTGCCGTCGTGCCCACTGTTGTCGTCCAGACCCAAACTATGTGTCGCTCTTGATGGACCAGACCAATCGCTGGAGGCCATGCTACGGATGTGAACGTTGATGACCGCGACACTGTGACACCATGAACGGCACAGTACCATTGACACTGATCAACGCCACATTGCTGTCAAGTGGGAGAGCAGGGACTTGCGGCAGACAGTAGCGGTGCGTGAGTGAGGATGGAGTGCACGCGGCATGGGTCCGAGTGGCAGTGAGGTAGATTGGGAACCTGCAATAGAATACCATACATTATCGTACATGCACATGGCATTTAGTACTTCTGCTTATACAAAGCGCAAAGATCTGTTGAATGGATTGAGATAGGAACAACTTCAAAGAGCAGAAGAACATACCGACAGATCGACCACGACTTCTGTACGGAATCGCTCCGTAGAAGGTTACTATCGTCTGCTGGCATAGTTGTTAATGAGATAGATGTCGTAGCATGGGCGGAGGGATGGAAAGTATAACGAGAGGGATCAGTTCCAACCTTCTGAGAGATGTTTATACGGGAGGAATACACATGAGATACGAAAAGGATACCGTATACGTGAGACGGGCAGATACGATAACATAGATTTTTCAACGAAGGAGGAGGGAGGTCAGAGTGGTCGATGTCACGAAGGAAAGTTGTATAGATATCTTTTATGAATGCGACTAGGAACTGTGCAAGTTGATAAGCAGCGAGAGGAGGTTCAACCATAACTCGGAATGAGACGATGGCGTCGCATATGGTGAACTGCCACATCATCAGAGCCCGAGGAGGGCAGACATTGGGGGTATATGATGTGTGATATGTTATAGTCGGGCCCGCCTAAAAGAAACTGTGAGACTAACATGTGAACGGGATGAAGAAGACGGTAATTACAGTGAGGAGAAGGGGAAGTCGTGGATAGATTTGAATGTGGTTTTGGCTAATCACAGAGTTTACGAAGGCTACTATTCGGTCGCGGTACGTACAGGCGTACGTGACACGGCGACTGCTTTTTGAATGACCAGCGGCTATGACTCCTATGAAAGCGTTCAGATAAAATGATACATCGCAGGAGAGCTTTTAACGACATACGTTGTTTCGCATCTGGGTCGTTATGAATACCTTGAATGAAGAGATAAATGCGAGTGGATTGCATGGGATGGAGATGATGTTTGTGCACGAAAGAGTTATGAAAGACACGCCACTCGAACAAACGTCGACATGCTGCATACACAAACTAGGGTCAGAGCATATGTCACCATTGAGTCATGTCTGACAAAGTGTGGTACGAACAGAGATCAGTTCATGACGTCACTTAGATCATTTACAACCCTAGTCGTCAGTGTCCGTGATTGTACCGATACGGTCATACACGATAAGGACATGTACATGAGATGGTCCTCTATTCTGTAATTCAACAGATAGGACGATGATCAAGACAATGTGGATCCCCATATGGAAACTGCATTGAATTGATTGGAACACTAATGAACCCACATTGAGTGCACTATTTGCGAGACAAAGGGGCGACATACAGGTGTTTGTTGAAAGACGATTGACATATAGATCCAATATTGTAGCTCGACTGTCGAGATATTAGTTTCGTAGACAGAAATGAAGACGGAATCCTGACCGTGATGTGTTGTTTTCAGCGAAAATTGGCATCGTGAAGGTAGAAGGCAAAGCAGTGTACTCAACGTCTCCGAGTGCGTCTTCAAATTTAAGATGTCATCCGACGATCTGTTCATGTTTGAGGCGTAGGGGTCATCGATCGTAGGCCACGTCGAGTTTCCAGAAGAGCTGAACCACACATGACAGTGAATTGCCCTGCTCACACCTTCGACAAAGAAAACGATGAGCGCGTGGATGCATACATGTTCTGGACAGCACAGATTGCCTCAGTGGGAAAGGGTGATGACATGTGCTGTGCACATATCGACTGGCTCGATCGCCATCAGTGCAAAGTTTACCAGAGGGAACTCAAAGTTCTTCTTATACTCCTCGGTGACCAACTTGACCGGCACGCTCCGTGGATAGCGCTTCGTAGCTCCCTAACAGCAACCCCACTGTGTCCGGCACGCACCAGTTCGCCCGTATGCCCAGGCTCATCGTGAGGAACACCTCCCGCAGCTTCGTGTCCCAGTCGAAGTCGCCATCGCGCAGCATGTCGAGCGCGGTCGCATCCGCGGGGATCGGCATTGGTTCCGCGGGTGCCGAGGGCAACAGCGCAGGACGGACTTGCGCAAAGCGGCCGATGCGGAACTGGTGTGCCGGGGAACCACGATTAGTCAGCAACGCCGCCTCCGCGCGCGCGCGAGTGCGTGCACTAGCATCGACCATGTACTGTGTCCGTTCCCGTTGTGTCCCCGTTTGTTGATATTGTATGTCCAGCGGACATGCAAAGCGCCAACAGGAGAGTAGGACACAGAGAATATCGTAGGGGATGCAATGACAGGAAACAAATGTGATATCGTACACAATACAGCGAACACTATATCGTACACCATCAGACCACCACTACATCATTCAGGGGTCCGCCGCGTGCCATCACGCCTTCTTCGAACGGAGCTTGTGCTGCGAAGTTGGTGCAGGTCCAAGCTCCACTGGACCGTTGACAGAGGCGTCTCCGCCATCCTGCGCGGATGTGTCACGCACGTGAAATGATGGGCCTTGTGACGACAAATCAACTCCTAGCTAAAACAAAGACAATACTGGTCGACTCACCGGCACCAGGTGACTGAGACGGGGTCGACATCGTCGCCTGGGTCATGGAATCCAGAGGATCGACTGCATCAAGCTCATCACTGGATCATGTGAGGCTGACGTACGCGCAACGAAAACAGTATCAAAGACTTACAGCTCATCCATGCGACGACGTTTTGATGGCGGCGAAGTAGATGGACCAGGCAAGGATGCAGGGTGTGCAGCTGCAACGCCCATGGCACGCTCCTTGGGAGGGAAGTTGACAGCCTCCAGAGCGATGGCCAACTGACCGTCGTCCATAAGTCGTTCACAGGTCCCAATGAAGAGGACCCGTTGAGCGTAGTTAACCTTGAAATTACCCCATCGCCTCGGCTTGTCAGGTGGGACGAGGACACTGCGAGTGTATGCACTCAGAAAAGGAAATCGAAATCAGAAACTCTTACCTAATGCGGGAGGCCATGTCCTTCTTACGAACGAACTCCTGCACGTTCACGCGGAACATCTTCCCAGACTTGAACGTGCTTCCGCGCATGAGACCATTCCGG